CACAATTGGCATCCTAAATCATCTATTTATACAAATTTTATGGAAGAATTGGAAAAAATTAACTCCAACCATTCTTCCTATCCACCTCCTAAAATAAAGAAATCTCTAGGAACTTCTAAATTTGAGAAGAGAGAAAGCACTCATAGTAGCTCCCTATAATTTAAAACAGATTGTGTGTATTTTTAGCTAAATTTTAACTGCCCGTATTCTCCTCTTAAAAAAAAAAAAAAACAAACTAGCCCTTCATACCATTCAGTTCAGTCGCACGAAGGGGGAGGCTACCCCCCATCTCCCAAATTTTTTTACCCTCATTTCTTCTTCCTCTCTCTTTCCTCTCAACCCCTCTTACTTCTCTATCCCTTCTTCCCTTCCCTTTCCTTCTTCATTTCCTCATCCACGTGGATCTTGGTTTTGTTTTGTTTTTTGTTTTTTTGTTTTTGGTTGCAGGCAGAGACAGCTGCGCCAACGTCCGTGGGATAGCACCGGTTGCTACACTAGTTTATAGCTATTGTTGAAGCAGCCACCGTAAAACACCATTGTCCCCAAGATTTAGTTGTCGCTTTTGGTCCACATACACATGGTTTTGGCACTAGTTCATAGTTTGGAGTTACAATCATGGAAGTTTCTAGTTTGTGTGGGTTGGGGTTTAGCTAGTGCGCCACTAAGGGTTTAGTTGGTATGGTGTTATGAGTCTTTTAGGTTATCGGAGAGGATGTGGAACAGTGATCATGTTTCTTTGTTTGTTTTAGTCTATTACTCTTTAGGAGTTTTCAATATTTTATTTTAATTCTCAGGAACTCTTTGGCTGCGATACAAATCTGTCGTTTTTGCTATTGCACGGTGCATCTGTATTGTTAGTATGAGTTCAGGCGCTTTGGGCTGCTGGCTTAATTCTCTCTATATTAAATCAACATGTTGTTGTATTTGGTCACTAGAGATATTGTACTCATTTCGACACTTTTGTGGCTTTGTACTTATTCTGTTTCATCAATAAATACTATCGTTTTTTATATAAAAAAGAAAAAAGAAAATAATATGATTGTAAATGCTCTAAAGGGAGATAAAAATCGTTTTGCTATTTTATAAATATTTGATATGTTCACACTTTCTTAGCAGCCAACATATAAATGATCTTTCTAGAATGATATTATATGCCTTTTCTGTTTCCACACGCACCATTACTCGATCATTTTAATTATTCTTAAATGTGAATGCCATTTATGTCTGTTGTTTGATCATGAAATGTTAAAGAGACAAAAAATAAATTGTGAGTTGTGCCTTGAAACATTTTCCAGCAACGCTTCATTGCTGAAGCACAAGCAGCTAGTCCATCTGGTTGTTGCATCCGAGAGATACATGTGCTATTTGTGCACCCGAGAGTTCGACTTCAAGTCTTGCTTCATTGAACACGCCAAGACCACGCACAGGAAGAATTTTGAAGTGGAATGTAAATGTCATTCTTGTCGCCGTGTTCTTCAGCGGCGCAAACAAGGGGCAAAGCGATGATTATGAACTTTTTCGGGCTTCTTTAAAAAATAGGTCCAAGTGATCATACAAGCTTACCCAATCAAAGACCTTTTCAGGCTTCTTTCAAGAGCTAAACTCCCAAAAATGCCAAGCTTGGCCCGACCCAATTTATTTTGGGCTTGAAGGTAAATGACTCGTCTTTTTATTCGGCTCTCGTTAATATAAAACAAAAATCGTAATCGATCCAAACTAGTCAGGTTTGGTTTTTGAACTTAAGTTTGACATAATTTAGTTAATTTAACTTACCATTATATGTATAGGCCCAAATGATTGGTTGATTTATAGGTGACTAAGCGTAAAATTGTGGTGGTAAGATGGATGACTAAGCGTAAATTGTGATGAAGTTCATAAAACTTTTGCTTTCTTTTTCGTACGTGCTTTTCTCTTAATTTTGCACGAATCCGGATGTGGTTGTGACAAAGCTAAACATGATTATGACCAAGTATTATAGATCTCTATGAAAATTTATTTAAATAGAATAAATTTGAATATTTAAAGCGTATAGCTATGCGGCTATACTCCTTAAATAGCATAAATTCGAATATATATACTCCTTAAATATAATAAATTCTATTATTTAAATAGTATAGTCGCGCATCTACACTGTTTAAATATAATAAATTTGAATATTTAAAGAGTATAGCCAATGTATAGCTGTTTAAAATATAATAAATTTGAATATTTAAATACATTGTATTTAAAACATATAGCCGCGCGGCTATACTATTTATTTTAAAAAACAGAATAGTCACACAGCGCATAGGTGGCCACGTGTAAAACACGTATAGCCGCTCGGCTATACTATTTTTAAGAAACATTATAAAACTGAGTCTAGCCGAGCGGCTATACTCTTTTTAAAAATGACTCTTTCAGCAAGTAGGCGCCACGTGTCAAATTAAGTATAGCCGCGTGGCTATACTATTAAAAAAACACCAAGTGTAGATGAGTAACTGTACTACTTTTTTAAAAAATAAAATAAAAAAAGGACCCCTTATACATTATAGATATTAATTTGCTAGTTGTTCACCCGTTTTGTGTTTACTCCTATGATGGAAGGGCAAAGTTCCCCACTGCCTTGAGAACCATAGACTGGTCAACAAGTCAGCTTTCTTTGGTGTGCGAGCGTGCCACTGCTAGTAATGAACAGTCTAGCAGACTTAGTCTGGAATGGATAACTTGCGCCCCAAGTTACTGATTTCCTAAACAAACGATTGTGAATTTGGGTGAGGAATATCTCCCAAGTAAGTTCTTTTCTTGCCTCAGACTGGTGAGGACTTTAACAATTTATCTCAGTATAAAGAGGTTGTTCTGGCCAGAATAGTTGATGAAATTTAAGCTGTTTTTGGGCGGAAGTGCCTTTTACAAGACTACAAAGATACATGTCGATGCAAAAAAGATAAAGAGATAGCTAGATCTCCATTTCTGCCTGGATGGGAGGCTCTGTGATGGGCTGGACTGGGAATGTCTGGGCTGGACTGGATCGTAGACAACTCATTTTCAACTACAAATCGATGCCAAAGGTTGATTCTGGCCTACAAATCGATGCCAAAGGTTGATTCTGGAAGAGCTTTAATGTACCTCAAGCTTTTGCGAAGCTTCTGAGTAGGCAGAACTGCGGTTTCTTCAGTCTGAAAGGGCAGAAGTGGCTGTTCTTGAGGACGTTGGTGAGCTAGAGGCTATTCCGTGAATTTGGCTGGGGTTTTCCATACTTGGAGGAGGCTCAAACTCTGCTTGTGTTGGTTTTTGCTGAACCAAATTTGTAACGAGAGAAATCTCGTTTTGAATGACTTGCTTCCTAAGTCTGGATTCTGGGCATTCTGATCTGGGACTGGTTTTTCACTTGAAATTCAAGTGGACTTGTTGGTCGACTCTGAGCTTGTTTATGTGACGGTTTGCCTGTGTAGGACCTTTGTTTGGTTGAATGATGAAATTTTTGTTGTAAGATTGATTGTCCTTTGCCCTGTTCACTCCTTCTTGTATTTATAAGAGATGTCTTCTGGAGTAGGGTAATTCTTTTAATAATGGGCGGCAAATCCTTTCAAAAGATTTTCTTTTTTAAAAAAATGGAAAAGAAAAGAAAGAAAAAGGTTTCCTCAGTTTTTGGTAGATAGGCTCTCAACAGATAGGCAATCACTTTCCCTGATTTTCTTGAAAAGGAACCTAATCTCTTTCCCAATTTCAACTGCCCCTCGTGATATTTTGCCGGTGATGGTTAGTTTTGACTCCTTTTCTGGACAGCTTCCTACTTTCCTGCTTATCCCTCCCTGAGATTGTAACTTGCTTATCTCCTTGGGAGAATTACCTTCTGAAAAGACAGGGGAAAAAATCTCTGAGTATGTATATATATATCATGTATGTGTGAGAGGGATTTGATCTTTAGCTTTTCCAGAATCAATCTTGATATTATGAACCCTTCAATTACTTCTCCTGTGACAGTTGCCATTGCTGACTTTTCTTTTTTCAGAGATATCACGTGGGATTGTCCCTATTTCTGGGCTTCCCCTTTATATTGGGCCCGTGAGGCCCAGATTAGCCTTGTTTACTTTGATGAGTCTTGGGCTGGTCTCCTCTGGCTTTTGGGCTTCCATCTCTCTTTGATTTTTTGCAGCTTCATTATGGGCCTAATTTTGCTGGGCTGGGCATGCCAATTTGTGGCCCAAACACTAGTTTCAATATATCTCAAGTAGATATTAATCTGTCACTATATAATTTTTTAATATACATTATTGTTATTTGATAATATATGAGAACTATTTGTTTAATACGTGAATTTTTTGTGTCTTATTGAAGAATTTATAAAACATATGTGTATTAAATATGAGAAATACATACATACATGTACAATACGAATATTATATATATATAGTTTAAACGTGAATTTTACTGATTTTTTTAAGACGTCTACGAATATTTAAAGAGTATCACACGACTATATTCTGTAAATATAATAAATATAATAATTTAAATACTATAACTGCTGACTATCCTTCTTAAATATAATAAATAATAAAGAAATTTGCATAAGTCCTCAAAATTTCAGGACCGACCTGTTTGTTCATGTCGGTAACTATCCACAATTTAAATGCCATAACCCAGTCCCAGTGTAATGTAATAAACCACTCATGGGATGACGGCTGGCTGGCAACTGTATAAGATCGTCCATCTGGCTGGCAACTGTATAAGATTGTCCATTACACCAAAGCGGTTCATGTGGCCTTAAAGCCACGTATAGCGCATACCAGCTACGTGGCAGAAAACTAGACATGGTTGGTTATTTGGGACGTGTCTCGCTCAGAAAGCGCCAGAGTGTTGCATTGCAAAGGCGGCAGAACCCTCCGTTAAAGCAACCTCTATAAACCTTTGGTTTCCCTCATCTGTTTTTGCAACTCTGTTCTGCAACTTACTTGCAAAAGCACAACACAAAATCAATTTTTTACTTGCGATTAATTCTAATATTTTCACAGATTTGAACAATGGATTCTCATGATCAGGAGCACAACAGGGACCCCCAAAATCTTGGTAAAAACCTCATTATCCTAGAAATGTTTGTCTTTTGATTTTCTTTAATTTTTTCAAAAGTCGGTTTGGTTTTCTATCTGTTAATGTGAGTATCTTTGTGCGGTTGGTTGAAGGCGAAGATGAGGATCACCATGAGAAGAAGTCGGTTTTTAAGAAGGTGAAGGATAAGGCAAAGAAGATAAAGAACACGCTCACAAAGCAGGGCCATGACGATGATCATCAGGAAGGTCATATTCCTGATGATCATGATCTGGATGAGGGAGATGATGAAAAAGACGAAGACGCAGAAAAGCATGGTGCAACATGTAGGTTGCTTTGCGCTTGATTTCATTTCGACATATTAATGAATGATCAAGATTAAATGACCAAATTAGTCATATTATGTGCAGCAATTAGGAGCGGTGTTCCTGAGCAAGGAGACATTTTGAAGGTGCCTCTGGTCAAATTTGGAGACACCAAAGCCATGCATGATGATCCCGTAGGGTCAAATTTGGAGAAGACCGACGTCAAAATTAGTGATCCCAAGAGGGATTATGTGCATCCAGAACCAGGGGTGATGCTAATGCATGAGGATGTTCTTGACCCAATGGATTACCGTGGCTCAACAATGGGATCTGTTCTTGGTGGGCATGAAGAAGTTTCAGGGCAACCCAATGCTAATTTTGGAAGAACATCAGAAATGGGGGGAGGACTTCATGCCCCACAGAATACCCCTGTTTCTTCTTTGGGAGAGTACAAGTCCAAGGTCACTGATGGGAAGGAAGGGCATTTAGGTCAATCCGGGGTGGACACCACCCCTGTTTCTTCTTTGGGAGAGCATAAGTCCAAGGTCACTGACCCAAGTCAAACTTTTGCTCATGGGAAGGAAGGGCATTTAGGTCAATCCAGGGTGGACACCGCCCCTGTTTCTTCTTTGGGAGGGGACAAGTCCAAGGTGACTGACCCAAGTCAAACTTCTGCTCATGGGAAGGAAGGGCATTTAGGTCAATCCAGGGTGGACACCGCCCCTGTTTCTTCTTTGGGAGAGTACAAGTCCAAGGTCACGGACCCAAGTCAAACTTTTGCTTCTGGGAACGAAGGGCATTTAGGGCAATCCAGGGTCAATTTGGACCGACCAAGAGGATTGGAAGAGGATCCTAATCCACAGGCTCATACTCCCTCAAATTATCAAAACAAAGTCACTGATCCAACTAATGCAGGTAATTGTGGAATATTATATATTATCTCTTTATCTTTTGCTACAAAATAATTTGTGATTCCATAACATGTGACAGGTGGTGAAGAAGTAGGAATTACACCAATTATTCACTCCCTTGATAAGATGAATATCGATGCTGGAACTGAGCAGAGCAGCTACACTCGTGCCACATCTGCTATTGCTGACAAAGCAATCTCTGCAAAAAATGTTGCTGCTTCAAAGCTGGGATATGGGGGGAACAATGATCAACATGGAGATATTAAGCCTCAGGCTTGTACTGCTTCAAGTAATGCAGGTAAGTTCTATACGACTAATAATGGCCCTTGTGGTCATGGGCTTAATCTGTTTTAGACTAAGCAAAACATGTTTATGTTTTTGTTACTGCAAATCAATTTCCTATTTCCTGACATGGGCCTTCTGATTATGGCCTATTTGTTTTTAGACCAAGGACTTATTTCCTAACATGTGACAGATGGTGGTGATGAACAAAAACCACACCAAAATCTGAGCACTGGAAGCCATGACCAGTTTTGTGCTGAGAGACCATCAAACCAGAGCAGCACCTATACTGAGAAAATTTCATCTGCCTCATCTGCTATAGCCGACACGGCAATATCTGCTAAGAACGTCGTCGCTTCCAAACTCGGGTATGCAGGGAACAATGATGATGATGATCATCAGGAGGTTACAGCAAAGCCTGGTGGATCAACGTCGCCTGAGCAGCATGGCAAAGGAGTTTCACAAAGCAAAGCCGGCCAAGGCAAAGGAGTTGCTGTGAAGGACTATTTTGCTGAGAAGTTGAAGCCTGGCGAGGAGGACAGGGCTCTTTCTGCGGTGATATCAGAAGCTCTGCATAAGCCCAAGGCAGAGGACTCTGCTCGGCCTGTGGGGAAGGTGACCGAGTCGGAGGAGGTGACGAAGCGCTTGGGTCCAGATTGTGGAATTGAGAGGGTTGAGCAATCTAGCTATGGGAAGATTGTTTCTGATACGGTTAAAGGCGCTGTTAGTTCATTGTTTGGGAAAGCTGATGAAAACCCTCCTCCTCAGCAGTCCACTGGTTCTTCAACCGGTAACAACTTGCGACATTTGTTCAAATTTAATCAGAAAATAATTAAATTTGGTTAGTTTGATAACAATATTTCGGTTCCATTTTGGTTGTTTTGTTGGCAGGTGGTACAGATGGTTTCTCTAGTTCTGGAAGTGGGGCAGCAGAGCACCCAAGTCATCAGGGGTCGGGAAACTGAATGGAAGTTTGTGTTGGTGAATAAATTAATCCGAGACTAGAGAGATGGGATTGTTTGAAGTTTGTTTTTGTATGGGGTGCTATAATAGTGTTTGACAACCGACAAGGATGGTGTGTTGATTGTGAATTCCAACTTTTCAAAATGTTTGCCGTGTGTATAATATGTATGATGAAAACAGGGGACAATCTGTTTCAGTTTCAACGTAGAGTTGTTCCCGAATATGATTTGTGCAGGTCGTCAAATATTTGGGTCACTCTGTTTTCTTTTTTGCAATAAAATGACGAAATTCCCTCCTTTTCTGAGCAGCCAAACACTCAAAAACACCAATATCCCCAACAAACGAAGCTAGCTACAACACCTACACACAAAATTTCTTCAAACAGAATACATAAATCGAAGTGTTACCTAAACGTAATCAATAAGGAAAGATGAAAATGATCAATGTAGACTATAGATTATGTACTAGGGTATATTACAACTGATAAATGTCACCTAAACCGACATGAGATTAATCCTAAATAAATAATGAGCATATCATCGTTACGATCTAATTTTCTACAATTTTTTATTTTTTATTTTTGACACAAGCAATATTGGGAAGTAGGGAATTGAATCTAGGACCTTGGATGCATGATAAATACTTTTAATCACTTGAGCTAAAAATTCATTACATTTTACAATTTTTTTTTGTTCACAATGAGAAAATGCAGAAGTAAAATTTAGCCTAGTATTTAGTTTAAACTAGCCTCTTCGCAAGCGATTCCCCGCATGCGAGAGGTTTTTTTTAAATAAAAAAAATTTTATTTTAGAATTAAAAAAGATAATGGGTAGTTATGTTTCATAAAAATAGGATTTGTTATTTGATTTTTCTTTTAATTTTATTTTTTTTTAAATATCAAAAAGTGTGAATTTACTATATTATCCTCATTTAATTAATCATTTTAATTCTTAATATTTGTAATCATTTTAATTCTTAATATTTGGATTAACAATGACATTTTTTGATATTTTGAATGTTTCACAGTTCTCTATCTTTTACTTTATATATATATTTAAAAAAAAGAAAAAAAGAAGAAGGTAAAACTAGTCGTGTTTAAACAAAAAACAAAAAACCAACCCTCTCTTTACAAGCGTGTCGTATGGTAAGTGGAGCTTCACAGGGTGACTCTACTATCGGAACAGAGAATCCGTTTCCTCTCCCCCTCGCTCAAAGGGGGTTTTCTCTCCTCCAGCTTCAATAGTTGAATTCCTCATTTGCGACAGCTAAAACCCTGGCGGGACTTCAGAGCCAAGCTTCAAGAGACTGATATCGCCTTTATCAGATTGCTTAATTCCAGGTAACTCAAAGTCCTCCTTCGTCTTCTTTCACACTTTGGAGATAGGCAGCTCAATGAACTGCCTCTGCTCGATTCACTACTGTTTGCGCAATTTGATCCCTCCAGTTTAATGGGCATCCATCAATTTGAGAATTCACAGCTTTTAAAGTTCTGCGTCCTTTTAATTATCGTTTTATTCGTGTGTTTCTTGGATTTATTAAGTACTGTAAAGTTGCAGAGATAATGGGTACCAACCATGAACTGTATATCTCTGTTTGGTCCAAGGGTTATTCAAAAGATTTCGTGTTATTTTGTCGTAGCACGAAAATTAAGTGATGGATGCTTTGGTGGGAATAAAGGGGATAATGGGCATGAGTTTATAGAGGAACCCTTGAAGAGAATATGGAGAAGTTCGGATTTTGATTTAGTTTTAGATGAGAAACAGAATGTTCATGAGTATGAGAACCGTCCTCGGGAGTATTTCTCGCTGAGACGGAGTTTTTTTGAGAATGCGAAGATTCATACCAGGAGGGTTCTTGAAGTTCTTCAACAAGATGGCCCTGGGTTTGATACAAAAGCGGCTTTGGATGAGTTACATATAGAGGTTTCAGGGCTTCTTGTGAGGGAAGTTCTCTTCAAAATTTTGAAACAAGTAAATTATGCGAGTAAAATGCGGTGTGCAAAGTTGGGGTATAAGTTTTTTGTGTGGTCTGGCCAGCTTGAAAATTACAGGCACACAGCAAACACATATCATTTGATGATGAAGATATTTGCAGAATGTGAGGAGTTTAAAGCAATGTGGAGGCTAGTTGATGAGATGATTGAGAAAGGGTATCCAACTACAGCACAAACGTTCAACATTTTGATACGCACTTGTGGCGAGGCAGGCTTAGCTAAGAAAGTTGTGGAAAGATTCATCAAATCGAAGACATTTAACTATAGGCCATTTAAACACTCATACAATGCAATTTTGCACTCCCTTGTTGTGGTGAAGCAGTACAAGTTGATTGAGTGGGTATATCAACAGATGTTGGCAGACGGTCACTGCACAGATATTCTAACTTACAATGTATTGATGTATGCAAAATATAGATTGGGGAAGCTGGATCAATTTCACAGACTCCTTGAAGAAATGGGCAGGAGTGGATTCGCTCCAGATTTTCATACTTACAATATTCTTCTTCATGTCCTTGGTAAGGGAGACAAGCCACTTGCCGCGCTTAATCTTTTGAACCACATGAAGGAAGTCGGTTTCAATCCAAGTGTTCTTCACTTCACAACTTTGATAGATGGACTAAGCAGGGCTGGAAATTTGGATGCCTGCAAGTATTTTTTTGATGAGATGATAAAGCATGAGTGCTTTCCTGATGTTGTTTGTTATACTGTAATGATATCGGGGTATATTGTGGCTGGGGAGCTTGAGAAGGCTCAAGGGGTGTTTGATGAGATGATCCCTAATGGGCAGCTTCCAAATGTATTTACATACAATGCTATGATTCGTGGGCTTTGTATGGCAGGAAAGTTTGAGGAAGCATGCTCCATGCTTAAGGATATGGAATCCAGAGGCTGCAATCCGAATTTCACTGTATACAGCACCCTAGTAAGTTATTTGCGAAATGCTGGGAAGCGTGCCAAAGCTCATGAAGTAATAACACATATGGTGGAGAAGGGGCAGTATACCCATCTACTTTCAAAGTTCAAGGGATATAGGAGATGTTGAAGCCATAGATTCTGGTATTCGCAGTGTTTACTTGCAATCTCATAGGAAGAAACTAATTGATCCAGCTCAGTTAACATTATGTGGCTCCTGGCTATCGCGGTTTGACCTTGTACCTACAGATAAAGAAACTCATTCCTTCAGGGACCAGGTAACATTATGCATCTCCTGGCTATCTCAGTTACACGATGTACCCACAACTTGTTTCTATTGTCTCTGAAGGACAAAAGTAAAGTATGCACAAGTTATTTTTTCATCGTATTTTTGTAGCGCGAACAGTTTGTCCATGTGTTCTTCCCCCGCGTACATAAATGTCACTATTGTTTTTATGGTCTTGTGAAGTCAAAAGAACTAAATAGAGTACCAGACTGGTTTCACTTAGTCTAATGAAACATACATTATAGGTGCACATATGCATAGCTACATGCACTTGTGTTTTTAGTCATATGAAGCAATAAATGGACAGTCCGTTATGTGTTTATGATCATACGAGTAAATTGGGTTTTGTTGCTTTCTCACACATATGATATGAGATATGACCTCTGCATTTAACCAAGAACATATTCTATTTCCTGCAATCGTCACAGTTATATAATACAAAAACTGAAATAATCACCTCTTTTTGGTCTTCTTTTTATATTTTAATTTGGTTTCAAATGGGTTTTGCTGGACAAGACGTTTCCGATTCAAACATGCGAGTCGATATTTTATGTTGAAAAAGCAAGAATCACGAGCATTTGGCCTAACAAGGACAAATGAATACAAGCCCATAACAGTTGTTGATCCCTTTTTCATTTCCCACTAATTTTCTCTCCTGAATATATAATTCAATTGCAAATGCTGCAGGCTTAGGCACAAGATTGTTCACCTGCCATCGTGGATATAACCAAATACTCAAATCAAATGCGCATCAAGAATTAATCGAGTGTTTTTTGGGTGTGACAAATTTCAACCAAACACGGCAAACACACCACAAAGGCACGGGACATGATTCAGCACACCCATCTTTCAACAATAAAAAATTATATTTTAAAAAAAACAATCAATCAAATTCATGCCAGTCACTCTCTGAAATTCTGAATGGAACGATTATTTTTGTATTTATGTAATTTCTTTTTCAAGTGAGTGCATTGCATGAGGCATGTCTAATCTTGGCTTTAGTAGCCATTGCCATCCAACAACAATATATTATTCTGTGCACTTTTTTCTTCATTTCAAAGATGACAAAATTGACGATCTTATCACCTCCTCTCCTCCTCACCACCACCAAAGCCAATTTGCTTCTCAATCTCTCAACACTTACAAATTACATCCATTTGCACTTTTTTTTTCTTAATTACTTCGCCAATACATTTAAATAAACTCATACATCGCCCATACATCATAGAAAACTTACTGCTTTCCTTCTTGTAAGTAGGAGAAAATTTACCATGAGAGATTAAAAAAAAAACTTGGCTTTTTCATTTTTTCTCCTCCTTCTTCTCCTCCTTTTTCTCTTCTTTCTTTTCCTCTTTTTTCTCCTCTTTCTTTTCTTCTTTTTTCTCTTCCTTGGCTGGGCCAACTGATATTATGTCCACTTTCCCTACCTTCTTTAACTTCTTCACCAGTGCCACTGGATCCATCATCCCTACCACTGTTAGCTTTTGGTCCTTTAGATCTGCTGCTATTGAATCAATCCCTGTTCATCAAATCACCAAAAGATTTCAAGCAAAGAAAACAGAGACAGTGGCTAAAACGATGATCTATTTCACATGCAACAGCTGGGACAAGAAGTTCTTTTTGGATATTGAAGATGTTAACAAGACTCTGGCAAGGAAAAAAGGAAAGAAAGAAAGAAATACCAAATATATCAGCGGCAGCTTCAATGGCTTTCTGCTTTGTTTTGTCATCAGTCATAGTCATGACCTTGAGAACCACCTTCTGCTACAAAGTTTACACAAAAAATTAAACAAGGGTTATAGTATATGTTCTATGGTACATAGATTTTACAACACTGTAAGCATGAAAGATTTAAACTAAATTATTGAATTGAAAAGGGCATGTTAGAATTGGAAAAGCACCTGAGCCATATTTTTCTAAGAGCAAAAATGCGAGAACACAAATAAAAAGGCGAGAGAGAGAAAGAGAGAATGAAACCACGAGAAATATTGTTGGTTTTGTGGCCTTTATAAAGGGTGAAAAATTGTGAGGTGCAACTGGGCTTGAACTTGGGTTTGGGTTTGGGTGGGTCCTGACTCTGGAATTTGATAGCAAATCGTTTTACTACCTTTGATGAATGTTTAGGAGGAGGAATAATTTTCTTTCACCTGGGTTAAGTAAATCTTTTACTTACGGAATGTTTGGTCTAAATTGCCAACAATGAATGAACATGCAAATGCCAATTGATGTGAAGAATTAGTCACGTAGGCTATTGGAGCACATTTTCCAAATTCTAAGATTTCCTCCCACGGCCGCGTGTGAGGTGTGAGGTGTCAAGAAGATGAAATGTCATATCAAATTCCTTTTTGAGGCCTTCCCTGTTTAATTAGGGTTGATATCACAGAACAATGGTTGCTGCTTTGGTTGGGGCCAGTTGCCTGGCCTGGCTGGGGCTACCTATCCTATAGGAAAGGGCCATTCCTTTTTCAAGACCCTACTCAATTCGAAAAAGATGTAACGCACAACTTTCTTCACATTTGAAAAATGCAGCATACACTAAAAAAGCACGCTACATGTGACTTTAATTGAATGTTTGATCTCTGAGGGAAAAAAAACAAGAAAGCCATAATTGAATGTACTTTCAAAGGAGATGAAGATATTTTGAAAGCAAAGGCACTGAGTGGTGATGAAATGATGATGGCAGGAGGAAGAATCCAATTTTTAATCAAACTATTTCCTACTTTTGAATCCTCATTTTTTTTCATGGAAATTTCTGGAATATGTTTTTCTAAACAATGACTTAATTAATTTAGTGAGCCAAATTCTTCCCCTCCTCGATGAAGTCCATGACTTCTTCACGAAGATATGACATCCCCATATTGAATTCTGAATTTTCCCCAAAAAAGGTGTTAAATGGTTCAATTTCCAAACCCTAAACTTTTGAGATGCGCCTAGTCAAAATAGGTGCTTTATTAAGACGGAGAGAGCAACCAATTAGTTTTCTTCCATTGACCACTTTTTGTATCGAAAAAATAAAATAAAATAGGCTACTATTTTACGAATAGAACCAAACCAATTCATATTTCCTCACAATAATTCAATCTTTCCGAAATACAAAACTTGCTCATGCTTCTTAAACTACGTTCTTGTAGAAAATGAACAACTCAAACATATCAAAGCACGAGACTAACGATACGAAGCAACAAAAAGGAGCTCAAACACAGGTACAAAATTACAAAATAACAAATTAAAGATTAACAATAAGAACCACTCAAAATTGAAACTATTAATCACATGATGGAGCAGGCATGTGGATTGTCGTCGCTAAAAAGCGAAGCGATGGCCTCATCGGATGCCACGGCGACCGAATAAACTGATGGAGTGTGGAAGAAGGTGTGTACGCCGGTGGTGGTTTCATTTTTGTACATGTCGTAATAATGGTTGACGATGTAGGTAGGGTACTTGTAAAATGAGGCAAAATGAGAGTATCCAGGAAAGGGCCATGGCTCTGCTGCTTTTCCAGCTCGCTTAATAGCCTTCACCACTTTCTTTTCCTCCAACCCATACCCTCTCACAATTATCTTCTGGATCTCCATTTCTATTTCCACCTCCTCCACACCTAGTAAAAATGAAAATTACATTTGTCAAAAGTAATTAAAAAACCCTGATTTGGGTTGAACTTTGGGCTCCTTATTCATATCTCCTGAGAGGCTGAATCAGCTTGCTTCAAGCCCAAAAGTGCTGGGTCCATTGTTGTAGGCCTAGAACTCAGTATGACTGGGCCCACCCACAACCCAAAGAAACTGGGGTTGACAAGGAAGAGCATGCGCAGCAGCATGTACTCATAATTTTCTTTCCTTAATTCCCAGTTCAATTGCGTTTTGCAAAATGCAGTGAAATGAGTCATATGCCAACTCAAAATAAGTCATTCCTTCTGTAGTTAATTTGTTCCAGAAATATATATACACACATAAATAAGGATGTATTGTAAGTACCTTTGAGTTTGAAGAGAGCTTTCTTTACCTTGGAAGCACATCCTTCACAATCAAGGTTTGGAACTCTCACCTCCACAATCTGCAAAATCTCCACATTGTCAATATATTTTCTTATTTCCACAGTGAGTGCTTTGTGTGTTTGTGCAAGAGAAGAGAGGGAAAGAGAAACTTACAGACATGCTTCTGGTAGCTTCAAGATGAATACAAATACAATGAAGGTAGCAAGAGACCTATAGAGAGGAGAGGGCTTCTGACTTATATATGTATATTGGGTTTTGAGAATAATGTTGGAGAGGTAGCATGAGAAAGAGGATTCACGCGTGGAATGGGAAGGCGTGATTTTGTGCTAGCTAGCTCAAACCCCGAAGCTAATCCTCTTGCTCCTGCTCTCTCTCTCTCTCTCTTCTGTGTCACTTTAATAACACAGACACAGTCCAGTCCACTCTGCATTTTCAATTTCTTTCCTGCCAAAACTACACGCTCCACAGGAAGGAATGATGGAGGACACTAATCAAAACCATCATTTTATCCCCCATTTGTATATGGCATTGGCACGGCATGTAGGACCTCACACACTTAATCAAAACCACCAAGTGGTCCATAATTTCCAATGCTTTGCATTTGATGGGCATTAACATAATAATAACATGCGTGTCTCCGTTTTACTTGATTGGTGTTTTTATTTTAACAAAGAGAAAGGTATTTATTTATGAATTATACACATCAAGGTCAAGTCCATGTCTCAAATAAGCTCTGAAGCTCATCAGTGGCTTTTGTTGTTCTGTCTAGCTTCAAGGTTTGTACAGAACATAATAGAACTCTGCATCAGCTTTAACACTTTGAAAAGAATTTCAGAACAGAACGGAATCTGCAGCTTTAAAGTTTTAGCTTGGAAAAAATAACATTAAACATGAACTACTTCCTAGAACAAAATGCTGGTGAATTCATGAGGTAAAGAACAATACTCAGTAGGTTATGTTGGAATTGCAAGATTTCTGATGATGATGATGACAAATATTCTCTTCTTTTGGAGCATAATGATCGCCAAACATAGCAAAGATGATAATTAGGTGCCTCACTTCCTTTTGCCAAACTTTTGGTTACAAGGGGCCCAAGTTACCAACAAGTATAAACATAACTCCCCAAAGGAATATGAATTAATGTACATATGTGGATCGATCCAAGTCCAATCAAGGGAAGCTACGCACTTTCCACTTTAAAGACTTTTCGGAAGCAACCAAAAGGCCCATAACGTCTACTGTATCAAGTCCGTTTTCATTTATGCAATAAATAAAGGATCATAAATAAATTCCAAAACCAGCAGCAAATCCATGATGAAACAAATGCTAAATGGTCACTCGCACTTTTGTTTGGATTTGAAAATTTGCAATTATCTTTTCAACTTTTCACGCTAATCAGCTTTGTCGTGTAGCCATCCTCCATCTATACTAAAAAAATTAAGAAGTTTTACATTCTCACGAGACGAGATTCCAACTTCGAAAAAGCCTCTACTTTGTAAACTCTATTGACCATTCATTGCTCCCAATTCCCCACCGCTTGGCTCACTTCTCTCATCTATCTCTGTCTTTCTTTGTCCCTTCATTTCCTTTCCGATCTAACCAACTTTTTTTTATATATCTCATATTCTTTCATCACAGTCTCCATATCCAATCCATTATTAGTCCTTACCAGATTTATTACTTACCTAAACAATCCTTTTCATCAGCTCATTTTATTAGGCAACAAGCTCTGCCCACGATCTATATCTCAGATCCTAGATTCTTAGTCTATAGCTTCACCTACTACTACTACTACTACTACTACTACTACTACTTCTTCTTCTTCTTCTTCTTCTTCCTGTATTAATTCAAATTTCAAACTGAATTAACCAAGAAAGCCTCAACCTTTTCATCAGCTTCAGAGTAAATGCGCCAACTTGTTCTGCTTCATAGAGCCTCAACCAGCCAAACTGAAGCCAACCCATTTGAGGAAACAAGCACCACTACTTACCCAGTTGATCAAATCCATGGAATTTGGTTTCTAACAGTGAAATCAGAACCATTGTTGTCTGAGAGGAAGGGGGCAAAAAGTAGTTAATACAAGAAGAGACGTAAGATGAGAGAGAACGAGAATATATATATGCAGAGGCTCCAGAGCCAGAGGTGCTACTTGTATGGTCCTTTCGCAGACACCATCTTAATGTTGAGGCCATTTATGAAGTCACCTGCCCGATTTTCTGCCGTCTTCGTCCTCCTCTTCCTCCTCTTCGGTGCTTTCGTCTGCACGCGCCTTCTCAACTCCCCTGTAAGTCTCTTGCCCACCACTCTCGTTGACAGGACACCCCTGTTTCCAATATTCCAATTTTTTTTCTTTTTAAAAGATATATGTTTTTTCTTTTCTTGTCTTTTAAGTTTTAATTATTTTTTGAAATGGTGGGGATGTCTAGAACTAGAAGGAAGGTACACGGCAAACGACGGTCGTCAAAACGGCATGAATCCATGTCGTTTCCATGAGAGTATAATAATATTATCAGGGGTAGCATTTGCCGTGACTGTCGGTTAACCTTTTTCCCGTAGGGCATCATTAATGAGCCACATGTAGTGTTGACTACGTAGCACGTAGCACACCTCTTGACGAAAAGGGAAATTCGAATTTAGATGCAAGGCTACGGATTATTTTTCCAAACCGACTGACTTAAACTAGTTTCTCTTTTTCAAATGATGATAAACGTGCAATGAAATTTATGAAAATGTACTGAATATAGAATTTCGTATCGTATATACTATTGGGCCGTTAATATTGACACTCTGTTTTCTTTTTAAAACTCTGTGCTTCGTGTCACAAACCCAGATTCTAGTGGATACTTCAGCCGAAGAACCAATAATTACCACCAGAACATCCCGAAAACACTCTCGTGAGATCCCACTAAACTGCACTGCTTACGACCTCACACGAACCTGCCCGTCAAACTACCCTACTACCACCTCCCAGCCGGAGCAAGATCCTGACCGTCCATTACCACCCACGTGTCCAGAATACTTCCGCTGGATACACGAGGACCTCAGGCCATGGGCCCATACGGGGATCACGAGAGACATGCTACAGCGAGCCAAGCGTACGGCCAATTTCAAGTTGGTGATTGTAAATGGGAAAGCTTACGTGGAGAAGTATCAGAAGTCATTTCAGACCAGAGACGTTTTTACAATGTGGGGGATTCTGCAGTTGTTACGGAGGTATCCAGGACAGGTGCCTGATTTGGAGCTCATGTTTGACTGCGTTGACTGGCCGGTGATTTCATCAAACGATTATAGTGGTCCCAATGCCACGGCCCCACCACCGTTGTTCCGCTACTGTGGGGATGACAACTCACTCGATATTGTCTTCCCTGATTGGTCCTTTTGGGGATGGTAAGATTCCTGACATTTATTTATTTTTTTGCCATTTTCGTTGAAATAATAATTCATGACATTAAATCAATAATGTTTTGATTGAACGAAGCCATGGTTGATGGTCCAAAAAATGAATTTGGCGTTGTTAAATGTGCATGTAAATTTGTGAGGTTTCTTAAGAAATTGCATGTAACTTGGCTTCTTCCTTGGGCAGGGCTGAGATCAATATAAAGCCATGGGAGGTTTTGTTAAAGGACCTAGAGGATGGCAACAAGAGGAAGAGGTGGATAGACAGAGCACCTTATGCTTATTGGAAGGGGAATCCATCTGTTGCTGCAACCAGGCAAGATCTCCTCAAATGTAATGTTTCTGACCAACAGGACTGGAACGCTCGCGTTTACGCTCAGGTACCGTACCATTACCCTTTATGCATTCCAATTGCAAGTCCAGTAAATGTAGTAAAAATGCAGAATCTGATAATGTCATTGAAAACCACTTGCAGGATTGGTTACGAGAATCAAGCGAAGGGTACAAGCAATCGGATTTGGCAAGCCAATGCGTTGATAGGTAGAAACATCTTCCCACTATCCCCAGTGTTCTTGGTTTAATCATTTTTAATGTGTCCCTAATGTCCTGACTTAGGTTATTCCATGAACAATCATTGCAGGTATAAGATCTACATAGAAGGGTCTGCTTGGTCTGTCAGTGATAAGTACATTCTTGCATGTGATTCTGTCACCTTAATTGTTAAACCCCGCTACTACGATTTCTTCACGAGAAGTTTGATGCCAGTGCACCACTACTGGCCCATAAAGGATGATGACAAGTGCAGATCCATTAAGTTTGCTGTTGATTGGGGCAACAGCCACAAGCAAAAGGTAATATGATTTGTTAGGCTTCCGTCACTAATTTTTTTATGTGTCTTAGACTTTTAGCTTAAACATTCTTTAACTTGTTATTTTCACCTAATTTTGACTGTTTTTTAAGTGTGGCGTACATGCTGTTATTTCCAGAAATCATCGTAGAGGGATCATTTTGGACAATGGACTTGAAAACTTTATCATTCCTCATATGAAGTTTTTGTCTAGAGTTCATTGGAATTTCATCTGTCCAGTCATCTGATCATCTCAGTTTGTCTTTAGCTTTTGATAACCATGCTGGCAATTTACCGTACTTTCACTACTACTTACGATTGAATTTTCACATGAAAAAGGACAGAAGCTGATCGGGAAATAATGGAGTAACTAACCTCACTTTTCTATGTTCATTTTTTTCTAATTGCATTGCTTTTTCATCGATTGCATTAGGCACAAGCCATTGGAAAGGCAGCAAGTAAATTAATTCAAGAGGAGTTGAAGATGGACTATGTCTATGACTACATGTTTCATCTTCTGAACGAATACGCAAAGCTCTTACAATTCAAGCCAACCATACCTCGAAAAGCTATTGAGCTCTGCTCAGAGGCGATGGCTTGCCAAGCGCAAGGAACGGAAAAGAAATTTATGATGGAATCTATGGTGAAGGGTCCTGCAGTCAGTAATCCATGCACTATGCCTCCTCCTTACGGTCCAGCATCTCTTTTTGCAGTGCTTAGGAGAAATGCAAATTCAATTAAACAAGTAGAAACATGGGAGAAGAAATACTGGGAGAATCAGAGTAAGCAATCGTAAATAGGGTAATGTATATGATATATCGATGAATTAGCGTTGAGCACTTACAGCTCTGAGTATTATTATTATTAGCAGAAAGATTTTCCACTAAATAAGTATATCACAATTAAATAATCACTATTGGTTGAAGTTTTTGAGTTGTGCTTTTTCCCCACTTGAAATTATAAATTTTTTCATTCTCTCATCACACATTTGATGTATCAGGGACCTATCATATCAAATCACAACATAGAAAATCAGGTTTCATGCAGAGCATTAGCACCTGAAATAATGAAGGAAATATTCTCCAAAAAAATATATAATGAAGGAAGGTGTTAAATGAATTCAAAGTTCAAACTGAATAAACATTTTATGTATCTCAAGAGCTTGAAGGAAAATGCAGGAACTTGTTCTGGGCCATAGAGCCTCAACCAGTCAAAACTGAAACAAACCCATTTCGAGAAATAAGTACCACCACTTACCCAGCCAGCTCATGAGATCCGTGGAATTTGGTTTCCAAATGTTAAATCATAAAACATGGTTGTCAGACAACTACAAGGAGGAAAATAATGGTTAAAAAAGAATACTGTTACAGAGACACACGAGGAGGAGGAGAAATACAGAGGCGATCCAGAGCCAGAGTTGCACCAGCACTACTTGTGGTACGGGTCGGGTATTGACACCCCCGCCATCTTAATCTCGCGGCCATTTTATGGAGTCAGCTGCAAGATTTTCTGCTATCTTCGTCCTCCTCTTCGTTCTCGTTGGCGCCCTTATTTGCACGCGGCTGCTTAACTACAATGTAAGTCATGCATGATCATAACATTCTCCGACACCATTGTTTCCAATAATTCTTTTATTTATTTATTTTTCCAGTATTTTATTTCAGTGGTGAGGTCTAGAACTGGGAGGTACAACGGCATTGTAAACGATGTCGTACATCCGAAAATATTATTCACATAAAAATGTGGGATATAACATGCTTGTATTACGTGTCATGTTTTTAATTGTCACTTATCATGTCATGTCACATTTTGGGTAAGTTCCTTAAATAATTATTGATCTTTTGACATTTGATTATTTGCTATATAATAATTAGTAAGTATATATAAAAAGTATTAAAATGTGCTAAAAGTAGTCATATGTATACATATATATATATATATATATATATATACATGAGTGATTGTCAACGGTGAATATTCGATGAAACCCGGGCCATTCATTAGTATTTAGTAGTTAACAGGTCATTGTTGAGATGATCTTTGTTTACGTGGTGCTCCATGTCACAGACAGAGACTCTATTTGGAGCTACTCCCAGAACATCCCAATCGTACCCTCACAAAACCGGTGAAATTCCCAAGAAGCCCCCGGGCAAATTCAAAATTCCACTCAACTGCCCTGCTTACGACCTCAGGGGAACCTGCCCCTCAAACTATCCTACTACATTCCACCCGGAGCAAAATCCTGAGCGTCCATCACCACCCACGTGTCCGGAATACTTCCGTTGGATACATGAAGACCTGAGGCCATGGGCCCGCACGGGGATCACAAGGGAAATGGTAGAGAGGGGCAATCGTACGGCCAACTTTAAGTTGGTGATCGTGAATGGCAAGGCTTACGTGGAGCAATATGAGAAGGCGTTTCAGACCAGAGACGTTTTTACGGTGTGGGGGTTCCTACAGTTGTTACGGAGGTATCCAGGACAGGTGCCTGATTTAGAGCTGATGTTTGACTGCGTTGACTGGCCAGTCATTCCATCCCACGAATATAGCGGGCCCAACGCCACGGCCCCACCACCGTTGTTTCGCTATTGTGCGGATGACAACACACTCGATATTGTCTTCCCCGATTGGTCCTTTTGGGGTTGGTAAGACTTCTTGACTTTTTTTAGTACAGTGCTATTTCTTTTTTCAGTGTTAAAAAAATTATAAGTTGGAATTCCCTATTCCCAAACAATGTTGACGGTCCAAAAATAAAGGAATATACCCATTGTTTAATGTGAGTGAGTGTGAATTTGCTAGGTTCTGTCACAAATGAAATGTAGTTTGCTCTGTTCCTTGTGTAGGGCTGAAATAAATATAAGGCCATGGGAGGTTTTGTTCGAGGAACTAAAGGAAGGCAACAAGAGGAAGACCTGGCTAGAAAGAGAACCTTATGCTTATTGGAAGGGAAATCCAGCTATTGCTGAAACCAGGCAAGACCTCATCAAATGTAATGTTTCTGAGGAACATGACTGGAACGCTCGCCTTTATGCTCAGGTTTGCAACATTACCTAGCTATCTCCTTTTGCTCCTCTACTTTACATTACTAAGTAAAATATAGGTTAGCTCATAGTAGAACAGAAAAAAAGAGAGAGAGAGAGAGAGAGAGAGAGGAGAGAGAGAGAGAGAGAGAGAGAGAGAGAGAGAGAGAGGAGAGAATCTGACATTGTTGTCGAAAAATCGATTGCAGGACTGGGATCGAGAATCGAAGGAAGGGTACAATAAATCAGATTTGGCAAGCCAATGCATTCATAGGTTCCAAGATCCCACTATTGCACAGTGTTTATTTGCCTAACTATTTACAAGTGCGCATCTTAATTATTTTCATTGCAGGTATAAGATCTACATAGAAGGGTCTGCTTGGTCTGTCAGTGAAAAATACATCCTTGCCTGTGATTCTGTTACCTTGATAGTAAAACCCCGTTACTACGATTTCTTCACAAGACGTTTGATGCCAGTAGAGCACTATTGGCCGATCAAGGAAGACGACAAGTGCAGGTCTATTAAGTTCTCTGTTGATTGGGGCAACACTCACAGGCGAAAGGTAACATAACTCCTTTAAGGCTTTTTCAATGTTCATATTTCTTTTTGCATCATTGCTTTTTCATTGGTTTCTTCAGGCACAAGCAATTGGAAAGGCATCAAGTAATTTAATTCAAGAGGAGCTGAAGATGGACTATGTGTATGACTACATGTTTCATCTTTTGAATGAGTATGCAAAGCTCTTACAATTCAAGCCCACCGTACCTAAAAAAGCCGTTGAGCTCTGCTCGGAGGCAATGGCTTGCCAAGCAGAAGGAACTGAGAAGAAGTTTATGCTGCAGTCTCTGGTGAAGGGCCCTGCAGTCAGTGAGCCATGCACAATGCCTCCGCCTTATGATCCTTCATCTCTTTTTGCAGTGCTTAGGAGAAAAGCAAATTCCATTAAACAAGTTGAAACATGGGAGAGGAATTACTGGGAGAGTCAGAGTAAGAAATCATAGGGAGGGTTTTTTTAGTTTATGTATACAAGTTAATTAGTTTTGAGTACTTACAGCTCAACTAAGTTTTTATGTATTATTCATTCCTTTCTGGAAATTATTAGCAGAAAGATTTCCCACTAAGAAAATCTATCAGTATTTTCTGTTTTTTTTTCTCTTTCTTTCTATTGATCTTGATTTCAGTTGTGCTTTGTGACCACTTTGAAATTATTATATGGATCATAATTTTAATGGTGCTTCAAATCAATACTCAATTATTCTGTATTTGAGGTGGCTTCAAGAATTAAACTGTTGACTTGGATATTTCTGAAGTTGAAAACAGAGATGATATATCTCTTGTATTGACTAAATTGAAGAAAATGTTGTAAAAAGTTTGAAATTGATAAAAGAATTCATAATATTACATTAAACTACATGGTTGGTATGCAACCCCATACAACAGAGAAGAAAAGAAGAAGAAGAAGAAGATGGGATTTTGAACAGAAAAATGTTAAATGTAAATGTTTAGGGGAGGTGGATGAGTTTGGTTGCTTAAAGAGCTCGGCTTTTTATAATGTCAAGGCTGATTTCGCTAGGATCAGTTGCCTGCAACTCAACTTGAGTGCCATCCAATTCCCTCTTGAATCTGTCTTTGGAGCTTGCATACACCATCTTCATTCTCACCTTTGATGTATCAGGGGACCTATCAAAGTTTCATGCATAATATTAGCACCTAAGACAATGAGCATTAAATTAAATAACCGAAGTTTTAAACTAATTATTTAATTACCATGCAATGAAGAAAATCTTGCTTTTCTGGCAGTTCTCGACAGTGGTGAAATCAAAATCGAAGACAGCATAGCGGCACTCATCGGCAGGCAGGGATGCCGCAAAGTCGTCATATGTTTCTTCTTTGGTACCAACCTTCTCTACCACCACTTGTTGAATCTCAATCTTGAATATGATGTATCGATGGTTTCTCTTCGCTTTTAGCTCCAAGAACTTGAGTTTGCATTCATCACTCACAGCCATGCCAGACGCCGCCTGCCCCAACCCAACATTCATTTTAGTTTTTAAGCAACAACTTACAATAATATAACAAGGCAGCAACAACATTCTTACCTAGCCAAAGAAAAGCAGAATTTCCACGAAATTATACAAGTATAGAACAAGAAAAATTATCCTTTTTTTTTCTGTGCAATTTTCAAACGATTTGCCATGCAAGGTAGGGTACTGATCAAAAAACCATTCAGATCATGCCCCAAGAAAAGAAGAGAAGAGAAAAACAGAAGTTTAAATCAATATGTGTAATCAAAATTGTTACATGCTTGCATCTGAACCATTCTCATTCATTAGTTATAAGTGTTTCAAATTTTCTGCTCAGCTTCACAGAAACATTGGAGATGAGAATTACATGAGAGAGAGAGAGAGAGAGAGAGAGAGAGAGAGAGAGAGAGAGATACCATTTTGTTGTCCAAAAGAGAGGGAATGTGTAGTGCGAAATGAAGAAGAAGAAGAAAGAGGAAAAGAAAGAGAGAGATGCAGGGTATACCAGAGGGATAGATCCTTATTTTTGGGGAGCAATGAGAAGGAGCTCAGAAAATTGCGGGGAATAAGAGAATTTTAAGGGACAAAACAAAGGTTGAGAATTCTCTGAAGCTTCTACGGCTTATCATATACAAAACTAATCATCTCCTTACGTTTTATATTAATGTAAGATTGCTTGCATGCACGACGACAATATACTGTTTTGGTTTTTTACCTTGTTTAAAATGATGACAGAGAATTGGAGGATGAGTTGATTGAGATAAAATGTAAAGAGTAAAAATAGAAAACCCATTTTAAGTTTAAAGGCCATCTTGATATAATGATATTATGAGTGTACACTTGGTTTTTAGCATACAATACAAATGAAACTCGAAACAAATTATGCTAATATATGTTATGAAGTCAGGGTTATACATTTAGAACTACGAAAATAATTTCTGAAGACTACTGAGAATATTTTGGACTATGGCAAAATCGTGGATGGTGCCAAAGCAACGCAGCTGCGCCGTGCCATACAAAGGAAAGACTGAAAATTCACATGAATTTCTTCATTCGTGAGCCATCATTATCCAACAAAATTCACTACTTTGGGTCCCTGTTTCTTCTTTGATTTTACAGGACTTTCTTGCGCATGAGAAGCAGAACCAACTATATCAACTGACTCGTCTGTTGCACCACCACGTTTCTTATCCACGAAACTGAAATCATCATCAAGATCGTCTCCACTCACAAGTTTGGTAACCTTTCCTCTTGGCCTTTGATTTTCATTCCCTGAAAAAGAAAGGGGCACTAAATTAAGTACAATGCCAATTAAATCAACTGATGCAAGCACACTTAACAATATATTTGAAATGGAGGAAAGAGAATACTTCATAATATATCTGAAAACACCACGGCTTTCATACTTGAAATTATGAGAAGGTGGGGGTAGGAACTGAACTCAGTTTTGTGAAAGTAGCCTAATTCCTACTAAAGGCTATCTAAAACCAGCCCTTGAATTAAAACAGCCAACTTCAAAAACAAGATTGATACCATCTAATTTGACAGCAGAATTCAGTTCATCTTCAGAAACATGATAAAGGTCATTGTAGTATTCTGCTAAGAGAATGAAATCAGGGTTGCAATGGAAAGGTGGTTATTTCTTTCAACGCCTCTGGGATTATAATCAGAACACTTAAAACATATACCTCAATTTGAGCAAGCATGTCAAAGTAATCTACTACTAATTTCTTGGTGAGAAAAGTCTAAACAAAGTAAATTGAAGCTCCAAACAAATTCAGGAGTTCCAAGGGAAAAACTTACATGAGTGAAAAGCTCCGCCAACAGCCATTGAATCTCTGTTGCCTTTGTTGGGACAATCTCTAGCCAAATGTGTTACGCCTCCACAAATCTTACAACTACCACCCTAATAAATGAAATTCACAATGGGAAGTTTCAGAGTTTATTAATGGAGGATATTAGCTAGGATAGCTCAAGCATGAATGAATAACATCTATATCCTGAAAACTTTGATTTCTCTGTTAAGAATATAGGCAGTCATGTTGTGGAAAATTCAAAACCACAGATGAAAACTAATTCACCTTTGGATAAATCCCATGAGTATTTTTAGAGCAGTCCTTGCTTAAGTGACCGGTCTCGTTACAGATGAAGCACTTGGCAAATTTAGTTCCTCCTGCATTACCAGATAAACAAAATGAATAACAATGCAATGACATAACTATAGAGTAAAAAAGATATCATCACCAGATTGACTCATAAGGCTATAGACCTCTGCATTGTTCATGTAAACTTCAAATGCATGTGTGTTACTCCAGTACACAAACACACTCAAGCATAGCCAATTAAAAAGTTTCTGCACGCATCATCCGAATATTAAACAAACTTGATGTAACTTAAAGGATGAGAAAGATTACCTTCTTGAAGAGGTAGGGAGCAGGTAGATAGTGAATGCCCAGTTTCCCCACAATTATAACATAACTTCAAAGCCACGGTGTCATCATTCTTGTTCAGGCAATCCTTGATGCTATGCCCACGTTGTCGACAATACAAACATATCTACAAGCATCAAATAATCGCAAAACACATGAACATCGGTCGGATCCAGACCACACCATGAATAACCAATTTCAAATAAAAATTCTATTCTATTAACTTTTGCAAAGGACCAAACAAAGACCAAATTTGATTCAAGCTCTCACCAGATTTTCCATTACTAATAGCTAATAAATAAAAAAACTTACGAAGACATGTGCATTTGTAATCCATTTTTTTTCAGGCATTAACTTCTGAAATATTCAGAAGTCATAATGTACATGATTGGTTCACCCATTTTCGTACAGAACCCACATAAAATTCGACAACATAATCAAAGTTCCATCATTTAAAAGATAAAGAAACTCAAACTAAATCAGAATCAGTACTACCCAACAAAAAACAAAACAAAGTTCACACCTTGTGCTTGTCCCACCCAGCTCGCTCAGGGCAAAGCTTGGCGATATGGTTGGTGGCTTTACAAATGAAACAGCTCTCCCCAGGCCTCATACCAGGGACTCTAAGTGGGTGTTTGCTATGAGAAGTTTTGGTGGGTTTGTCTGGACCATTGGGTGCTTTCTTGCGCTTGAACGTGCTCTTCTTTCCCTTCTTCTTGCTTGGGTCCTTAGGCGGCGTCGGCTGTTTAACCAGTTCAGGGTTTTCTGCTCTGAATCTCTTGCGAGCATCTCTCTGTCTTTTGCTCACCATGTTGTCTGAGAAGCCGAAAACGAGAGCTTGGGAGTTTCGGAGGGGTTTGGGGGCACACAACAAAGGGTTCAACAAGAAGGATAATCCCCTGCAGTCAGTACGGTTGTATGTTTCTTACGTGTCAAGTCATGATTCGGTTAACTGAAAAGTCAAGGGAATTCCTTAGATTGAGTAATTGACCCTGCCGGTGGGCTCAGGGGCCTCTCGGGTGCTCATGTTGGCCCAGTTAACCTGACCCAAGTCAGGTGTTGAATGATCCCTAAATAGCGGCGAGACTATAATGTGGAGATTTTGTGCGGAGGTTATTTACGGGAGCTACTCACTGGCCCGTTAAATTGATCAAATGGCTAACATTAGTATCCTCTTTATGCTACAACCGGGTTAAAATTACCCATTACAAAAACTACAACCCATAACTTCTCTCTCATCTCTTCCCTTTTGTAAGGTCAACACTGATGGTTGTATAAGTAGAAATACTGGAATTATTGGTGCTGGTGCTTGGCTTAAGGGATTTTATGTGAAAACCCAACAGTCACCACCCATCCCCCCTCCTCTTCTTCCAGAGAAAACCCAACAGCCACAACCATCGCACTCAAACCCAACCCACCACAACCTACTCCGTATCCAAATTTTGGAGAGAGAGAGAGAGAGAGAGAGAGAGATTTCATGTTTTTCCTTGGTTTAATGTCATAGTTAGCATTTAGATTTTGATTTGTTGGTTCTCTGTTTCTGTGTTCATAAAAATTTTGTGCAGTGGGGCTCTATTTGTTATAGATCTCTGGTTGCTCTGTCAAATTTTGTATAAAAGCTGGGTTCTTGAGAACATTCTGTGGTATATATATACATAGAGCTTCCATTGAGGGATCCCTCAAAGAAGCTTATTTAAGGTACACCATTTGTAGGGCCCACTCCGGATTGTATTTCACTAATCCAAACTGTTTATTTTGTAGATACTCATTCCAAGATCATCTCTACAAAAAATCACTTGAATCTGATATCATTTGATCACTCAATTGAGTTATTGAAATTTTAGTACTTTCTTGAAGCACCGTGTTCATTGATTTTGAAGGGCACAATTGGATGTCGAAACAGTTTTCGATTTGTCTAATTTTTTGCAAGGATGATCTATGAATATAGACTTAAAAAATAGATGGTTTGGATCGTTGAAAATAATCGTAGGGTACCCTAAAGTGTGTCCCTCAAATAATTTTATTTGAGGGATCTTTTAATAGAAGATGACTGTATATATATATATATATATATATGGAGAGAGAGAGAGAGAGAGAGAGAGAGAGAGAGAGAGAGAGAGAGAGAGAGAGAAAGAGAATGGTTGGGTTGGGGATCGATGGGGTGGGTTTGCTGGTTTCTTTTTTCGGTTGGCTAGCTTTGGGGCTGGAAAAAGGGAGAGAGAGCCGCACGACTATATTATTTATTTAAAAGAATTCGAAAAAATGACACAAGTATAGCCGCGCAGCTATACTAATTATTTTTTATAAAAAAAAACCCTAGTATTACCGCGCGGCTATATTAATAATTAAAAAAAACAAAAAAGAGATCCTGGTATGGCCGCGCGGCAATGCTATTTATTTATTTATTTATTTTTTTTAAAAAGACCCAAGTATAGCCGCATGGCTATACTATTTATTTAAAAAAATGAAAAGCATACCCAGGTATAGCCGCGCGGCTATACGGTTTATTAAAATTGAAAAAAGACCCAAGTATAGCCGCTCAGCTATACGGATGGAAAAAATGAATGTAACGCTCATGTTCTTCACTACCCAGATGTAGTGCTCCATTGCTCTCATTGTACGCAACAATGCGTACAGGTCCAATTCTAAAATCATTGCTAGCACAAGACCCAACTTGCATCTCATTATATTCACCAATTTTTCTATTATTGACTGGCCAGAACTTGTTGAAACTAGGCCAACAAGTCCATGCCCAGATGGCTCTGCGTGGGCTCCAACCTAATGCGTTCCTTGGGGCCAAGATGGTTGCAATGTATGCAAGCTGAGACGATACATTGCAAGCAAAGATCTATAACAAATAGAGCCCCATTGCACAAAATTTTTAAACCAAGAAAAACATGAAATCTCTCTCTCTCTCTCTCTCTCTCTCTCTCTCTCTCTCTCTCTCTCTCTCTCTAAAATTTGGATATGGAGTAGGTTGTGGTGGGTTGGGTTTGAGTTGTGACTGTTGGGTTTTCATAGAAAATCCCTTATGCCAAGCACCAGCTACATAACAAACCACCAGCACCAATAATTCCAGTATTTCTACTCTGACAACCATCAGTGTTGACCTTGCAAAATGGGAGAGATGAGAGAGAAGTTTTTTTTTGGGTTCTGAATGAGAGAGAAGTTCCGGTTGTAGTTTTTGTGATGGGTAATTTTAACCCGGTTGTAACAAAACTACAATTTTAAAACTGAATTGTTCATTTTAATTAGACGGTTGTTTACGTCCTGCAAATAAGCCTCACATATTGACCTCCCCATTCTAGGAGGTACCCCTAAATAGGCCTCCATTTTCAATTTCAACACATTTTGAGTTGGCCTTTAGGCCTGATAGGACTTAGGCTATGTCATAGGCATGAAGATCTATCCTTATTAAAAATATATATATATATATAAATTCGATTATTTCATCGTTAAACTCTAATTAACCGCCAACTAATCTACCGGATTACCACCCCATCATATTATCTATGCATTAATGACACTACTTAAGCGTCTCATAAGTACTATCCCATGATATACAAGTTTTTCTCTTCAATTGGTTACATTGTTCAGCGCACATCTCAAATTACGAGCTTTGAACTCTTCTAGTCGGTTAAAGATATGCTTTGATAAAAAATAAAAAAAAACTACTCCAATATCAACCTTCTAGCAACTTCATAGAATTTCATATTTGCAACCACATATGAGATTCCAATCTTGGTCAATACTTTAGTGTATTTACACAAATTTCATTTCACTAAAAATTTCCTCTTAATTTTGCCAATAAATTTGCTTGGTTGTCTCCTTTACTCGATTTCAATCCATACAAATAAGTGTATCATGAACTTCGAAGGTGTGGTGCCAAGAACCTTAGCCACCCCCGCCGTTGGTGGCACGTGGAGCCCTCCACCACCAATGGGGCAATGGCATTGCTCAAATCAACACGATGGGTTTGCTTGGAATGGCCGCAAACTAAAGCGTAAGCACTGAACACATGTCAGAGCGTTTAGACTCTTTGCCACTGCCCTCTTGCTAAAAGCCGATGATCCCCTCTCTCAAAATATTATTATTCCTTTGTTGGAGGGTAGGGTTGGCATATCTTAGTTGCTTACCTATAAAAATGATGGGTTTCTTAGCTTTGTGACCAAGGGTAGAGTGATGGCTACACTTGATCTCAATTCATGTCATTTTTGTAATGATGATGATGATGATGATAATTACAATGCTTCGCTCTCTTTTGGGTTTGTTCATCTAGTTATATGGGCCCACTTCTCTAATGTTATAGATTGAGTGAAAGCTAAGGTTGGTATATATATATATATATATCTCATGCTTTATTTTAGTCTCCAAATATATAAGAACCTTGAAATGTGACAACTAAACTTCTATTCCATAATTCTATCATACAAATATTTTTTATATATAAATTTTTCACCTTCCAAACATCCTCGAGTGATAATTTAAACTATCAAGATAGAGATTCGAACTTGATTACAAAAGAATGAGCTCACTATTCTGGCCAATTATCTGACCCACGGGTGCTGCTTTTGAATCATTTTAGCTGATAAAATCAAGCACATAAATGCATCGGAAAATGGGAAAAGGGGGAAACACACAAACTACAAATATATAGGAAAACCCTCACCAATTTTTTTAGTTAAACAAATTACCTACTAAATTCGTTTTAAGTGCTTATTGTCAACAAATATTTGTTTGATTTGATGTAGCAAAATAAAAAGTGTGTGAAGTACTACTCACATGACCCTATCCAGTCACGTGTTACCGGTGTGAACCTCATGTGCGGTCTGCAGACTATCACTGCCTCATCCAAACCATCCAATATACGTTACCCCACTGTGCCGCTGGCGCGTAACCGTCAGCCACTTCACAACGCGTGAAATCCAGTCCTCCAATCGTTTCCCAAACGTTAAACACCACATCCACTGCAACCCCACCAAGCCATCCGGTACTCCCTCACATTGACACGTCAATCCAAATTGACTTCCACGCAGCCAACCCGATCGACGTCTCATATTCCCTCCGGTCCCTGCAATTTACATACCACATCAGCCCCTGCTGACACTCAAAATTACAGGTTCGCTCTTCAAAATTTAAATTCCCACTCAAAACAAACGGCGCCGTCAAGTTCATCCGTTATCTCTCCCGCTATAAAACACCCCACGTCACTCCCTCACTCTCCAAAACCCTTCATCTTCTTCCCAATCATTTCTCTCTCCTCGAACCTTCTTCTCCTCAGTCTAAATTCCTCTCTCTCGTCAAACACAGTCACTCTCTTTCAAACGTGCTTCAAAATGCGTGAGATTCTCCACATCCAGGGAGGCCAATGCGGCAACCAGATCGGCGCCAAGTTCTGGGAGGTCGTCTGCGCCGAGCACGGCATCGACTCCACCGGTCGTTACCAAGGCGACAACGAGCTCCAGCTCGAGCGCGTCAATGTCTACTACAATGAAGCCAGTTGCGGGAGGTTCGTCCCACGCGCCGTCCTCATGGATCTGGAGCCAGGCACCATGGACAGCGTCAGATCTGGACCGTACGGCCAGATATTCCGGCCCGATAACTTCGTGTTCGGGCAGTCCGGTGCCGGCAACAACTGGGCTAAGGGTCATTACACCGAAGGCGCCGAGTTGATTGACTCTGTTCTCGATGTCGTTCGGAAGGAGGCTGAGAACTGCGACTGCTTGCAAGGTATTCTTCGAGTTCGATTTTAGTTGCTAGATCAGTAGATCCATGTCCATTTTCTGAGGTTTGGAGTGTTTGGATACAAGATATAATTATTATCGTAGAATTTTGGTTATGAATCCAAATTGACTCTGGTTGGATACACTTTATATGGTTTCGAGTGTGCTAATTGTTACCTAATGTACTTGTTTGGCAACAGGTTTTCAGGTTTGCCACTCTCTCGGAGGAGGTACTGGTTCTGGAATGGGAACGCTTCTCATTTCCAAGATACGAGAGGAATACCCGGACCGAATGATGCTCACCTTCTCTGTGTTTCCATCGCCAAAGGTGTCAGACACCGTCGTTGAGCCGTACAATGCAACTCTCTCGGTTCACCAGCTTGTTGAAAACGCAGATGAGTGTATGGTTTTGGACAACGAGGCTCTCTATGACATTTGCTTCCGAACACTCAAGCTCACCACTCCCAGCTGTGAGTTCCTTCTTCTTTGGGTTCTCTGCCCTGTTGAATTGTAAATATGGATTTCATAGTTCAATTTAGAAAAATCTATGTTATTCTCTTATCGGTTCAGCATATATCTATTGAAATTTTGACTTGGGGAGTGAATTGTTTATATTATCCCTGTAGTTTGTAGCGAAAGAGCAGATGATTCAAATTCTATATACGATTTCACCATATCAGTTATGCGCCTTGGGCTTATAATTATTGTGTGCTTTTCTGCATTAACTATTGTTGTCCTTGGTTTTTGGCTACAATTATAGAAATTATACAATTGGTCTATCCGTTCTTAGTTATACATGCAGACACTTGTAGCCTTGTGCGTAGTGGTAGGAAACTATTTGTTTGGCACAATTGCAATTTTAGTTTCACCTGTGCACACTAGCTTCTTAGGGATTTCACTATTTGTTGCTCCATTTTTCCTTTAAAAATTGTATTTGAGATTGTGTACTTGAGTATATGCAAATGGTTCTCTTGTTTGAATTGCAACTCATCAAACTATGCACTACAAGGATAATATTGTAGTCCTTATTACAAATTTGCTGACAATATGAAACATGACATAATCTGAACAATGGTTTCTACTTGATTGATTCAGTTGGGGACCTCAATCACCTGATTTCTGCTACCATGAGTGGTGTAACTTGTTGCCTTCGTTTCCCTGGTCAACTCAACTCGGATCTCCGTAAGCTTGCTGTCAATCTGATTCCATTCCCGCGGTTGCACTTCTTCATGGTTGGGTTTGCTCCACTTACATCCCGTGGATCCCAGCAGTACAGGGCCCTTACTGTTCCAGAGCTCACTCAACAGATGTGGGATGCAAAGAACATGATGTGTGCTGCTGATCCGCGTCATGGACGGTATTTGACTGCTTCAGCTATGTTCCGTGGCAAGATGAGCACCAAGGAAGTCGACGAACAGATGATCAATGTGCAGAATAAGAACTCATCCTACTTTGTTGAGTGGATCCCAAACAATGTCAAGTCTACTGTTTGTGATATCCCACCTACTGGTCTGAAAATGGCTTCGACCTTCATCGGCAACTCCACTTCCATCCAGGAAATGTTCAGGAGGGTGAGTGAGCAGTTCACTGCCATGTTCCGCAGAAAGGCTTTCTTGCATTGGTACACAGGAGAGGGAATGGACGAGATGGAGTTCACCGAGGCGGAGAGCAACATGAACGATCTGGTTTCCGAGTACCAGCAGTACCAAGACGCTACAGCAGATGAGGAAGGGTATGACTATGAAGATGAAGAGGAAGTTCAGGAGGAGGCTTGATCTTGAATTCTCGGTCTGTTCTCCTTTTGCTGCAGTTATGTTGTGGATTTATTAATCTGGTTTTGTTCGTTAGTAGCTTATTTGGGGTTTGGATTGCTGTATTCTGGTCAATTCCTTGGCCATTACTGCATGTTTGGTTTTAATTTTTTTTGTTTTTTGGTTCTCCTTAGTTTTTAGATGGTATTAGTGGTCTGAAAATATGTGAAATGACTAAAAAATGTTAATTGATGTCTATGATACATGAGGATGGTGTTAAGTAAAGATTGCGATGATTGAATGCCTTTTGTTTGATGGTGGATGGATTATATATACATGGCCTCTGGTTTCTGGGTGTTGATCTTTGTTTTTACTTCACCTTTGCATTTAAAGTCGAAAAGAAATAGATTGAATTGAAGCCATGTGAAAATCTGGCAATGAATCAATTTCTTTCTGGTATTGTTTGCATGTGCCCACTGTCGCAAGCAGGTGCTGCCACTCGAAAGGCTGCAAGATTCATGTGTTGTGGTCCATATTTAATTATTGCTTCTCTATTCTCTCTTGTACAATATTTGCGCAATAAATCTGTCAGTGGAATAAAGCCGTGCATTATATTTAGGCTTAATTATGTACATGCCCCCTGTGTTTTCCAACTTATCTCAGATTACCACCTGTGGTGAAAAACGTCTCAAAGTACCCCCCAACGTGCAAAAAACTGTCTCACGTTACCCTTTCCGTCAGTTTTTTGAAGTTCCGTTACAAACGTTACTGTTCATCTCCCCCAAAATTCCAGAACAGCAGCTCCTCCCATTTGTTACTGTTCATCGCACCAGTTTTTGGGTTGCCATCGCCTCCTCCGACCACCCCAAGCGACGACATGGATATCAAAAGAACCAGCACGTTGTCCTCTACCACCCTCACATCTCAGCCGCTGCCAACCGTCGTCTGGATCACCAAAAAAAGCAAGAAATTGACCGTTTTTACCCAAAATCTCCATTGCTCGTTCGGGCGATTCCGAGCACCATTTTCTTCCATCCAGGTATGATTTTTCAACCTCTCGAGTTGTTCTTGCTGCTAGTTGTGTTGGTTAGGAGAAATTTCTGAGTTTTGGAGGGTAAATAAGCGATGAACAGTAACAAAGGGGAGGGGCTACTGTTCTGGAATTTTGGGGGAGATGAACAGTAACATTCGTAACGGAACTTCAAAAAAACTGACGAAAAGGGTAACGTGAGACAGTTTTTTGCACGTTGGGGGGTACTTTGAGACGTTTTCCACCACATGTGGTAATCTGAGATAAGTTGGAAAGCACAGGGGGCATGTATATAATTAAGCCTTATATTTATATTTTTCATAATAAATTCAAGGAGGTGGAAAATAGAAGTTTTGCTCAATTAAAATTGAAACCACCAAACAACTAATGCCTAAAAATAAATACATACGTCAGTTCAATCTCACAAGCCCAACCAAGCCCAATCCAAAGCCCAACCTTCAAATGAATGTGGTGCCAATGTACCACTTAGGGCTCGTTTGGGAGTACTTCTACTTGAAGCGCTTATGCTAGTAGCGCTTATATCAGTAGTGCTTATGACATAAGCGCTTCTACAAAGAAGTAGTTTGTCGTTTGGATATCACATTTAAAAGTGTTTTTACACTATATAAAAGCGATTTTGATATTTTGTTGAGTGTTTGGCTGACACAGTAAAAACGCTTTTAAAATCACTTTAAAAAATGTAAAGAATCTCAAAATATTATAATAAATATAGGAAATATATAAAAAAGAGGAAAAAAAAGAAAGAAAGGAATGGTATTTTGGCATTTTAAAAATTAAATATTGGTATTTTCGGCATTTTAAAAGTTTCATTAAAGAGAGCCAAGTGTTTCCCTTGTTTTTATCCTGCCAGTGCTTTTAAGAAGAAGCACCTCTCAAGTGCTTCTTCCAAAACCACTCCAAGTGCTTTTGGATCTCACCCAAAGCGCTTTTGCAATTTTTGCCAAACACCATTTTTTTAAGACAGAAGCACTTTCACCCATTTAGAAGTGCTTTTCGCTGATCCAAAAGCACTCCCAAACGAGCCCTTAAGTTAGTTTAGAAATTAGATTAGATCTATGCAAAGAACCAAATAGTGTAGTGGTTTCGAGCAATTGCTCTTTTAAGAAAGGTTCTTAGTTCGAGTCCTAACATTCGTATAATCTGTGTGAATTTAGTTAATAGGAACTTTCCTCGAAAAAAAGAAAAAGAAAAAAAGAATAGACCCATGACCTAGAATAACAGTTCTATGCCCCCACTTGCACAGCTAAACACACACTTATAATTGAACTTAATCCACAATCCAATTACCAAATTTTAGTTAACCTTTTAGTTTTTGGCACCATGCTACATATTAAGGTATGGTCACTTGTTGGCCAAAACATTAATGATGGGTTAACTTTCTTCTCAACTCTTGATGGAGAAAGGAGAAAGAGTATTCTACTCCTCAACTTTGGCCTTCTTTTTCTAAGTATAGGCTTATATACTTCATTTTTTGAGATTGGTTTGACTAAACTCGATACAATAATGTTGCGAAACGCATATACAGTATACTGTTCAAATTTGCTTCACAAGTTTTTTATTTATTTAATTTTTAATTTTTTAAATTAATTTTTAATTTTTTATAATAAAAAGGAAAAAAAAATCCTCCAACAATCACGCAAAATCCAACAAGCTCAACTTTTATGAGCGGAAAAAAGATATAGGATTTAAAATCCATTATTAAAGCATACAAAGCTAGATAACTATTTCTAGAACACAATTACCTTAATTGTAGCACACAATAAATCTACGTAGTGTTTCTGAGTTTACAATATACTTATAGTATAAATTTAAATAAAACACATTGATATTTTGGTGTAACATGAAAGCCTGGGAGACTGGAAAACTCAGCCCCATGAACCCTCATGTATGGAATGATAGTGCACTTAGTTATAGTAAGGAGGCTGTGCTGGAGCAACCTCTGTTGGTGTGGATGCTACCAAATTGGCTGAGTTAATTGGTCCGGGTGCTACCAACTTTGCAGGGTGGATTGGTCCTGGTGCAACAAATCCAGAGCTACGGATCTCTGACATCTGTCGACGAGCATTTGCTCCTTGTGCTTCACACAATTTTGGTAGAAATACCCCTACAAGCAAAACACCATATAATTAATCAACGTTAAATACTATATAAATAAATGTGTAGTTTCAGTGTGACAATATAAATATAAATATGTACCTTCACCAGCGGCAAGATTGAAGTAAAGGTCAACAATGTTGGGGCAGGTGTTGTAGCACTGAGGGGAGCAAAGCTTTTGGGTGAAGCGAGACTCCAGGAGAGAGTCTGAGCAGATGCCATAGGATTTGCGGTCGAGCCCACAAGACTTGATGCACTGCTCACTCTCCACCCAGTCCTTCAATTTATCTGCCTCAATCTCTGATGTGCGGCACGTGTATGCTTCCTCTCCGCTCCTCCGCACATGCTTTTCAAGCACACAGCGTTTGCTGGACGACGACACAGCGAATGCGCATGTGTCTTGGTCTAGATCCTCGCATGAAATTGCTCCTGCATGCAAATGAAACTCATTAGAAAATTGGTTGGTAATGAAATAAGAAAGTTGGTAATTAATTAAGTAACCATAAACCAAAACAAACCTAGGGTGGCTTGCACACAGACGGCAAGGGCAAGAGCCAGCACAGCAAGGGTCTTCAAGCTCATGTTAGAAGCCATGTATTTGCAATGAAAAAAGATAGAGGATGTGGCTAATTGAAGGAAGCTAGGAGGACGAGGAGGAGGAACGTGTTCGTTTTGTTGTGGAGATGCATTGGTGGGGAGGGCTATTTTATAGTCGTTTGACGGAGGACTGTAGAATATAGAAATTGTGAAAGGTGGATTTAATTATGATTCTGAAGAAGAGATGGTGGACTTTGATTGGAAAAAAATGGGCACGAAGCCTAGTTTAGATCCTAGTGAACAGACAGGACCCCACGAAGGAGGGCCGTGTTCGAGAAATTTCTCTATCAATGACCTAATTGCAAATTTAACATACAAGTCAACTAAAGTGGCAGCTTGTGCCCGCTATCAATGGCGTAGATGCATGGTTGTGTTGTGTATATATGCGTAGTACATATACCAAGTAATATACCAGATGCCACATCCACGTCATATATATACCTACATGCAGGGTCGGTCTTTATTTTGAGAGCCCGGTGCGAACCTCAAATTGGGGTCTCACATAAGCTAACACAAACTTACACAATTACGTAATGTCATACAATAAATGTTTTTTTTCTTCTTAAAGTGACCAAAGTACCCTTACTCCCAAGGGCAAAATTGAAATTTCACAAAAGAATTAAATTGAATTAAATCAATTAAATTGGATCAGGGATGTTACATTTTTTGAATAATTACCATGATTGTGATGATGAGTCCTTGTTGTAATAGATCATATTCAGATATTAAATATTTTTTAATACCTAATTTATTTTGTTTCAATATTCCTAGTACATCATTAATTGGATGCAATTTTTTTGGTTGAGTTAGTTGGATGCATTATTTTTGCAAAATTAAATATCTAAACATATATAAAAACAATCGTGTACCACTTTACTAACCACATTTTTAATTGAGGTGAGCCCTATATATGGAAGTCTTATCTCAATGGGAACTTGAAACAAAAAATCTACATAAGTAATTGAAGAGCTAGTGTCAAGTCAATGATGGGGACGTACGCATGTGTAACATCCCACATTGACCAACGGAGAGGGAGTGATGCTCACCTCCATCTACCACGAGGCCTTTTGGGAGCTCACTGACATCGGAGTCATGGGAACTCCGAAGTTAAGCGAGTTAGGGGCTAGAGCAATCCCAGGATGGGTGACCCATTGGGAAGTTGCTCGTGAGCTCCCAGAAACAAAACCGTGAGGGAAAAGAGGGGGCCCAAAGCGGACAATATCGTGCTACGGCGGAGCCGATCCCGGGATGTGACAATTTGGTATCAGAGACACTCTGCCGTGTGGTGCGAGTGTGCCGACGAGGACGTCGGGACCCTAAGGGGGATGGATTGTAACATCCCACATCAACCAACGGAGATAGGGTGATGTGCCTTATATGTACATGCCCGCATCCATCTAGCACGATGCCTTTTGGGAGCTCACTAGCTTCGGAGTCATGGGAACTCCGAAGTTAAGCGAGTTGGGGGCTAGAGCAATCCCAGGATGGGTGACCCACTGGGAAGTTGCTCGTGAGCTCCCAGAAACAAAACTGTGAGGGCAGAGAGGGGGGCCCAAAGTGGACAATATCGTGCTACGGCGGAGTTGATCCCGGGATGTGACAATTTCGTATCAGAGCCATTCTGCTATGTGGTGCGAGTGTGCCGACGAAGACGTCGGGCCCCTAAGGGGGGTGGATTGTAACATCCCACATCGACCAACGGAGAGGGAGTGATGTGCCTTATATGTGCATGCCCACCTCCATCTAGCATGAGGCCTTTTGGGAGCTCACTGGCTTCGGAGTCATGGGAACTCCGAAGTTAAGCGAGTTGGGGGCTAGAACAATCCCAGGATGGGTGACCCACTAGGAAGTTGCTTATGAGCTCCTAGAAACAAAACCGTGAGGGTAGAGAGGGAAACCCAAAGCGGACAATATTGTGCTACGACGGAGCCAAGGATGTGACAATTTGGTATCAAAGCCACTCTGCCGTGTGGTGCGAGTGTGCCGATGAGTAAGTTAGGCTCCTAAGGGGGGTGGATTGTAATATCCCAAATCGACCAACGGAGATGAGGTGATGTGCCTTATATGTACATGCCCGCCTCCATCTTGCACGAGGCCTTTTGGGAGCTCACTGGCTTCGGAAGGAACTCCGAAGTTAAGCGAGTTGGAGGCTAGAGCAATCCCAGGATGGGTGACCCACTGGAAAATTGTTCGTGAGCTCCCAGAAACAAAACCGTGAGGGCAGAGATGGGGGCCCAAAGCGGACAATATCGTGCTACGGCGGAGCCGATCCAAGAATGTGACACAATGTCTGCACATAGGAACATAGATATTATTAGGGCAATTAGAATATTCTTGATGAAGAATATATATATATATATATATATTGTCGGGGATGCAGTTGAGAGGTTCAATGTCATCATTTAAGGAATGAGGTGCTTAGTGGTGTATCTATTTCAATGAAATCATGTGGTTGAGATTGATTTAAGTGTTTAAACTTGTTTGTGTCTAATGAATTGCCAAAACCCCACATGTACGTACACTTTACTGCGTAGCAAGGCTGCTGAAATTCGTTCACATGTTATAATATGGATGGGCGATATAGTTAATATTTCCCACTTTTATGATATAATATTAATAAAGATCCACTTATATAGTCTAACAAGTGAGTTATACCATGTGACATACTCTCATACTACGTACACTATAATTACTCGCACTTAAAGCATCCACAATGGGGTCCCTAAACCAATTCCTTAGACAAATATTGGAAAAATAGAACTTTAACCATACTCTCTATTCACCTCCTAAAATAGAGAGACTTTTAGGAACTCCTAAATCTGAGGAGAGAGAAAGGATTCTTAGTGGCCCCTTATAATCTAATTATGTTTCGTTTTATGCATAGTTTAAACTTTTAATTAATACAAACTTTTATTTTTTATTTTTTTATAAAGATGATAACCAATCATATTGAATTAAAAAATAACTATAGTATTTATAGAGTTCTTAAAATAACTTTTGTGTGTTTTTAGCTAAATTTTAACTAAAGAATACGGAGTATGACCTTTGCCTACATAATTACTGACTAATTCATATTATTTCAGTATGTGGTTGTGAAAGTAACTGGGATATTGAATCTTGGTGTTGACATCGAACAAGCTGTTGTAAACAATGGTGGCAACATTATGTGATTGACAGACAGCAAAACATTTTTCATCTTTCAACGAAAACAATAAGTTTCAAAAAAACAAACCAAAATTTTGATTTGACTCTTATTGTCATTATGGTGGTTTTGCTGCTAGTTAGGTCGCATTTGCATATGACTATGTTCTTTAAAGAAATTTTACTGGTCATGTATGTAATTAATTTTCAACTTAATTTTTATAATACTTTTTGCAATTTGATCTTTTTTATTTTATTTTTGTCATTCGATAAGAAGGGAAATGGAAGAGTATTATATTGAGTTGCCTCAAGATTGTCTTTTACATGAATTGAACTCGGGTGCACAGTATATGTATGTGAAAACTAGCTCTAGATACTTGATTTTCCTTTTAATATTGGCCGGTATTAATTTTTAGTCTCCGTTATTTGAAAGTTTATAAATTCCTAGTGGATTATGTATGCTCCCCTTTAGTTTGGTTGCTTGCACGCCAACATAGAATATACTAATTGATGAGATTATTGCACGGCAAAATGATATGATGAAATGTATATAATAATTATATTTTGCTAATCGTATTTGTCATGCATTGAAAAAACTCAATGATCCATTTGACACTCATTTTCTTTGAAGTTGGGTTCAAAACCATAATAAGTTATCAGTACTTAATCAACCCGATTTTCTACCCGAAAAAGAAAAACCCACCTCATGTATATTAGATCCTCACTTTAATTTAGTCAACTATATTCATGATTGTATTCATTGAAGTCAACTGAATTAACGGTAAAAAAGTGCATAAAGATAAACTATATGTAAAACCAATGGATACTTTTCTTTTGTCTTGAACGATATGGTATACCAATTGATAACTAAGTTGGATCTAGGCTGCCTAACTTTGAGTTGTAACTTGTATTGTACGTATATGGTATGTATGTATGTCACTCTCCTCCAGTATCCTTGCGAGTGGCATTTTGCTTTACATTATTCACGTTGCCTAGTTAAGGTTCTACGTACGCTATTAGCTCCTAAATTTAGGCGAAAACAAAATGAACAGACAAATTAGCACGAAACTGCATTTTATACGACAGTCCACGCCAGACATTTGCCACGTAGCACGTATACCTGGCACAACCATTGTGATATTCTTACATATAATATTGTTGTTGTTTATGTCGTTATTTTTGTCCTGATTTCAGGTGGTTCATATTTCATCTACAAAATCCTGTCCTTTTTTGGACTGATCTGAAAGCCGGTCTAGGCATGTCTGCATGCTAATATGTTAAAAAAAACTTGAAACACATGCAAATAGAACTACTCAGACAAAAACAAAAAAGGGTTTTCCCACCTTCTTGGCAATCGGCAATTGGAAGAAAAACGCAGACCGGCTTCTGTCTAGACTTGTATTGTGGAAGTCTTCAAATTACAAATTACAAATTACAATCACAATGTAATGTTTTTCTTTTACACGAAATGATTGTTAATTTATTTAGTTTCATTAATTTCAACCCGAGATGATTATGTTTATGAGGTAGAAAGAAGAATGATTTGCATAATATAATATAATACGGACTGTTCTCCTCCGTGGTTTGCGGAGTCAAATCTTGAATTTGTAGGTAGACATCTTTTGAGATTTTTTAAATTTATTTTTTGTTCTTGTTAGGGCTTTCCATTACTCCATAGACTCCGGCGCAGAGGGAGTTTGTTATATCAACTGAAAAAGACATCAGTTTGGACTTCTACTCCGAATTTTACGAGTTTAGTCGCATCCCCATATATAACTACTATTTCATGAGTGATTGTGGTGGGGGCGGAGGAGCCATGCTCTCCACGGTTCTTTGAATTTTTGTTATCGTCTAAATTTACTGTACAACAAAGGAAGAACTCAACTCAACAACTTTATATCTTGTTCACCTAAAACTAGAAGCTTCTATTTTATTTAGAACGCAATAAGGTAGGTCGTCAAGTGAAAAATGATATTGTCTTGCAAATTAGAGATATCACGTTTGGATCCTCGTGATATTTTGGTTGTGTGCGTGTGAGAAATCCCCATCTCCTATAGTTTAGACTATCACTTGTACTAAAAAAAAAGAATACCATTACTGATTAGAAAGTTGGGCAGACATGCAAGAGCGTTTCTATGTCAACGGCATGTTGGGCAGTTTCTCTCCTCTTGTCTTGTCTTCAACAACTTCTCCTTTGCTAGCAACAATTATTCTTCTCATTCTCTCATTTTTAATTATCTTATGCATCTTTTATTTGAAATTGAGTATTTTAGGGTTTAATTAGGAATGAATTAAAATTTGGGGATTTTGTTGAAATGAATTAGGGCTTTGATTTTAGGAATTTTATTGAGATGTTTGATTTGTTGTTGGTATTGTTGAGATGTTTGATTTGTGTTGGTATGTTTAATTAAATGCATTGATGCTATTATGAGAATTGGTTTATTTTTGTTGAAATGTTTGATTTCTCTTCTTGGTAAAATCTTTATGAATCTCTTATTGTTGAGCCTCAAGTTGAAAGAGTTGATGATGATCAAGATTTTAATATCAATTATTTTAAGCGTGATCCAGGATTATGTTGTCTAGTTTTATTTTTTGTATTTGTTAAACTTTTATTTATTGATAGAGATGCATTTGAAAGTAAGACTTATTACGTCCCTCTGACAATGTGTATCTTTATATGTTTATTAACAAAATTCATTTGTACTGTCGAGTTTAATATGTAAGTTTTGTTTAGCCGGCTTTCGAATCCTGGAACCACTATTGCGGACATGCCACCACTGTCTTTGATTCGTTTGTTGGTCTCGAATGGCCTACCTTGTCCTCTAATTGGGCTAGGCAGAACTAATCGGGTTTTGACATGGGTGTAGGCCAATTTTTTAAATTATGCTTACTTTAGCTGATTCTCTTTTGTTTTACTGTTTTTGCTTCGTGAGCCAAAGGCCATGTCTTTTGTATCTCCTTTGCCTCTCTTGAGCTGTTAGAGCACTTCCAGCAGTTTGCCCTTTGCCATGGCAAAGGGGGCTAGGGCAGCTACTATTCACGTGAATAGTGCTGCCCTAAAAAAAACAATGTGTGTTTCCACCAGTTACCGTGGCAAAGGGCAAATACTATTAATTTTTTTGTTTTTTTCACATTTTTTTTACCTAAACAATTAATTTGGATAATATTTTCGGATTAGATTTTTGGGTTCGTACGTGGCAATATTTATTAAAAAATTCATATCTCATAATCAGAAAAAAAATTTCAGATAAGATTTCGGAAAAATAAAACTTGAAAGTGAAAAAAATATTGAGTAAAAAGTGAATAATAGTTGAAGGAGAAAAAAAATGTATGAGGATTTGGTGTTAAAAGTGAAGAGTATTGGTTGGTATTTATAGAAAAAAATTAATTAATTTTTGAGTTTTTTTTCAAAAAAATCTTGAATTTTTTTCATTATTTTATTGCACAAAAATTCGCTGCCGTTGGATTGGAGGAAAAGATCCGATCAGAGAGCCCAAACGATGCCACGTGGCTGCGAGCTGTTGGCGGCACTGTAGCGCGCTGACGTCATCCCCAAAACTCGGGCTCCAAGTGAGGCTCACCTCCCCCTCGGGCCAGCCCAGTCTGCTGGGGTCCACCTCCTGCCCGGGCAAGCCTTTGTTGCTGGAAACACTTTTTTGGCCCTAACCCCCCCACCAGCCCGAGCCCAGCCTCCACTGCTGGACTTGCTCTTAATGAAGGTGATTTACACAAAAACTGTGAGTGTGGGCTTCTGCTATTGGGCTCTCGTGGGACTGGTTTGGGCTTCGACTTTTCTCTCTCTAGCGAAAAGCCTTCTCTCCAACTCCAATGCGATCCTATTACATTTTGTTTTTTCAAACTCTGTTCTCTATTCTTTCAATCTTTACGCATTCATGTAATAACAAAAATATTAGGTCAAATGCGCATACATATATATATATATATATATATATATACTCAAGCAATCTTTATACACAACATGTATAGCTAGCAAGGTGTGTGAAGGTGACATATATATATATATATATATATATATATATATATATATACTTGAGCAATCTTTATACACAACATGTATAGCTAGCAAGGTGTGTGAAGGTGACAAAATTCTAAATTTAATGTTTGAAGAAGGAGAAGATGGATTTTTAGCAACAATCATAAATATCAGAGAACACGATGGCCGACATGTCAATTCTCATTTGAACATAATATCTAATATATATGTATATAATTCAGACAATCTATTTGTTATATATATATATATCCAGGTATATAGGTAGTTTTCCCTGACAAAAACTACTGGGCGCTTAACAAACAAAGAAAAATAGTACGATTCATGTTACTGATGCTTTGTTGTTCTTTATTGATTATTATTCGTTCATGAATCATGTGGGTTCCTTCTCACCTACCATGTCTATCTATGAACATCATGTACATACATGTGTGTGTATATATATATATATATATTTGGGAAAGACAAAAACAATCAAGCAATTGCATCATCAGACATCAGACAGAGTAGTTCAACAATCATGCATATATATAGTCCACTCGGCAGGCCCATGGGGCATGAAAATATCCGACAATAATGACTGTTTGTAGTACTGGATTTGTCGTCGATGAGACATATTCATGTTGGTTTTTTGCGTCCGTCAGATCAAATCTAATTCAAGATTTCTTGGGTAAGATTTTTTATAACTTGTTTCAGTGAATTTAAAACACAAACAGTTTCTTGTCATGAATGAATGACAACATAATATGGTCATAAATGGATCACGAGATGCTCCATCTTTGGCCCATGGGTCATCCGTTTCAGTACAGGCTACAGCATGCATGTTGAATCAATTATATTAATCTGTACGGAATTCTCAAGATAATGGAAACTGATCATCAGATGGGAAGTTTATGAAACAATTTTAAATTGGAAAACTAATTTTAACAAGCATAAATTTCTTGGGTTTCGTCTTGATTTTGACAACCAAATTAAGAAAATAGCACAAGAACAACAACAACAATCAATCACCACCACGAGGAAACAAAAGTATCAAGGTATTCATCAAGTTGTGCTTATATATAATTTGTTTGCATGAACTTTCCATATATATTATTTGCACAGGCTCTTTTGCGTAATTCAGACAAGAGAGCAAAATTTAATTACCATATATCGTGAAATTATGCACTGAAAAAATTGATTACAGTTCACTCAGAAAGGAGGGTTTTCTTTCAACTTCTTACCTGGATGAACGAACCACATGCACATGATGATTTAGAGTTGAAGATGGAAACTTCCCAAGGGATCGCATCGATCCAATATCAAATATTTAAACTCACCATGTTGATTTGGTTGATTAGATCAATGCGATCCCTTTGGAAGCCTCCACCTGCGCTCGTTTATAAGATATGCATACTCCAAAACTCTCTCAAGAAACAGCTCTCTCGTATATCTGCTTGCGATTCAAAAACCCACCTTTTGTTTGGAGGAAACATGACATATACTGACGTGCATATAGAGAGATATATATATATATATACACACACACACACCCATATGGTACCTTAGCTAGTGGTCCTGGTTTTGGGTTTTGAGTTATTTTATAACAAGGGTAAAAGTTTGGCTGCTCCTGGCTTCTTTTATAGATGCACAAATCTGTTATGTTCTGTTCATGCATTTGGTGTGATGAGAAAGTTTGCTAGCTTGCGTACGTGTGAGAGACTATTACTAGTTGAGTCAAGAGATGCTTCTTTCTCTACCAAGCTCTGCTTTTATAAGCCCTCAAAGAGCATAAATCCCACTCATGAGTCATGCCTTCATTAGAAATTCTTCTGTGTGATGGTTACACCGCCACGTAGTGTTACTAATATTATATTTATATTGTAATATGTGTATTTATTTATTTATTAATACTATATTCTATGTCAATAACATCAATTATATCATTCACACATACTATAATTACGTACGTAACAGTGACGATATAATGATGAGACCTAAATAGTTTATACCTAGATTATTTGGGAAATTAGTGATTACATGGAGCCTACGGCATTGAATCCGTTCAAATGTGGTCAATCGCAAAACGGGGTATGTTAGGGGTAAGGGGGACCGACAAGATAACACGGGCATGGGCACTTGCAATGCGTTGCATGGTTATATATGTGGAGGGCAGGTAAAAGTTGTAATCAAACAGCTCTTCTTGCCACCAAAAAACTCAGCATATTCCCTATAAGATAATGACACGTTCAATCGATCGAAGAAAAAGATAATGACACATTCCTTCCTTCTTTAATTTCTAATATAATCCTTCGTTATTCGTAAGTATTATTATTTCTTATGATATATATCTTATTTATATATTTTGTTCATTTTAAAGTCGTTTTATGATGAGGATGTCATATATGGACTATAGATGTAGACCTTCATATGAGTCACGTGATTTATTTGAATAGTAACTTCACTTAAGTTTAATAAAAGCTAATATAAAGATCCACGTGAGAGTCCATATATGACACCCGTACTATTGAATTTCGCGTCCGTTTTGATTTGATCCCTTTATAACTCTCTGCCATCCAACTTCTCGGCTCAGGCCCACTAACGAGTGAAGCTCGGGCCTAATTTTACCGGCCCGCAATAGCCTACCCAATAGGGTTTGTTGTCTTCGAATTAAAGATTAAAATAATAAAACGGTGAGCATTGACCACTGGAGGGAGCTGCAACTCTCGCCTGAGGCCTGCGTCTACCTTGGTTATTATTTCCCGCCTATCTTTGTCCGCTCTTTCACTGAAGAAGGAGAAGTAGGCAGAAGAAGATGACGCTGACCCAATACGGCATCAAATATGCCGTACACATCATCACCTCCAACTTCGGAAATCTCGTCGCTGTAACTCTCTCTCTTTCTCTTCAAAGCTTTTACCTTTTTCTTCAAATTATGGGTAATTATCATTGATTTTATGTATGTGTCTATGGTTGCAGAAAGTGTGTGAAAGTCTACTAAGAAGAGGACACTTAAGCCTGAAACAGCTAATTGGGTTCACAGAGTTGACCCCTCAGCAAGTCAAGAACTCTCTCCTCATTCTAATCCAACACAATTGCGTTCAACCCTTCTCCTTCGACCAATCCGGTGCGTCTCTTAACCCTAAACCCAGCTTCTGTTCTTTTCAATTTTCATGTGGGCTTTTGGGTTTGCTCAATGAGAGTGAATTTTTTTGTTTGCCTATGTGGTGATGCAGAGGGCCCAAAAGTCACTCAGTATATAGCGCTCTTCGATAATATAATCCACCGGGGGAGGTTTGCCAAATTTCTTGCTGTTGTATCCCAGGAACTCGATACAGACGTTGGTTTCTTTGTTCTTTTTGTTTTTGGTTTGGTTTGTTGTTTTTAGGGGGTCATCGATTCTCTGATTATTGCCTTTCCTTAATTTGTTTTCCAGGGTGAACTAATTCTCAGGGATTTGCTTGAGAATGGTAGGCTTACACTTAAACAAATAATTGAAGGAGCTGAATCAAGTAAAAGTCAAGGTGAGCCTTTTATCAATGTTTTATTGAATATTTTTGCTTCAATTTAAAGTTAAGTGGGAGCATTGTGACTAAGTGCACGGTTCTTGTGCTCCATTCCTACAACTTGCTTTTTTTTTTCTCCAACCAGGAGATTCTGCAGGTAAGGATTCTGTCCAGGAAAGCTTTCTTAAACTTGTGAACGCCCATTTTGTTGAACGCTGCCCGGCTCCAGAACCAGTTCTTGAACAAGCTACTAAACAAGAAGGTCCTGCAAAGAAGCGAGGTGCTAAGTCTGCTAAGGTAATCTGTAATAGATAATTTGTGTTGAAGATATAGATTATGCCACGGGGAGGGGTGATTAGGTTTGATTGGAAGTTTGTCAGCCTTTATTACTGGACTGGATGAAAATGAAGGTTGCTCTTTTAGTGGACATCGAGTTGTATTGTGTTCGGATGGTGTACTTTCAGTTTCCTGTCAAGTACTAGTCTACTTTACAGTGTGTCTAATTAATCATGCTAGGTAACTCAATACTAACTTTACCTATTTATTGATTGTGGCATGTGTTCAGGTCGATATATATGTATATATATATACAGAGAGCTTCCATTGAGGGATCCCTCAAATAAGCTTATTTGAGGGACACCCCTTGTAGGCCTCACTCCGGATTGTATTTCACTAATCCAAACAATCTATTTTGTAAATACTCATTTAAAGATCATCTCTACAAAAAATCACTTAAATCCGATATCATTTGACCACTCAATTGAGTTATTGAAATTTTAGTACTTTCTTGAAGCACCGTGTTCATTGATTTTGTAAGACACAATTAGATGTCGAAACGGTTTCCGATTTGTCTAATTTTTTGTAAGGATGATCTATGACTGAAGACCTAAAAAATAGATGGTTTGGATCATTGGCAAAAAAATTGTAGGGTACCCTAAAGGGCGTCCCTCAAATAAAATTATTTGAGGGATCCCTCAATAGAAGGGGACTGTATATATATATATATATATATATATATATATATATACCCTGTGAACCAAAAACTCAAAATTAAGACCCCATATATTTGAACCAAATCAATCATACAAGCCCTATAAACTAGAGATACTCAATTCATATGCTAGCAAAATTAAGAACAGAGTTCTCTACTTTAAAACCCTCTTTAGTTGCGCATGTGTTAATTTATTTTTTAAATTGCAGATCTTTATAATTCAATTTTGGAACTTTTACAGATGGTTGAAGTACCCGAGACCATTGAACAGCGTGTTATAGCAGCAGCAGCGCCTCCGGAAGCCATAAGATTTTCAATTATGATAGATTCTGAAGCTGATGCTCGTGGAGGAAAAAGTGATAATATGAGTGTTGGGGAGAAGGTTGGTATAGGGATTGTCATTTCTATATACCAGGGATAGTTGTTCTAGTATGCAGTTTCCTGAAAAGTACCCTATTCTAATATGCTATTTTCTGAATTTATAGCGAAAGCATGCTACTTTGGAATTCGATGCAGAATTTGGGTCGAATGATGAAGTGGTTCTTTGGCGTGCCAATTTTGAGGAATTCATTCGATGTCTAAGGCATAAGGTTGGTTTTCTGTCTGTTTTTCTGTTTGGATTGTAATTATCTGTTCATACTGATATGGTACCTGCATATTCTGTCTATGTGTTCTAGGCTTGCGTTGAGAATGTGAGAGCACGACTGGATGATGAAGCTGCAGTTGTCTTAAGAGCAATGCTTAAGGCAACTAGAACTGCAGAGAAGAAAGTTAAAACAGAAAATTCAGGTAAACTGGATGTTCAGATTCTTGGATGCTATAAAATTAAAGTGAAGCCTTAATAAATGAAATCAGGGAGCGGTAGTACCTGATTGGCCGTTTGCCTACCATTGTTCCATGCTGTCTCCTTAGCTCATAGTTTTGTTGATTTCTTTTGCAGTTCCTTTATCACTTAATACCATTTATGAAGAGGTAATAAACAGTGAAGCCGGTCGTAGTTTGACTGTGGGTCGTGTCAGAGATTTGCTCAGCGTGCTCTGTGATTCAAGCCAAGAAAGAGATGTAGACGAGGACGAGTCATATAGTGCTGGTACAACTCCCTCTCATACAACTTTATATATTTTCAAAACTTGAATTCTGGTTTTTATGTATCCTTTATCTTTCGTATGGATGACCTAGTGATACATTGAATATTGTTTTTACTCACACATTTGTTTCTTGTACAGACTTGAAGAAAATTCTTGAGCTCAGCTGAGGATTTTGTTTTTTTTTTTTTTTTTTTTTTTTTTTTTTTTGATTTTTGTTTTTTTTTGGTAATAAAAAATACGAAAATAAATCTTTATTTACCAAGACAGATGTCTAAGTACATTTCCTTTTCTGCAGGTGGAGTCAATTGTTTTGAAAAGATATGGGAAAGATGCTTATACAATGTTTAGAATACTGTCACTTGCCGGTCGTCCAATTGAGACGGATAAGGTGATAACATTGCTATGGGTTCCTCCACTGGCAACTGAGAAAATTTCGTAGACATCAGTATAATTTTTTAAAATACCGCTCTTTTATTTTGTTATTGAGAATACTGAAAGCAACTAAATCAAACCCAGCAATCTCTCTCTTCTAAGAGTTTAATGTGACAGAATATTGCATGATAAGTTCCCATATAAATTCTCTCAACTTTCCAAGATGAAGTATTCAAGTTTGTTGTGGTTGTTAAAATAGTGCATTTGTTACTTCATTTACTTATTCCAGTACTTCTTTGTAGATTTCAGATATGTCACAGTTATCACTTGTTGAAAAGAACGAAACTCCCAAGATTCTCTATAACCTGTGGAAGGATGATTACTTGCATATGGAGGTAAAGCAGTTGCCTCACGATGCGTGCACACCCATACACATACATACACGAGTAGTATATTTATTTATTTAGTTTTGCTCTCCATGACAATGTTTCATATCCTTGCAGAGATTAGTTGTAACAGGAGCTAGACAGTCACAGTTCTTGGTGTGGAGAGTAGATAAACCCATAATTTGGAAACATGTTTTGGATGAGATGTTCCACACTGCCTTGAATTTAAGTCTTCGACTGGCTTGTGAGGAGGAACGATTCAAGGAGGTTCGTAAATACGGGCAATTGCTACTTTTTTTTTAAATTTGAATCTATGTATTTGTTTCTTTGTTCTGGAATACGGGCATTGATGCGAGGAAGATTTGAATAGTGTATATGTAGTTTGTTTTCATGTGTCGTGGTGATTCTTTGCAGATTACCGATCTCCCAGCACACAAACTTCTCGGGGAAATGGCGAAGCAATGGCAACTATACAGAAATGTCATTTTAGTTTTGCAAGCATCCCTTTTGAAGCTTGATGATGCTCTCATGCTCTTCCATGACTTTTGAGATTGTAGACGGCTTCGTTCTGACTCTAAATTAATAAATATTATTGCCAACTTTCTGATCCCTTGTATACCCACCCTTGGTTTTATTCTGGTTGGATCGGCCTTTCAGTTGCTGGTCTTTGTAGTCTTAAGTAAATAATTAAAATTTGAAGAGTGTAGGCCTGGTAACTAAAAATTTGAAGAAAATTACAGATAAAAATAAGTAATATTAAGAATCTTCTTTAGCAAGAATGAACTTCGACCATCCTAAGAAGGCCTGGCATTCTTTATCACCAGGTTTGTTACTTTGTTTTGTACCAAATTGTAGCAGAAATTTATCAGGAAAAAAAAAAGCCAAGTTACCAAAAATTTTTTAAATCTTTTTCAGCAGAAATACTGCAATGCACTTGGATCTGTGTGACAAAACATCTATACACAGAACGTCTTTAGTATCAGAAAAATAATGGGTAGCCTCTTTCCCCTGTTTCGTAGCAAACTGTTGGTGTTTCTAACTCACCATACTACAGACCGTGTTCCCGATGTGTTGTTTCTGCTTCGATATTCCTCCTTTGTCACCCCATAATAGATTGGTTTACTGCCTGCAAATGTGATGAAGTTCCAACCAAACGCTGAACCCCCCACAATGTAGCTCCCCTGTAGTTGGCTAGCAACTGGTTTCTTATCTGAGCTGAGAGGGATCGACCGAGTACGAGCTTGCACTGGCTTCTCTACAGAGCATCTTGGTTGAAGATGCTTTTGTTGTTTGCCATCTTGGTTTTCTTTCGCAGGATCGCTGTCATGTGTTGAATGCTGTGTTTCCGACACAAACTTCCTGTGTGTGTCTCCTGCATCCTTGGCCATCTGTTTGTATAGATCCCTCAGAAGCTTCATTTCTGCAAATTACATGTTTACACGTCTTATCAAACAATGTGCTTTCCAAACAAAACATGCAGAACTTAATCAATGTACCAGCAGATGATCCTACCTAAGCAATGAAACTGGCCAATGTGTCGTGCTTTCATGCAAAATAGAGCCAAAAGGACTCGTGTAACCATTAACCACAGTCCAAATTTCAAATGCTTCAAGTTCAAACTAATTAATTACAAGTGGATTTTCTGAGAAAGGAGCACCTCGTGCCTAGAGTAGTAAATCCATGAGAGAAACCTTGAGTGAAAGTGAGTCTAAGCACGGATTGTAGGCCAAGTTGAAGAATTAAATCAAGGATTAGCCATGGCATTTCAGTCTATCATGTTTATGCAATACTGCAAGTACATAAGATGTAATTACGTATCTTAAACAACTCACGTTTTCGAATTTCATCAGCTGCCTTACTATTTCGAAAATCTGGCGTCCGAAGAACCTGCATACAGATCAAAATGTGGTCTTTCACAAAAATACACACAGAATTCAGGGGACAAGATATTGTAATGACAGATTTTCCTTATCTGGACCTTATAGAACAACATCAAAGAACACATTTTTATCTTCTTTTTTGATGCTGTACCTATGTCCTTTTAGCAACTAAATGGTGGGCAAGAAATACAGAGGTGTTCTACCTAGTGCTATAAAATGGGTGTAGAAGCCTAGACTAGACCCACTAAGCCTAGCTTGCTCCACTCAATTGTTGGGCTATATTCACGGACAATAGGTGTACCTAACTTGCCTAAACTTTCAAAAGAAAACAAAACCCCTCAAGTAAATGAATGTATATTCAAGAAAACACGCAAGCTTGGGAGATATCAAAACCAGTAAGTAAACAAGGCTAACATCCATTCATTATCAGAGCCAATGTCTTCTGAGCAGCAAAACAGAGACTATTATAAACATACACACAGAGACAAAAAAAAAAAAAAAAAAAAAAAAAAAAAAAAAACCACCAGAAAAAAAGAAAAGCAAATGCAATGTGACGCAGAGAAACCCATTAAGCAAATAACAAAACTTGATAAAACCGTAACATAATTGGTTGCACCATTGATGGGTTAGAAATTGAGCGTATGAAATGAAACCCACCTCAATAAAATTGGGACGGAGTTGTTGAACAAGAGCGCGAATTTTAAACATGGAGGAACGTTGTTGGAGGTCCATATTGATCATTGGTTTTCTTTTCCTGGTGTCCTTCGGCTTCCAAGGAGGAAGAAAATTGGGTTTGTAAATCAGAGGGTCTTCTTGTTGTTGTTGGGCTGTGCTGGGTGCATGTGGCCTTGCTGTTACGTGTCTTTTTGTGCTCTCAACACCTTTTGGTCTTGGCCCTTCCATGGATTTCCACTTAAAATCAGCGACCCTTTGGCAAGTTGTTGCTATTTTGCGCTGTGCTGACACGTTTTGCTGTTGGTAATATTTTTTGGTGATCTTATGAACCCTAACTTTTTTTTGGGGATAAAAAGAAAAGTCCCATTGCTATTGAAAATGTAACACCAATAATGGAAATAAGATAACAAATAGAAATCTAATCTAATCACCATGAGAAAAAGAGAAAAAAATAGAGATGATAAAGTCTAATCTAATGGGTGTTGATGGGTATTAGGTTGAGCCAAAGAATTTATCACGTTTCTTATTTAAGGCTCTATTTCTTAACCGTTTGATCAAATTAGTTAGTCATTGAATCAAATTAGTTAATTTAATTCAACAGTTAAAAGATAAGATTTTAACTAAGGGTTTATATAAAATCCTCACCTTAGAGTCATATATAAGACCCCGTTATAGAATTCTTGCATATAAGATAACCAGGCTGACCCTCTACCATGTTGCTTTGTTTTGACCCAAATTATCAGAGGAAGTACTAGGCCCCTACGTTCTTTTTTCAAAGACGATGAAGCTGTCAAGACTTACCCAAAAAGCCAAAAACGATAAAGTACTAAAAAATAATTGGAATATTGGATTTGACATTAATTTTACATCGGTTTTGGTTACATTAATGAAAAGCAAGCAGCAAGAGATTATTCAAAGGACCGTGCTGATAATAAGTGCAACTTCGGAGCAGCCAAGAGCTGGAAAAAGCTTAGTAAGCTATAGTGGCGGAGGGTCTTATTCATCCACCCATGGAAAAATTGTTTGGTTCCCAGCCAAAAAAAATATGGTGCATGTGATAGACAAATATATGGTCCCATTAAACATTTAGGAATCAATCGCTACAAATAACTGAAACTAACATGCATGAATGATTGTTTTAAAATATTATCATTATACCGTTTGATATTACTATTTACATAGTATAATATGTGTGAATTGATAACACAACGTACGTAACAGCGTGGCAGTCACACATAAAAATTACTTCATCAAATATTTGTTGTAGTTATACGGGATATTCTAAAGTACCAATGCACCATATAACTTATTTATTTTTAGATTTATGTGTTGTGGATTAGTATAAGCTATCTATCAATCTTTTCATACAGCGATGGTATTGTTGTCGGCCCTCTCACAAGTAAAAGCTATGTCTTGGTCCTGAGTATTCAAACAAATAAAAGATAGATAAACTACATTCTTGTAAGGAAGTTGTTTGTCAAATTGATTGTAAGTATTAGTGGATACTTTCGGTTCTTTCGACCCAAAAAAAAAATCGGTTCTTCAGCGCTGACCTCCTAGTTGCCAATGCTGGAAAACGTGTAATGCATACACCAACACCGTCGTCTTAAAAAAAAACGCAGAACGAATAAGCCTAGCTAGTCTTAAAAAAATGCCATGTCACTAAGAAATGTTGGCGTCGTAGTCAAATATTGGTATTCACATATATATGCACACGCATGTGCCTTTTGGTGCTTTTTATTGAATAATTAAATGTTTAATTCGTAAAATATTCTGACATTCTTCAACCTCATACATCAAATGACCACCAGAAGAGGCTTCTATAAATACTCACCTCATTCTCTTCTTATCTTCACAACCAGGTTCTTACTGGTAGTGCATTGAGAGAGAGAGAGAGAGAGAGAGAGAGAGAGAGAGAGCGAGAGCTTCATAGTTAACCATGGGGCTCTTCTTCTTCATCATCATCATGATCCTGTTATACATGTGCTGCAGATTATTCTTTTCCTGCTGGGTTTTCCCAATGCTAGCATATAGGAAGTTTAAGAAAAATGGGTTACATGGTCCATCTCCAAGTTTTCCTTTTGGAAATCTAAATGAGATGAAACAGAAGATAAATATCAAAAGCTCTTCTTCATTTGGGTCTAATTCAAATATCATCACCCATGACATACACTCAACTCTATTTCCCTACTTTGATTGTTGGCTGAACTCCCACGGTAAGCATATTTTAGCGCACCTCCAACAAATGATATATACATAACTTTTTTTCCCTTTCAAATTAACTAAATGAGAATGTTTTGTGTTGAGCTGGGTATTATTGTCATATATAACTTATACACGGTATTGCATATGCAGGAAAGGTGTTCATCTACTGGTTGGGGACAGAGCCATTTTTGTACATAGCAGATCCAGCGTTACTAAAAAAATTGTCTGCAGAGGTCAAATCAAAGAATTGGGGCAAGCCAGCTGTGTTTAGAAAAGATAGAGCCCCCATGTTCGGCAATGGCCTCGTCATGTCTGAAGGCGATGAGTGGCTCCGTCACCGCCATGCTGCCACTCCTGCTTTTAAACCTACCAACTTGAAGGTACGTAATTACAAAATAAAAAAATGAGGTCCAGTGTTCAAATCCCCCATTTTTCAATATCGCTTATATAAATTACATGAAAAGGTTACAAATTAATTTGTATTCTTATTACAGGCCATGGTGAGGTTAATGGTTGAAACCACCACAAAAATGGTAGACAAGTGGACTACCCTCATAGATTCCGGCACTCAAGAAATCGAAGTGGAGAGAGAAATCAAAGCAATATCAGGGGAGATCATAGCCAAGACCAGCTTTGGCATTAGTTACCAAAACAGCCACGCTGACCTAGTGTTCCAAAAATTAAAAGCCCTGCAAATGATCCTCTTCGAGCCGAACCATTTTATGGGAGTTCCTCTTGGCAAATTCCTGCACCCGAAGAAAACCCTCGAGGCCAGAAGACTTGGAAAACAGATTGACCAACTCTTGACATCAATCATTACTGCTCGGAAACAATCGTCTCCAACTACGCCTCCGTGGCACGACTTGCTTGGGTTGTTGCTTCAAGAGAGTGGTACTGAAGAATTGAGAAGCTTTACAAAAGGTTTAACCACACAGCAAGTAGTGGATGAATGCAAGACCTTCTTCTTTGGTGGTCATGACACAACAGCATTGGCAATCACATGGGCGATGCTTCTTCTGGCCATGCATCCCGAGTGGCAAAACCAGTTGAGGGAAGAGATTAGGGAGGTCGTGGGAGGTAAACAAATTGACGTCCACATGCTAGCTTCACTAAAGAAGGTAGCAAATTAATGATTTCTATCGCATTAGTTTGCATGCATGCATGTGTATAGGTATATCTATGTGTTGCATGCGTGTGAATTTCTCATGAGCCTCTCTCCACCAACTTTTAATAATTGATTTGGAGTAATTGGATGCTCTAACATCTATTTATTATATATGACGTCCAACATTTAAAGAAAACTCCTTATTAGTTATGTACTAATTAACAAAACCATGCGTGTTTCTACTATTGTTCTGGAATTAGTTATATGGCCACGGTGATGAAAGAAAAAAAAAACTAATAATTATTTTGTAATATTCGTGCATGCAGTTGGGATGGGTGATTAGTGAGGTTTTTCGACTGTATCCATCAGCACCAAATGCACAAAGGCAAGCGAGAGAGGACATTCAAGTGAGCGATAACGTAACAATCCCCAATGGGACCAATATGTGGATTGACATCGTGGGCATGCACCATGACCCAGCTCTTTGGGGTGAGGATGTGAATGAGTTCAAGCCTGAGAGGTTCAAGGATGACATACACGGTGGGTGCAAACACAAGATGGGGTATTTGCCTTTTGGGTTTGGAGGAAGAATGTGCATTGGTCGAAATTTAGGCTCTATGGAGATTAAGATTGTCCTAACCCTAATTCTATCAAGGTTTTCTTTTACCATCTCCCCGACTTATTGTCATTCTCCTTGTATTATGCTCACCATGAGGCCTTCCTTTGGACTCCCTCTTGTATTTCAGCCTCTTTATTAGGCCCTAATACGTTTATATTTATTACTTCTTATAGTCAGATTCAGATTATTGTGAGTTATTGTCACTTGGATGATGGATCCTTATTTCACTTTTGGAAAACGAGCAAATCAAATCACCTTAATTTATATTAACGTACGTATCTCGATTAGATTATCTTCGGTAACTCAAATGGCCAACAAAAATATTAACTTCTCTTCTATAAATACTCAGCTCATTCTCTTCTGATCTTTACAACAAGGTTATTAGTGCGTTGAGAGAGAGAGAGAGAGAGAGAGAGAGATCCTAAAACCTTATCGAATTGGCTTATGAATCCCGATTGGCAATACCAGTTGAGGGATGAGATTAGGGAAGTCGTGGGAGATAACCAAATTGACAGCAACATATATATGCTTGCTGGACTACAACAGCTTCGGCTTGGATTACTTGTTTACCATGGGCTTTCTTATGACCCAAATGTCAGCATTGGGCCCTCAAGGGATGAGATAAGAATGCCCAATAAGCGGGAAAATACGAGGCAAGTAGTATCCTTACCAAGTTGAGAGTTGATAGTAAAATATTGTGGGCGTGGGTTTTAATATATTCAAGCACGTGGAAAAAGATGTTTGGTTTCCAAGCAAAAATAATGATCCAAAGTTCAAACATTAATTTGGAATCAATCGCTTGATAATGATATAAACATCAAGTCTTGTTTTGGGCAATAGTTGTTATTAGCTAATAGGTTATGAATAATTAATTTCGCACTTGCAAATAAAAATGAACTGAAATTGACATGCATGTGGGATCGGCATCGTAGGAGGCAGAGGGATGCGTCCTACACCTTCATATTAAAGTATTTTAAATTTAATAAGAACACATCAACAATTTGCATCTTCATTTTTAAATATAAGCTTAGCTAGCCTTTTTAATTGTATCAAACCCTGGCCACTCAATTTTATTCCGTTTTATTCAATCAATTAATATACATATGGAGGCAATTGTGAGGTTCATGGTGGAGGCCAGCACAAAAATGGTAGACAACTGGGCTAACCTCATAGATTCTGGCACTCAAGAAATCGATGTAGAGAGGGAAGCTAGTTACAGCAGCAAGACTAGACCAGTTTTCGCATCAGTTACTAAGTAGCCATCTTTAGCATCAGATTCGAAGAGGGTCGTTTGCAGCAAGAGAGCCTTGCAATGCAAACACCTTCAACAAACACAATTTTTTTTTTTTTTTTTTTTTTTTTTTTTTTTTTTTTTTTTTTATTATTATGGGACCAAGAAAATCCTCGAGGGCAGAATACTTGTGAGAACTTTTTTTTTTTTTTTTTTTTTTTTTTTTTTATTTTAAATATATATATTATTTATTTTATTTATTTAGTTTATTTTATACTATATATTAATTATTTATTAATATGATTTTTTTATTTAATATTTATTATGAAGACCTAAATGTTATAAAATCTTAAGTCTAGTATGAGATTATTCCTTTAGGTGAAATATGGCACCATTCTTGTTCTGCGTAGAGACTTGGAATTGGTGGTATTGTGATATCATCAACCAAAGGGGGATATGAATCATATTATTCCATTACTTTTCTATCTTATCTTTTAGTGGTTTAAAATATTATATATATATATATATTATTTGGTTGCATCCGTAGCCTCTGTATCATCATTCCTAACTTCAATCATTTATTCCAATTCTTTAAAATAGATTTATACCATGAAGTAGTGTTTAAGAGAGAGAGAGAGAGAGAGAGGAGAGAGAGAGAGAGAGGAGAGAGAGAGAGAGAGAGAGAGAGAGAACTTGTGTGCTTGTCTTGCAATATTTCATATTTATCATAGTGAGTGGGTTATATAATGTGTCCTAAAAGTTCTTATTTTATGAAAAATGTGAAAATCATGGATTTATTCTATTTACAAATCTCTCTCTATTTTCAAGTTAAGCATGTTTAATTTGTGCAATGTTTCACACAATATATATTATTTGGAGTTTTTGTGAAGTACGTATTATTCATTGAACATGAAAACTTCAGTGACGGGGTATCTGAATGATAAATGTACTAGACGGGAACGTAGGGCAGTGAGGCCGATATGGGTCACGTGTTGGGTACAATTTCTCAAGGATAACTAAGATATGAAGTAATGATGTGATATGATTTGGATTGTGTATCTTTTTATTATATTTTCTAGAGTGTGTAAAATGGCATTATTTGACTGGCATATTACATAATCTACTCACTAAGTGGTAGTTTGCTCATCCCTTACCTATTTTGTTTTTCAAATCAATTAGTGAGCAAGACAAAGACGAAACCAAAGAAGTTGGATTAGATTAGAGTGATAAAGTTTTATTTATATAATGTACACTTGTAAGATTATTATTATTATTATTTTGTATAAGGATTTTTCAGTCTTTTTATTTTATTTCATTCAATTCACGCACCATGATTCGGGAATATTCTTTATTCTCGGATTGGGTCATGAAAATCTTGGGAAACAAATTCACCAACTAGTTTCGATTAGATGAGGGTCGTCTTGATGCTGAACAGATGGTGAAAGCAATCAAAGAGAGGTTGGAGCGACGCGAGCACAAGGGCAAATTGGGTAAACTGCATATTTGGGCTCGGAACTCAGAATTTGGCCCATGACCCGTCGATTCGAAGAGAACGGAGTTACAAGTAAAACGTATCGTTTTACCATGATGTATGGCCTTTTTCAGGCATCCACGATCGTTTATAGCCCGAAATTCAGTTTTAAATTTTTTTTTATAGTTTTTGGAAACTTTGTTATTTTCCTATTTTAATTCCTTTGTTATTCCTAGGGTTTCTAGGAGTATTTAAACATACTTTACCCATAGCTAAGGTTAGGTTTTGTTATTCTAGTTTATCAAATAAATCTTTAGGTTTCCTCATATCTTCTCAGTGAATTCCAGAGTTCCATGTTCTAGACTAAGGTTTTAGCCATTTATTTATCACGTTACGTCACGTCCTCAAATAACTACTTTCTCGGGTTATTAGGTTATGAACAAGGAAGCTTTACAAATAATGAAGGCTTCAATTTAACCACACAAGAATATATTGGTGTGGATGAGTGCAAGACCTCTTTCTCTTGGTGGTCATGAGACAACAACATTGGCAAATCACATGGCAAAGGCAAAGGCAGTTAGGGGAAAAGATTAAATGAAGTGGTGGGAGATATAAAGAAATTGATATCTATAGGGTTTCGCGGTGCATGTGAATTTCTGTAGAGCTAAAGTCTAATGTCTATCAAGCCGTAGATAGAATATAACTGAGTGAAAGCATGGATATCAAAGTAGTACATGGCCAAAATTCATTAATAGATAGTCAACATCAATGAGTGGCCGGAAAGGGCTTACCTTTCCTTATTTGCTTGCCTGTTTGAAATTTTGTTCTTTCTTTGATCTTTCCCTTTCTTCCTACACATGCTCTCTGTTTGTGGTCCAATAAAAGTTGCCTCTGTTTGGATAGATGGTGGTGGTGGATCAAATGGTCAACGGTCATATATGCAACAGAGTGGTGGATGCCAGCTGTCAAAACCCCGGTGGCCTCACCGTCCAAAAGGATACGATAGCCGTATGGTATACATATACTACTGTACTGTACATGCATGTTTGTGATAATTAATTTGTTCTCGGCTGGTAGATTAATAGTTGGACGAAGAAATTAAAACGATGTTAATTATCGTAATTAATTGTAGTTAATGATGATGATTGAGGTATCATTCATTCAAATGATGATTGAGGTATCATTCATTCAGCAGCAGTCAGGAGTACAGCAGATTTGAACATTAATATAAAATGATAATTAAATAGTCAAAAGATTTGAACATTCAGCAGCAAGAGATTTGAACCGCTTTCCTTTACTGAATGTTCCCCTCCCTCCCTCCTTGAATGCATCGCTATAAACGTTTTTATTCCCCTCCCTCCCCCAATAGTTTGAACCAAAGATACATAAATTATTTCCTTATTTTCTCAAGGAGGTCTCTCGTGACGTCGAAACTCCATGACATGCATGCATGCAAGCATGTTTGCAGGGGAATATTCGTATTATACCACTTTCATTAATAGGGAAAAAGAAAAAGAAAAACCAAGTAGAGGTAAGTTGTGACACGGCTTCTCACTGTTAGGTGAAAAATAGACGAGTAGAGACCAAAGGGGAGGGAGAGGGTCACGTTTGGAATGTGTTTTTGTGGTGAATTTCGAATACAAAACGACTACTTCATTTTCCAATTTGACGATTGACGACTGAAATTAATTTATTAATTGGCTTTGGGTGTTAAATGTAGACAATTCCTCACTCGCTCACTGTAATAAGAATCGACGTCTTTGAAAGAAGCCACAAAAATCATAAAGTTTTGTTTCAAATCCGCCAAATAAAATAGCTTCAAGTCTGAAAATAACACCTAGTAAAGACGTTGATGCTATTTTATTCGGTGTACATTTCGGAAAGTAGTGGAAGAAAGATTGATTATGATTCACGTTAATTAGTTTAATATATTGACATTCTCCCACTGATCTAATTAAGCATCGAGAACCATGGTTAGTGGGTGAGGTAGTGATGGAAAGAATTTAATTACATAATCAAACCACAAGTCAACGACCTCTCAAACAACAAAACAATAGTATTGTCTCCAAAGTAAGTATGCAAATCAAACAATATGATTCTGTAAGTTGACTTGACAGTTTAGAGGGACAATAATTTCGTAAAAAATACTAGTTAACGACATCAAATCTTTACTCAATCTTTTAATAGTTGAAAATTTGACAAGACAAGATACTCTCACTAGATACTGAGAGTTCGGAGTTGTCTTGTCTTCGAGCTTAATAGGGATGACAATAGGACTTGCCCTTTTTCTCCCACATTCTGTTTAACTATAGGCAATGGAAAATAGTAACAATAATTAACTTCATCAATCATCTAAATAATTCACAACGTCAATTTTGCTATCCAACAATTTGACAAAAGAAAAGTTTACGCATGTATATTTCACTTAATCAATTACGGCATGTTTGGTATCTACTTGAAGCTATTTTTTTAAACTCACAAACAATTTTTGAGTCAAAAGACCATAATTTGCGTTTGGTAAAACCAAATTTTCAAAAACCCAACCAAAAACAAAAAAAAAGTGAGGTTTTACTTCCTCTCTCTCTCTCCTCGACCACCAGGAGCGTCGTCGCCGCTTTAAGCCCTCTACTCTGCCGCCCTAAATTCTTTCCACTCCTTCTTGCCCTCCTCCCATTTCGACCTCTTCTTATGGTAATTTCTCTGCCCCTTTTGTGTTTCTTCCTTTCCACTTGGATTGGGCTTAGATTTCTCCCTCTTTTTTTTGTTAATTTCAATTTGGGAATCTAGGGTTTCTAATTTTTCTGATTTTAATTTCAATTTTTTTTAGATCTTAAAAATAGTTTGGAGTTCAATACCAAACAAGTTTTTAAAAAGAATCATGATTTTGGAGTTCACTTATTGAGAAGGATACTAAACAAGACCTTATTAATTCAATTTATAAACTAAATAGGTAAAGGACGTGTGAGGAGGCACTTTCATAAGAAGATCACAAGTGCTTTGAGTTCATGGATGACGTCCTAATTATTTATCTCTCTAAAACGTGTCAAAACCAACCTTGTGTTGTATTGGATGGAAATAGAGAGGAGTTGAGGAGAAAGTAGGAGATGTGAAAATCGTTTGCGTGCACTTGCACTAAATAAGAAAAACATATTGGGAATTAGTGATGAGAGCGTGGGGCTGCGGAATTGATCCCCTTTGCTTCGCAGCTCGCTGATTTGCTCATGTTGAAGTGAAAGCATTTTTTTTACTTAAAATCATTTAATTTTTATAAAATATAATAAAGGACATGAAGACTGGTGATGATCAACTCGTGGTCGTGGACTTATTTGAATTTTGACCGAGAAAACCAAGACTGGGACTCATCTCCTCCTCATCAGGATTCAGGACAGAAGGATGGACGGAATGTTCAATTATTCTATATTAACAATATTCTTTGGTTTACCAAGTCCCCCACCGGATCTCGATCGCTAGATATATCATATATACATGCAGTGGGCCAGTGGCAGTGCAGAAGAATATCTTTATAAGGGACGTAAATTTACATTCATGCAATGCAAACAAAACAGATTTAACATTTCAAGCCTCCTTCGTTGGTTGCCTCTCTCACTCTCTATCTCTCTCTCTAGTAAATAGAATTTAGAACCCATACCAATACTGATAGTCAAAGGTCTTTCACATTTGTATTTGGTGTTAAAGTTTGATCCAAACATCAATTTTAATCTTTTTTCATTAACGTATCTCCAAAAGAGAAGCATTTTTCTAAATAAAATTCATCATTTCGCGAATAATATGGCTCTAATTCTATTTTTTTCTTGTGTTTACAACTACTGCGATTTATATGATGTAATGTATACATTTATTTCTAGAAAAATTATAGAAACTATTAGTACAAGAAAAAATTATCATTAGATTTTAAGCTAATAACTTAAGCTTGCTCACCGATTGAAAAATTCATGGTTCCGCATCTTATGGGTAGGTTGATAATCACAAATCGGTTCAAACCTAACAACCTGCCCTCTGTATATTTGGTGTGGTTCTGGTCAGTGGTCATCACCTACGACATCTATCCGTCAAATCAACAGTAAAAGCAAAAGTATATATGCATGAACACACATATCTTGAATTCAATCTATTTTAGTGAGAAAAGTTGCCCTCTTAACTCCAAATTAATGCATAAATAAACAATAATGACAATCGAAAACTGTTGTGATCTGAATCTGATAGAGTAAACACGATAATCATGTACATGTACTGACCCACATATGTAATATGCATGCACCAACCAAGTCCATGCAACCTTGTATATATAAATACCTAGCTAATTAAGCATAAAGCTGGCTGCTTTATATAAACTTTTCCCAAGTAATGGATGGTTAAGAGTGGATCGTTAGGCATATTAGGTACTAATGGCATCTAGGACTAGTAGTGCAAAATTATTCGATCGCGCGTTGATTAGTTTCAAAAGAGTATATAATAGTATTGAATTAAGCACGTTTAATTAATACTAAGCTATTGTAATTAAGTTGGATAGTTAGTCAGCTTTATTCTTCACGTGGAGAGTATATATAATATATATATATATATATATATATCGTATCTGATGGGTGATTATACGTAGTTTTATTTAGAATGAAAAACGCAAATTCAACACATTGACAATGTCATTCTACTTGCTACTTGTTTCTGTTAATTATTATATATAACGCTAACTAATACTTTACTTTTAAATAAATTACACCAAATCCAAATTGGAGCTGCTGCCAATTTTTGAAGAACTAGCACACACACAGAAATCAAATTTCGGTTTTATGGTCTACGAAGCGGTTGTTGACTCCAACCACAGCCGTACATGTGGGAATATCTGACAATCAACAAGAACTACCGACGGTGGCGTCCACACAGGACACAGCCATATCCAGTTCGTAGTACTGTAACACTTTTCAGCCGCATGCCCGGCGACTTGTATGAATGATCGAACCGCAACATAGAAAGTACTTAAAAGTTCGGTCCATCTTTTGACAAAACAAAAATGAAAAGAGAAGGAAAAGAAGAAGAAGGTGTTCAAAATGAAGCACTTGAACCCATTCAAAGTTTTTCTTGACAAACAAGGAAAATACTTTTATAATGGGTCAATACACTCAAGTAATATATATACAACAAAGTTACATACAACTGGAATTCACTAAATATATATGTTATTATTATTCATGTGGGCCGGCCGAACTTAGGACCTCCTTCAGCCAATTGAAGATAAATACCATTAGACCAAAGACTAGTTGTGTTGGTGGAACCGATTCGAAGTTAACTCGCATGATTCAACTCAAAAAATAAAAAGAAGAAGAAAAGAGAAGGTCGCTTAAATCAGGAGCGCGGAGTCAATTTATTATTAAAAAAAAGCCACGTCAGTAGGTCATAGTCAAACTTCCGACATTCTTGAACTCTCCCATTATATTGGTTATTTCGTTTGATCAGCTTCTCTCCTTGTCTATAAATACTGGGTTCCCTTCTCTTGTTAAACTCACAAAACCATAAAAAGGCTTAAAAGAGACGCACACAGAAAAGCGATGGAGTTCATTGGGTCATTTCAACTTTTCTTCTTCATCTTCATGGCCGCCATGGCACTGCTGTACATGTGCTGCAGCTTAATAAATTCGTTTTGGGTTTCTCCAGTCCTAGCTTACAGGAAGCTTAAGAAATATGGGCTAAATGGTCCATCTCCAAGCTTTCCTTTAGGAAATCTCACTGAGATGAAAAAGAAGATAAATGTTAAAAGCTCTTCGTCTTCAGTTGGCCAGCCTAACTCAAATATCATCACCCATGACATTCACTCAACTCTATTTCCTTACTTTGCTCGCTGGCAGAGCTCCCACGGTAATTAACAACATTACCTTCTCCAGCACTTATTTGCACTTGCTTTCAAAATCAGTCCTTAAGTATCAATTAGTGATAAATGTGTTTTACAGGTTAACTAATTTTTTATTATGTTATATTCACATATGCAGGAAAAATGTTCGTCTATTGGTTAGGCACAGAGCCATTTCTGTACATAGCCGATCCAGAGTTACTGAAAAAATTGTCTACAGAGGTCACAGCAAAGAACTGGGGGAAGCCTGCTGTGTTAGACGTGACAGAGCTGCCATGTTTGGTAATGGCCTCCTTATGTCAGAAGGTGATGACTGGGTTCGTCACCGCCACGTTATCACTCCTGCTTTTAACCCTACCAACTTGAAGGTCCCTCTCTCTCTCTCTCTCAAAGATGCTTTTTCTTCTTTTCATTATATATATATATAGCTTATTCTATTATGAGAATCTCAAGTTTATAAAAACACGGAAATGGCAAAGCATTACATTCCATACAAAGGTTAAAAAGCTTGTTTCGTATAAAAGAATATAAAACCTTAATTGGGTGAAGAATTTTTCTTCTAGTGCTTTGACTTTTAACATTTTTATATCAAATCCACTCAATTAGATTCCATGTGCAATCGTTATTACAGGCAATGGCGAGCTTAATGGTGGAGACCACCACAGAAATGCTGGACAACTGGAGGGTCCTCATAGATTCCGGCTCTCAGGAAATCGACATCGAGAGAGAAATCACTGCCACGGCAGGAGAAATCATCGCCAAGACAAGCTTTGGCATTAGTTACCAAACTGGGCGACTAGTGTATGAAAAATTAAGAGCCTTGCAAATGACCCTCTTCAAAACGAGCCGTTTTGTGGGAGTTCCCTTTGGCAAAATGATGCACCCTAAGAAAACCCTCGAGGCCAGAAGACTTGGACAAGAAATCAACCAACTGTTCCTGTCAATCATCAGTGCTCGGAAAAAATCGATCAGAGAGTCGACGCCGCAGCACGACTTGCTCGGAATACTGCTTAAGCAAAGTGAACAAGGAGGTTTTACAAAGGCTTTAACCACACAGGATCTGGTGGATGAGTGCAAGACATTTTTCTTTGGCGGTCATGAGACAACAGCATTGGCAATCACATGGACAATGTTGCTTCTGGCCACTCACCAGGATTGGCAAGATCAATTGAGACAGGAGATTAGGGAAGTGGTGGGAGATAAGGAGATTGATGTCAACATGCTTGCTGGACTAAAGAAGGTAATAATTCATTTATACATATCTCTCGCATTGTCACATCATTTTCAGCTTTTACATATACCATCCCATGCATGCATGCGTTGTTACAAACTTATGCTTTCTGTGGTGCGTCTGGATTTCTCTAAAGATAAAGTCTAATGTCTTTCAGACTATAAATATAGAATTCAATGCATGGAAATTAAAGTACATGTCGACCAATATATTTTTAAAGGAGCAATGGTTTCCAGATTGAAATTAAATTAATGGGATGCTTAATTAACTAAGGTTAGACAGTTAGTTGGCCGTCAAGCCATGGGTACATGCCTAATTAATTAACTCGTGGAATAGGCCGTTGAGATTGGGATGTGCATATCTGGAACCTAAAACTAAAAATAAACACGAAAAAAAAAAGGTCAGATAGATTTGGATTTGGTCAAATGGTCAATGGTCAAACAACAGAGTGAAACCTTTGGCCTCAGTCTACGGGTTAAGGCGCGTGGGAAAGCAAGCACATGATTCCCATTGTCACATATAGGCATGACAGCCTCACATATAATAACAAAGGAACACTTTGAGTGTTGGATTGCCACCTGGCAAACCACTAGTGGCTTCACCGGCCAATTGGATTGCCACCTGGCAAAACACTAGTGGCTTCACCGACCACCTGGCAAAACACTAGGGTCATACTCAGGTGCAAGGGGATGAGTATATTGTCTTGATCAATTGACATAACCCATGTTTGCATTTTGATTTGTTCTTTGATTAGACTAATATTTATGATTAACTTAATTCATTGTAATTAATCATGCAGATGGGATGGGTGATGAATGAGGTTTTTCGATTGTATCCATCGGCACCAAATGCACAGAGACAAGCCAAAGGGGACATTCAAGTGAGTGATGACCTGGCAATTCCCAGTGGGACCAACATGTGGATTGACATAGTGGCCATGCACCATGACTCAGCTCTGTGGGGTGATGACGTGAATGAGTTTAAGCCCGAGAGGTTTAAAGATGACACACATGGCGGGTGCAAGCACAAGATGGGCTACTTGCCTTTTGGGTTTGGAGGAAGAATGTGCATTGGTCGAAACCTAACTTTCTTGGAGTACAAGATTGTCCTAACCCTAATTCTGTCGAAGTTTTCTTTTACCATCTCTCCCACTTATTGTCACTCTCCTTCGGTTGTGCTCTCTCTCAGGCCTTCCAATGGCCTGCCGCTTGTTCTGCATCCCCTTTAGGCACAACAAGGGCCTCCAGCTTCTATCGCTCCTAATTCCTCCATTGTATAAAACGCATATTTTTTTTCTTGCAGAGAGAAATTGTAGAATGCCTTTCATTTTTTACTATAATCTCAGGTCATTCAATCAACATATTCTTTCATTATCTTTTAAATGGGTCATTCCAATCTGAATGCAGTAACAATTAAACGAATTCAATATTAACAACAAATTCGATATTAAACAAATAGGAACCTACAATTAACAAGAAAATGACGAGCTCATGAACATAAAATCGAAGTCATTTTTATTTCACTACTAACAAGGGTCTAAATAAAGGATCACGCACACTACATACATGTAAACTGAGAAAAGAGTTTCTAACAATATTAACCATAAGCAGTATATGGGGGAACGCGGGAGGGAGAAATGATCACATTTTACCGTGATAGGAACTATCCTTGAAGCAGTCAAAGACTCTAACCTAGTAAACAGGGCCTAGCTAGCACCTTATTTGATACTTATTATTCGAGTTTTTTCGATCTCTGTTATGGAGGAACCCTAGAAAAGAGGTAAATTTGCTGGAAAGCGGACATGCATCCATTGTTTCTCATGTGTCACCAAGTGTTTCCAACCAATCTCATCAAGCAGGGAGATCTTCAATTCATAAAACTTCTTCTTGGGAGGCTCTCCATCGTCTTGGATTATGTCATTCAAAGCCTGCGCTTGTAAATGATCAAGTCAGATAAGAAGGCTAATTCACTGACAAATAACAACCAAAATCTGTTCTCGAACATGATAAAACATTCCTCTTTGACACCATTCCCAAGCAAATACAAACTTCAGAACTAGAACTGACATTTGAAGATCACTTTGTATGTTTCTAGAGTGTTCCTTATTCTTTTTAAGTTTTACGGGACCTGGAACTCATTATTACATTAATGGGATTATTCATGGTATTAGGCGTGATGCAGTGTGCTTAAGTTCCTAAGAGTGAGAGGGAAGAAGAAAAAATATACCTTCAACGCTGTTCCAAGCCTTTTACAACGTCTCTCACGACGTACTAAGAGGGTTCCAAATTTAGAGGACTTCACTTCGACCCAATTTTTAAGTTCTTTGAAGTTATCTTCAAACAAATCTTTAGTCTTTTCTGCCCCTTCTTCAGCCTTAGGGGGCTTATCACCCTGCAACAATAATGATAATGATGCATGTGCTCCATTTAAATAATGGGTATAAGAAACAAATTGACCATATCACTGGTAACTAGATAACATTTAAGTAAAAAATACAGTATAGAGAGTTCCTTATCAACATTCATAAGTATGGAGAAATGATCCCAAATTATAAACCAAAAACAAAATATACCAGCATGGGAATGGTTGCACCAAGAAAGCACACAGTTCAATTTTCGACCTATAATTCATCTCTTGCTTGGGTGAAAGTAACCAACGCTCATTATGTTGGAGTTGGATGTCTACCATTAAAGGAATAAGTTATCATATTTTCCTTACAAGTCCAGAAAATACTTGGCTCTTCTATGGATTTCAAAAAAACAAAGAGTTCCTCAGATGTTTAAAGCTCAACGTCCTCATAATGAATAATTTATTTCTTCTACAACAAAAATGCTTTACATTAAACTAGACATACTACCATCACAGGCTGACCAACTAAAAATAAAATCTGGCTGTGCAACTCTGACGTATTTTTACAAAAGCATATGTTCATCTCATACTTTATATCAAAATTTAAAACTGCAAAGTATTAACCTAATAGAATGTAACTATGAAATTAAACAGAAAGAACTGTTCAAACCTGCAACGATTCAATCTCTGCAAGTGCTAGTCCTTTTTGGTACAACGCCTCTGCTAACTGATCACGGGTTGTCTCCATCTTCTTTTTAATTTTCTACGACAAGAAACAGTACTAGTCATTATTAACCAAGAAAGAAATTCAGGTGGAAAAAGCTTCTAGGATTTGCTGATTCTCTGAAAGAGTTTCAGCGGATCTCTGTTCATATTGGTTTTAAGAAAGAGAGTTATAAAAAAATTAAAAAAAAGAATAAGTTAACACATACATACCTCTGCCTCTTCATCATCAGGATCACTTCTGAGTGCAAAAAATTTTGCTAGCTCATCTTTGTCAACACTGTCAACCACCTCATTTGCTGCATCAATAACCTGCAAAGCAGAACGTGGTAACTGCTATCAGATCGCTGCATAAACCCATCCCTCAAGGTATCAATTAACAATATACAAAACTACATCATTCTTGACCACACACTTGTGCTACACTACCTCTTTTTCATGGAGGACTTTGTCCTCAATAATGCTTTGAGAAACCAAACCTTCCAATATCTTCGCAAGCAATGGAGTGTATTTAGGGTATTCAGACTGCAAAGAGAAACATAGGGTACATACGATTATATAGAAATCCGAAACAGACTTAAAAGCCAGATGCTCAATTATTGACAAAATATATTTGTACATACACTGAATGGAAGTAAAAATTAACAGTTCAGAACGTGTAGTTCCGGAACAGATTTCAAAGTAGCTACTCAAAGGTGAGTGTCGTGTGCTTGTGTAAAATATGCAAAGTTAATAACAAGGTACTCAGAAGTCAAAGCCCCACTATCCATGTTGAATGAATGTACAAACTAACTGAAATAAGAGCTGACCAGCCTCATTTCAAGATTCAGTTGAAAAACCATACACCCTACCATGTAGAGAATAGATGAAAATGAGTTTAAATAAAGCTTTTCTCCCATGTTAAATAAAAACATAAGATGGTCAATTCCTGATCATCTAACCTAAATCATTAAGCTATATCATAACAATACGAGCTAGACCTTGAGAGAGGAAGATAATTTTTTCCACTCTGAGAATTCTTCATCAGTGTCTTGTTTCAGGCTTGCAAGAACTTTAATCTTTGCATCTCGAACCTGATTCACAAAGCATAGACAATAAGCATCAGTATCACAGATAGTGATGACTCAATGGAAAAGTCTGCAACCGACTTTGAAAATCCATAAATAAGGGTAACTGAATGTATGTGCTCAGTCCTAGAAGTGCCACACAAATATCAGGTTTTTCAATGTTCTATACTGAAGCATGGTGATACTATAATCACAGGTAGATGTAAGTGAGCCGAGTGGGGTCCTCGGCGAAAGGGGAATACAAACAAACCCACAAACAAATCCTTGACAATATAAGACAAACATAAGTATGGGTGTATGTCTCCCCGTAGATGCACCTATGTGAGAAACCCACTACTAAAATAACAGCTTTTGTATGAGCATCTTGACAAAAAGATGGCACCTTAAGTAACTCTTATCCATGATTTTACTACAAATCTCCAAACAAGCGTTGGAGACAGGTGGAAATGAGTAGCATGCCATCGACTTTGCCAACTTGAAAGTCAGAAGTAACCTATAATTTTTTCCCAAAGTAACCTGCATGAAAATCTGATGCATCCAGTCAGATGAAGAATCATTAGTCTATGTGCCTTGCATACCTCTTCATCTAATCGCTCAGATATACCCTTAGTTGAAGCAGAAGAACCTTTTCCTTTGTCCTCGTCCAGCTGCAAAAGCATTGTAATAAAAACTATTTATATACACATGTTATTTGGTCAAATAACAGCAAAAATGGTATATCTAACCAAAGCTCAGTTCAGCTGGTCAGTCACATTAGGACGTATACGATGTCTTAAGACTATTGGAAAACAATACAAGGCAGCATATATAAAACCTTATTTGGTGGCACTATATATGATATCTGATAAGACACAGGGTTCTTCAGTGGATTTTTCCCCTCTCCCTTTTCAACATATGATAACTTCCCATATGAGATTGCTCCTAGTAAAACAGATCCTTGTGGAGAAAACTGCAGAAATTTCATAAGTAGTATTAAAAACTTTCAACACTAACATCAAAATAAAAGTAAACATAAAAAACATAACAAACCTTTGGGATTTTGTCTTTGGATGGTGGACCCAAATAGATTGCTTCTTTCTTCCTACAACAATTCCAATAAGTTAAATAGCATTACAAAATGACGTTATTAAACTACAAGAAGAAATTATTCAGTCACATACCCTGGAACTAAAATGGAGGACCTATAAGAACCGTTTCCCATCAAAGAGCCATCAGGTTGGGAGAAAAAGCTCAATCGGATTACATCCTGGTTTAGAAGGAAACCAGAGCATTTAATAGGTAATGAAACACAGACGCATTGATCACAAAATGCACCTTCTGATAATGACACATTGATTTGAACTGATTCAGGGGTATAACAGATAATCTTATACAGTTTTGGTTCAACAAGCACGCCACTTGATCAAATGTGACACAAAATCAGATTCTCAAACCATCCTGACAAAGCATTTTATTCAGCTATAAAGATCATTAAAGAGATTGAAACTCTACCTTCTCTTCCAACTTCCTCTCAATGAACAACACCAGCTGCTTCAACTTTTCCAAATATTGCACATTGTCGTGTCTAAGGTTGAAACACCTCATATTAGATAAAGTTTCAATAGCAAGTTAAGATAAATTCATAACCAAGTATTGGACTTAAAACTAAGTATTTCACAACATTTCAACAGCGAAATAATAGCATCTACAGGCATGCTGGTTATGTGTTGTCTCAAAAAGGACCATACCTCAAATATAGCCGTAAATTGTATTCACCCTTGGGCAGTTTTGAAGAACTTGGATAAGTGTCACCCATTGCATATACACGCTACGATCAGAAAGGTGAAAAGAGTAAGAAATTCCAAAGAAAAGAGTACATTTACAACTACCAAAGCGTTGTAATAATAAACCACATATTAAGTTATGCAAAGGAACAAAGCTCAAAAGTACCTTGTTTGCATCAGAGATCATATAAAATTGAGACTCAAATTTAGTGTCGTACACGCGATTGTTAAGTAGTGGAACTTGAGGCTTTACTTCAGCTCCGTCTTCCAATTTGAACTTGTAACTGAAAGAACCAGAACAGAAAGGGTCGATTACGATAAAGCGCAAAGTGCAGTCATTCAACGCAGCAAATTAAGAAACATCAAATCATAACTCACGTTAAAGTAAGTGCCAGAATACGTTTTTCTGAGGGTAGTTTGTCACGATCTGTTGGCAGAGTAAAAAGTTTAGACTCAACCGGCCGATATGGAATTCTTATCTGCAAGTTTATCTCAAAGGGAAAAGACACCATATTAGAACAGCACTGGTAACACACAGTTAAGGAACAACATATATGGTCACCATCATCTATACAAGAGAAGCAACTTCACCTTGTTTAGAATAGCAGCCGGTGCAAGTTCCTCAGAAGCCAGTAGAGCTTCAGCTTCAATTCTGATCGGTGCTTCACTTCCATCAAGTACTACTTCATCTTTATTAATGTTAATCCCATGAAATACAATCTGAAACATTTATACAAAACCCGCATGTAAGGCTCTCCAATGAAGTTCATTACAAACATCAAATACTATCATGATTCCAGAAGATTTTTCCTGCCTATTTTCCCCCTCAAAGACACCACATGACTGACAACAAAACTAAACTTAATTGTTATAAAAGGTTTTCAGATTTATCTCGAAAGAGATAAAAGTAATAAAATAAAGGATTTCCAAAGAAGGATATGTAAGATATTATCAGTCAGATAGATATGCGAGATACTTTTTCTACAAGTTGAAGAATTTTAACAAGTCTATCAGTTGGGAGATGATGCAGTTTCTCAACCCAAATAATATGGAGAAAGAAAAAAACATAAGTGGAACTATAAGAAGATAACGTAGAAATCAAATGAGTTATTACAACATCATAATAATAGAGAAGTCCAGGAAGTTAACCACAAAGCAAATTCATGGCATCATCAGTACAAGTAAAAAATTAAGGAATAGTGGAAAATAAACAGTAAAAGTGTTACAATTTTACTCGATATGCTATGTCCAAATACAAACAGCATACCTCAAAATCCACAATAGTTGTTTCATGACTTCCTATCCCACTCGACCAAAATTGAGCAATAGCTAATTCCATTGTCTGACCACCCACAACAGGAAATGAAAAGCTTTTGGAACCCGGAGAAGAGAATGTTACAACACTCTCCCATTTACGAGGTCTTTGCAGGGGACAAAGCTGGACATTGCAAGCATGTTAAAGCAGGCTTACCCCATTTGATATAAGTTTTAACTGCAAGCTATTACCTGAAGAGAGTCAATAAAAAATCTTCGTGCTGTATCAAATCCTGATGTTTGCATGGTTGCTTCAACCCATGTAGCACCAAGAGGTACTTCTATAAATCTCCTTTCTATGTGGCCTAACCATCAAGAAAAAGAATTGCCACCATCAAAGAATTGTCCATATGATTAATACCAGCCAATTCAAAACATAAGCATCTAAGAATAAACTGTTAGTAACAAGAAACGGAGAAGAAAGACAACCAACACTGCCTCACACCTGGCAAAAATGACATCTTAGAAAATGGAGGTCGATTTATCACAGCCATAGGCTTTGTTATAGTAACAGGGATTCTGAAAAGAGGGCCGCGCCATGGTGCATTGCAATCAACACCATGTAGTTCATAATAGTGTAGACCTTCACTAAGTTTGGTGGGATCCACAACTATGCTGAAAAGATAAGGAAAAAGAACTTGTAACTGATGATGAACAAACTAACACTTAACTTACCCATACATACAAAATCTATTAAGGAGATTAGATGGAAAGATCATAAGATTAAAGAGTCCAAAAATAAAGAAATGTCCAAACTCTTAAGACATCACAGAAATAGTTAAATATCATACAAGCAGCTTATGATAAACCAACATGCGCTTTTGTTCCTTCTGCATGTATATGTCTGTGCATGTATATTCCAATGATGGAAAATTGTATCAGAATGAAGCTTAATTCCCTGCCCATTCGCTCTGTTCTGGGAATTTGGTTCACAAGTAAATGTCTATGCCATAGTTTGGGAGCAGGGAGCACCCACAAGAACATGCACTCACAACTAAAACAGATGTCGTGCTATGCTCCAAGCCACATATAAAAGTATGAGAACACACAAGATGCATGCATGCAATGCAACAGATGAGTCATGCATTCTTTTAAAGATAGAGCATGCAAATTGGAATCGCAGAAAAACAAGTTAGTCAATTTTATAGATGAAGAAAAACAGGAGAAAACAAATCTTAAAAGAAAAAGGGCAAAAATCAGTGACAAGTAGAATTAGAGCTAATATGTGGACAAATTAACTGACAAAAAATAGGAACACTGAAATAGTGCTAACTAACTTGAAGCTACGCCCATTATGAGTAAGAAGGAGATAATCAGGAGCCCTCACAACTGCCTTCTCACTGGAATGTAACTCGATGCACTCCTCAAAAGGAACCAATTCTTCTAAATTACTTGCACCTTCGTGAAATTTTGGTTCAACTAGCACTGTCCACTGTTAAAAACACTACTTCAGCTATATATAAATCGACAGACGCAATGAAATTCAAAATTGGGACTGAAAGAAATGTTGCAAAAGTTGTTCTTAGCAAGTTTATATCTAAAGAAAATAACCATAAATAGGAAACCACAATAAATCTTAAACTACATATTCGTCTTATGAAATTCCAGCATGTCAATAAATAATTTTACCTCAGTAGATTGTTGTAAAGCACTAGCCTCCCTTAAGTATATTCCTCGTGATGTAGGCACTGCCATCAAATTATAGTCACAAAGTAAGTTCAGTGCATTAACATAACCTAAAATCAAGAGAACAATTCTCGAACATAAAGTGATTACCAAGAACCTAATAACAAGTGAACTGAAAACCTAAACCTGAATAGATCCATGCAGAGGTTATATCAGACTTCATATATTAGCATGCAGAAGGGCATTACCAAATCTTCCAAAATAGTGACATATTTAGTCTTTTTTTCTTCATAGGAGACAGACTTAACACTTTAGAATTATCAAATTTTGGAGGCAATCATCCCATCAATCAAGAAAATAGGAAGTCTCATGCTAAAATTAAAGTATGTGCAACATCAACACATATTGGCCATGCACCAGCAATTTTGTGCTTTTCAACGAAGAGTGGGAGAAATGAGAGCAGGGTGGCACTAAACTTACTTGGTTTACTAGATTGATTTATCTTTATCTGATACCAAACACATGGTACACCCCGGGTCTGCCTTAGATATTCATGTGCCCTGATAATCAGTAAATAATCATGATTTATCTCAAAATTACATGCAGAAATCTATAGTAGGAAGGAGTGAAGGCCCAGATCAAAAGTCTAACTTGTCAACTTGCATAAGCCCTACTCCAGTTGATAGTTTATCTTCTGGTAGACTGCCTATCGGAACAGATGTATTTTCAAGAGCCTTCCTTACACTATATGGACTCACAGGAATACCTTCAGCCTGCCAAAAACAATAGATTTTGGGAAGTTACACCCCAAAATAAACATTTGTACAAACAATGTCTAAAGAAAAAAAGACAAAACTACTAATGCATAACAGAAGTACCTTCAATGCACTTATGAGCAAAGCAATTCCTCCACAAGCAGATGGAGATGCCATTGATGTTCCATTCATGAGCATGCGTTGTTGAAGAGTCCATGTAGGAACAGGAGCAACAGCCGCACCAGGAGCACTTATACAGACACCAAGATCTCCATCGGCGGTCGGTCCACGGCTAGACCTGCATATTAAGCATAAATTCTCATGAAACTAGAAGACCAACCTAAACGAAGTCGAATGCGGGAGCTCACATTTAAAATTGGAAGTCAGAAAATGAAGTTTATATACCAAGTGTACTCAAGCCCTTCACCAGGGGCTTCAACTACACAATGAGCACCAGCAGCCATTGCTGGAGAGACGTATGCACCAACTCCTATAATGCTTGATGTGGTACCACCAGGTGCTCCAACAGTGCTCAGTGCTGGCCCACTATTGCCAGCACTACTCACAAATATTAGACGGTGCTTGTTCACGGCCTAGTTTTATAGCATGCATGGATAGAGTTTAGCATATTGAGAGCATAAAAAATAAGAGCAGGAGAAAAAAAAATTGTAGTCAAATGAGCCAGACACAAATTTAAGAAATCATACTTCATTAACGAGGTCAACAAAGCGCCCATAGTCTGGCAGTAAAGTAGGTTCTCCATAACTCATGTTGATCAAATCACACTTATGCTGCAGAAAACATTATAGAAAGACCATCATTATACTAACCTATACAACGCATTGGATTCCCTATAATCCATGACCACTAGTGGCATAATGCTGAACTCCTAAACAAGACTTGGACAAACTACAACTGCTGGTTACCTTAGAGAGATTAGAAAATAATCAAATTTTAAAGTACCTCCACAGCAGCAATCAAGGCTCGAGTCAAACCAGTTCCTGTCTCCATTGAACCTAAGCGCGAGTCTCCAATTTTACAAGATATTAGTTGTGCTCCAGGTGCAACTCCATTCAACAGGGGCTCCTAAGAACAACCACATTTATCATAAGTATGTTATCCTAACCTTGAGAAAAAGTGCAGCAAATGGATAAAACCTACACAATAGTACCTTTGGGTGGAAAGCAGTAGCAATACCAGCAACATGAGTGCCATGGGGAGAGCTATCTGTCACAATACTTACGATATTCCCTTCATCATAAACATTAACAACAAATGTACAGGCATCTAATTTGCTAAAAACACCGTATTTTCGTTCTATCCTGCAAGAAAGTTTATTTAAGTCAAAATTCCATAGAACCGATCCATGATCATAACCACCCTATTGGAAAATAAAACACCAAACACAAATAAGTTTGCAATTGAGAAATCAAAAGGGCTTTTCAGATGTAAAATTGTTTGGTCTCACTATACACATTTTATAATCATAAATAATTAAGTATATCTTACTTCTTTGCCTCAACATCATTATACTTTTCTAATGAAATTGCCACTAAACCTAGCCAACCATACCTATAATTAGTTAGGGGCACAAAGTCTGCAAGTTTTCCACAATCTGGGTTATCCTCAAGAGTCTGTGTGTCAAGGGCAACCCTCCATACTTCTCCATTATGCCATACAACAGCATCTATGACAGGGCCTTTGTCATCATAGGTCTAGAAAACAAATTATTACCTTTAAGAGTTGCAGAGGAAATTCAAATTTAAAAAAAATACAAAAGTTAATATTTGGCACTCACATCAGCTTGCTTTTGTAGGTAATCAACTCTATTTTGCAGTTCCTCCCGAGCCCTTTTCGAGTTAGCATCATCCACTTTACTGTGTTTCTGGAAATATGGTAACATAAACAGTTACACATTTAGGAGCAATGCGATGCAAGCATACTCTGGTAATCATATATCAGAGTGAAACAGCTGGAAAGCTTGCATGTACATTTTCTATAAGAATTGATCAGATTATGGTAAAGTTGATCAGAGATGCTTTACAATGTGAACGTATATACATTTCAAATGATAAACTGTTAGCAGTTTTGAATCCATACCCTTATCTACATAGGTACAATATTAGAAAATGAACTACTTTGAATGAAAATGCAATCCAGGTACACAACATATGCAAAGAGGAAGTGCATAATTTAAGAACCCATGTAGGCAAGAATGCAAAGAGAAAGTGTATATTAAGCTTACTTGAAAAGTGCAATAATAATCTTTTCCCGTTTATTTAACATTTTCAACTGCATTTATGGTGTGCTTATATCAAATTAACAAATGGATCAAATGGGTAATGTGCGCTCTAAGGATCATGCATATGCAAGAAATCAAGAATCAGCATATTCAAAAACCTGGTCAAATTCATGAAGATCCTTAAGAGCCTTGGCAATTTCTTCTTGGTTTTGTTCATCCCATTTTTTTCTTCTTTCTTTCTGTCAATTAAAAAGACGTCAAATTTGATCACTATCATCTGAAGTGATGATGTAAACTATAAATACAATTCCAGTAAACCAATCAATGGATCATAATTTCAATGCTTACCTTCAAGCGAGAAGTCAATGTATCTGTAAACAACTCGTATACCAATTTATAACCCACATGCCATTCACCAGAAGGATTTTTCCATGAGGAGTCGACAACCAGAGATGCTCCTGTATGAAACTTTGCATTAAAACCCAAGCATGGCATTTTTGAAAGCAGTGCTTAGCTCACGATTTGATAGTCAATCAAAAGCATAAACACAGGCTACAAAGCTTTAAAGAAAATGCAGGAAATTTTAACGAAAATAAAAGCAGAAGCAATTGCATGCATAAAAACATCTACAATAAGAAACTAACCGGAAGCTCCACGAATAGAACCGTTTTCATCGGCCTTCACTACCTTTGAAGTATCGACATCACCACTCCCAGTACTGAAAAATTAAAAGAGAAAAGTTGTCAGATTAAATCATAGGTTCTAACAATACCAATTGCATGCTCAAATAAATTAGTTATAGTTACCAATCAAGAACATCTAGGATTTTCGGCTTTCCATCTGATGTAACTTGTAATCCAGAAGCAGCAGGGTCCACTCCAGAATCTGATTCACAGTTTCAGTTCAACAACTTAAGTTCCTCGGCCCAGAAAATCAATCCAATAGTTCTTTTATCTTTTGTCAACTAAATTCATTTTCTTAATTATGCCTAGCACAACAGATTATCTTTCTTTCTTATCAGTTCGTTCTTAACAATTCAACTTTCTTTCTCGTTTTCTCTTCTTGCAAGCAGAAATTAAGCGATTGGACTGAAGAAGATACCGAAGATAGCGATGAGGGCGCCACGGCCATCGTAATTGGGATGAGCCTCGATGAAGCGATCGGCGCCAATCTCTTTCTTCGGCATGAGGGAGGCCAAGAACGTGGACTCGTTCAGTTTGAAATTGGGCAGAGAACCGTTAGCCTCACCACCACCTCCACCAGCGCCACCAATTGCAGAACAAGGCATTGCCCTATCTCTACCGATGCTGCTTCTAGTCTCTCTCGGTCTTCTTGCTGTGCTGAGCTTTGTGGGTCTAATGATGAGTGAGAGAAATGATGAGTGTAGTGAGAGTCGTGACGTGGGCAAATACGGCAATTTGAATAAAACTACTGGGCATTGCATCCTTTTTGTATATTTCTTGCCAAAAATAAATGAACAAGGGTGGTTTGGTAATTTAGGACTGCGGTGGCTGCGGTGACACGAGGTGGTGAAGTGCAGCAGTTTTGGGACAGCTGGTGGAAGCCACTTTTATTTCTTTTTTCGTCAAAACAGCTGGTGGAAACCGCGACGGGGTTTTGTTGGATTGGATGTCAGTGGTGGTGAAGTTATCATTTGTCGTGGAAATTACTTGTTTGTCCTTGTAGGGATTGCAAATGATGGGATAGGAGGAGCCTTCGTTTTTCCTTTGTGGGAAATACCAATAAAGTATAATAGTATATGACCAAGACCAAGATATTTAAATTAAAAAAAATTAAAAAGCTTATTTGCTCTAGCCAATTTGGCTAATCTCATGTACGCATCTACATGGGTTAAAATTTCATATTTTTCGGTCTTTCAACTAAGTATTGCTCAGGACAAAGAGTTTGAGAGATTCCTGTATAGAATAGGAATAGCAACTAGTAAGGTAGAAGGAAAGAAAAAATAAAAACCCTAGCAAGATGACTGTGTTAATTTAACTTAAATAATAGAGAAGAGATATGGGGACGCCGGCGGGGGGCAGGGGCGGAGGTAGACACCCTCTCAATGTTATTGAGGCATTTGTTTTCTTAGCACAATTACCAATCTTTTATCAAATTTCAAAGTGCCCTTTTTATGTTTTCCTTCTCTCTCTTTTCACTATTATTTCTACCCTTCTAAATCGGTCTTATTTTAACTTTAAATTTTATAGTAATAAACTACAATTAGAATTTCTTAGCGTGTATATTTAACAAAGTACATTTAATTTCAATCAATATATTTTGCTAGTATCAATGATGAGTAGATAGTTAATGTTATATGTCAAATAATAGAGGATAGTAATCAAATTTAGGGATTTTGTATTAACTAAAAAATTGATTTAAATGTCATTTTAATATTTGAGGGTGCCCCCTCTGTACAAAGTTTATAGCTCCACCACTGCTCGGCGGTGACAATGTTGGACCTAATAGCTCTATGTATCACTATGTATTGTATTGTATACTTGTATTCTAGCTTCTTCCTTGTGAACCTTCTAAAGAATTTTGTCTCCTTGAAAATGTTGGACCTAATAGCTTCTCAAATCTTGTACAAGGGCCTGCAAAAATATTTTTCAGGTCAGATCTATGGAATTAATAATTAAATTTCACAATGGAAAACATTATTACTTGAGTTCATGGTATAAGGTTATGGCAGGTAGTGTCGCAAGGATATGGGCAGTCAATTTCCTTTGTTATCCTTCTGCTGAAGTACCAATCACCTACTGCTTCTGCAATGGTCTGGCAAAAAGCAAAATCTCAGTTTTTACTTAATTAAGACCTTATGAGCCTACAATACGAAAAATACTTCCTTAACTCAGATGCATTGTTCCCTTTTTTCTATCTCTCTCCTCTTTTGATAAGTGCCACGGGGAGAGAGATAGGAAAAAAGGGACAATGCAAGGGGTTTAGGGGAAGTTTTTCTCCTGCTATAACCTTCTGTAAAAGAATAATACTTAATTAAGATCTTAGGAAATTACCTTACTGTGAACTCTTGGAGAATCTGCAGAAAACCATGTGTCTTGAGACTCACTTTGGCAGTGAGCAAAGCATGAATTTATGAACAAGCCACCTCTTCTCGAATATTTGTAGAACAATCCCATAGCAACAATCATGTCACGCCTGAATTCTGAAAATGAAGAAAAGCAATGATATTTCGGCTGAGCAATTAGGACTTTTGCAAATTTAACAGTAAAATAGTGTAGGGCAGAATTGAAGAACCTTGCAATGTATTTAACTGTTCAGGATTGCACGCCGCCGGATTCAGTTTGCAACGGTTCCAGTGGCCGTGTGGATCAGCTGAAGATGGCACCAATATATGATGGAACTGTGGACATTAACAGCTCTACTAAATATTCAAAATTGAATCAAAAGTTTGCAATGTCACATGAACAAGGCATGGAGAATTTGTACCTGATAAACATCATAAGCTGAGTTCAATATGAAAAATGGTGTTGTAATGAACTTCAGTGCGTACTGTGGGAAGAAACACTGCATCCAAAGAAAGGCAAATGTTAAAACCATGTGATTGCTACGAAAATATAACAGCTCAACAATGCTACGAAAATCTTACCAACTCGGGAAAATCAAGGGAGCTGGCGGTGCAGTTCTCATCCAGATTCTTCTCTACCCCCTGCCATGCATACATCCAACATGTGATGTGAATACATATTTTTAAGAAAAATACAAATATACAAATAGAGCAAAGATTTGTTTTCTTAGGCATTAGTATTGTTACCTGTAGAGAAACAAGATCTTTAACGAAATACCTCATGGTGTGATTCGAAGTTATATCTCTTCTGCAGTCCAGAAAGGAAAGAAACGAAACAAAACGCAACATCAAAATTATGCATTAGCTGCAATCTGCTTTGAACTTGGAAAATGGACAAAGCTAACTTACTCATCAAGAAAGAATCCAGCGTCACTCAAGCATTTCACACTGGCATCGCTTGGTAAATATTTAGTGAAGTTGTTACAATGCAAAAAGGATGCTAAACCCCCAGCAGAACATCCTGATAACAGAGCCTAGAGCAGAGAAGGAATGTAGCAAGTAGTTGAATTCGAATATCTAAGTTTATATAAAATATTTTTGCAACTTGTTTGATCAGGTTTCCTATAAAAATAGAAGAAACTGAGGGGTGGGTTTTATTTATTTATTTACCTTTCTTGCTTGTCCTAAACCTTTTGGCAGAAGATCAAGAATGATAGCTTCCCAAATCTTTTGCCCTCTGAAATAGAGCAACGATGTCTGTAATTCATTTCACACGTGCATTCAACACATACATGCAAAGAACTGATCAGTTGATTAGGTATAAGAAATCGGCTTTTTCGGTAGATTTCAACAGCATGTTGAGAGATTGTGGATAAAGTGAAGGTTACTTAAGAATGTGGGAAGGAAATATTTGTCGAGAGAGAGAGAGAGAGAGAGAGAAAGAGAGAGAGAGAGAGAGAGAGAGAAATACCCCATTCTTAAATACGGCATCTCCAGCAAATGAAGCTCCATCGCAATATCTAAGCTTCACACGGTTCCAGTTGTAAAAATCTGGTTCAAAATCAGAACATAACAATTTCAGAAATGAGTTCACTGCAAGATTCTATCTTTGTTGCATGCATCATCATGTCATGTATGGATCCAGATTATGTTTACAAATTATAAAGCTTTTATCAGGACATGTAATTGATTATAAAAATTATTCGAATGATTCAATGGTGGGAGCTCTCAGCTCAAACTAAGTGGATACAGCTAACTATGCCATGAAGCTTTTAGAGTTACTATTCAGACCTTCCAACTGGATACAGGTCAATGTGCACAATAGGACAAAGGCTTATGTGTTGCCATGCCCTTAAACAGTCCAAGGACAACAAGAAATGACAACACTGGAGAAAGGTTGGAAGGTCGGCTGATCAAAAGCTACAAACTGAGAAAATAGCTGTCATCTCTGTAATAATCACGTGAAAGGGACAATAAAGAAAGCGAAGGAACATGGATGGACTGTCCGCCACAGAAACTTCACCGTCCATAGATAGGAGGGGGATTCGAACACAGGACAGTTGCACGGGTAACTACTCTTAACCACTTGAAGAAGCTCCTTGAGACTGGGTAACTACTCTTAACCACTTGGAGAAGCTCCTTGAGCCTGATGCTTTCATCCTTTAAATAAAGTGACTTTTTCTTCTTCTTATATTTAAGATCAATTATGAAAGGATTAGTGTTGTAACATGTGAAAATGTGATGACATATATGGACCACAAAATGAGTCAATTAAATCATGCATTGAGAACATGATGGCGAACCTGGATTTAGAGATGCATTATTGCTTAGAATTCCAGAGAAGACCTCCCACTTGGTCATGTAGCGTGTTGATCCTCTACGGCTTTTGGCTCTCTCCAAGCATGATTCTATGTCATTGCACCACCCACCACCCTGCGTTTAATTCATATGGATATATATTATCCTTCATGATCATCAATGCAAAACTTCAAGCTTTTCACGACCCCACACACCAACTAACTTACCTAACTGATTTACAGAATTGAGTTCCTTTAATAATGTGGATCATGAAAGTAACATTGCTTAACCCATAAGCGAAGAAAAACACCAAATAAAGTAGAGGCCCAAAGATCCACTTTTGGTACAACCACTCAACTCAGTAAAAATAACATTCCCCTAGAATTTTTAAAAAGACTAAAAAAGTAATCATGAATTAAGTCACTTGGTCACGGCAATAAAAGTCCATCCTTGTTCCCTTCTATTTCTTGTGTTAAGAAAAAATATGTATATAAACCACTGAGAAGAAGCCACGTCACAGTGCGGCGGACAACGCCAACAGCAGTGCCAAGATGTCTAGTAACGTGCACGGGACACCAAGACAAGCAATAACCAAGCACTTTTAGTCTGCGTGCAGACTTTTTGTCATATGACTGTTACTATTAAGTGAGGCGATAGTATATTAAATTTATACACATTATACGAATGTTAAAACTCAAACTCAAAATTGAAAGACTAAATTCTCTAAACCACTAGTAGGTCTTTTTCTATTTTTTAACCCCGAATTTGGTTCCTAAGTTTTTATTTTAAAAAAATAATAATAAAAAACAAAAAGAATTACCTCGAACTGTAAAAGCCAGTTTCTTGCTCCGGCCCCGAATCCTCTGTGCAGGTGATACCCAGGCAAACTCCCATCCAAGCAAACTACGAATATTCACCCACCGCCGCCACAAACAAAAACAAAACAAAAAACAAGTTAATAATAAAAAAAACTTTTAAATCTGTTTTTCTAAATACTCTTGGAGCTGGGTGAGATTGAGAAGAAGAAACTTACAAGCTCCGAGAGCCGGAGCGTTCCGGACCAGAGTCATGCCGACCAGGAGCCGCCGCTCGGCCGAGTGAATGCACCGAGGCGAGCACGTTAGCAGAGCCAGGGTGATGGCGACCAGTAGCGCGTTCGCATTCGTCGTCGTAGTAGCCATGCGCTCTCTCTTCAACTTTAACATTGAGTTTTCATGGCCATAGAGAGATATATAGAGTTGAGATTGGAAAAGGTGGAAACTGTGACTATACAAATACAATGACTCTAGTTGCTAAATTCATTGTAAGAAATTTATAAAGAAATTTATTTCGTAGCTAATCTCGGGCTTAATTTAATTTAATGAGAGAAAACTGACGTGTGTTAATTGATTGTTAAGACGGTGACGTGAATCAGTGCAAGTTTTTTGGCTCTGGGAACATTGAGAAACCGAGAGAGAGTAGGAGAAGATTTGGTTTAGGTAAATATGGAGCGAAGCAGCTAGTCTAGAGACGGAGAAACGAGTTGGAACTTGGAAACTTGGAAACTTGGAAACTTGGATTGGAGGAGGTGCTCTATAATCCAACTTGGGTTGGTTTTATGGGGCCCACCGCCTAAACTTATTTAGAAAATGGGCCTAGCGATGGCTAAATGTATTATGACTTGACGGTGAACCCAGACCCAATTGGGTAACTGGGTTGGTGATAAATTATTCTAACCCACTAGCCTTGAATTTTAGTCACTAATTGGTTTGTCCGTGACTGGCGGTTCTAGATTTTCAACATCTCATCAATTTTTTGTTTATTTATTTTTAAATATAAGTTATAGTCTTAAATGATAAGGAATGAGGGTTTTTCACACACACTACCTAAGTGACATGGGAATTCGAGTTGAAGACCATTAGTCCGCAACATCTCATAAAAAAATTTAGTTTGGATCGATTTGGTTATGGGTCCAATTGGAGTTTTGTGCTATAATTTACTTTTTTTTTATAAACAAAAATGAAGTTATTAACAAAATGACATCAATATGACTCTAATTACATGACGCGTTGTTGTAAATTCTGAGCATAACAACTTTCATTGCGTCATACTCTAATTTTTATGGTATGATTGGATTATTGGGATGGTAACTAGGATGTGATATCTCACAATAATGCATATGACTAGACGTGTGATTTGCAACTAGCATAACATAATTCATATTGCATTTAATTTCCTTCCCATAATGTTATGTAATTGCTTTAAATTAGGATGGTGACTTATTCGCATTCATATCAATCAAGTCACACTCCATTTCTTATCTATTATTTATAATGCTTAGGGTTGGAATTTTCACTCGACAAATCAGCTGACCCAGCCCAATTTTTTTGGCCCATAAAACCGCCTATTTCAATGTCAGTCACTTTTTTAACCCGATTCAAAAGTCTCAAATGTCGAAGCGATTCCAAATGTCTAGAACCGTCAAGTCAACAAGTCTCAAACTCTTACCTCCAATTACATACTCAACCATTTACCACCACACCAACATGCTTCCTTGTTTAAATATTAAGAGTAGCATTTTAATGGGTATTCATTTGGATAAAATTAAAATAATATTTAATTAGTAGAGCATTTCCAATAGATATGTCAAATTGTCATATGAACATAAAATGACAAAAATTGAAGGTTAAAGTTATTCCAACTTATACCTCATCACAAAAATTGAAGGTTAAAGTTATTCCAACTTATACCTCATCTCTCTCTCTCTCTCTCTCTCTCTCTCTCTCTCTCTCTCTCTCTCTCTCTCTCTCTGCAAAAATGGATTGGTACAAGGTTTGCTGAAAGGATTTGCCTTGACGACGCTGGCAAGCTTCCTTGACGATGGTAGGACTGAGATCGACCGATACCGACTTCAAAACGAGAAAAACTGAAATTCGACAAACTGACGACACGCGATGCGGTGACGATTCTATTTTTGAGCTATACTGACAATGTTGGTCAATACTTGGATGCATCAAATTGATTCGATACCCCTAATAATAATGCTTGGAGTCTCAACTCTCCTGTAATAAATTTTTATTGCTTCCAACCTTATATAAGTTTATCTTTGGCATATACCATAGTTGTTTTAATCTTGATTTTTTTTTAAAAGTATCATCAGTTTTTATTTTCTTCCTATAAGTAACATTATATATATTTTTTTATCTTTCAAATTTTATCTAATCGATTGAAGTAGCAAGCTGGCGTCATTTTCAGCTGTGGAATTAGCTCATGCTTCGATATTGTATTATTTTCTTCTTAGCTAGCTTTAGTGTTGTATTTGGATTTGTAAATTTATTAGGAAATAAATTAGATCTTATTTTCTTAGGCTGAAAGATTAATTTTAATGAGGATTTAATCATATTAACATTTTTATGCCAATAATAAACCGACTCATGAATTCAGTTATATGAAATGCAATAAATTTTAAGTACTTATGGGAGGTGGTGTTTCAAAGGGTAATACTAGAAGCATCTATATATAAAAAGTAAAAGGCAGCAAATGGTAAAACATTCGGAATATCAGAAAATGTCTTTGGTTAAAGTAAATATTAAGAATTGAAATTATTAATTAAATGAGGATAATATGGTAAAATCACAATTTTTCATATTAAGAAAAAATAGATAATGGATCCTATTTTTATGGAAGATAACTATACCCATTATCTTTTTTAATTATAAAATAAATAATTTCTTCTTTTTTTTAAAAAAAAAACCTCTCACAAGCACGGAAGCACGTGCGAAGAGACTAAAAATAATACAAATAAGATAGTAATTTTAAATAAAAAAATGCAATCTATACAATCAACGCGTCGTTGCCCTTTCAGTCCAGAGTAGGCCCAATATGCCAATCCAGCAATTGCTCTGTTGTACCCCCAACAAACCCAACCCAAATATGACAACAACATAAGATGTAGACCATTAGAGCATTTCCAGCAAGCAGGCTGGGGGGAGGGCTGGGGGGGGGCTGGGGAAAAATGTTGCTTCCAGCAACACAATGCTGCCAGGGCAAGGCGTGGGCCCCAGAAAAAAAAATTGCCTGGGCTAGCCCTCGGGCAGGTCCAGCCCGAGGAGCAAAACGCGTTTTGGGCCTGCGTCAGCGCGCTGACGTCACGACGACGTCAGCGCAGCTGTTTAAATTTTTTTAACGTTGGCGCTTGCAACGCACGCGCCAACATTAAAAAAAATTTGACGCACCCGCTACAGTGGAAGGCCAACGGATCTATTCCACGTGGCTCTTCTGCAACTGTCCGATCAAAGTAGCCCCAAATCCAACGCTTCTCATTTTTCCCGAATAAAAAAATGAAAAAAAAAATCGGAAGTTGCACCCAACGGCTCTCTTCCACGTGGCGATGCGCTGGCGCTCCGATGAAGTTCTTCCAGCAATCTAACGGCTGCTGTTCAATCTGGCCAAAAAATAATGAAAAAAAATGAAAAAAAAATCGGAAAAAATTTGAAAAAATACCCAAAAAAATACTGATGTTTTTTCCTATAAATACCAACAAATACTCTTCACTTTTAACACCACCTCTTCATACATTTTCTTCTCATTCTACCATTATTCACTTTCTAGTCTAAATTTTTTTCACTTTCAAGTTGAATTTTTCTAGAAAAATTTATGGGTTCTTCTAGTGAAACCGGAGGGGCATGGAGTGTCATGGAAGATGTTAGCTTGTGTGAGTCTTGGCTCCACATTAGTCATTGTCCCGTAACGGGCAATGAGATGAAATTCTGTCATATGTGGAAAAAAATTCATCAGGATTTTTGTGAAAGGGTAAGTGGTACGACCCGTACAGATCAAGCACTATCTAGTAGGTGGAAAATTCTTAACAAAGAGTTGGCGAAATGGAGGGATGCCTTGGCAAAGGCGATGGACAACCATAGAAGCGGGGAAAACCTTACCAGTGAGGTAATATTTTTGTAATTTTTGTTTTATTAATTTCTATGTCATATTAAAGTTAATTTAAATATTTCTTGCAATTTATATATTTTGTTAATATTTCTTGTATTTCCAATATTAATATGAATGTTTGTTGCAATATTTAAATTTTGTTTTTCATTTCTAATAAATTGTTAAGGTTTCTTGTATTTCCATTATTATTTTTTTATACTTGTTGAATTGCCAATAATTTTTAAAGTTTCTTGCATTCCTATTTTTTTTTTATAGACTATACAAGCACAAATGTTTTTTGGTGCTACTGGGCAAGGAAAAAAAAGCTTCAACCATACCCATTGTTGGGAGGTGGTGAAGAATTGTAAGAAATTCCAAATTATTCCAACGGGTCCGACGGTAGTCTTGAACGAGACGCCACTCTATGAGACACCGGCATCGGATTCACCTATGGATTCCCCGATGAGTCAAGACTCACCTATCGAAAAGGAGCCGAGGCCTATTGGGAGGAAGGCGGCGAAGGCGAAGAGAGGGAGTAATTCTACCAAGTCATCATCTAAATTTTTGGAGGAACTTTCAAGGATGCAAGCCATGAGAATTGAAATGGACATGAAACAACAAGAGCACGATAGGGCAATTGATGTAGAAAATGCAAAAGAAAGGGAGTATGTACGCCAACAAAGGGAGTATGCACGCCAAGAAAGGGAGTATGCACGACAAGAAAAGATTGAAAATAAGGATCGGGAAACAATGGCCATGGATACAACCCATATGTCCCCTGACACAAAACAATATTGGAAGCTAGAACGAAGGGATGTTATGAGACGAAGACTTTTTCGTGACGATGGACCTAGCAACACGGATTGGTTAAATGATCAAAACAATTAAGTTAGTTTGCTTGCCTTTCATTTCATTGTACCATTAAATTAGTTTGTTTGCCTTTCATTTCATTGTACCATTAAATTAGTTTGCTTGCCTTTCATTTCATTGTATTTTTTTTTTTTACAAATGTTTAGTGGTAATTCATGTATTTTATTTTATGAGTTGTATTGATTTTCTTGTAGTGAATGAAGAAAATATTCAACAAAATTCCTTTTTATTCAAAACATTCCATACATAAAAAGCAAACCACAACCAAAGCATACAAAATAAACAAACCACAACCAAAGCATAAAAAATAAACAAACCACAACCAAAGCATAAAAAATAAACAAACCACAACCATAGCATGAAAAAAACAACAAAGCATAACTAAAAATACAACATAAACATAATGCACTAAAATAACTTCTTCACTTGACTTCATTGACCTTCATTGCCTTTCACCGCCCACAAATGCTTCATCAAATCAACTTGACGGTGTTCATGAATATACGACGATTGCATCTCCGTGTAGCGCTCAATCATGCGATGCATGAAATTACCGTCTCTAACTAACGGATCATGTTGCACTGGTTCTCCATTTGGCCCCATAGGTTTTTCATAAATTCGTGTTAAGGTCGTGTTCATGGGATCTGGCTCATACACTTCCTCAACATCATAATCATACTCATCTTCCACAATCATGTTGTGGAGGATGATACAAGTCATAATTATACTTTTGAGCACCTCCTCGTCAAATAGACGCGCCGCGCCCCTGATAATAGCCCACCGAGCTTGAAGGATACCAAAGCACCTCTCCACATCTTTTCTGTACCCCTCTTGATAGGCAGCAAAAAATTTTTCCTTCTCGGATCGGGGATGTGGAATTGATTTCACAAATGTTGTCCATCTCGGGTAGATACCATCAGCTAGATAATACCCGTTTTGATACACGGTATTATTGACTTGATATGTGATATTTGGGCATTCACCTCTCAAAATATCATTGAACACCGGGGATTGACCCAGGACGTTCAAATCATTTTGAGAGCCGGCAACTCCAAAGAAGGCGTGCCAAACCCAGGTATCAAAACCAGCAACTGCTTCGAGGATGATGCTTTTCTGCCCTTTCCGATTACCATAATCCCCTTGCCAAGCAGATGGACAATTTTTCCATTGCCAGTGCATGCAGTCAATGCTACCAATCATTCCAGGAAATCCACGAGACTCAGCTTTTTGTAGAAGCCGTTGCAGGTCCCTGGGCGTAGGTCTGCGCAGGTAGTCCATGGTGTACAGATTTTCCACTGCATCACAAAATCGCACCAAGCTCTCCAAAATAGTGGACTTCCCCATCCGAGCAATCTCATCCACTTGATCAGCAGATGACCCATACGCCAACATTCGTATCACAGCTGTGAACTTTTGCTCTGGAAGCAGCCCCAAATCTCCAGCACAATTTTTCTTTTGAACAAAGTAGTCATCATAATTGCAAATATCATGCATGACTTTATTGAACAAATGGGGTTGCATTCTATATCTTGCTCGAAAATGAACATCAGAGTACAGAGATTGTGGGATAAAATAATCTTCCAGAAGATTCTTACCCCGAGAATGTCTATGTCTGTCCACATTCGATGCCCGGCCTTCTCGTGAACCACGACGGCTCTGGTTTTCTTCCTCCATCAAAGCAACGGCCACACCAAGTTGCTCATCTAGTTCTCTCTGCGCCCTTTTGCTTGCAGCTCTTCTGCGCATTCTTGCTCGCCTTTCTCGCTGTTGCCTATCCAAAACATCTTCCATGTCTGACATTGAGAATGGAGAATGAAATCTAAAATCTGAGAAATGAAATCTAAAATATGAGAAATGAAGATGCAGAGAAGATATGGTGTGGGAGGTATGAGCTGAGCCTCTGGTTTTATAGAAAAATTTAGACAGATAGAGATGACACGTGGCGCAATTTTAGAGGATGAAAATCTTATCTGAAATTTGAAATTCAAATGAAATTTGGAATTGGTAATTTATCTGGAATTTGAATTTCGAAATGTATCTGAAATTCAAATTTTGAATTTATCTCAAATTTGAATTTTGAAATGTATCTGAAATTTGAAATTTATCTGAAATTTATCTGAAATTTGAAACCGAAAATCTTATCCGATATGAATAGTATTGACACGTAGGAACCCAAAAATCTTATCCGAAAATATTATCCAAATTAATTGTTTAAATAAACAAAGTTGTGAAAAAAACAAAAAAATGAATAGTATTTGCCATGGCAAGGGGCTAACTGCTGGAAACACCATTTGCTGGGGGGAGCTAGGGCAGCCACTATTCACGTGAATAGTAACTGCCCTAGGGCTCCCCTTGCCATGGCAAGGGGCTAACTGGTGGAAATGCTCTTATAACTTAACAAAGAATTATAATTATTCTTTTATTTTCTTTTTTTGTTGATCAAATATAAATATTATACTTGGACCGATATAATTAATAATTCTCTAATAAGAATGTGGAATATCCCAGCATAAAAAAGAAGAAAAATAAAATCTCTAATAAGGATGTGAAATAAAAAAAAGGTTAGAATGTGAAAATTCATATTGCAATCCAACCCCTGTATATGCAAGAATACCTGACATGGCTGAGCAACAATGTAAAAAATAGTTAAAGTTATGGGGCCAAACTGAAAATTAGAAAAAGCTGTTTCCCATTGTATAGCTCCGAGAAAGGGGACCTGCTTAATCAGAGAGCAAGCAAAGGTTTTTCGAGCTCCTCCAAGTCCAAGGTTAGTCCTCCCACCACCCTATTCAACAATCTATTATAAACTAAAATTTCTCATTCCAGTGTGCTTATTGTCTCAGATCTTTAGTCTAGCTATGCTTGTATGTAAATTGCTTAAATTCTGTGTGTATCTGGTATTAGTTTTACATTTGTTTGTTTGTAAGGTCTAGATTTTTAGTTTTGTCAATTTACTGCTGATTGTTTTTATCTTTTGCGTTTTGTAAGAACTGTTTGGTTGATGGGAAAAAGGAAGGAAAGGAAATGAAAATTTGACATTTTGAGACTCACCCTTTGGCTGGTGGCTGAGACAATTGGGGAAAAAGAGAAGAAAATGTTAAAGTTTTACACTTTTGTTTGAGATTGGTTTAGGGTTCAAAACGGAATTGCAAAAATAGTCAATTCAACTTGTCCAACTGTTGGTGCCAAGTACAGCTGAGTTAGGATTTTGCAAGAAAGCGATGCAAAACCAAGTTTTTAGATTTTAAAATCGTTCCCTTGTCCCATTGCTATAGAATGGTGTGCTATATATGATTTAGAATAGGGATTCCATTCCATGTTGTTTGAGAGAACTTGGAAAGTAGATAATAAACTCTTAACATTTTTCTTTTTTCATTATTGTTTTGCAGGTTGCATGGATTTCTCTGCTCAAGTGTCAGACGGAGAAACATTACAACTTTGGTTACGAATGCTGTGACTGATAACGTTTTTGGTATGCATTAAAATCAAGTTTGAGATAAAAATTGGAACAAATTGCGTGTTCAATTAGTTATGGAGCCCCTCTGGAAGCTTTTGTATTTGCTGGAGCCTGCACCTATTTCTCTAATTGTAACAGCAGTAGGTGTGACTTTTGGATCTGCATTTCGCGCTCTTAATTATGGGAAAGAAATGGAGAGAAATCGTGATTTATCAGAAACATCAATTACATTAGATAGGTCCCAAGCTCTCATGATCCCAGTAATGAGCTCTATAAGCTTGCTTTTGATGTTCTACCTGTTCTCTTCTGTCTCACAACTCCTCACTGTATTCACAGCCATTGCCTCTGTATCCTCCCTATTTTTCTGCCTATCTCCTTATGTAGCCTATTTGAAGTCACAATTTGGTTTTGCTGACCCGTACGTGTCAAGGTGTTGTTCCAAGTCATTTACACGAATCCAAGGGCTGTTACTGTTCTTATGCATTGGTACAGTTGTTGCTTGGCTTGTTACTGGCCATTGGGTATTGAACAATTTGTTGGGCATTTCCATATGCATTGCATTTGTGAGTCATGTCCGTCTTCCGAACATCAAAATCTGTGCAATGCTCCTCGTCTGCCTATTCATATATGACATATTCTGGGTTTTTTTCTCCGAGAGGTTTTTTGGGGCGAATGTCATGGTATCAGTGGCAACACAACAAGCTTCAAACCCTGTTCACACCGTTGCAAATAGTTTGAGTCTGCCTGGGCTGCAAATGGTAACAAAGAAGTTGGAATTGCCCGTGAAGATTGTGTTTCCCAGGCACTTATTGGGCGGACTGATTCCTGGAGGAGCCAGAGACTTCATGATGCTTGGTCTCGGTGACATGGTATGACATCCTTTTTTGTCAATGCAACTAGTGTAAGTTGCGCTAAGTATTGATGGCATGTTGCTTTTGATTTTTGCAACAATGCACTGCCCTGATGCATCCATATTTATATTTATAGTTTACCTTGCGAGATTATGAGTCTACGGACTATAAGCATTTTGTGTTAGTCGTTAGATCTAGAGTTAGTATTTTTACACAATCATCGTGCATATTCCTTTCTGGCTAGGTACTTATGTCCTGGAAGTCTCAAGCAATTTAAAAATTTATTATGTTCATGTTTTATTGCAGGCAATTCCTGCTATGCTTCTGGCATTAGTCCTATGTTTTGATCATCGAAGGAGCAGGGATTCGATAAACCTGTTAGAAATGCATTCCTCCAAGGGGCACAAATATATTTGGTATGCCCTTCCCGGATATGCCATTGGACTAGTTACTGCTTTAGCAGCTGGCATTCTGACCCACTCACCTCAACCTGCTCTTCTTTATCTTGTAAGTCTTTTTGTTGTTTTTAAAGTTTATTGCTATTGTCTGCTATTCTCTCATGAGAGTTGATGGATGTTGCCGCTTATAAGGTTTAGTTCTTTGGTAAATCGTACATTTAACATTAAGGTACTGACAAAATCATACCAAAATTGCATTGGCAACATTTGGTCATGACTAAGAGAGTTTACCATCGGGCTTCTTTTGGGTTGTCTTAGTTGTTGGAGTAATTTGATAGAAGATTTGATTGCACCTCTTATTATTGACCATCTCTTTTTAACTTTTCCTGCTGTTGGTCAATGCATGTAGGTGCCTTCTACGTTGGGACCAATTGTTTTCATATCTTGGATAAGGAAGGAACTAGCAGAGCTATGGGATGGACCCTTGCCAAACTCGAACGATAAAGCTCACCAGATAGAAGTATGAGCCACTTATCATTGTGGTCTTGCACCAGCTCAGTGCTTGCTTGCAGACCAAATTGAAAGTTGTACATTCACTTGGAATTGGAAGTCCTATATTCCTACTTGAAAAACCTGATAGGAAATTAGCAATCAGTGTTTATGTTCTGACATCTGATACTTCAAATATTCCGGTTCCAATTCTTCGACATGCCATGTATGGAAGGAAATATATGCGTTGATCTTGTCATTCCTGATTACAAAAATCTCTTTGAAATAAGAAATTAGATATTTTCTTGGTAAAAACTGATCTGATCTAGCAGATGTATCAAAACGTTGGAAATACCCATTAACATCCGTTCCCAACCTTAACCTCAGTGGTTCCTGCTTCATTGAATTGGACATAATGCTTCCCTATGCATTTTGTGACCAACCCATGAGTAGAAGAAAAAGAAAGAAACGAAGGGCCTAAAAAAGAAGTTAATGGCTTCTTTTCAGGAACACTTTTCATTTGAAGTTGGGCTGCCTCTGTTGCCTGACCCGTTGGTCAAAAAAGTTCACATCATAAAAAGGCCCAAAAAGATAAGCAACTAAAAAACGACCTCGTTTTGGAAAACGACTTATCTTGTTTCATTCTAGAAAAAGGCAGCCCGAAACGACGACGCGGAGCTGTATTCCCAGCAAACGACATCCTCTACAACCCCTCCCTTTCCTTCACTTCTTTGAGTTGAAACATTTCTTCTCTCTCTCTCTCTCTCTATTTGCAGAGAGTTACTCAGAAGAAGATGGGAACTTCAGTCCAGGTAACACCGTTGTGTGGAGTGTACAATGAGAATCCATTGTCGTATTTGGTGTCAATCGATGGCTTCAACTTCCTCATTGACTGTGGTTGGAACGACCACTTTGACCCCTCCCTCCTTGAACCCCTCTCCAGGTCTCTCTCTCTCTCTCTCCCCCTTTCTTCAATTCAATCTCTTGCTTTCTTTTTTACTTGCAGAGTTTCAATGGCTGAATTTTGTTGCGCAGGGTAGCGTCGACAGTAGATGCAGTGTTACTCTCACATCCAGATACACTTCACCTCGGTGCGCTTCCATACGCCATGAAACAACTCGGCCTCTCTGCTGTCGTTTACTCCACTGAGCCTGTTTACAGATTAGGTCTTCTAACTATGTATGATCAGTACCTCTCACGCAAGGTGAAATTAATTCATAAGCATAATATTCTGTTAATTCAAAATTGTATGTATTTATGCTCACCATGTATTTGCGTAAGTTTCTGACTGAGCTGAGATTTATTAAAAATTTGCAGCAAGTATCGGATTTTGACCTGTTTACGCTGGATGATATTGATTCTGCTTTCCAAAATGTCACCAGACTAACCTATGCTCAAAATCATCATCTTTCTGGTATGCCCATTATGTATAATTCATAATTCATATGCAAAGTATTGGTGGAATAAATATAGATATATTAATGTATATAGTTTATAGGCAAAGGAGAGGGAATTGTGATCTCACCCCATGTATCTGGGCATCTCTTGGGTGGTACTGTCTGGAAGATAACAAAGGATGGAGAAGATGTTATATATGCCGTGGACTTCAACCATCGAAAAGAGAAGTAATTATCTACTCTTCTTTCAACTACCCGTGACAATTCAATTTCTTATATGTGTATATGATGTCTGGAATAAAGAAAGATGATTTTGAACTGCTTACTGCTGTGATTTTCATCAGGCATTTGAATGGAATTAATCAAGCATCCTTTGTGCGCCCTGCTGTTCTAATAACAGATGCCTATAATGCTTTGAACAATCAGCCTTATAGACGCCAAAAGGACAAGGAATTTACAGGTACGTTACGAACAAGGAATTTTAGCTGCCTCAAGATTTTTATCTTAAAAATTGTCATCTGCAGTAAAATTCATGTTTGCTTGTCTTCTTTATTTTCCTTTTTCTTGTTGGAGAAATATGCATGGAATGAACAAGTATTTATACTTTGTGAATGAATGAGGTTTTGTTATTCTTAGTCTGTATTTTATTTTCTGGTTATTATTTAGATACCATAAAGAAGACTCTACGATCTGATGGAAATGTGTTACTACCTGTTGATACTGCTGGCCGAGTTTTGGAACTTGTTCAAATATTGGAATCGGTTAGTAGGGGGAGACTTTTTTTTTAAAATTAAAAAATTTGTATTGACAACACATAAGTTTTGTCTTGTCAACTATACTACAATGATTTATATTGGTTCTTCCATCAATTGCAGTGTTGGGCAGATGAAAATTTGAACTATCCCATCTTCTTTCTAACATATGTTGCATCTAGTACAATTGATTATGTTAAAAGTTTCCTTGAGTGGATGAGTGATTCTATTGCAAAGTCATTTGAGAAGACACGGGAGAATGCTTTTATTTTGAAGTAAGTGGTCTCATTTACTATATATGTTAACTCATGACAATTTGAAATTTTGAGTCACTGACTTTAGATACTATTGCAAATTACTGTTGCTGAACAATCACTTACTAGGTATGTTTGCTAACCCTTGCAGGCGTATCACACTTTTAGTTAACAAAAGCGAACTTGACAATGCTCCTGATGGTCCGAAGGTTTACAATATATACATTTTTGGAGTATTTTATCTTTAGTTTGCCTACTAGTTTGAATGGCATTGACATATACATCACATACAGGTTGTTTTAGCATCCATGGCCAGTTTGGAAGCTGGTTTCTCTCACGATATATTTGTCGAATGGGCAACTGAGCCCAAGAATCTTGTGCTTTTTACAGAACGAGCCCAGGTATAATTCGGACCTAGGTTCTCGACATAACTATCCATGTATGGCTTTTAATGTTTTTATTAAAATCTATATTTTACTCATATTCATTTCTTTTTTCATTAATATGTACCACACATTGACATCTTGAGCTGTTTATGTAGTTTGGCACTTTAGCTCGCATGCTTCAGGCAGACCCGCCTCCAAAAGCTGTTAAGGTTACCATGTCCAAGAGGGTGCCCTTGGTCGGAGAGGAGCTAATTGCTTATGAAGAAGAACAGAACAGAATAAGAAAGGAAGAAGCTCTAAAGGCTAGTCTGATTAAAGAGGAGGAATCGAAATCTGTGCAAGGGGCCGATGTCAGCATGAGTGATCCAATGGTTGTTGATGCTAGTAATACACATTCTTTGCTGGATGGTAGGTGTGAAAAACAAATTGCAATTGTCTGCTAATCTTTTGAAGGGTTTCTAAGCATCCGAGAAACCTTCTTTAAAGGAAAATGTTCTATTTGGAATGAACATCAAAGCATTACTAGTCCTTTGGCCCTTTAAAATCTGAAGCCTTCCAGCAAGTTTGTTTTCATCTGCGTATATAATTTTTGTATGGATAAATTTATGGATAAAGTTTTGGGACTTGGGAGTCGTATATATAGTACCCCGTTTTTTTTTTTTTTTTTTTTTTTTTTTACCACCAAAAAAAATTTTTTTATCAATGTTAGATGATTCTTCGTTACTAAGCGGTAAAGCTGCTAAAGTGTATTGTTTCATTGTTCCCTAGGATCGGATTTATCATTGTGTAGTTCCACAATTTTCTCTTGATTTTCTTTTTGAAGATTGATGAGATGATAGATCCTGTGCATTGAGGATATATATATTTTTCCTATGGATAATTTAAAATTTTAAAGTACACAAACTATATCTCATCTATAGTGTATATAATGAACTTTTGTAATTGTTTGTTGCAGCAGCAGGTCCACACGGTGGTGGGTACCGGGACATGCTAATAGATGGATTCACTCCCCCTTCTACTAGTGCTGCCCCTATGTTTCCCTTCTATGAAAATAATTCTGACTGGGATGACTTTGGTGAAGTCATAAATCCGGATGATTATGTAATAAAGGATGCAGACATGGACCAAGGAGCTGTGCATGTAAGTTTTTATCTTGAAATATCAGATTCTTTGATTATGGTTCTTGTAAATCTGAGTTATTTAGCTTCTCACTTGGTTTGTGATAGTGATGCTGGAAGGTTAAACCAAAACCCTAACAGAGATCCCGATTCTCCAGGGCATGCTAGCCATATTCTGGGCAGGAACATTTTCTCTGCTCCACTATGCCAAATTGTTCTCTGCTTGTAGAACAGAGATTTGTACATACCATGATGCTTCTGTTTTAAAATTTCATCATCTCAGGTTGGTGGTGATATGGATGGAAAGCTTGATGAGGGTTCTGCTAGTTTGATACTTGACACAAGACCTTCGAAAGTTGTAGCAACTGAATTGACCGTAAGTAGAAGTCTGCTAAATTAGTTTATAGTTGTACCGATCTTGTTGTTCACTAAACTAAGTTGTACTTTTGTTTTGTTTTTTTCTTTGTCTAATTCAGGTTCAAGTGAAGTGTTCATTAATTTATATGGACTTTGAGGGCCGTTCTGACGCGAGATCCATCAAATCAATTCTTTCTCATATGGCTCCTCTAAAGCTTGTAAGTCTGCTTATTTGTTTTTTTGTCTTTCCTTTTTGCAGTGAAGTGATTTATTTTGGATGTAGGTTCTACTCTAGTAATTCATTAATGTGACCTTATGATTATGGTATATACTTTTTTTGGGTGGAGGTTTTGGTTCATGGAACAGCTGAGGCCACGGAACATTTGAAGCAACACTGCTTGAAACATGTTTGCCCTCATGTTTATGCTCCTCAAATCGAAGAAACAATTGATGTCACTTCTGATTTATGTGCTTATAAGGTAAAATCATAGATAAAAATTTATTTCTTTGTTTGTTGATATGTGACTCAGATTTCACAATTTAATCCATTTCCCATTATGTGAAATATATAGGTGCAACTGTCTGAGAAGCTCATGAGTAACGTGCTCTTTAAGAAGGTAGGCATGAGAGGGTTAAAGTTTACCTTGTGTAGTCTATATCTATATCATGTCCTCCTTACCAATTTGATGTAATTACGAACACAGCTTGGAGATTACGAAATAGCTTGGGTTGATTCTGAAGCAGGAAAGACAGAAAATGGAGCGCTATCTTTACTACCCATCTCAACCCCAGCTCCACCACATGAATCTGTCCTTGTTGGTGACTTAAAAATGGCTAATTTCAAGCAATTTCTTTCTGACAACGGTGTTCAGGTACCAAAATTATCTCAACTTCATATTGTGAAAGGTTAAGCTCTAAGAAACTATTAAATGTGATACCATCTTCATCTGATGACCTTGACAGGTTGAATTCGCCGGTGGGGCTTTGCGATGCGGTGAATATGTGACACTGCGCAAAGTTGGGGATGCAAGCCATAAGGTGGGTTGGCCAATAACGATACCGTTAGTTATACTGAGAGTGTAGCATGGCTTAAATTTTGGTGTGTAGATGGAAAGTCTGACTTGCGTGAGTATGTCTTGTAGGGTGGTGGTTCTGGTACCCAGCAAATTGTGATTGAAGGCCCCTTATGTGAGGATTATTACAAGATTCGGGAGTATCTCTACTCGCAATTTTATTTGCTTTGAGTAGAGAGAGAGAGAGAGAGAGATACATCATCTGTAACGCCTTTTTGATGAACTTTTAAGTCTTCAACTTTTCGTCAATTATAAAATCCCAACTCTTTTTGAAGTAATTATAATCATAAACCACCCTTTTCATTTTTGAGCTTTGGATTTGATTAGTAACCCATTTTCCTTTCACCACTAAAATTCAGACAGAACAAAGAAACCGTAAGAGACCCAGATCAACAAAGAATTTTCACGCATGATAATCAGATATTGACGGAGAAAAACAAAGTTGGATCCATAGTATATTGATATACATATATATATATATATATATATACGTGATTGCAAAAACTCAAATTCTTACTCTTGTGGGTTGCTGGCGATGTGCTTCGTCTTAAGCTACAAAACTTTCTTTCTATTTTTCCATATTAATATGTTATTTGCAATTGACAAATTCTACTAATTAAATAGCATAGCCGAACGGCTGTACCATTTAAATATATTAAATTCGAGTATTTAAATAGTATAGCCGAGCGGCTAGACTCTTTATATATTCGCATTCATTATATTCAAAAGGTATAACCGCCCGGCAATACTATTTAAATATTCGAAATTCATTATATTTAAATGGTACAGCCGCCGGCTATACTATTTAATTAGTAGAATTTGGATCATAGGGGTGTAATTTGGATTTACGGTCCAATATCTTCACACTGCAAGAAACATCCTTCGGTGGCTTCAATTGCTATTACATCTTATTCGGTGGGGTAATTTAATAAAACAGGACAACATAAGAACGAAAATGAAAAATTGGATTCAGCTCTTCTATTGATTCGCACGGTACCAAATCCAATATTCTCCAACTCATAAATTTCATTTTTTACGCTCAAAATTGTCCATGAAATCCCGATCCGTAAACAAACGAAGCGTAAGCAAGGTGATCCATATATTTTCTTGGGCACCTTCTGCGTTTTTGAAGATTAGGGTTTTAATGCGTTATTGATCTGTGGCTCTATTAGATAGTTTTCTTATTCTGCGTCTTTGATTAGTATATTATGGCCCATCTTTGAGCTTTGGATTTATTTCGGAGAAATGGAATTGAAATTTCCTTTCTTTCTTAGGTTCTTAGGTTATTGTGTAAATATAATTCATTGTCGTTAATAAGGGGTTGAGGACCTAGAATGCAATTGTTTTGGGTTTATTCTGCTTAATGTTGAGAATTTAATAAGTTTTTCAATTTGTTCCAGAGAATTCAATTCAACTGAGCAGTTGCTTGTGCTGCTTTTGCGGAGATCAGCTGTTTTGCAAAATGAAGTAATTCAATCTGTCTTCTCAATGTTAAATTCTTCTTGTCTTAACAATGGATATTAAGAATGAAATGTTTATTAAGGCATTGCATTTAGGAGTTGGATGGTTTTTCTGTTTTGTAAAATCTTGTATACTTTTTGTTTCTTACCATATGTTTTAGATTTTGCTGATTGAGTGGCAGGGGCCGAGTTAGATGGGATGAGGCTAATCTGGGAGAAATCGAAGCAAATAAACCTGTAAGGCAGAAAATTACTGAGCCGAAGACGCCATACCACCCTATGATGACCGATGATGAGGATGGTCCGCTGGTTTCTATCATATTTTCCTTTCTATGAGGGCCTGTCAGTTGTATATGCATGAACGTTAATGTGTTTGTCTTCTTTTCCTTAAAAACAAAGTGTCACTGGTGTTACGTATAAAGTGGTCTTGAGTTTCAATGATTGTTTCTTTTCATATGCTAATGTTTGATTTGTTGGTTTTCAATCCTTTGTGTTGGTTTTCAATACTCGTTTTCTGAAAGATAAAAATATATATATATATATATATATGTATGTATCTTAAATGTGGAAACTTATCATTTTGTGCGGCAACTTTAATCTTGGCAGGATCTCTGTCTCCTATACGGGGTAGCTTCAATGATTGTGTTGGTGATGCAGTTCATGCAGAAGCAATACGAACTGCTTTGACCGATGTGGCATCATCAAGTAGAAAGAACACCCCAAGATCTACTGGCTGGACATCATCTGAGGATGAGGCAGATGCTATAGAACAAGATGATGAAGGTCTTCTTTCATTCTCTTTTCTTTTTCTTCCCAAAGTTAACCCTTTCAATCAGATTTTGTTACAACTATTCGCTATATTTCCTTGCAGTTGGCTGATTAAATATAAACTTGTCACCTTATTATTTAAACTATTCAACTTAGTAAGCTTTTCCCCCAATTTAAATTTAGTATTAAGTTCTGTTACATATATTGTCCTCTGTATGGAAGGTATATAAAGAGAGTAGATGTGCCTTCAAACATGGTTTCAGGATTTCAAGGTCTTGTGCCTTCAAATTATTGGCAGCTGCTTACCTCAAGTAGTTGGTATTATGGTTATCTTGAGAGTTGAGATGAATTAAGCACCATAATGAAATAACCAATCAACTTATTACCTGCAATGTGTAAGTTTGCACTGGACTGCATGATTGCGTCTATATTTTATTTTTGTAAGAAGCCAAACCAAAGGGACGATTGCCATCAACCGCTGCAGAAGGCACAATATTACTTGGAAGCTCATAAACTGTCTAGCTCAGCTTGTGTTCTTGTTGTGCCGCTAGGCTTGTAAACTGCCCCTCAATGGAAGCTCTGTGTACGTATATATATAATTCATTCCTTAAGTATTTCAGTGTGACTATATTTCCTTGGAAAATTTTCATGGAAATTTACAATGCCTGATCATAATCATGTATTGCTTTGTCAAAGCGACGTCGAGATTCCTGCAAAATTAAGAGAAAAGCTTGTAAGAAAAAGAAAGCAAAAGTTTTATGAACTTTATCACAATTTACGCTTAGTCATCTATCTTACTACCACAATGCCTACACCAATTTCCATTAGTGTAATTATCGTAAGTTCAAACCAATTTCCTAAACCAGATACAAGTAAGTATTATCATGCAATTGTCCCTTATTAGCTAAAGAGTGAGCAACCATTTTGGTGTCTCTATCAATATGATGAATAGAAAGTTGATCAAATTGCTAGAATAAGCGCTAAATGTGTGTCAATATCTAAAGAGTAATATTAGGCATACCATGTCTCTAATAAAGGCGGAACCTATTAATACAATGGGAGCTACCTATATTAGAAATGTGGTATATAAATATAATATGACTTGCATTTTTGATATCTAAGTATAGTGGTATACAAAAGAGAAGGCATTATACGAGGATTATTTCCAATAGTACTTACTCTCATTTTCATCATAACCTTGCTTCTCCTCTCGTCTATTGCCATCCTCGTTCCCTTTCTTCTGTGCCCATGATGGACATCATCAATTTTGTTTAAAAAGACGTGAAAAGATATTCAAACTTTGATTTGACTATGAATTTCGAATTATCCAATCTTATAGTATGCCCCACGCGTGTAGATAGTTCCATAGAAATCAAGTCAACATCAATATGCGTCAGCAATTACATCACTTAATATTTTCTTGCTCTCAACGCTTCTCATATAGTCCTTAACTTGATTGTTAGGCTTTCATTTCATTTCATTTGTGTTTTGTGTCATTACTCGCTAGTCAGTTTCTCACCATGGAAACCTGGTTCCTTATCCTCGCCGCACTCTGCATCTCTTTTCTCCTCAAACCCCTTCTCAGTCTCTTCATCCCCTCCATTTCCAAACCCACCGATCAACCCAAACTCCCTCCTGGGCCCACCCCCATCCCCTTCATCGGCCGGTTGTTATGGCTCCGAAGATCCTTCTCCGAAATCGAGCCCATCCTCCGGAACCTCAGGGCCCAATACGGGCCCATCATCACTATCCGCATCGGCTCCCGCCACGCCGTCTTCATCGCCAACCGCTCCCTCGCCCACCAGGCCCTCATCCAGAACGGCGCTGTCTTCGCAGACCGCCCGCCCGCCTTACCCACCAACAAGATCGTCAGCAGTAACCAACACAACATCAGCTCCGCCGTCTACGGCCCCACGTGGCGCCTTCTCCGCCGCAACCTCACCTCCGAGATCCTCCACCCTTCCCGCGTCAAATCCTACGGCGAGGCCCGTAAATGGGTTCTGGATATTCTTATCAACCGTCTCGGATCCGAGTCTCAATCGCAGTCCAAAGGCATCAGAGTGGTCGACCATTTTCAGTACGCCATGTTTTGCTTGCTGGTTTTGATGTGCTTTGGGGACAAGTTGAACGAAGATCAGATCAAAGAAATCGAGGGCGTTCAACGCCGCTTGCTATTGAGCTTTGGGCGATTCAACATCCTCAACTTTTGGCCCAAATTGACAAAAATTCTGTTGAAAAATCGCTGGAACGCGCTATTTCAGCTCCGTAAGGAACAAGAAGACGTGCTCATTCCTCTGATTCGAGCACGACAGAAAGCAAAGAATGAAAGGCTGAGTAGGAAGGACAACGACAAAGATGATGACTTTGTGTTGGCGTACGTTGATACGTTGTGGGATCTCCAGATTTCTGATGAGAAGGAAAAGAGGAAGCTCTCTGAAGGTGAAATAGTGAGTCTCTGTTCGGAGTTTCTCAACGCGGGTACTGATACTACTTCGACTGCGTTGCAGTGGATCATGGCCAACATAGTTAAGTACCCACAAGTCCAAGACAAGCTCTTTGCAGAGATTAAAGGGGTGGTGGCAGAAACAGAGGAAGAGGTGAAAGAGGAGGTCTTGCACAAGTTGCCGTATCTGAAAGCTGTAATCTTGGAGGGTTTGAGGCGTCACCCGCCTGGGCACTTTGTGCTGCCACACGCCGTGACCCAGGACGTGGTTTTGGATGGTCATGTGGTGCCCAAGAACGGTAGTGTCAATTTCATGGTGGCTGATATGGGGTTGGACCCAGAGGTGTGGGAGGACCCCATGGCATTCAAGCCTGAGAGGTTCTTGAGTGGTGGTGAATGTGGAGGAGCGGAAGGGTTCGATTTAACAGGGAGCAGAGAGATTAAGATGATGCCGTTTGGGGTGGGGAGGAGAATTTGTCCTGGCTCTGGTTTGGCAGTGCTTCATCTGGAGTATTTCGTGGCCAATTTGGTCTGGAAATTTGAGTGGAGAGCTGTGGAGGGAGATGATGTTGACCTGTCGGAGAAGCAAGAGTTCACTGTGGTCATGAAGAATCCATTGCAGGCCCATTTATCCCCAAGAGTGAAATAAGTGAGAGAAGGGTTGTCTTGGTTGATTGTGTGTAATTAAGGACTTGTTATAGACTCTTGAAAGTGTTTACCACATAAAAAAAATCTATGGGTTATTACTTATGCGACTCAGAAATCACAATTTGATCCATTTCTCATTGTGTGAAATGAGTAACGTGCCTTTTAAGAAAACAAGGTAAGAATGGGGTGGGGTTAGCAATGAGTTGGGTCGTGTTGAGTTTGTGTCGTGCCAGGATATTAAACGTGTTAAGAATGCTCAACCCGAACCCAACTCATTTGATAAACGTGTCGTGTCGGGTTCGGATCGTCTTTTATTGTGCGGGTTTCGAGTCGTGTAAAGGGTTGATAAATAATAACATGCATGTTATAAAAAATAGAGAGAGAGAAGGAAAGAAATTAAATTAAAAAAAAAAAAAAAAAAAAGAAAGAAAAAAAAAGAGAGGAGAGAAAACTAAAGAGAAGTAAAAAAAAGAGAGGAGAAAAGAGAGAAGGAAAAGAAATTAAAAAATAGAGAGGAGAAGATAGATGGAAAAGAAAGAAAAACAAAAGAAGAAAAAGAAACATTATAAATATCAAAAGGCATAGTATACAATCATAAAGTTGTATTTAGCATGGTGGATAAGGTGTTGGAGAGTAATGACGATGAAGGCGGTTCAAAACCCCATATGTGTGTTTTGAAGTCTCTATTTCTCTATATTTTTCTCGGGTTGGTGTGTTTTACACGGGTTGACACGACCTGTTTAATAAACGGGTTACATACCTGTTTTAACAGGTTGGTGAGTTGATCCGAAACCCACTCGTTTAATAAACGGGTCAAAACGGGTTGACCCGAAAATTGCCACCAGAAAAAGGAAAGACGGAAAGCTTTAATTTGAAACAGATGCTACTTTCCAGTAGAGAACAATTGGTCTAATAGATTTTGCGTTTTGGTGTGTGCAGTGTGTGTGTAAATGCCTTGCATTGCATTGCATGATGTATTTTCTGCACAAGTAGCCACTCTGTTCAGGGAAGTCTTTCAAACTTCCACATCAATAATTATAGAATGCGATTATTCAAAAGATATGGGAAGTTTCAACTATATATGCGTGGCAGCTTCAAATACTACCAAGACATAAACATCCAGTCAACTTCGGTGTTCGTTGGCAACTACGTCCCTAAAAAACAAAGAAAGCAAAAGACTTGTGGAGTGGTTTGGAGAATTTTATTTGAGGGACATCTTTTAGGATATCATACGAATTTTTTGACAAGACCCGCCCCGAATTTCCTCGGAATCCGGGACGGACCCCGCCTAATTACCGACATCAACCTAATGCCGGGCCCACTTAGTAAAGACTGAGACTTTCTATCAAAAATTTGGCAGAGTCTCCCCTGTAAATTGAACATTTCCAAACTTCAACCTGTTCAAAATTTACAGTTAATTACAACCAACTGGCAGCATGCTTTACAAGCAACAAAACACTTTACAACAAAGGCCTCCGGCCTCACAAAATTAAACCCCCAGCGGGCGATACAGAGCATAACTAAGGAATTCAAAATACAACCGAAGTACCATTTAACTGAAAGGAAAAACAAAGCACCAAGAGTCTTTACGAAGACTCAAGTTCCAAGATGCACCCGGTCCGGCTCAACTGCAAAGCTCAGTCGCTACTGGCTGGGGGCGCAAAATAGAAAGTTGTGAGTGGACAAAAATCAAGTTCAGTTCAAAAGAAATCAAAGTAGTATAACCCCCACCTTTATCAAAAACATATAATGAAACCATAAGCATAACAAAACCATCAGAAACAAAATATATCAACATGCACGAACACATATATACCGGACCTCAAATCCGTAATCCGTGAATAATGCTTCACGAAACCCACCACTCAACTTAAGAGTCCCGAGAGATTAGATTCTCGTAAACGTACTCAAAAGTACGACCGGCGAGGAAGTATCCTTACCGAAAAATAGAACGAAGGAACATTCATATAAATAAATATATATATAATATACATACATAATAATAATAATATGAGATAACATAATAATAATAATAATAATAATAATAATAATAATAATAAATAGTATATAAAAATAACCAATATTTAATTGTACCGGGGAAACAATCCAACCGGGGGACTGTTTGACTAGGCCATATGGCAGAGCCATTCCTCAATTCACCATGTGTCTAGGGAACGAGCCGTCCAACCGGGGGACTAACTCTCAGCCAGCACATACAGCCGACACAATCAAAGCTTGTACGCCTGAAATACCAGTCCTACGCGCGCAGACTACCCCAAATCCAGGGTCCACAGCAACATCCCCTAAAGAATGCCCTGAGTTCTCATCGTAACCAAATTCAGATCAGGGGAGGTACATAAATTAGTGCTTAACGCACTCCAAATAATAGATCCAACATTACCTTTCCATCGTTCATATTAACCACCAAGTACCCCATGCATAGCCGCATGTAAATATAGCTTCTCAAAAGTCAAATATCAATGTAAGTTTTATGAAAACCTCGAATTCCCATTCAAGCATATAAAAATAATTACTAGACATAATAAAACGATATGCCATATTTCTATGAATCAAATCATACTGAGTTTCAAAAGAAAAGTCCACTCACAAGTAATCCCACACAGCTTGACCCTTAGAGGGTCCCGCCTGCTGCGTATGCTGGGTTGGAGTACCTGATTCAGAATACGAAAATGCGATGAATATCAAGCACTTCAAAACAGAACTTGAAATAAAACCCTAGCTTCCCGGGAGTTCCTATAGGTTTTACGAGGGCTAGGATACACGTCCTGTAAGTTTGGTCCGAAACGGACGGTTAGACCGCTCACGATCGCACAATTGGACGGTTACTGAAACCCTCACCCTAGGGTTGGCATTTCCGGAGTATCCGGGACTCCGTTTTACGATCGGTCGAATCCTACACGATCTTACGGTTATCCAGAGGAACATACTTTAATTTGAAAACGATCCAACGGTCAGAACATATCGAACCCGAATAACGCACAATATACGATAATTCGTTCGATAGTCAAACGACCTCGGAATCGAGATCCGCGAAATCCTATGCGCTCGTGACAACGTAAAGATCACATTGGAACAGTTTGCAGCTCCACCACACTTGCCCACGCGCCGCCACACGCGCCGGCAGCAAGCGGGTGTGCAGAGAAATTCCGGCGACGGAAAATCTCCAAATTACAAGTCATCCTCCCGGCTACAGGTCCTACTCAACTAGGGGAGCACTTCATTCAACTACGGCGAAGCCCAAAACCACCGGGAACTGGCCGGAATTTCGAATTGAAAACCGGCCAAAAACCTAATTCGAAAATATCTTCCAAAACCTCAAAATCGTTTCAATCCTAAGCAACAGGCAGCTAGAACAGATAAAACGAAGGAGAAACCCCACCAATTTTACCTGAAATGGACGGCGGAGGCGGCGGCGCAACAACCGGAAAAGTCTGGTTCGAACCAGTCGAAACCGCCGGCTGTTTTCGAGTTTTCCGACGACGAAAGCTATTGGGTCTTGACCAGGACGTCGAGACGAAGCTTTTGGGACCAGTGTCGAGAGCTGCGGTGGCCGGAAGTGATGGCGGTGTGGGTTTTTCCGTTCGGATGAACAGTGACGAGAGAGAGTGTTCGCGGGAGAGAGAGAACGCACGGGAGAGAGAGAGAGAGAGAGAGAGAGAGAGGAAAATGAACTGAAATGGAAAAATCTGATTTTTTTACAAATACCTTTTCGACTTATTTACGATTTTGCCACCAAAAGAAATTTCATCGCCAACACTTCGTTATAACTCCGATTCAAGCCTACCGCCTGTCTACGAATTCATCTCAGAACCACTTACACAACTAAACCACTTGTGGTCCCAAAATCCTTCCGGACAAGAAAATGACCAAAATACCCTACCCCGAGGGTAGTTTCGTAATTTCACAGTTAGTTTAATTTTAACTTTTTAAATAGAGTCGGGGTGTTACATTTTTTTTTCCAACGATCCAAATTTTTTATTTTTTATGTCTACATTCATAGATCATTGTTGCAAAAGATTATACAAATCGGAAACCATTTCAATATCTAATTGTATCATACAAAATCAATGAACACAATGCTTTAAGAATGTACTAAAATTTTAATAACACAATAAATGGGTCAAACGATATCGGATTAAGTGATTTTTTATAGAGATGATATTTGAATGATTATCTAAAATATAGACGGTTTGAATTAATGAAATAAAATGCGAAGTAGGCATTACATGGTTGTCCCTTAGAGCATCTCCAACCGATATGTCAAAAGTGTCATATAGACATTTAACGGTTAGAAATAACATTTCACATCACTCCAACCGAATTGTCAAAGCTGATGTGGAATGAAGGCTTGAGATTCAGCTGTTATTTTTGACATCCCAAAAGTAAGATGTCAAATGAATATTTTATTGTTTTTTAAAGACGGTTGGTTGTAACTTTCATTTTTATTTTCCTTTTTTATTATTTTTCTTCTTTATTTTAAATGATTTTACTGTTACAATAATTATTTATTTGACATATCGGGTGAAGTATAAAACTGTGTAAATGTAAAATTGTCACATCAGCCATCAAATTTAAATTTGATGTTTGGTATTTGACATTTCCCTTGGAGATGCTCTTAAATAAGCTAATTTGAGGAATTCATAAATGAAAGCTCTCCGTGTGTATATATATATATATATATATATATACATATACACACGCACACATGGGTTATTATTTATGTGACGGACTCAAATCACAATTTAATTCATTTCTCATTGTGTGAAATGAGTAACGTGCTGCTTAAATAAAGAAGGTAAGAATGAAATTGCAAACACAGCTTAGAGATTTTGAAATAGCTTCGCGTTGGTTATGAGACAGGAAGGAAGGACAAAACTTTAATTTGAAATAGATGCTACTTTCCAGTGGAGAACTGTTCGGTCTAATGGATTTTGTATTTTGGTATAAATGCATTGCATTATGCGTTCCTACAAAACTAGCCTTTTCACACGAGCTTCCGCGTCTGCAAGAGGTTTTTTTAAAAAAAATTTAAATTTATTTTAGAATTAAAAAAGATAATGGGTAGTTGTGTTCCATAATCCATTATCTGATTTTTCTTTTAATTTTTCTTTTTTTTAATATGAAAAATTGTGAATTTTCCATATTAACCCTATTTAATTAATAATTTCAATTATTAATGTTTGCATTAACTAAGGGCATTTTCTGGTATTTTGAATGTTTCACCATTTTCTACATTTTGCTTTATATATAGATAGAAGAAAAAAAAAACAAAAAAACAAAATCATTGAGTCCCTTTTATTTATTTATTTAAATTATTGAGTCTCTTTAACTTCCTGTCTTTGTGTCATTGCTCTCATTGCTCATTATTCACCATGGAAACCTGGTTCCTTATCGTCATCACCCTCTGCATCTCTTTTCTCCTCAAAACCCATCCTCAGCCTCTTCATCCCCACCATTTCCAAACCCAAACTCCCTCCTGGGCCCCTCACCATCCCCGTTGTCGGCAACTTCTTATGGCTCCGCAAGTCATTCTCCGAACTCGAGCCCGTCCTCCGAAACCTCAAGGCCCGATACGGACCTATGGTCACTCTCCACATCGGCTCCCGCCCTGCCGTCTTCGTCGCCGACCGCTCCCTGGCCCACCAGGCCCTCGTCCAAAACGGCGCCGTCTTCGCCGACCGCCCTCCGGCTTTAGCCACCGACAAAGTCCACAACAGCAATCAGCACAACATAAACTCCGCCGTCTACGGTCCCACGTGGCGTCTCCTCCGCCGCAACCTCACCTCCGAAATCCTCCACCCTTCCCGGGTCAAGTCCTACGGTGGGGCCCGCAAATGGGTTCTCGACATCCTCGTCAACCAGCTCGAAACAGAGTCTCAATCCCAACCCAGAGGCGTCAAAGTGGTCGACCATTTGCAATACTCCATGTTTTGCTTGCTGGTTTTGATGTGCTTTGGGGACAGATTGGATGAAAACCAAATCAAAGAAATAGAGGGTGTTCAGCGTCGCTCTCTCTTGAGTTTTGGGCGATATAATTTCCTCAATTTTTGGCCCAAGTTGACCAAGATTCTGTTTAGAAAGCACTGGGACGAGTTCTTGCAGCTCCGTAAGGAACAAGAAGACGTGCTCATCCCTCTGATTCGAGCACGACAAAACAAGGCAAAGGATGAAAGCGGTAGAGGGGAGGAGTTTGTGTTGGCGTATGTTGATACGTTGTTGGATATTCAGCTCCCTGACGAGAAGGAAAAGAGGATGCTTTCTGAAGACGAAATAGTGAGTCTCTGTTCGGAGTTTCTCAACGCGGGTACTGATACTACTTCGACTGCGTTGCAGTGGATCATGGCCAACGTAGTCAAGTACCCACAAATCCAAGACAAGCTCTTTGAAGAGATTAAAGGAGTTGTGGAGGAAACAGAGGAAGAGGTGAAAGAGGAGGTCCTGCACAAGTTGCCATATCTGAAAGCTGTGATCTTGGAGGGTCTGAGGCGCCACCCACCGGGGCACTTTGTGCTGCCACACGCTGTGACACAGGACGTGGTTTTGAATGGTCATGTGGTGCCCAAAAATGGAACAATCAATTTCATGGTGGCTGAGATGGGGTGGGACCCAGAAGTGTGGGAGGATCCCATGGCGTTCAAGCCTGAAAGGTTCTTGGGTGGTGGTGATTGTGGAGGAGAAGAAGGGTTCGACTTAACAGGGAGCAGAGAGATTAAGATGATGCCGTTTGGGGCAGGGAGGAGAATTTGTCCTGGCTCTGGTTTAGCAGTGCTTCATCTCGAGTATTTTGTGGCTAATTTGGTTTGGAAATTTGAGTGGAGAGCTGTGGAGGGAGACGATGTTGACTTGTCAGAAAAGCAGGAGTTCACTGTAGTCATGAAGAATCCATTGCAAGCTCACTTATCCCCCAGACTGAAATAAGTGGAGAGGGTCTTTGTTATATTATTGTTTACTGCTCTGTGAATATTTTCTCTCCTTTTATAGTTTACTGCTCAAGGAAAAAGCAGCTGTTCGTAGAGTTCTGGGCCTAATAGAAGCAGAGTCCACATAGACATTGGCTCTGTGAATATTTGCTCTCACGCACACTATCAAAGTGTTATGAAAGTTAAGATTAAAGACTACTAATTAAGTCATTTTTCAACGAGTTACACACCGTTATCAAGTTAAGGATGATTATTTAGCGAATTCGAGTACTTAAGGACAACTTTATCTTCCGCTCTCATACTCACCCAAAAAATAAAAAAAAGAAACCCCAAACCCACAACAACCAGAAAGGCATCTTTTTTGTTTTCATCGGTTGTAAAAGTTGAAACCTAGACAGACAGACACAGAGAGAAAATTAATTACTGAAAATTTTACGAACCTAATTTTTTATGTATTATTTGCACATAAAACGTCTTCATAATTTATTAAGAGAAAGAAATTTTTATATTTATTTTTTTTCTATAGTTTAAAAAAATAAAAAGTAAAATTCCAAAATTTTTTTTTTTTTTTTTTTTTTTTTTTTTTTTTTTTTTTTTTTAAAAATAAAAATTGAACAAAAGGACCTGCCTCGGGGCCTCCTCATGTATCCACCCACCAATAGACAAAAATAAAATAAAATAAAATAAAATATTGGATAAGAAAATTAAAGAGAGACTCTGTTCCTCTTCAATAAACAAGAAAACCCTCCGAATCCAATTCTCTGCAATTAAACCTTTTTCCTCTGCAATTCAAGCTCATACGAACCCTAATTTTCAGTTCTTCCACTGAGAGCTTCTCTATGCGTTTCAATTTGGTGTAATCAACTCAATCTGAACCAACAGCAGTGAGTTTTCATGGCTACTGTGACTGCAACATGGTCTCCGAGCTCGCTCCAGCTTCGTTTGGCTTTAAATTACGGCAATTGCACTAAAACCTCCCCCATTCTTGTACGGATGCGACTGGGGAAGCTGGATCATCGGGCTCGAGTGCTCTGTGTTGCTCAAGACAGAGAGAGGCCTGGGAATGGATTGGAACCCCGTCGTGATGGTAGTTCGTGGGTCGGGTCAAACTCGACCGCTGATGGGTTTAAGGGGTGGTCCGATTCCGATGATGGAGGGGATGCATTGGATTCACAGAGGAGGAAATGGTTTGGAGGTAATGCTTGTTTGAATAGATTGCCGTTTTCTTTTTACCTCTTACGCTCTGTATGGCTAGTGACACTTGTGGAGTAGTTTGCTCTCAGGGACTGTGGGAGCTGGAGTAGCAGGAGCCGTTTTTGTTGTGGGGCTTACTTTTGCAGCATTGTCTTTGGGAAAACGAAACAATTCCAGTGAGTAGCTGTCTTCTTTCTTTCGATAACCATATCTTTGAATATGGACTGAAAGTTGGGTAGTGTTGATGGAAGTTTTTTGTATCATTTTCCTGGTTTTGTTGTGTAAGGTCCTGTATTCAATGTTTTTAGTTTTCTGCTATGTCTTGAAACATATGTGGCTGTGCTCAGGACCAGAACAAAAAATGGAGCCCTTAACAGCACAGCAGGAGATGTCATTGACTTATGATGATCAAAATGATAGAAGCACAGAAGATGTAGATGATCAAAGCAATATGAAACATGATGCTAGTAGTAGTCCAGAAGGAAGGACAGGTACTTTTGAGGATTCTTCTTCATCTACAGAAATTGATGAGTCTCTTAGTGAAATTAGAGTTGGTAATGATAATGATATAAGGGATTTGTCAGCACAAGATTTTAAGAACACATCCAGAGACACTGACGCCATCAATAATACATCCATTCAAGAAGATTCACCACATGAATCAACTTCTGATGACAAGTTACTAGAACCTGAAACATCCACAAGGCAATTTAATCTGCCTGAACCGGAAAATGGAAATGATTCATTTGTTGCCTATGGGCTTGAGGATGTTGACAGCAGCCTCACTGTAGGTACAGGAGATTTGGCTTCTGTACTTAAAGAGAACCTAGTCAGTGTGGAACCAACCAACTTGCCAGCCTATGATGCTAATCCTTCAAACCTTAGCTTTGAACCCCAGGATGGAATACCTGAGACTAGTGTACAAAATGAACCTATAGGTCTGGATGTTTCAGTTGCTTCGCAGTCCAACACAATTTTAGAACCTCAGATTTCGTCTGAAGATAGTATAGGGACTGTAGCCTCATCTTCAACCAAAGAAAACCTTGACCTGAGCACATTGCAGGGCTTAGCTGAGGGAATCAGTTCATCCCTGGAAGGGAATATCATAAGTGAAAGTGAGTCATCTAAAAGCAAATCACAATTACCAAATGCTGGGAATTCCTTCTCTTCTGCTGGAATACCTGCTCCAACTGTGGTTTCTGCAGCTCTACAGGTGCTTCCTGGAAAGGTTTTGGTTCCTGCAGTTGTTGATCAGGTTCAGGGGCAGGCATTAGCAGCGCTGCAAGTGTTGAAGGTGTTGACATTTTGTCAATTTTTGCATTTAATTTCCTTGTTCCAAAGTTACAAATATATATGTATTAGAATTTAATCTATTGTTGCATTTGATCCTTAGATTCGACAGTTTTTGAATTGGAAATGTTCGACTCAAGTTGCAATGTTCTTATGATTTTATAATTTTCCTTGCAAATATGTTACTACAGTTTGTGATCTATAATTTGAATATGACAACTGTTTTCAGGTCATAGAGGCTGAAGTTCAACCTGGTGACTTGTGTACTCGTCGTGAATATGCTCGTTGGTTGGTTTCTGCAAGTAGTGCTCTTTCAAGGTATAAAAACCTCCTTTCTCACTGTGACTGATAAGATATAAATCTTTGCAACATATGATTGGTTTAGCTATTATTTAAGCATATTATATATTTACGCTATGGGCATATCTTCTTGTTATCTGTAGGAACTCAATTTCTAAAGTATATCCTGCAATGTATATTGAGAATGTTACCAAGCTTGCATTTGACGATATTACACCTGAAGACCCTGATTTTTCATCCATTCAAGGTGTGAATTTTAGATTTTTGGCTATAGCATAAGTGAAAGTGTGATAGGCTTTGTTTGCTTATTGGAATTTATTTGCATCCTCTCAGGGTTGGCTGAAGCTGGACTTATCTCAAGCAAGTTGTCAAGAAATGATATGCTTTCTTCCTTAGATGAAGATGAGAGTCCATTCTACTTCTCTCCTGAAAGGTGGTGTAATAGATTCCTTGGAATATAGTTTCCTCTTTAGATTATGTTTCCTTGAAATGCAGTTGGCATCCCCAACTGCTAGGATCTGTGCTGGCACTCCCAGCATGTTTTTCTCCTTGTTCCAACCTTTTATCCAATTTCACTCTGCATTGGTTGTTTTTCTGTCTGATCCCAAATACAGAAGACACACTTACATCCATGTATCTCCAAACCGATTATCGGGTCGGTTCCTGATAGAGGATTTTACGAGTACTTGTTCCATTGGATGGTCTCTTTACCTGTGGAAATTAGTTGTTCTTGTTGTGTGAGCTTACAGCTATCTATTCAATTGCGTATCTGCCATATAAATGTAGCATTGTTTTGATTTCTGTTACAGATTTGATGGTGGATTGCATGGTTTATGATTTTCTTATTAATTTACCTTATTTTTCTCTGAAATTCCTTGCTGCAGCCCTCTATCACGCCAGGATCTTGTAAGTTGGAAAATGGCCCTAGAGAAAATAAATCTCCCAAAAGCTGACAAGGAGGTTGTTGAAATTTAAGTTTGTTTAGTGTTTTTTTTTCCTTTTGGAGCTACTCGTGTGCTTGTAGTTCTGAATATTTAACTCTCTACTTATTATTGTGCACTTGGACAGGTCCTCTACCAAATTTCTGGATTTATAGACACCGATAAGATACATCCAGATGCGTGTCCTGCACTTGTTGCTGACCTATCAGGAGAGCAGGGTATTATTACCCTTGCATTTGGTGAGTCATAACTACATTTTGAATTTCGAGCAATTTATGAGTTTCATAGTTAACATTTCCTTTCTTTTCCTTTTTATAAAAAGGTTACACCAGATTATTCCAGCCAGATAAGCCAGTAACAAAAGCCCAGGCTGCTATTGCCCTGGCAACTGGAGAGTATTCTGACTTAGTTAGTGAGGAGCTTGCACGTATTGAAGCAGAATCTATAGCAGAGAATGCTGTGGATGCACATAATGCTTTAGTAGCTGAAGTTGAAAAGGACGTGAATGCAAGTTTTCAGAAGGATCTTTCCATAGAGAGGGAAAAAATTGACGCCGTGGAGAAAATGGCTGAAGAAGCAAGACGTGAGTTGGAAAGGTTAAGATCTGAGAGAGAGGAAGATAATGTTGCCTTAATGAAGGAACGTGCAGCTGTTGAATCACAAATGGAAGTTCTGTCAAGGTTAAGGCATGAGGTTGAGGAACAATTGGAGAGCCTTTTGAGTAACAAAGTAGAAATATCCTATGAAAAAGAAAGAATTAGCAAACTTAGGAAAGAAGCAGAAAATGAAAGCCAGGAGATTGCCCGCTTACAGTATGATCTAGAGGTTGAACGGAAAGCCTTGACCATGGCCAGGTATTTAGTATCTAAGTCTTATGTGTCTTTTATGCGTCTAGTAACTCTGTTATTTTCACACCTTGTAAGACTTCTAATCTTTGTTATCCAGGGCTTGGGCTGAAGATGAGGCAAAAAGAGCAAGAGAACAAGCTAAAGTACTTGAGGAGGCTAGAGATCGCTGGGAGAGGCAGGGCATCAAGGTAGTTGTTGACAATGATCTCCGTGAAGAGGCCTTGGCTGAAGTTACATGGCTCGATGCTGGCAAGCAGTTCTCAGTTGAAGGAACTGTCAGCAGGGCTGAAAATTTGATGGGCAAGCTGAAGGCAATAGCAACAAATATAAAAGGAAAATCCAGAGATATAATTGATAAAATCATCCAAAAGATAGCCTTACTTGTATCCAATTTGAGGGAATGGATTCCCCAGGCTGGAAAAGAGGCCGGAGAACTGAAAGATGCTGCCATTTCGAAAGCCAGTAGATCAGCCCAAGAGTTGCAGCAAAGTACCTTGGAGTTTAGCTTGGCTCTCAAAGAAGGTGCAAAGCGCGTCGCCGAAGATTGTAGGGGAGGAGTGGAGAAACTCACCCAGAAGTTTAAGACATGACTCCTATCTCTTTAACAATTTTCACGGATGACGGGCTGCTGAGGAGTGAGAATTGTAAAACAGTTTTGAGATTCCGTTAATGAAGGGGATAATCCACCACCCATGTTTATTATACCATATTGATGATTAGATTGGTAGTCTTTTATAATAAATACAGTTGCACATCTTTGCTGTAGTTAATTGGATTGGATCATCCAGATTTTGGTATTTGGATTGAGGAAGGTTCAATCTGGCTCCACGAGTCCCTTGTGGCTGATGTAAACCCCGATCGTCATACTTTTTGTTTGGGAAAAGATGTAAACCCCGTTATTGCCTAATAAAACCGCCAGGTTACATTTCAAATGGAACGGTTAAAACCAGGGAATTAGCATTTGTCCAATGTTTATTTACTCTCGAGTTTTCCTTCCTTTCTTCATCCTTTAAAATAGTCTCTTTCTAATTGACATACAATTGAGTGGGCCTAGAAACCATTGAGCTACAAGCACATTATAGCATAAATTAAAAATCACTGAGAAACAAAATCTATCTAACAAAAATGGCTTGCCACAAAGACAATCAATTAAGTAACAAAAGCAAAAATGTTGGGCAAGCAACTTTTTCCAATTTGCAGCTCACATTCAAAACATAACAAATTTCTGAAACTAAAATTTCAAGTCTCAGAGTAGAAAAAACACTTTGTAGAGGTGAATTTCTAACATATTGACTCTAGTTGGAAAACATGAGACTTCCAATTAGCTTTCATGTGCCTCATTTCTTCTTTTCCGAAGCTCCACCACCAGCCCTGCATCAGAAGTCACACACGGCAATAAGTAACTATTGATATGAATTCTCAAACCAGGTTAGCATTCTTTAAGATTCGGGGACGAGAAATAGAATCTTGTTTACCTGATCTTACGGAGGACATTGGACATCTCCTCACGCTTCTTCTTTGCCCTCTTGTGGGTTCCCAACTTTCTCTTAGCAACTTTCAGTGCACGTTTGTCCTTGCCTACCTTGAGAAGCTCAGTGATTCTCTTTTCATATGGTGCAAAACCAGCAACTTCCCGGATCAAATTCCTAACAAAGTGTACCCTTTTACTAGTTTTCTGCACCAGCAAATAATTTCATCAATTGAAGCATTTTCAGCAGCCTATGCTTAAAATTACTACAAAAGTAGTCACTAATCTCTTCAGCCATCAAGAGAAGAACTTGAATCAAATACCAATTACAAATTCCTATATTGTATAACATATCAACATGGCTTCTGGGTTGAACAATCAAATTCAAAGCATGACTTAAGACGTGAAAACATTGCAGATGTAAAATATGAATCAACTTACCCCTTTGCGATCAGAAGGGCGTGGAGCTAATTCCTTCCTGGTCACTATGTGGCCTTTATTCAATCCCACAAAAATCCCAGTGTTTGGCTGTTTTGGAGCCATTACCTGCTTCAACAATAGGAAAAAACAAGCTTCATCACTTACCCATTTGATTCCCAGATTCATCACATATATTCATCGTTTCAGTTAGTAATTAGCTACAACCAAACACAATAAACTTAAATGTGCAAACCTTACAAGTCCAAAAAAATAAATTGTGCAAAATTCAAAACGAGAAACAGAGAGATGAACACATATCAAAAGGCTAGAAAGCTCAGCAGCATTTACTATTTTCTTCCTATTTTTCTGGGAAAATACGCCGTAAATGTACCCGTTTATGGTTTCACGATATGAGGAAATGACATGAACGAGAACTAGAATGCTAGAGTGCTAGGGTTTTACCTCAGTCGGAGCTTGGAGGATCTCTGAGACGGGTTTAGAAGAAGAAGGCCTAGGGTTTTGGGGTTTGAGCTTGATTTTTATATATACCGAGTTTTAATGGGGAAACTGGAAAAAGTTTAAGGGTAGTTTGGTCAATGAAAATTAAGGCCCAATTTCGGCCCAGCTGTAGAAACCTACGTCTCAATTATAGTGAGGTTCAGTTTGTTGGACATCATAGGAAGTAACGGAACGGAGCCCATCTACTGCTACATTTCTTTATTTTAATTTTTTTTTAATAAGTTGCTAATCAATTGATCAAGCATTTATTTACTAATTTATTAGAACCAACCTATACATAAGCAAAGATTTATGATTGTGATGTAAACGAGGAGAATCTAATCCAATATTTTAATATGTAATTGTTGAATTACATTATAGGAAAAAAATGTCGGATCTTGTACTCATTTTGTTTTTAAATTTTTGGGCTGATTTATATATGGTTAAATAAATGGGAGTTTCACTAAAACACCCAAAATGGAGGTTGAAATTATAAAAAAACCCAACACCCAAAACACTTTATAAACACACCCAAAACCCATCATTACACACACTCAAAACCCATTTATAAACACACCCAAAAAGTTGACTTTGGGGTTGATTTTGGGTGTGTTTCTATGTTTAAATAGTGCTTGGGTTTTTTTATAAATACATGTCTAGGATTGGGTTTATTTATAAATTTGTATAAATAAATGGACCACCTTTGGTAGTCTTGTACATGTAGATCAAAGATGCTTCAAACTATTAAAAAATGATTGTAATTTTACATGTCCAAATTTTTTAAGATGAAAGGTTGAGATTATACTTTTGCCGAAGTTTTATTAAATTTTCTTAAGAGTAAATTGGAAGAGAGATATTTGGTTTTTTTAAATTATAATTATATACAAGTTATATTAAAAGAGGGAGATTCGAATGAAGAAACTTCGATGCAGAAGTAAATGTTCTTAACAACTTGAGTTATAAATCTCTTGTTAAATTGAGAATTGATTTAAAAAAAACTTGAAATAATACACAACGACTGTTTTGTTTTAATTATTTAAATCATCACCATATTTGTAAATATAAAAAACCAAAAAAAGAAACACAGTAATCAATAATAGTGGTGAAATTTAGGGGGGTATATCCAATTCTAACTTTCAAAGACTTTTTTTAAGTAAGTGACTTTCCTAGAGTTGGCAAATTCTTAATGACTTTTATATACTTGATAAAGTTAAGTGACAAACTTTCATATACTTTTGTCATAGAGTTTTATAGACTTTTAAATAATTATTTTTATTGTTTTAAATTTTACGAATAGCATTTATCTTTTATGTTGAATGAACTAGTCGGCATACATGGAACAAAAAATTAGGGAAAAAAAAAGAGAGGATACAAATCCTTATTAATTGTGTATATTTTCATAATAGCTTATTAGTAAAATGCATCCAATGCACCATTTAAATTTTTATTTATCAAATCTAATCACATAGATAAGTAACATATTCTTATCAAAAGAAATAAATATTACTCAATCACGAATAATATTTCATAAACACTCACAAACCAACAGAAATGGTCAGATTACAAGAGTCTATATTCCCAATTCTCCTAGCCCAATACGTGGGATGTAATCAAATTGAGAATATTATATGAAAAAATTATCCACATAATGAATTATGGGTAAAGAAACAATACCTAAATAATAAATTAATGGGTTTAAGGGCAAAAAATTATATAATAAAATATTGTATGCAAACATAGCATATGAGACAATCAATATAATAAAATATTTATATGCAAACATAGCTTTGTGATGAAATATTGATAAGCTTCAAGATGCAAGCATGATGAAAAGAATAGAAGAAATATTCATCAACAGAGGGAAAGTACACGTGTGGATGAGAAGGGAAGAAAAACATTCAAAAAATTTTACTAACCTGAACTGAAGGAAGTGGATGACAAGATGGGTTACAAAAGTGAGCCCTAACCATGAAGAAAAAAGACCTATCTGCTTGCTGCTTGATATAATGAGGGAAGAAAGAATTGGAGACGTTTTGGTTATATCTTCCTAGCTTCCCAATATTTTCATAAAATCTGGTGTAAATTAGCAAGACTTTTGGTAGTAAGAATTAGCTTCAAAAGTATTGAAAAGTTATTTATTTAACAAATTTTTTAAAAGTCATTAAGATTTTGGATACCTCAAAACTTTTAAATACTCTTTAAAACTCACAATTGAATACAACTAAACATTTAAAGACTATTTAAAAGTCACAATTGAATACCTTCAGACTTTTAAACTCATTAAAAGTTATTAAAAGTTAGAATTGGATACACCCCCCTTAGTTTCTGTATTTTATAATAAAGGTTTACAGTCAAAGGAGTAAGGAGTGGATGGAGGGAGCAGGTGAGACATTTACATAAGAACGGTAGGAGAAGATGAATTAAAAAGACAACAAATGCCACTGTAAGTGGAGCCAATTTACACAACTGCCACTTCCAATGTAAAGCCAACGATGATGATTGGAGGCCTTTACCGGGCGCTTTCATGTTTCGTCCACTTCCACCTATTCTTCAAGAAATGAAGAAAACCCAAATGGGCATTGACTTGCAGGTATAGACCTCTTTCACACTTCTTCCTTTTTTAAATTTTCATTTGAACTTAACTTACTACCAAATTTGTATAATACCATAACTGAGCACCAGCTCATTCGCAAAAACCATGCTTTAGTTTCATATTGACCACGAATCCCACGCTCTTCATCTTCAATTATGTTAAATCTCGCGAGATGCCGTGAGATTCCAGCATTTGATCAAAGTTGAAATCTTGGTCTGGGTATCTGTTACTTTCTTCTTTTGGCTCTTTGTTTTTTTTTGGTGTTCTTGTCCCACTGGATTTAGAAACTGTGATCAAAAGCTGCTGAAGATTTTTCAGTGCATCAAAAAACTTTAATGGTTGAGATCCAGTTGAGTTCAGTATCATGTTTCAGCTTCTGGGTCCTTATAAATAACAGCTCTGGTTTCAATTTTTGATTATCAAGCTCTGGTTAGAGGTACCCTTAATTTGAGTCGAGTTCCTCATAGAGCATTTTGCTTGATCTCTTTCTTCTGCCACACCCATCTGGTCATTTGTGTTGTTTAATTTGTGACCATCCTTGTTTGTGTTGTTTTCATCTCCATAGATCCTCTCTGTTCTTATAATTTGCTCAGTCCATTGAGTTCTTGTTTGTGACATTAGTCAATGCGTACTTCTATGTTATTTCCAATTGGCCTATCCTTGCGTTTGGAATCCCAATGTTTAGGTGCTGCTGAAATTTCCTCAGTTAATAGTATCTTATTGAATTCTTGTATGTGTGAGTTTTGATCTGTCATAGTATGCTTTAGACTGTAGGGCTCAATGTCAATCCTATGTGGCTGCCCTCTCATTGAGTGCGTTTACTGTCTGGCATGTACCCGCTGGGCTTGGAAGCGATGCCTCCACACAGCGGGTCATGACAGTGAGACTTGGGGCATTGCCACTGCTGAAGAATTCGAGCCTGTTCCTCGCCTTTGCCGCTACATTCTAGCTGTTTATGAAGATGACCTTCGTCAACCCCTTTGGGAGCCCCCTGGTGGGTATGGAATTAAACCAGATTGGTTAATTTTGAAAAAGACATATGAAGATACTCAAGGACAAGCTCCTCCATATATATTATATCTTGATCATGACCATGCTGATATAGTTCTTGCCTTCAGAGGCCTTAACTTGGCAAGAGAAAGTGACTATGCAGTTCTTATGGATAATAAGCTGGGCAAGAAGAAATTTGATGGCGGTTATGTTCACAATGGGCTATTGAAAGCCGCTGAATGGGTTCTGGATGCAGAATGTGAGAATTTGAAAGATTTGGTAGAGAAGTATCCAAATTATACTTTGACTTTCACGGGACACTCCCTAGGGTCCGGTGTAGCAGCATTGTTAACAATGGTGGTGGTGCAGAGCAGGGATAGGTTGGGGAACATTGATCGGAAGAGGGTTAGGGGCTATGCTATTGCACCTGCGAGGTGTGTGTCATTGAACTTAGCTGTCAGATATGCAGACGTCATCAATTCTGTTGTGCTTCAGGCAAGTATTTAATCCCTTTCTCGGTAGGAAGAATTTGTTCGATAAGTTTAAAGGAATATACATCTTATTATGCTTCAGCCTTATATTTTATATGTTGGCATCTTCTATCTCATTGTTGTGTAAATTGTTCATCTCAAAAGCTCCTTTGTCTGTATTGGCAATGCATGGGAGCTTGTTCTTTGAAAAACTAAACACTAAAGGATTTATTCGCACAACTATACAATAGACTTTTATAATCTTTATGTAGTAGTTCCGTAAATGCATTCCTTTGATTTGATTGTGATCATTATGCTGAACCAGGATGACTTCTTACCTCGGACAGCTACACCCTTGGAAGACATTTTCAAGTCACTTTTCTGGTATAATTGGCTCTGATCACTCTTTTCAACTATTGCTTTGTTTCAGCTGAAGGGGTCCCATAAAGAGGGCATACTTAATATCTTAAGAATTAGTTAGGTGATCATATCAATTTTGGATTTTTAGTTATCTGGATTTTCACCTTTTGAATGTTAATTCAATATATTGTTAAAATTGGACTTTATTTTGTTAAACAGTTTGCCATGCCTACTATGCATACGATGCATGAGGGACACATGCATCCCTGAGGAGAAGATGCTCAAAGATCCAAGGAGGCTGTACGCACCTGGCCGCCTCTATCACATTGTTGAGAGAAAGCCTTTTAGGTATTGTCAGTCATTAATGAGCAAACTTTTGGGATTATCTACTCAAAACAGCTGCAAAAACTTATTTTATCCTGACCAAGATTACTAAGGACAAGTTTCTCCTGTTGTTCTTGCTTTTGTCAGTGTGTGGTCAATGTGCAAACTAACATAGAATATCATATGCCTATATCCAGGTCCTGTTAACTAAATCTTTCCTATTAGGGATTTTATGCAATGGTACCTGGTGTATGCGGGATTCGCCACATCCACATTGAACCAAAGACATAGCAGTTTAATAGATATTTTGCTGAGCAGGGAGTAACTGTTGATCTTATCTTGTGTAAAGGACTTCCCATCTGCATATTTTTGTTTGCAGGTTAGGAAGGTTTCCCCCAGTGGTCAAGACTGCAGTGCCCGTAGATGGGCGATTTGAGCACATAGTTCTTTCTTGTAATGCCACTTCAGACCATGCCATCATTTGGATAGAGAGAGAAGCCCAAAGGGCTCTAAAGGTAAGTTTTTCCCTCAAGTAGATTTTATAGGAAATATGTCTCTACTTTCTGCATTTGCAAAAGACTAGGTTTCCAACTTGCAATAGTCTGGTGTCTCAACCTCTGCAATTTTTTTCCCACTTCCCTTCAGTTAATGTTGGAGAAAGATCAAATTATGGAGATACCGCCGAAGCAAAAAATGGAGCGGCAGGAGACGTTAGCCAAAGAACACACTGAGGAGTACAGGGCTGCATTACAGAGGGCTGTCACGTTGGCCGTGCCTCATGCATATTCACCATCTATGTATGGAACTTTTGATGAGAAGGATGAGGAGGAGCATTCATATGGATCCAGTGGGGAATCTTCTTTTAGTTCCGCTAAGAAAAGCAAGACATTTGTTGCGCGGTTTTGATTTTGAAGAGAAAAATAACAAAAAAAATGAGTGAGTGTTGTTGTTATTATGATGACTTGATATTTAGTGATGGATAATTAATTTATTGTAATATTTTTTCATGTACAATCATAGAGGAAAAGAATAAACATGCGACAAACTATTCATTGATTCATTCCCCACTTTTTTCTTGAGCTAAAAGTTGTAGCTATTTGTAATGCCTCATTTCTTGACAAATTTATTTATTTTTTGGTCAACATTGCATGACAAGTTTAAACATTTTGATGATTGTAACATTAATTCCTTGATAAAAAAACATAAACAAACCAAATTATGACAAATACAAGGAAAGGAAACCATTTAACGGGTTCTTGTTTAATAATAATTATTTAAAAAAAATAAAAATAAAAATAACGAAAAAACTTTTGCATTCCATTGTGTTTTCAAAGTACTATACTTTTAACCCAAAAAAGAAAGGAAAAAAAAAGGAAAGAGAAAGGCTTTGGTGCAGCAGAGGCGACTATATTTCACGCACAACAGAGAGGTTCAGTTAGTGTCAATGGCTTCCCTCGTCTCAATCTTTCTTCTTTTGGCGCTTACGTCATTCTTCTCCAGCTCTTCTGCTGAAGTGTAAGAAATTCATCTCAATTTTCATTCCTGGAGCCTCATCTTATTTATGACTCAATCTTAAGCTAACAGCTATTTGAGATTCACTAGTAGATTTCGCAATTTTGGTTCCTTAATTCTCACATTTCAGCCTTGTTTTCACGCTAATTAATTAATTAATTAATGGCTATCGTTGGCACTTAGCCTTTAAATTTACAGTTTTGCCAATGATCTATGGATTCTGGAATTATACCTTCTTTTTCCTCATTCTGCCCAAGTCTTACTCATTTTATTTATTTATTTTTTGTTGTAAATTGTTGAAGTTCGAAAAATCGGCCTAGGCGCTAGGCGGGGGGACGGCTTCCTCTCTACTCGCCAGAGTTATCTTTAAATTTGTCTTCTTTTCTTTGTTAAGAGGAGATGATGGAGGCAGAGAAAGAGGGGAGACGATGGAGGTAGAGAGAGATGGGAGGTGATGGAGGCGGAGAGATGAGAGATTAGTGCGGATAGGGTTCGTCCAAAAAAAGGTGCTAGGGTTAGTGAAATGTTGTGTTTCACTTATGGGCTGGTATTTTAACAAGGCTCTCTTATGGGCTTGGGCCTAAATATACTAAAACATAATTGTGTTTTTATTTCAACCCTCTGCTTTATATCAAATGAGTAAGACAAAATAATTAATTTTGGTATAAATTTATAATACAAAATAATTATAATTTTTTAAAATTAAAAAAAACAAGGCCTAGGCGCCCGCCTATGCCCCGATTACTCCTCTAGGCGCTAGGTCACCCGCCTACTGCCTAGCAATGTTTCGAACATTAGCGAAATATTATATTTTGAGCTCCTTTTTTGCTAGTCTGAGTTGCTAAATAGACATAAATTAAGTAAAAGAAAGGTGCCTGTCACAAACTGAGGGAAGTGTTTATTTCTGTCTATGTTTCGATTGTGTTTGTTTGGTTCATCCTACTTGTCCTTAATCTTTTCTGTTGCGATCATTTTGCTTCAGTAGCAGGAAGGAACTAAGGAGTGAGGAAGCCAACAAAGAAACTTTCATACACTTTGGCCACTCAGTTCATTCTAACAGAATTGACCCTTCACGGGCTGTCCAACTATCTTGGCGACCAAGGTCAGGTACATTGATGAATTTTTTATTTCATGAATTTCGCAAAGTTTCCAAATCGGCGAATGTGTAATGTCTTGTTGCTGTAAGACTCTGAGTTCTTGATTCTTGCAATAGGGTCTTTTTATATCAAGGTTTCCTATCAGATGAGGAGTGTGACCACCTTGTTTCTTTGGTACATCCCCTGACATCTTTCTTTGAGATTTTCAGCATATAAATTGGTTAAGGCTGCTTGGTAGTTCTAAATTGATGTTTTGGGCTTAGGCGCATGGTGGAGAAGAGAATTCATTGACAGAATATGATGATTTAGGAAACACCAACACAATCAGGCTGCGTATAAGTTTACAAATTCCCTTGAACATGGAGGTACCTTTCATGTTTTCCGTGACTCGTTATTGTAATTGGGTTTCAGAACACCAGTACTACTGACTGAAAGTGTGCGTTCTTAATCATTTCACTGGTATGCTGCACAATATCTAATGATTAACTGTCTTTTGGTTTCTAGGATGAGATAGTTTCAAGGATTGAGGAAAGAATTTCAGCTTGGACTTTCCTTCCTAAAGGTATCTCCCCTCAGTGTTATTGCTATGGTCTTCTGTTCCTGAGCTGGCTGACTTGTTGCATCATACCTTACGTATGTAGTGCTTGTGTTTGTCCTTCAGAGAATAGCAGAGCTTTACAGGTTTCCCGTAATGGGGTCGAGGAGGCTGAGAAGAATATAAATTTTTTTGGTAACAAATCTACATTGGAACAGAGTGAGCCCTTGATAGCAACAGTCATTTTGTATATCTCAAACGTCACTCGTGGTGGCGAGATTCTATTCCCAGAGTCTGAGGTGAGATAGAAACTGTCCCTTATTTCTGCTTTTTCGTTAATGTATTGTCAAATGCTGATCATGACTGAAACCATCACAGCTGAGGAGCGAGGTTTGGTCTGATTGTGGAAAGAGTAGCAGCATCTTGAAACCCACTAAAGGAAACGCAATCCTGTTTTTCACTCTCCGTCCTAATGCATCTCCGGATAAGAGTAGCCCCCATTCCAGATGCCCAGTACTTGAAGGGGAAATGTGGTGTGCCACAAAATTCATTTATGCAAAAGCCATTGGAGGGGAAAAAGTGTCATCTGATTCAGAGAGCAGCGAATGCACCGATGAAGACGATAACTGTCCCAATTGGGCTTCGATTGGGGAGTGTCAAAGGAACCCTGTATTCATGGTTGGTTCACCTGATTACTATGGGACATGCAGGAAGAGTTGTAATGTGTGCTGACGGGCAAACCTCTAGAGTGTCTTTTACCTCGACGACTATTGTTTCCACAATGCAGATTGGTCAATAAAGATTACAGTGTGAATATCAATCTTCTTATTTGATTTCAGTGTTCAAATGGTAGGATTTAATTTCTGCAAAGAAGCTCTACAGTGAAAAAATTCAAAGCAATTCCATTCCAAATCAAGCTTGAAACAGTTTAAAGATAATGAATTATTGAAGAAAATCCAGATGAAAGATCAAAATTCCACCATAAATACAAAAGCAAACTCCAAATTGGAAGAACATGAGAAGCAGCAGAATCGATCTATGGCACAGATGCTAGAGATGGGTTTGGCTTCTTTAAAGCACATGAAGATTTGAAGGCCTCTATCTGCGACTGGCACTTGACGTAGTCCCCTTTGTTCTCCTCCAAGCATTTCTTCAGGGCCTCAACATCGCACGCAGACATTATCTTCTTCCTCTCGATGTTCTTTGTTTCCGAAGCCCTCTCGTCCATTGTTGCTTGCTTCCAATCGGTGGAAATCGAACAACTTGTAAAATCAAATTATAGAGTCGTGGGTTTATTGTCTCCCTCCGTTGATTCGCGGCTGAGAAAAAGGAAAATGCGAGCTCAGTGAAAACGCACCGTTTGCGACCAAAAACAAAGAATGAAACGCAGCGTTTTGTGACCGAAACAAAAAATGAAACGCAAAATGGGTTCGATGCGTTTCGGGTTGTTTCTGCGCTGGCCCATTTATAATGCGGCCTATCCTTTTCAGGAGAGGAGAGGGAGCGTAAGATGAACGACACGTCATCAAAATTTGAATGGATGCCCTCCCAGGCCTTAACGGCTATTTGGTTCTTACCAAAAAATAAAGACCAAAATCAAAATAAAATCAAAACCAGAACCAACAAATTCAGAACCCATTTACTCCCAATTGGCAATTCTAGTTGAGTAATCTTCCTCTCTCAAAATTTTCACGCTTTTGGGTCCCAAATTGAAACCCTAATTTCACTAGCTGAGAAATTTTCAATACTATATGGCGTCGTCTTTGTGCGACCACCCTGACCGCACCAAGACCCCTATGCGTCCGAACCCATCTCGGAAGGTACGAGTTGTAGCGAAGATAGGGGGTTTTACGGGTCCGGAGGGGGAGCTATCAAGTGAGGTTTCTTGGATCTCTGTGAACAAGCCCAAGGGAGAGGCTTCTGAGAGTGTCACTCTCTCTTTCAGAGAACAGGAAGCAAGGTAATGTTGCTCTTTGTGCCGGGGTCTTATTTATTTCTCTTTTTTTATTTCGTCATAATTCTATTATGAAAATGTAAACTTTGGTTGGTATTTTTTCGTTTCTGAGAAAACCTGGAAAATGAAAAGATATAAGTTCTTGATAGTGTCAGATAAATTAACGTGTAAATATTATACTTTGGCTAATACAGCTAGTCGGCTTAATTGAATTGAGGCTTTTCAAATTTCAGGCGTAAAAAGGGAACACCAATAATTGGATAAATTGAATTTTCTTTCCTCCTCGTTATCTTTTTTGTTTCATGATATAATAAAACAAGAATTTTCTTTTGCTGTCTTGCAGCCGTAAAGAATCTTATGAAGTGGACTACTGCTATGATCAATATGAAGACAATAATGTGATTTTTTCGCGAGAAGTAAAGCCTCTAATTCCTGGGATTCTTGATGGTTGTAATGCCACTGTGATTGCATTTGGAGCAAGAGGCAGTGGAAAGACTTGCTTAATTCAGGTGAGTGTATTTCTATCAAACCCAAAAAAAGCTTTCACTCTAGTTTCTTGGGAAATAAACTTTACAATAACGAGTTGAACCACTTGATTTTGAAGGGTTCTAGTGAGAAACCTGGTTTGGCAGCACTAGCAATGGCTGAGATTCTTTCAATGACTGAGAAAGAAGGAAATTCAGTTACTATATCTTCCTATGAGGTTTATCAGGACCATGTATATGATATCTTGGACCCAGAACGCAAAGTAGTTTTGGTACAGGGTGATGCTCAAGGAAAAATTCGGCTTAAAGGACTTTCTCAGGCAAGTTATTTGGTGTTTTCAATGTAGATGGTAAGACTGGGCTTCTATTGTACATTCTTGATGACATAATTTCCATATCTTTCCAGGTTCCCGTGAAATCCATTTCAGAGTTCCACAAATTATGTGTTACTGGGTGTGGTTCCCGTAAACCAGCACAAAAGGTAGCAACTGAACTTCCACGTAGGAGCCACAAGGGCTTGATAGTACATGTATCATCTCCCAGTGAAAACTCAGATACACTTCATGTGGGCAAGTTGAATTTTGTTGACTTGGCAGGTTGAATTTTTTAAGCACAGGCCACAAATATCTTTTTCAGCCTTTTTGGTTTTAACAATGTTATATAGTCAATAACTTTGTTGAATCTGCCCTTAACAGGTTATGAGGATACCAGAAAGAAAAGTATCAATGGCCTTAATCTTGTTGAGAATAGTAGAATTCATAAGACAATGTATGCCATGTTAAATGTTGTTCACGCATTGAGTACCACAGAAAATCATGTGCCTTACCGGGAAAGCAAGCTCACACACTTATTGCAAGACTCCCTGGGTGGGGCAAGTAGAGTTTTGATGGTCACTTGTTTGGTAAGGTTTTGAGTTTGGTTGCAAGTTTTCTTTTTCTGGTTTATTGTTGTTTGACAGCTTTGACTGCCTTTGATCGCCTTAACATATTATCTCTCTCTTTCACCGTAGAAACCATCATTCTGCCCAGATTCCATTTACATGGTAAGCTTGGTGTCTCGCTCTTTTCAAAACAACAATGGGGCTGTCATAGACTCCACAAAGAAAACTAAGTGTTTGACAAGATCGGCAGTGCTTTCATCACGTAAGATCCATGTACCCAAGACCATTTCTGTTACAGCAAAGAAACAAACCATTTCCAGAGTGCCTCTTTCTGACAAGAAGATCAATGGTAGTACGGCATCCGTATTGAAAGGAAGGTATGTTATGAAGGTCCCTCTTGTAAACTAAGTTGTAATTGAATCATTTTTCCCGTTCCAATGTACTGACTTTAATTTATAATATATTTTTTCTTTTTAAAGGAAGCTATTTGATGAAACAAGTCAGTTGACCAAATCGGAGAAGGTACCTAATCTCCAACTTTGTATCAGATATTGTTGTCTCATTTATCCTGGATATGCTCAAAGGTAGAAAAAGCACTACCTTATCAACTCGAAACTGTTTGATTCATATGCCAGGATTATAAGCACATCTAACATATGAGTGTGGGAAGCTTATATGTTTTCCCTGACACATTTCTATGTCAAGCATTTTGCAATCTCAGACATGAGAATTTGGATTTCCAGCCTGAATTTTAGCTTATTAGATTTTAATGCAGGTAAGTGCAATCTCAGATGTGGCCTCAACCACAGAAACTTCTCTAGATAAAGAGGTGAGGGTCCTTTATATTTTACCTTTGATCTGGTCTATATTCAGATTTTCAAGAAGTGAGGACACTTGTGAGCTCATCTTGTATTCTTATTAGACATTGCATCGTATTTTTGCAGGAAATGTCCATTTCAAATGTTACCAAAGCAACAGAACATCTAGAATGTGTAATTTATCCTTCACAGTATTCCTATATTGTTATAGAATAATACCTTCGGAATCTGTGACTGACGGCAACTGATGGTCTATGCAGGTGAATTCATTATCAGATAATTTGAAACCCACAGAATTTACTTTTATGGCTGAAAAGGTAATCAATAAGTCTAGCAAAATATAAGAAGAGGATTTTAGTTTTTATAAGATAGAAATATTAAAGTTGTGATGGAGGTCAACTGAAATTCTGCAGGACAATTTATTATCAGATGCTCCAAAGCATGCAGAAAGTACTTTAATGGCAGAAAAGGTAATGGACAGTTGCTCCACAATCATGGCTTGGTTAAGTGGCATACATGCTTAATGGATTTTTCATTTTCTTTCCAGGATGTTTCTAGTAACAGTGGTGGTCATACCGAGGAAGTTACTCCAAGTGTCAATAGCAGCAGCAGAAATACATTGTCTTTAGTTGAAGGTTTGGTTTCTTATGGTTTGAATCACCAAACCTAATTTGCAAGATATTAGATGCAAATTTAAATAACTATTTCTAATGTATTCTTTCATTTGACAGTCCATAACATGGAGGAAGAGGAAAACAAGGACTCAGAGGTCAATGAAGAAGAATCGCCACCAATAAGTGCAAGATTACAAGAATTATCGATTCATTTGAAATCACTCTTTTCTACAACTCCGTTGTGCACAAATATGCCAGAGGAATCAAATAATTTGAAATCACTCTGTCCTGCAACTCCGTTGTGCATAAATATGCCAGAGGGGAATGATGCTTCATCCTACAATGACCGCTCTACTAACATTGAAGAACCAAAAACTCCAGTTATCAATAAGGGTACGAAAGATAATGATAGATGGGAGGTTGGAAATTTCAACAGCCCTTGGGAAACACTTAGTACGCGCAATTCCAAAGTGAAGGTCTGATCTATCCCTTCTCTTCATCCAGTTTATGCATTGACTTTGCTTCTAATGTTATTCTTTCATTGCAGCATTCCCTTGTCCAAGACTATCTTAGCTTCTTAAATACGGCTAGCAAGTAAGTATATGTTTTTTTTTTCTAAGTTTCTATTTCTAAGTTTCTATGTTTTTTTAGTATTTCTTTAACTCAGTTAAGCTTTCCTCTACAATCTAAACTTTCCTCTGTTTTTTTTCTTTTTCCACTTCATAGGGAAGAATTGAAAAGATTAAATGTAAGGATCACTACTTTTCCATTATTATCATGGTTTTCTAGCATCTTTTCATATTTAATTGATTTGAGATTTTACATATAGGGGATTGGTGAGAAAAGAGCAACCTACATACTTGAATTGCGTGATGAATCTCCTAAGCCCTTCAAGACTGTAAGTATTCTCAGTACACAGTATGGGATTTTATTTTTCTGTAGTTTTACAATATGCTAATGCAATTTGTAAATTCTCATTTCAATTGTATGGGGCTTCGTCGTGGTAGTTGATTGCTTTTCAATTTTGCTTTTTCAGCTTGATGATTTAAAAGAGATTGGACTTTCAGCGAAGCAGGTACTTCTCGTCAATGTTCATATTATTTATCTTTCTAGTTAGTCCTATCCTATATATCCTAACTGCACTTGAGGAAAATCATTGAGAACATTTGCTATCCTATTCACTATTTATGGACAGTTTTCTTAGTATATGAAAAGCATATGAATTCAGGCAAGGATCAGTATGTCGAATTTACTTTTAAATTTGTGTTTTGAAACACACAGATTAAAGGAATGATGAAGAAGGAAGTTGGAGGGCTTTTCAATTAGCTAATCAAGTGTTACACACAGATTAAAGGCTTGACGAAGAAGGAAGTTAGAGGGCATTTCAATTAGCTAATCAAGTATTAGAGATGTTGGAGATTTCTTTCTCCTTTGTTTTATATTTATCTTTTGGTTTGGTCAGTTCTGTGTCACAGGAGCAGATACTGTCGTGGCATTGGCAACATCAAATTGCCTAAACCTTAATGTAAAATTATCGTGTAATGTTGTACATTTTTATTTATTTATCGTGTAATGAAATTCCTATGAAAGACAAACAAAATCTTGATTGGAACTCATCAGGTGTGGCGCAATGACAGAGAAAAGAAAAAGAATATCATAATCTGATAGATAAGAGGGATTTTATTGACAGTCCCTGTGAGTCCGTTGATCTTAAAACAAATGCAAATAATTGTTTTTGTAATTTTATAATTTTGACACTCAACAAGCAAGAGTCAGACTTTGTGAACCAATACATATTTAAGTTTCCACTTCATCACATCATCTAGATGATTTTGGGGTCGGATTTCTAAGTGTAAAATCCTTCATGATTTCATTTTGGGTGTATTATAATTACTCTGGATATCTCATTCTCATGCTCCTGGGATTCAAAATCAAATGTTCTTTCTTATGGCAAACGAATAAGCCGTGATTTGATGAGAAATTACACGTCTGTTTAAACATCTTTTTTAAGCATGCAAAATATGTAAACGTCTTCAATAAACTTACCAGTTTCAAATCAGGAACAAGTTACCGTTTGCAGAACCTTTATTATATATTTACAGCTTAGGAGATGCTAAAATGTGGTTTACTTGAACACTGCACATTACACCCATAATCAAGCAAATGGTTTCCTTACATTTATAATAAATAAACAACGAAAGAAATTCAAACAAATCCCCTTCGAACCCAAAAGTGACTGTTTCATCACCCACTATAATTAAGCAAGGCTTGCATTTCTGGTAGCAATCGTCTTACAGCCCCAACTCTGTTTTGTGCATTAGGGTTCACTTTCAGGGGTCGCCATGGCCAACATATGCGTCTCACCCTTCTGTTATTGCGCTCTCTGCTCTCTGCTTCTTCTACTTGTCTTGATAGTTCCTCTATCCGCAGACGCAGCCCTGCCGCCCTACTGTCAGCCAGCTGCAGGGACCTCTCAGCTGCTGCCTGCGCCGCCATGGCCGTTGCTGCGAGTTCTTCTTTCAGCTTTAGTTTGCCATTTGATATGTCCAAAGCAGCCTTGGTCTTCTCCAATTCCTGCTTCAGGATGGCGATCTAATGAACCAGCAATGAGATAAATATATTATATACTTTTCTAAATTCCAATCACCAATGAATCAGTAACAATAAACATCAAATGGGAGTAGAATTTTACCACTTTCTCACGTTCTCCAATCTCATTTTTCCCAGCTTCAACTTCTAACTCACAAGCTTCTCTCCATCTAGCAACCTCCGCTTCACTTTCTTTTATTTCGATCAGGAGTTCCTCAACCTGCCAGCCATAAAACGAGGGAATGAGTCAGCAAGAAGATGAGCATGCTTTAGGAAGGCACAGTAAACATTCATAACATGTTCTATGAAACTGGTCATTACATTTTGAGTTAACAGCCTCTCTCTATCCTCTAACTCTTTGATGTACTGCACGTTTTCTGCAATTTCTTGAGCTTGTTTTTCTGTGAGACTCTGTAGACGCTCAGTGTCTGACCTGGCATACAATTGATAATAAGTAATCGACAACTAAACCTCCGATATTCAACATGAATAATGCAGTATAAGCAGAGATGTGTTTGCAGAAATTTATATTCATAGAGCGCTGGAAACTCTATTATTACCGTTTCCCCAAATGAAACAATGTTTTCCTTCTTATTAAGAACTAAAAAGTACATCATTTCAACATTCAAATCAGCATTTTCTGGAAAGACAGGCCTCTCCTCACAATCAAAATATAAATGCAGTTTCAAAATATGATCATAAAACAATGATGTGGGTAGGCACATAACTTGATTACGAGTTTACCTAGATTCTTCCAGAGATCTTCTCAGTTGAGTGATTTCAAGCCGTAGGTTCTTCATTATCTTCTCTACAGTCGATGCCTGATAAGAACAATAACAAATATAAATTAATTAGCAAGAAAAACCATAAATTAGCTTAAAGAAAAGTTGAACTCACCAGACTGACAACCCCCTCTTCACATTCACTACTATCTGATTTACTTCCTGTGGTAGACCCCGTAGCATCCAACTTATCCCCTGAACTCTCCAGTGACTGTTCATTGCTCCCACTTCCCATCATAAACCCAAACCCAACTCTCTGCAAACCTCTCTCTGCAATCTGCAAAATGGCCACCCTCTTCTGCTCGCTGTTTCCTTTCAACCTTCTCTCCATAGCTTCCTTCTCCACCAAAGCGATCCTAAGCAAGCTACTGATGTCCCTGTTCTCCTCTGTCAAACTCACCACACTATTCTCCAATTCCTTCTTCTCTTTGCTCCTCAATTCCTTGTACTCATTCACCTTCACTGCAGCTGAAGCCGCTAGGCTCGTAACCGCCATAATCTCTTCCCAAACTGCCCTCCATTCTAGGTCTAGTTGTGATTCTTCACTCGTCCCCTCAACTTGTTCAACCCCATTCTCAACCTTTTCATCACCAACACCATCAATTATTCCAATTAGGCCCTCCTTGGTCGACTGGACGGCATCCAAGCACTTCAACAAAAACTCATCTCTCTCTTTCCTCTCAAGCTCCAATCTTTCAACTGTCTCCCTAGAAACTTGAACCTCATGTTCAAGCACCTCCTTCGTTTTCAACTCCTCATCGATTTTTGACGCAAACCCATCTTCACTTTCTCTCAGAGAAGCTTCAAGCCCGTGAATTTCGTCTCGGAGAGAGTCTCTTTCGCCGGAAATTTCTCCGATGACTTTGACTAGGTCGGCGTTGTGAGCCAGGGCCTCGTCTCTCTGCTTCTGGACGAGGTTAAAGTCTTCCTCCATGGCCGCCGCCTTTGATAGGAGGCTCTGGTGCGACTGGCGAAGGGACTCGAGCTCAGTCCGAAGATCATGATCGGAGATTTCTGTGGAGTTGGGCGGATCTGGGCCGTCTATCTGGGTTTCTGGGAGTGTTCCTGGAGGGCTTTCCATGGTCCATAGAGTAGAAGATGATTGGGGATCAACAAGAAGAAGTGCGTGCGTGCGTGCGTGCGTGTGTGAGAGAGTTTCAGAGCTACCAGTCAAAACAATGGAGAGGGAGATAGAGAAGGAGAGTCCGGTGAGGAAACAATTTCATGTATATGGGTTTGGGTTTTGGCGCGAGAAAATACAGTGCTAAAGGACCAACTAGTTTTGGGCTTTTTCTGAGTCTGGGCTGCTTCAATTGCTCATACTGATATACGTCAAACCCATGAAAAAGTTTTAAAAACCAAAAATACTTTTAACGAGCATTATTGGCTTTGAAAAATGTCTCATAATACAAGAGTCTTGTAGCTCAAAGTAATTAAGTGCAAGTTGTCCCTGCACCCGATATCCTGTATCCGAATCCCCATTTCCAATATCGCTTGTGTCAAAAAATATCTCATAATTTTTTAATAAGGCATCCGTTATTTACATTATATGATAATTCACCGAATTAACTCTTTGTTACTTTAATTTTAAAATATTTGATGTTAAGTGCTTGAATATTATTGGCTTTGAATTGTAAAGACCCTGTCAATTTGTTTACTAGTCTTTTTCTTCCCTTGTAGGGACAAAGACATTGATCAAAAGTACAGCTGGTTCGCTAAAGATCAAAAGTCTTGGTGCTAACATTACACGTAATTGTCATGCAAAGTGCGGTGTATTTGCTCAAACAGGAATTTTCATTGATAGAACTTTTCTTCTTTCTATTATAAAATCTAGAAGGATTGACCACAACCACATCAAATATGGTATTTTTTATTTACTAATTTGGTCCAATTTTCACATCAGTGAAAAAGAAACCCTTGTCTTGCACTTACTTCAACCTTACGTATTGAGTCTATTGACTAATAATTTATTACATACCAAAGCATATAATAAGAAAAAGTTATCATTTTTTCTGTTACTCTCTCTCTCTCTCTATCTCACTCGCTCTCACTCTAACTTTCTAATTAAAATTACTTTCTTTTTCTTTGTCATCTGAATTAAAAGTATCTGCAAATTTTCATAAGAATCTCAGCCCAAAACGAAACCCATAACCATAAGTAAAGTTGCTTTTGTAACAGCGCAGTTCTAAAGGCTAATTTTGGTACACAAATAATAAAATGCTTTTCCGGAACTACAGTGAACAGGGTTTAGCTTTTCTATGACTCGGCAATGACTGAGTTTGACTCACTGAGTTCACTGCCTCCAGAACAGACCGATTCCCTGGCCTCTCCCGGGATTCGGAATTCCATGGGATTCGGCGATATTGTACGGATGGGGAGCGTTGAAGAGGGTGAAGAAGAAGGGCGGGTGCTGAATGTGGACGAGACTATATTCGTTGCGGTCGGGAAGGACGTGAAGCAGAGCGAAACGACGCTGCTTTGGGCGGTAAAGAACTTCGCAGGGAAGAATATATGCCTGCTCCATGTTCACAAGCCTTCCCGCGTGCTTTCACTTTGTGAGTTTCTGACTTTGAATGTTGATCTTCGATCAATGTCTTTTGGTTTATGTTCTGTGACACCTTGAGCTTGTGTTTGGCTGCTGAGATAATACAACAAAAGCTAGGGGAGTTGAATTCTGAGTCAATTGTGGAGTAGTTTCCATCTTTAATTTCTAGTTGTAATTTATTTGTCTTCAGAGCTTTTAATTATTGTGATTTTGCTACTCTTTGCAGCAGAAGGAAATGGTCCTGCCAGTCAATTGAAACAAGGAGCCATCAAGGTATACCAAGCACTTGAGAGGACAAAACTTCGCAAACTTCTAGATCAGTACCTACTGATTCTCATCCGAGCAGGGGTAATGATCCCCCTTCCTTGTTTTTCGTACCATAGTGTGAGCTTTAGCATTGATCATTCTGAATTTTAAGTCAATTGTGTTAGGAAGAATAGAATTTCGAGTCATGTGTGATTGGAAGAATATGAACATTCAAATATTTTAGGAAACTGGACTAAGACATTTCATAAAACATTCCCAAATGATTTCTTATAAATGCAGGTGCAGGCAAATGAAGTATGGATTGAGATGCAAAAAGTTGAAGAGGGGATTGTTGAATTAATTGCTCGGCACAATATTAGATGGCTTGTCATGGGGGCAGCTGCAGATGAATATTATTCTGAGTATGCATCAGTGATTACACATTTCAAGGATACATTTTTTCATTAGAAGGGGAAAACTATGTCTCTCTATCACACTCATCTTGTAGACGTCATGCTATTGTGTTGCATCATTCTGGATAAGGGATTAGGAGAAGGAAATTGTGATCTTTCAAATTTATTCTTAATGTTACTCCTAATACTAAGTGGGTACATTTCTGTTATAGAAAATCATCTATTATTGTTGTCTCTAATTAAACGGAAAAAAATTTGTGATCTTTGATGAGTTGAAAGACTTGTGAGAACATGCTTATCTGCCTTCAATTTAAGTTGACTGACTCGTACTCACTGCGATTGCAGGAGATTGGCAGAGATAAAGTCCAGGAAAGCATTTTTTGTATGCAACAAGGCAGCTAGTTGTTGTCATATTTGGTTTGTTTGTAAGGGGCACCTCATATATACAAGGTAATATTGGCACCCTTTACAATAACCCATGCATTAACGTGTGTTTGATTTTTATCCTAATGTATTAGCATTGGCAGACTAACTCAATCTGTTGTTTCGGCCCAAGTGGCTTTCCCATTTAAGTTCAAATTGTCATTTCTATAACTTGTTGCTTTATCTGTATATGCACACCACGTACAATTGCACTTATATGAAGTACATTAAAACAGGGGAGACAGAGAAGATGAATCTGAAATAGAAATTGCCCCTCCTTTGCTGCTTACAAGTTCGGCTAGTGGAGCAGACCAACCAGAGCACTTAAAATCAGAGTCAACTCATTGGCTGAGAAATCTAGGTAGGGTCACTACCCAAACTATTATGTCTCAGACGAGAAAAATCTGTTTTATTTTTTGTTATAATATAAGCGAGTACTAGACAAGTAACTTTATTACAGAGCTCTGCAGATGCTGAGGAAGATACCAGTGAATTGGAAGAAATATCAAGGAGGTTGACCCCACTGCTGATAGATGAGGTTAGAAAAAATTGTGCATTGTCATATACAAGTCCCTAGATGATTTTCTTTATGCATCGTCTTGGTACACTTATATTTGAACTAAAAAAGGGTGAAGGGTCATGAAAATGAAGAATGTTTTAATTTTTATGTCCTGAGGTTTTGAGTTAATGGACACATAATATTGGAGCAGATAATGAACATACTTGTACTGTAGAATATAATTCATGATAATAATCTGCCCTTTATAGATATTATATTGCTCATTATTTGATTAGTATTTAATTGCTCATCTTTGCAGGAGGACAAAGCAGCTTGTGAAAGTTATCATCTAGTAGAACCAAACATTGTGGACACTAATAAGAACTCAAAAGAGAAAGGATATGAGGAGACAGTGAAGCGGTGGAAAGAGGAAGATAATGCCATGGAGGCTAAATGCAAGGTGAAATTTATCTTTTGCTAATCAATTTCTCATTTTCTTTTTGTATTGCTATTGTTTTGGCAGGGGATGCTGGGTTTATATATTAACGTCAAATTTGATCAAATTCTTTTGTCTTAAGAAAATATTAGGTTTTCATGATATACATGGCTGGAAATTAACTTGGTAAAAAACTAAGCCTGTTTTTTTAGTTAGACTTTTCATTTAAGAATTAGTTTATGTATTTTATCTCCTCGTCTCTCGTCTCTCCTCTTCTAATTAAAACAAGGAAAAAAAAACCAAAACATTATCAAATCGACCCTAAGTAAACTATGCTTTCTGTATCTTGGGCAGCACAATTGACTGATGAGTTAAACTTATCTCAGTTATGTAGCCTGACCATTTCTAGGAAGTGTTTGGCTCAAACCTTGACCTTTTGGGTTTATTAGGAAGTGTTTGGCTGATATTTGTCTGCAATGTGCAACTGTGCAAGCATGCATATTTTGTTCATGAATGCATACGTACTCATCGTGGATACTATCTCAATTTTCACCAGCAAGTTTGTGTTTATGACACCTTCTTACAGGCCAAAGCATTTGAAAGTTTATGCACAAAAGAGATGAGCCAAAGAAAAGAGATGGAAGAAGCGCTTGCTAGAGTAAGGCAGGAAATAGATGGGATGAAGGATGAACGTAATGGATTCAAAGGACAACTCCAGATGGCCCAGGACAATAAGTTAGCGCTGGAGAGCCAACTGGGAGACTCTCAGTGTATGGTGGAGCAGTTAGAGGAGAAGCTCCTCTCAGCTGTGGAGCTCTTGATAACTTTCAAGGATAGACGGGATAAGCTGCAGATAGAGCATAGAGATGCAATAACAAAAGTCAAATGGCTAAGGACATCGATAAAAGGGGAAGCTGCAAGCTTTTGTCGGGCAGAATTCCCTGTGTTCTCTTTTATGGAGATAAACGAGGCAACTCACAATTTTGACCCATCCTGGAAGATTGGAGAAGGAAGGTATGGAAGTGTTTACAAAGGGATTCTTCGCCACATGCATGTTGCTATAAAGATGTTGCCTTCTTATGGTTCTAAAACGCAATTAGACTTCCAAGATGAGGTATATCTTGTGCTTCTTTTTTTCCCTACAATACTATGTTATTAGAAACCTGTAAAACACCAATGAATTCTTTGTTTTGGTTGAATTTCATCAGGTAGAGGTCTTGAGCAGAGTGAGGCATCCAAACTTGGTAACACTGATTGGAAACTGTCCAGAATACAGGTCACTTGTGTATGAGTACCTAAGAAATGGCTGCCTTGAAGACCGCCTTGCCTGCAAAGGCAACACTCCACCTCTTCCATGGAAAGTCCGAACGTGCATTGCTACTGAGATATGCTCTGCCCTTATCTTCCTTCACTCAAATATCCCTTGTCTTGTGCATGGGAATGTGAAACCCAGTAACATTCTCTTTGACGCAAACTTTGTGAGCAAACTGGGTGATCTGGGCATCGTTAGTTTGATCCCACAGAATGAAAATCCGGCCAACTTCGCCAGAATACATAATGACCCAAATGGAACTGATGTGTATTTGGATCCAGAGTATCTTGAAACTGGAAACCTTACACCCGAATCAGATGTTTACTCATTTGGGATTATACTATTACAGCTTTTAACTGCAAGACCACTCCTAGGGATAGTGAAGGATGTGAAAACCGCTTTAGAAAATGACAAAATCGATGCGTTGTTGGACATTTCAGCTGGGGATTGGCCACTAGAGCAAGCAAAGGAGCTGGCTTACTTAGCACTGAGGTGTTGCGAGAAGAACCGGTTGAATCGGCCTGACCTGTGGGTTGTCCACGAGGCAATGGGGGCTTCCTTTGCTGCCTCGGCATCATGCTTGATTTCCAAGAAACTTATTAGGACACCATCCCATTTTGTCTGCCCCATTTTCCAGGTAATTTACGTCTACTGCTGCACGTGTATTTGATGTCCACTTTCTGTAGATTCAACTAACTTAGAACTTGAAATGGCAACTTGGGAACCGTTTTGAATGTGTTTTCTGATGACCATGACTGTTTTACTCGCAGGAAGTCATGAAAGATCCACACATAGCAGCAGATGGGTTTACCTATGAAGAAGAAGCAATAAGAGGATGGTTGAAAGGCGGCCACAATACCTCGCCCATGACAAATCTTAAGCTTGAACACTGCAATCTGGTCCCCAATTATGCCCTTCAGTATGCTATTCAACAGTGGCAACTAGAGTTGTAAAAATTTCATGAATCTTTATTTCTTTCGTATACAAGGTGGTTCAAGGTGGTTCGAATTGCAAACATTGTAAATCACAGTGACCAAATATACTAAATTTGAAACAATGACCAAAAAGATTTTGGGCACAAACACAGTTACTAGAAAGGTTACTTTGACCAAGTTCGAATCCTCTTTTCGTAAATCAAGTAGTTTGGAAAAAAGAAAGGAAATTAATCCTTGATTATTTTGCCAGAGCTACAAACACTTGAAGCCCTATTGATAAAAATAAAAAATAAAAAAAAATAACTCGAAGCCCAATCTGAAGTGGACGGGCCTCCCCCAAATTTTATATTTTAATGAGCTGAATTCTCTCAAGTGGACCAATTTAGGGCTGTCAACCTCTCAATTCCCAACGCACTGCATCAACGCACTCCGTTGGCGCGTGAAAATAAATCCTACCGTCTCATCTCATGTCGTAATCTTTAGCTTCCTTTGTTTTTTTTTTAATATTTATTTTCCTTATTACTGAGGAGGGGTGAAGAGGGGTTCCCTTCCCGTCCATCTCTGTAGCCTTTAGATTTATTTTCTCTTTACGAACTCTCTCACTCTCTCTCCACCTCGTCGGAACTCTCTCCTTTCCCTTCTTTGCCTCATCACTTTCTCGCGTATTCTCGGCGATTTTCCTTCCCGCCAAACACTCCCAATCTCCCTCCCGCCCGCTTCGAATCCCACAGATCGCCTGAGGTTCTCTCTATATCGAACCGATCTCTTCTCACACCTCCACTGGTACGTAAACCGATTACTCTCAGTGCCTTCATGTGTTACATATATATGTGTGCATATATACATATAGAATCACATATTGATCATAGATCACGTGTTCCCAAACCTTACCAAGCTTTGCCTTCTCATATTCATGCTTTCTGAGTCGTTTTTATTTTTTTGTTAATTGTATTGTCGTTCTGTTTGATAGCTGGAAAGACTTTGTATTTGTGCAACCAAAATAGAAAAAAAATTATAAGAGAATTTCGATATATATATATTAGTTTTGTGCTGTATATAAATGGTTTATTTTCAACTTAGCTAAGTCTTATAGTCGTGCTTGGTTTATTTTTGATTGCATGTTAATTTCCTGACTGCGGATTATGAAAGATTTGAAATCTTGTTTCCCTTTTCTATTAGTGGGTTTTTTAATTTCCCCGTTTATTCCCCGTATTCGTTTTTTTTTTTTTTTTTTTTTTTTTTTTTTTTTTTTTTTTTTTTTAATAATATTTCTATATTTATTTAGATAGTAGTGCTGCTTATGTATGTAGATGCTTCGTTTTCTGTCGAGGTGTAGGAACTTTAGCTATGCATTCTTTCTGGTGGATCTGTATTTTAGAATTTGTTTTGTTATACCCATTGGTGTGTCAATTTACTTTTTCTTCTGTATTTTAGTTTTCTCTTATTAGAATTATTAGGGGTAATGTAGATGAAGGAGGATGTTTTTGTGCCCCGAGCTTGCTATCTTTTGCTACATCCGCTTAAGATGTGGCATATGTATTCCTCAGTCCACTTCAGTTGCATGTCAATTTGTCGTTAAATGTTTTCCTTATATTTACTTGTCTTATATTATTTATAGAGGCATCTAGTGCTCTGGTGGATTTGAAGTTTCTGTGTGAATAGATGCCAATTGCTAAACTTAAGGCCTCAAACACTCTGGATGCTATGAAATCAGAGGAGGGAAACGATTCCCTTGACACTATCATCAGACAAGTTGCAAAAGAGCCTTCTATTTCTTTCTCTAGGGCTGGGGATAGTCCGGTCCCGTGGATTCAACTACTTCATGCCTTAGATCAACAAGGTACCAGCAATTATTTCTTCTAAACACAAAATTTTGTTAGATTATAGAATTGGGAAACTTTTTTTTATTGAGATTTGTGATAGGCTCGGATTAAATGCAGCCGTCTCTAATGGGGCTAAATGTCCTGAGGCTGTTCTGCTTTTCTTGGTCCTGCTAAGGCCAATGGCTGCACTAATTTGTATATTATATGTCATAAGATGGTATTTTGGTTTCATGTGTTTGCTGACAAAGCAATGTTAATTTTGGCAGAACTTCCAGGTTGGCCCTTGCACTCTCCCATTAAAGTGCAGTTGCAAAAATGTGACAAATGTCCCCGCGAGTTTTGTTCATCCATCAACTACAGAAGACACATACGTGTGCACCATCGCTTGAAAAAGCTTGATAAGGTTTCCTTACTATTTTAAAGTGTTATGACTTTGTTCATATTGAGTTTTGTGTATTGCAACTTTCAGCATAATTTTCTTTCCAGTTTGCTCATAATGCTTAATATTTTCTTACGTCATGTAGGATTCTTCTAAAAATAGGGAGCTTCTAGGGGCATTTTGGGATAAGGTACATTTTCTTCTTTGAATTATTTATGTGAGTGCTACCTTATTTTTAGTGATGCGCTCACTCATTCCATCATTTGTACTTTGTCTAGCTATCACCAGAAGAGGCAAAAGAAGCTGCATCATTCAAGAATGTAACTTTGGAGGTATTTTCTGTTTACTTGCCTGTATGTTTGATTGCATGCCTCTTATGCTTAGATTCATGAACCATGAACCAAGGTAGGACAGTAAATGTATTATTTTTCCCTCATAGATCATAGTTTTGAATTGACCATGATTTGTCTTTGCATACCTCCTCCAGTACTTATGATCAGTTAATTTCTTATGGGCTTCATTTTGTTCAAAAGTCAGTTCATATTATTTGTGTTGGCTTCATATTTGTTTTGCTTCTGCTTTTTTCTTTATTACAAAAAAATCTGTTTTTAAAGTGCAATCGTTTGAAAGGAGTAGTTTTTGAAGTAGAGATCCTAATTTAATATACTTTCTAGGAAGTTCCAGGGTCTTCAATCATAAAGGCATTGACGACACATATTCGGAAACCAGGATTTTCTTCAATGCCCCACATTTATTTGAAGGCTGGTTCTGCCCTTTTGGTAAGGCCTTATTCTTTGTTTTTGTGTATCAGCTTTTATTGTAATGAACTTACATATGGCCTGTTTTATGGATGTGATATATCTGACTCTCTTATTTTTATGTCCTTATCAGGATATTGTCCAAGCTAGACCTTCCAGGTTCCCCATTTCTTCCCAGGAGTTATTTTCTATCCTTGATGATGCAAGTGAAAAGACGTTCCTATCTGGGACAGCCATATCAATGCAAAGATATATTTTTGATGGGGAAGCTGGGAAGGTTGGCCTTGAATCAAAGAACTTAGTTGCTTGTACCAGCTTCTTGGTGGAACAAAAATTGGTAACTTTTCTTGTTTTTCTTTTCCATTTATTTAACGTAGTTGGTTTTACTCTATTTAATTATATTTAAACATGTATTGATTTTTTATCAGGTGAAAGCCTGGCATGCTGACAAGGATGCCGAAGCTTTGAGGTTACAGAAGTTGCTAGTGGAGGAAGAAGAAGCTGCTCAGAGAAGGTACACATCAAGCATTTCTTTTGGATTTTCAGTGCACAGGTTCTTCAACTGTGTAATTTTTTTCATTTTATTTTTCGAATTTCTGTAGGCAAGCAGACCTCATGGAAAGGAAAAGGCAGAAGAAGCTTAGGCAGAAAGAACAAAAGGCAAAGGATCAAAGACATGGGGTTAAAGTCGATGTTAAAGAGAACATTGACAAAACACTGGAGGCTGAGCCACTGGTAGAAACATCTAGTCCTTCAGCAACATTTGATTCTGACACGACCAGTTCAGATGTGCAGGCTCATGATAGCTTATCTCTTGAAGCATTCCAACTTTCAACTGCTGATGAAAATGTGGATCCCGAATCTCAGACTGAATTTATCCATGGACATTCTGATTCGGTGAGTGGTCCAAATGTTGAACGGCGAATGGTGCAAGGAAGTGGTTGTCGGCGTGCAGTTGTTGCCCGATGGCAGGTGTTGTCAAAATCACAGCGGGGTGTGCCTCATGGATTTCATGGAGGTCTGAGCTCTCAAACATCAAAGCTTTCATCCATACAAAATCATGGTAACCACAGGGATTCAAGGGCTGCTTCTAGTGGCAATAAAGTATGGAGTCGAAAGCCTAAACCAGAATATGATGGGGGATGTTTGAAAGCTGGAGTACAGAAGGAAGCAACTGAATCAGATCAAATTAAGAACCAAGAGGTTTTGATTGGTTCCATATCGGTCAATCTTGGAAATTGTTCCCAAGAAAGTGATAATCTGGCCGGAGTTGATGATGATTGCCTTTTGGAGCATCAAATTCCAAAGAACAATGCTCATGATAAAACCAATAAACCTGATTTGGTACATAGTGGCACAAATCGGTCAACAGTGAAGCTCTGGAGGCCTGTGAGCCGGCATGGAACAAAGGGTCCTATGGCAATTCAGAATGGCAACAGAGCATCTGAAATTGACGTGGTAGCTGAAAAGGGCAACAGTCAAAACCCTTCCAGTGAAAATTGTCCAAGATCGTGTGTCATGGATGGCGGTAATGATGGAAATGGGAATGGCTCTACTCGCCTGGATGAAACTGGAAGCTTGAGGTTCTCTAGCCGTGCGGCAAAAGATTTTCTTGCACAGAGTGAGTTCAGTTCCATTGTGTATCTTGATCTTTTGTACACTACCCGCCTAAGTTAATTAACCCTAAAATACTATAGAATAAGTAAGCATCTTGATTTGTGCAGGGTGGAAGGAAGCTATTGCGGCAGACCATGTAGAATTGGTTCTATTACAAGACTCTGAGCCTCCCAGGTGCCCAGACAATCAAAATGACGGTGAAGTAGAATCTAGTCATTCATTGAAGTTTAAACGCAGCATTCTTGGCAATGCAGAAAACCGGCTTGTAAATGTAGAGGGACTTGAGTTTCCAACTGCTGGAGCTGCTGAAGTCAAGCACAGGACGAAGCCTGAAAAGGGTTTGAAGATAAAATACATTCCCAAACAGAGCACAGTTACCTAGCGATAGAGGGGAAAGAGATGGTTTTTGGTTTTTTTTTGGTTATACGATGTGCACAGTTTAGCCCAGTCATTATATTCCTAGCAGAGGGTTCCAGTTTTACCAGTGGTCTTCTGTCAGAAAATTGAAGAAAAGTTTTGGAAGATAAGTTTTATAGTTCCGCCTTTTTTTTTCTTTTGTTGTCATAGCAGATTGATTTAGTGAGATTTTGAGATTTTCTTCTTTGTTTCTTTTCTTGCTTAATTGTCAAAATTTTATGTAATAAATTTGGGTTTTTTAGTGTGAACCGTCCTTATTTATTTTTGTTGCCATATATTCTTTGTACCGTCTGCAATGATGCCGACAGACTGAAATAGTCGATTTCTGGACAAGCCTATTTGCTGAATGTATTTTCTCTATGTATAAAATCTAAATGAGTATGTAGGCAGTCTGAAGTTCTACTATTACAGTTCTTTTTCGATGTGTGAATATTTAAATTCACCTAAAAAGGATAATTTAAATGTTCAACTTGGTTTGTACTCAATTGGTTAATAGCAATTGCTCAATTGGTTAATAGCATTTATCCATTTCCCGAGATTTCATTTCAAAAACAGTGTTCTAGTACCTTCATTTTAAGATAAATTGTTCCAAATTAACCATTATTACACACTACATGCAAATGAAAAGGTGTAAAAAGGAGATTATAATTGCCCTTAAAGAAAGATAAACTTATTTTTCCCAAACATACAAAGGCTTGTCCAGGAAAGAAAAAAAAACGAAAAAAGAGCTAAGGTTATGTCACGCCTCTCTCTCCTCAGCAACTGGTTTGTCAACTTACACCGCATACCACTCAAATTCCTATGTGGCTGGCACGTGTCCACTCTGCTAACAGCTATACATGCTTCACCCGTCTTTCTTCTCCACTCTCCTCCCCTCTATATATAACTTCAATTCAGCTCTCTGTTTCTCTGCATTAAAACAGAGAAAAATAAAATCCCAACTCTCCTAGTTCCCAGTTAAACCATAACCAACAAAATGGCTGCTACAACTCACGAAGACCTTAGCCTCCAAGAAGAACAAAAACAGGAACATGAACGTGTATTCAAACAACAAAATGACGACGTCCCAGCAAGCTCCCTGAAATACCTCAACCCAGAAAAGGGTCAAACCATGGAAACTGTACGCAAAGCTAATCTCATCTCTCTGTTGCAGCTCAATGCCCTCATAGTCATGCTTGTCTTATCAGCCAGCGGCATGGTCAGCCTGCAAGACTTGGCCTTTGTTCTCTTCTCCATCGTCTACATCTTTATCCTCTCCAAATTCTCCTTCCCAACTATTTCCGGAGACCCATCTCAGGACACACCAGTCTTCAACCCAAAAAGCAAAATGGTCAGACTTGGCCCAATCTTTGGCGCCGTCATCGGCCTCGTCCTCCCCATAGCCTATATCTTCGATGGCTTCTTGGAAGGAGATAAAGAAGGCATCAGAGCGGCTGCCCCGCACGTGTTTCTTCTTGCCAGTCAAGCCTTTGTCGACGGAGTGGCTTTCTCCGACAGGTTTTCGACTCCGATTCGGGTTTTCGTGCCGGTTTTCTTTAACGCGAAGAGGATTTTCACGCTTGTGGATTGGGTTCGAAATGAATTTTCCAAAGGCTATGGTGATGATTATGGCGGTGGGTCTGCATCTGCTGCTGCAAGGAGACTGTCTCTTGGGAGATGGCTTGCCATTGCTAATTTGGTTTTCTGGACTTTGGATCTTTTTGGGTTTATGTTGCCTATTTATCTTCCTAGAGCTTTCAAGAAATATTACTCTGCAAAAACAGAGTGAACTCTAATATCAATATATGTTTTTTTTTTGGTCTGAATAATATCAATATATGTTTGTTTCAACGGCAACTGAAGACTCACCACTGTATGTATACGTATGTAGTCACATCAAGAAATAATGTATGTATTGTATTTCGGTATTTGGTATTTGGACTTAAAAATACATATTCCTGGTGTCTAATTTCAATGAGCTTGAAGAAGATAAGAACATAGGCCCAGAAAAAGAGAGAGAGAGAGAGAGAGAGAGAGAGAGAGAGAGAGAGAGAGAAGGTTAACAAAAAGAGAGAGTCACACCTAAAATTCCCATGAGACTGCCACTTGTCCATCTTGGTCACTTTTTGTTCAACTCTGTCAGACTCCCTTGATCTTGTCATTTTCCCCTGTTTAATTTTATACTCAATTACACAAAAATCAGTAAGAATCTTTTTCTGTTTCAAAACTTCTTACTCCATTTTTATATTTAAAAGGAGCTCAAAACTTTTTTTTCTTCTTCCTTGTGCATATGCCACATTGATTTTCCTTCTTCTGTGTATAACTTCAGCTCACATTTTGTGCAAGGAAAATCTCCCCCAAGTCCTACTTTTCCAGTTGACCATAACCAAGAAAACTTGTCTTCCAAAGACACAAAATGTCAGGTGGGGTTGGTCCAACTTACAGTGACATTAGCCTCCCAAAAGAACAAGAACATGAACTCAAACAAAGCCAAGACCCAACTTCTTCAAAGCTCAAGAAAGCTGGGGTCCTTTCCTTTTGGCAGATCAATGCCCTGGCAGTCATCATAGTCCTATCAGCCAGTGGCATGGTAAGCCCTGGAGACTTTGCTTTCGTTCTCTTTTCCTTCATCTACATCTACTTCCTCTCAAAATTTGCTTTTCCCACCCTCCCTTCCTCTAAAGATCCCCAAGCCTTTAATCCCCAAAACAAGTTTCTGCGCCTCTATGCTCTCTTGGGTGTCATCATAGGCCTTGTTCTCCCAATAGCATATATCTTTGAGGGCATTATGGAAGGTGACAAACAAGGAATTAAAGCAGCTACTCCTCATGTTTTTCTTCTTGCCAGTCAAGTCTTCATGGATGGAGTGGTTTTCAGTGACAGGTTTTCGACTCCCATACGCGTTTTCGTGCCCGTTTTCTATAATTCCAAGAGGATTTTTACCCTTGTGGAGTGGCTTAAAAATGAGTTCTCTAAAGAAGAAGTGTATGGTGCATCTGCAAGGAGACTTTACCTGGGGAGAATGCTTGCTGTTGCTAATTTGGCCTTTTGGTCCTCGAATCTTTTCGGGTTCTTGTTGCTTGTCCATCTTCCAGCAGCTTTCAAGAAATATTACTCTGCCCACAAGGAAAGCAAAGATTGAAAATGGTTCCAGTGACTTATATCTCTATCCTTTTACTACTTCAGTTACCAGTGTTCTTCTGTCAGAAATTTGGAAGATGTTTTTGTAGTTCAGTTGATCAGTTAGAAATTAGAGTTTAGTTTCTTCTTTTTCTTAATTGTGAACAAAGTTTTCTAGTTCAATGTTGACTAGTTCTTCAATTTGCAGGGTAATTTTCTGTCTTTTTAATAAAATTTTATTGTGGGTCCCATGATCACCACGTGCACTGCAGCCACACACTGAAACATAAGTGGAAATTTTGTCATGGCACCGAATTTCATGGCCTGCAAGTAGCTCAGACATATTTCCTTTGTCTAATTTGATAAGCTAAGCTTAAGAACAGCTAAGCCATTTTGACTTGGACTAACAAAATTAGATAAAATTATGTCCACAACCTCTCTTCTTCTTACCAAGCTGTTTCCTTAATACCCTATTACACTGCCACGTATCCACCCTCCCCGCCTTATGCCTAACCCTATCTTCCCTTCTCCCCATCTTAAATTTCTTCTCTGAGCTTAATCACTTTTTCTTCTTCATCACAATTTTTCATTCTCTCTGCAACTTTACTTCAACTCCGCTTCTGTGCAAGCAAATCCAACTCTCTCTCTCTCTCTCTCTCTCTCTCTCATAACAAACAACAAAACACATAGAAAAATGTCAGGTGGGGTTGGTCCAACTTGCAATGACATAAGCCTGCCAAAAGAACAAGAACACGAATTCAAAGAACACCATGACCCAGCTTCCTCAAAGCTCAGCACCCGCCAAAATCCCCCAGCCCAACGCAAACCCGGTTTGTTCTCCTTCCGGCAGCTCAACGCCCTGGCAGTCATCGTTGTCCTCGCGGCCAGCGGCATGGTAAGCCCTACAGACTTTGCTTTCGTTCTCTTCTCCATGATCTACATCCACTTCATTTCCAAAGTTGCTTTCCCCACAACCGTCAATTCTCCTAAAGACCCCGCAGTGTTTAACCCTCAAAACAAGATTCTGCGCCTCTATGTTCTCGTGGGAGCCATCGTAGGCCTTTTGCTCCCCATAGCTTATATACTTGAGGGCATTGTGGAGGGTGACAAAGAAGGCATCAGCGCTGCTTCCCCACATGTTTTCCTTCTTGCCAGTCAAGTGTTCATGGAAGGAGTGGCTTTCACTGACAGGTTTTCGACCCCAATACGCGTTTTCGTGCCGGTTTTCTATAATTCCAGGAGGATTTTCACCATTGTGGAGTGGCTCAGAAGTGAGTTTTCCAAAGAGTATGAAGAGTATGGTGGATCTGCAAAGAGATTGTATCTTGGGAGAGGGCTTGCAACTGCTAACATGGCCTTTTGGTGCTTCAACCTTTTTGGGTTCTTATTGCCTGTTTATCTTCCTAGAGCTTTCAAGAAATATTACTCTCTGCAAAAAGTGAAAGAATATTGACCAATCAATGTACTCAAGGGCATACTTTTTTCTTTTTCTCTTTTCGTTTATTAATGAATAAATGATCTTCATAGGTAGCCTTTTTCCTTAGTCGTAGAGCCGTGTATGTTCGGCTGAATTAATACTAAATCTCCATGGCAAAGTTATTCCAAAGGGCCCAAAAGGAGTCTTCTGTATTATTATTATCATTATTATCATCATTATCTATGGTTTTAGCCAGTTGAAAGCTTAAGTTGTGCACATGGAACCTAATAGGTCTACCATTTATATTTGTCACATACATATAATTGGCCTATCCAACACATGAAATGACCAAATTGTACAAAACCTTTTGAATAACCTTTATTTTGCATTTCAATTTCATTACATTAACTTAAGAACTTACAACTTCTCGTAAGACTTTCCAAAGCCAAATGGGGCCTATAAGAAATGAAAATGAAAAAGGTACATCTGTAAATTCAGCATCATTTCAAGAAAGTACAGAAGACAGCCAGCAACAATGGCTCAAGGCAAAACAGAGGAAATTAGTTCCTCTTAAACAACCAAAAGGAGAAAATAAGCTCTCGAGACAAGGAGGAAACTTTGCTCCTGTTGTAGCCTCCGAGTTCCTTTCTTTTTTTTTTTAAACATCTGTCTCTTTCCTTTCTTCAACATAGAAGATGCCACAGAACGAAAATTGCATTTGGTGATGGAAAAACAAACAAATATACTCACATGCCGTCAACACCAAAAACACTGCTCCCTCTTTTAAGCTTCTGCAGCAGCAAACCCCATGGGTAGCTTCTCTTCCAATCACTCGAGTTGCTGGACATTCCGATTAAATAATCCTCTCATTATCTCCTGTCCAAACCTGCATACCACCCAGTAACTCTGTCAGTCTTAACTACAATCTGCACTCAACCTTCTCTCTCAGGATGAATTCCAACATACTTGTATATCTATGCGCAGAGCCATTGCCATTTATATTTATAGGTGCAAGCCTCCTCTCTTGGCCCAATGATAAAATTTCCTGCATTCTTTCTGGCCAATCTGAGTTTAATCTTCGTGCAAAATCCTCCACTTCCCTACATAAAGAATAGAACATAAAGTAAAATATGACAGGACAAAAAAAATTGTCTTGCAATAATCATTAAATATCTATATATTATACTGAGTAACCAAGTAATGGGATATTACATAATAATTTCCATGTACGTTGAGACAAGAATCAGCATAATGCATATTTTATTTGAACCCCGAAAGTTCCATACTACAGTCATAGATTTTAGTATGATCTACGAATAAAAAGAAGTTTGATTCTTCATCGACAAACTCTATCTGGACATTGTTGTTACCTGTCAAGCTCCTCCTTCATGGCAGGATCTAAATCATCATCAATATCACAATCATCAAACTCAAGCTTTGGTGAAAAGGTAACTGATGTAGAATCTTGCAACTTTGAAGAACTGGGAGATGGCGACTCAACATTGATAATGTCACCATCATGGTAATCAGAAGAAAGAGCATCCAAGTCCTAAAAATGTAGGCACCAACAATGAGAAATCACAAACAAATGCTGACATATGCAGGAAAATAGTCACAAGCAGACTATACACACTTAATTTTGTGTGTGTGTGTGTGTGTGTGTGTGAGAGAGAGAGAGAGAGAGAGAGAGAAGTACCAACCTTATTATGGCTTCCATTTACACTGGTTGAAGAGTCTTTTGGATGATCTTTTCTTCTCCGATTTTTCTTTTTATTCTTATTGGTCTTAACCCCCTTTGACTCTGTAGAGCATATCGCATTACGGTTAAGTTAGTAGATAACAAGTAACAACATAGGTATATCAAATACAACTCTCATATTCCAAGCGAAAGTATAGAATGAAAGGAAAAAACAATCTTGAATACTTCTTGAAGTATCGATATATGTGAATGTACTGACAGAAGCACCTATCAAAATCTATGTAAACCCCAAATGTTCTGCTCCTTGTCCATGGAGCTAGAACATAGATGCCAGTAAACTTCTACAAAGTGGTCCTTTGGAAGCAAACTCACTTCACTAAGCAACACCACAGATGAGAATTCTATGTACTACCAATTTGAGAGCCCAACATAACATATAAATTTATACACCGAAGGAAAAAGTCTCCAAAAGTTAAAACTCAATATGTAAGAATAAAGGCACACAATTTGCAACCAGGATAAAGAGGAAAGATTTCTGGATCATACCTCCACTTCCACCATTTATAAAAGTCAAGAGGTCATCGACTGAACGTTCATCGACACGCTCTTCCTCAACCTCAACATTCTGAAACAAATAAAAGAACTTTCTATTAGTGCAAACATGTATATGCAGGTTTTAACCATTCAAGACTCCAAAACATAATCACAATTGGACTACTTTACACACAATTCAAATAATAAATATTGTGAAATATAAAATTACCACAAATATCGCATTTAACATATGGTAAAGGCTTCAAACTCTTCAAGTAAAAGTAAGCACCTTCAGTTTCTCTCTCTCTTTTAATTCTTTCCTTTTTCTAGCATATAACCGATTAAGAAGCCGGATACGTGGATCATCAGTTATGTTTCTCAAAGGTTCCAACTTCTCCTCCTGGATTGAACCATGTATACATGAAAAATATGGATGAAAGAAAATAAAAACCAAGGACTTCTGATAGCAACAAACCTCTGTGAGATCATCAGGTAAATGGAATGTCTCACGTATCTCCTCAGGTGTTTTTCCTTCAATAATTCGAGCAAGTGCTCGGCTAGTGAGATCAACCAAAGGCTTCAATTGGAGGCTGTCAGCGGCAGATGTCAACTCACATAACTTTTTTGTATCCATTCGAATAAATTTCTCGTCAAAAGTTTTGCGTTCCTAAACAAGATAACAATACTCTCAAATACATATAACAATTGAATCATATAATTACTTCTGACTTCACTGTGTACATGATGATAACAGATAGCAGAATATTAAAACCTCCACTTCTCACCCACATGGCATACATTTTGCTCCAATTTTTATCCATAAGCTTCGTATCATTTCTTGCTAATTGGTGAACAATATCATGTAGGAAAAGCAAAAGAAACTATGAGTGCCAGATTTATGTATCAGACCTTATTAGAGCGACCTGGTACTTGATGAAACCGGCAGTAGTCAAGTATTAAGCCCAAAATGGCAGGGTTAACTCGTTGAGGAAGTGATATAGCATAGTTTTTGGAAGATCCCATTCCTGTCTGCAGTATTTCTCGGCAGATCATGGGACAAAACATGGCAACCTCTTCTTCTACTTGTTGGATTGAGCCGTCAGCGGTCTGAAGCCAGATGTAAGACTTCATCTAGTTGAACAAAACATAAGAAAAATTCAGAGGGAGTCGAAAGAGAACCACAATTAATGTTCTCCTAAAGTTGAATGTATTATCTTAGCTTGAACTACCACATGCCACCCACAGAACCCATAACCCTAGATGTGGCAGTGTTAACTACCATCTTAAAATAATTTCTACTCAGCTGAAATCACCACAACTAAACCCCTTAATATTTGGGTCTCACCACGTGATCTACCACATAGAAACTATTCTCCATTAAGATTCCTGCAAGAGCTTACCCTAAACCATAAACCTCAGACATCTTGTTCATCCTAAATCAAAATCTGAAAGGCTTGTTTATCATTAAGAGAGAGAGAGAGAGAGAGAGAGAGAGAGAGAGAGAGAGAGAGAGAGAGAGAGAGCAAGTATGCCCTTGAACAATTTTCAACAACTAGACAAGAAAACCTTCCTGTCATACTCAAATGACAAAGGGCCCTAAAAGATACATAGGCAGCTAAAAAGATAAAATGGGCAAAATCGGATTGACTATGTTGTCCAAACTAAATAATCTCATTTATCTCATTTATAACTCATCAGATAATGAAATAGCATACCTCAGGTTTGACTACCGCCATGACACCTTCTGACATTTGACAGTGATACTGCAACTAAACTTTAGAAGATGTGAACCAGAAACCACCTTGCACCTCCAATTCCAAAAACAAGGAAGTCACAAGGCAAATAAAACCTTTTCTCTATTCAAAAGCTTAACTTTGTTAAGTAAGGACAGACTATTTATCAGTGCTTCCCAAAATGATACGATCTTGAATCCCAACAAAATGTGTATTAGCATTCTTATCCGGAGAGCTTTCTCAAATATTTTTCCTGTATTTAGAGGTAACAAACAATAAGAGGTGGAGAGCAAACCAGAGATGATATGCCTGAAATTTCAAGATGAGTATCAACACTAATTTTAATTTAACTATAACAATCAACAGTTATAATTGTAACAAGAAAAAAGAAATGCCAGTAAATTTATAGAAAAACTTCAATGGAGTTTTACAGTGTCTCTGTGTGCATAAATGAGCGATACTGATGAGCACAAAGACTGGTTCTTTATCGAAGGGAGGAGATCCCAGCTTCCCCATGACAGTAGATTCCAGTTGTATCAGTTTTCACTTGTTCTTATTCACTTTACACCAGTACATTCCCATACAACATACAAGTTATTGGTTTCCAACTACGAATAGTCCATCTAGAGAGGTTGGGAAAGTTGAGAACAAATAAATTTCACAGTAGCAGAGCAAAGCTCATAGTCAATACCAGACGAAAATATAAGAGATTGAATGATAACTACAATACATAGTAGTATATAACTGAAACATGCATAAAACCAACATTCTTAACTCAAGATAGTATCCTGGTCTAACAAAGAATGGGATGGAGACCGTAATTACAAACAAGACAACTTTGCATTGGAAGCCAATTTATATAGAATCCTAATAAGAAACTGGACACCTTAGGTTCTTCATCCCCGGGACCCGAAAAGAAATATGAACGGAACAGAGGAGTGTAATGCAAACAGTTGGTTTGCTGGCCAAATAAGAACTGAGAAAAGAAAAATACAAGATTCAAACTTTCATCTTCCTAAACGCTCTCTTTAGGTTGCCAGGAAACTGAAAAGCCGAATTTCAATGACAAACAAGAAAATTTCAGATTATAAACCATGTCAAATGGTTTCGGAAATCCAACCCATTTCCACCAAAAGAAAAATCTTCAACTTTCATTATTGAAGATTCCACCTTGCAACTAAGAAAACCCTTATCAACAATACTATTCTATTTTCATCCAGAAACGACAACCCCATTTCTGTTAAAATATATATATACAATACCTTTAATTGATAATCAATCGATTAACTAATCCTGAATTCAGCAAAATATAATTAACATAGATTGCATGCATACATATATAAAGATATGTATTTGTATTAGAAAGAGAGCTTAGCCTACCTTAAATATGAGCTGAAATGCATGGAAATTTTTTAGACAAACTTGTATGGTGAAATTGGGGGTGGAGTACTGGTAGCTAGGGTTTCAGAAATGCTCTATCTCTGTCTTTCTGTGTGTTCCCTTTCCTCTGTATATTTCTCTATCACGATTTGAGCCTCCGTGCGGTTGTGTCCGGCACGTGACTCTATCAAAGAAGGAGGCGCCCTCACACGTGCTGGTAGTTAGGGTTTTCGGACTTTTGGATGGGGATTCGGGAAGAAATCGGCCCGATTCATATTTGGGCGGGTCGGATTGTAAGCTGCCACCACCTCTTGGGTTGGGTCAGATTTTTGTAAATGGGCCTTAACAAGCAACTATACGGGCCACTGCTACGTCCCACATTGCTTTTCGCTTTTTTTATTTTCTTTTTTCTGATCTTTATTTTCACCCTATCTTATCTCATGCTTCTAAAACTCCAATGCTTCCTTTTTTTTTTTTTTTTTTTTTTTTTTTTCCTCTTTAAGATGTTTATTTATCTTTTCGTTAAGCCTACACCCTTAATCATAATGCTTAAATTCTTGGTTGAAGAAAAAGTAATTATTAGCATATCTCTGACTTAAACCCTTCATTTTTCAGTATGAATGGCCAATGGATATCCATTATCAAGGACATAACTATGCACATGCTAACTTGGGCTATAGCATAGGTGATTTGATCGTTTATAGCCCAACGTTAATACCCAGCCCACCCAAGTGCAATTAATACCCACGCATTGAAGCTACTCAAGCATGATTCGATATTGTTAGTGCAATTAATACCAGAATAAATTTTTTGAAAATTAATACCAACATTAATTTTCTTTCTTTTTCTAAAGTTTTTGTACTATTCAATTTTCCCTATAAAACCCACCTATTTCTTCAAAATTTTCATACCACCAAAATCATTTACCACTCTTTAATTTTGCTTAATCTTTTACTCACAAAATTATTTATTAACTGCTTGTATTTTTTTAATTAATCTCTCAACATCATTATCAATATATTATTTATTAGTACATGTGTGAGAAACTTCCTCCCCCTTAGACTATCACTTGTATTAAAAAAAACTAACGGCTTTTTTCTTGTAGTTTAATGTTTTTTTTATTTAAGGTTGTACTAGATGCATTTTGAGGGGCTCATTATGTTCCCATGTGTAGTTTTTGTTATCAATGAAATTCACTCGTACCGTCGAGTAATTTATATTTTTAATAAGCTTGTACGTAAAATAAATTTAGCTCACCTCATTTTGAAATTATGGGTCCATCCATGCCCATTATGTTTTTAAGGAAAGTATAGTGATGGTGATAATAATGGGGGTGTTGGTGCCATTGCTCATTCATACTTTTCCGTACTTGAAAGTGATTTGAACTTAATCCTCTCAATTTCTAATCACAAGATGAAAAATCAACTAAGGCATGCGTGTAAAATTTCAAAAAACAATAAAAATGGTATAAGTGGCGGATCCAGGATTTGAAACCCAACTGGGCGAAACTTACATTAAAAAACGGTTATGAATGAATCTCATTAATAAACATAAAAATACACCTAATAAGATGGCATAATGAGCGTTACCCTTAAATGCATCTCTATACATAAATAAAAGTATAGCGATAAAAAAAAACTATTCTTTTTCTTAAAAAAAAAATTCCAACAAATTCTTTATTTTCTTGGGGTTCAGATTGTGATTTGACATAACAAAAGATAACCTATTTAATCCCACATCCCAACAAAAAATCAAATAAATTCTCATAATAACATTAATGCCTTTAATCAAACATTAACATACAAACAACAAATCAAAACATCTCAACAATACCAATATCAAACCAAACATCTCAACAATACCAATATCAAATCAAACATCTCAACAAAATTCCAAAAATCAAATATATTTAGAATATATTAAATTCAATGTTGTCATATACAAAATCTTAAAATTTTGGGGTAGGAAATTAAAGAGAAGAGAAATTTTAGGTTATGCATACGTATGGCTTAATTTTTGGGTGGGCATTGGTTTGTATGTTTCACATTGCCTATTCTATATGAGTATTTTTTATTTTTGAAAATTTTGGGGTAGGCAACAGCCGCCCTAGGTGTAGGTCCGCCCCTGCCTATAATAGTTGCAAATGTGTCTCATGCCAATAAATATGAATTGATAATGCCCTGTGAGAGCATCCATAATGATGCTCTCTATTTCTTAGCTAAAATTTAGCTAAAAATATAATAAAGTTATTTTATGAGCTCTCTAAAAAATTTCAACTCCAACCATACTCCATAATTTGGAGAGTCATAAATACTATAACTCTTTTTTGATTGGTTCATCTCTATTAAAAAATAAAATAAAAAATAGTTAGCATTAAATAAAGATTTGAAATACTCATTAAATAAATCATCATTAAATTATAAGGAGCCACTAGGAGTCCTTTCTCTCTCCTCAGATTTAGGAGTTCCTAGAAAACTCCATATTTTAGGAGGTGGATAGGGAGCATGGTTGGAGTTGCATTTTTACAATTCCTTCCTAAAATTTGTTTAAGAAGATGGTTTAGGGAGCCCATTATGGATGCTCCCAAAACTCATCATGGTTTTTTTTTCCTTCTAAATTGGTGTTATTTCGAATAACTATTCATAGTAACTGAGTTGACCTTATAACTTTGTGTATGGCCAAAACTGAACTAGTGTATTCAGGAACTGCCACATAGACATAGCCAGGAACACAGAACAGAAGAAGCTGACTGGCTGAGGCTCCACCCACTCACTCACCGCTGTTTTTATAACGTGCTTTCCAACAGTTAAAAAACTACTACTCACAACTGTCGCCAAAAACCCACGCTTTCCCATTTCTTTGCGTTCTGTGAGGCATCTGAGAAAGAAGGAGAGCCAGAGAGAAAGATGTGGTTGTTTAGAAGAAAAGGGCCATCTGGGTTCTCGTCGTCTTCAACGGCAGAAGAAGTTACTCAAGGGATTGATGCCAGTGGTCTCACTGCCATTGTTACAGGCAAAGTCCATTTGCTTTTTCTTTCTTCAAAATTGATATCTATATATTTATTTTCTTAAACTCTTATCATGCTATTTTGTGCAGTATATTTTCATCTCTTGATAAGATTTTACAGTTGGAAGATAATATGGATCACCCATTTTCTAGTTATGTGGATGACTGGATAATATTAAATCAGTTATTGATTTACTTATAATAATAATAATAAATTAGAATTTTGGATAGTGGTAGGTACCCAACATGCTAATTTTTCACTTGAATCCTTTTTTGCTGATGCAGTATTGTTTTGACAATCTGAGATGAATGCAGTCTAGTTTTGTGTTGTGGGGTCCATTTCTTGTTCCATATTACTCAACAATCAACAATCCAATATTATGTATCAAAATTTACCCTCTTTCGGAATCAGTTTTCTTTTATGGAATTCTAATAGAATGATTGTGTCCATCCTTAATATATCAAGCACTGTAAAAAGAAAAATTCCCTGAAGTTATGGAGTGTAGCATTTGTAGCCGTTTATGTCCAACACTTTTATGTAACTGCAGTTTTCATTCAAAATAAGAATTGACACAGGAAGTTTACACAGATCTTAAAGTTCTTACATGGTCTTATGGGCATTTTTTTAATATTTGGCTCTGCATATTTTCATTGCAGGAGCATCCAGTGGTATTGGCACCGAAACAACACGCGTTCTTGCACTGCGTGGTGCCCATGTGATTATGGGAGTGAGGAATATGGCTGCTGGTAAAGATGTGAAAGAAGCAATAGTTAAGGAAATCCCCACTGCCAAAATTGATGCCATTGAATTGGATCTCAGTTCATTATCATCTGTGAGGAAATTTGCCTCGGAGTTTAAATCCTCTGGTCGTCCTCTAAACATTCTAATGTAAGGGTGCAAGTTTTGTCACATTTTGTCTTACCCTAGAAGTGTCATATTCATAACCCCGCTGTGTCTCCAAAAACTCACCTGTGATAACTTTACTTTTCTTTCATAAGTAACAATGCAGGAATTATGGCCACCCCTTTCATGCTTTCGAAAGACAACATAGAACTTCAGTTTGCCACAAACCACGTAGGTATGTTGCATTGATTAGATCATGAAAATGGCATTTTAAAGTATTGTTTGTTTTAAGCTGTCCTAATAGACTGAATGTTTTGTCTTTTCCTAATTTGAGCAAATAAACATTCAAGCGAGATGACTGCTTATATGTCTCTTAAAATCTTGTTTATCTCCCGCCCTCCTTCCTCTCCATTGCCATCTTGCTGCACACAGAATTGTGTGACTTACGTGGAAAACCAGACACATAAGATTAATGTGCAATACTTGTCCCATTCTTTTCCTGATTTTGCAGGTCATTTTCTTTTGACCAATCTTTTGTTGGATACTATGAAAAAAACAGCACGTAAAAGCAGCAAAGAAGGGAGAATTGTAAATGTGTCCTCAGAAGCTCACCGGTATCCATATCGGGAAGGAATCCGTTTTGATAAAATTAACGACCCATCAGGGTAACAATGAGATAACCCTTACTTTTGAGATATCATTTTATATGCTAGTGTGTGATTTACACCTTGTTTTTTTTTTATTAAAGGTGGATGGAAGTGAGTTACAAATTCGATTCTGATACCATATCAGTACTTGTGCACGGCTTAGCCGCATAGTATATTTATCTAATACATTTTTGTTGATAGCATATGCTGTGAATGGAGAATTCTATATGCTTGATCTGAGTTTGGACCGGCTCTGCAGGTACAGCAGTTTTGCTGCATACGGTCAATCCAAGCTTGCTAACATTTTGCACGCTAATGAGCTTGCAAAACGTTTAAAGGTATATTGTCTTCTCCCAGACCCAGGTGAAATGAATGGTGCCAGAGTTTGTCAATGGCCTCTTTAAAATCCAACTTTTAGGCAACTTTTCACGCTTATATCACTGCTTTTGTATTATATTCTTGCTGAATTGGCAATCAGCAACTTGTTCACGAAATGTTTCTTTTTCTCCATCGGTCTTACTTTTTCAAAAAAGTTGGCATTGGAGGCATAAGAATTTTCTGTTATTTATCTTGAGAGGGAGTGCTTCTTCAGTACCTCAGCAGAATCATCATTCATGAAAATAGCAGCTTGCATGCATCTGCCCATATACGTGTATTTTTATACGTATGTATTCTCTTTTTTTGTAATTTGTGATTGTTTCAACAGGAAGATGGAGCAGATATAACTGCAAACTCACTTCACCCTGGTGCAATTGTTACGAATCTTTTCCGTCACAACAGCACCATTAATGGTAAGCCCTTCACTTTAGCACGAAAACTACATGAAAAAAAAAGAGAGGAAACTTTGACGAGGCTTCTGTATTCATTATGTGTTTAGTTTCAGATATTTATACTTTTGGTCTTCTGGTTTGATGCAGGGCTTGTTAATTTGCTCGGTAGAGCCGTGCTTAAAAGTGTTCAGCAGGTAAGCTATCCAACCTATGGAGCAAATAGAAGATGAAGTAAATTTGAGTAATCCGGAATGTGATGAATTTCAAATACTCAAGAAAAATATTTTGTTTCAAATTCACTCTCTAAACCATTTGAATTTAGAATATGATTGTTTATGAACTTTGTCGATTATAGGGAGCAGCAACAACATGCTACGTAGCACTGCATCCACAAGTGAAGGGGGTAACAGGTGAATATTTTTCAGACAGTAACCTAGCCAAGCCAAGGCCACAAGGTCAAGACGGGGACTTGGCGAAGAAACTCTGGGATTTCAGCATGGATTTGGTGAAATGATTTTCTGGAAACTCATCACATAATACTGTAATTGCTATATAAACATTCACATAATGCACATTGGATATTCCCTTCAAACGACAGATTTGTTTGTCGTTTGACATCTTGTATTAACTTCAAAAATTTCATCTTTCAATAAACTCATACCCTAAAACCGTAACTCCTAATCATACTTCTGCTTGTTTGTTCAATTTGCTAATCACATGCCACGTGGCAACCCAAGAAGATATAAGAGAAACATGTGGTTAGATTTCTTCATTTCACTTAAGTGGATGATGTACAGTACATACATACATGATACAAGAAAGAAACGAGGTACAAGAGTATACAATGTTACACATGAGCCTGCAATAAATCAGTACAAGAACAGAATGTGCAGGCTTCAAAAATCCCCAACTGACTATTTCGTTAACCAAATCAGGACCCCAGCTCAGTCTCCCGTCTTCTGTACAGCAGTTTCAGACACAAAAAATTGTTCCAAAGCTAATAGTTTTCCCTCTTAGGCTCCTTCTTAGCCTCTCTTTCTCTATATGAACATCTCAAAAAATATACATTTCTTGCTGCTTTGAGTATTTTCTTACCGAAAAAACTGCAATACATTTGGATCATCAGAAGCCATCCTCGTCAGGCGAAATCAAGCTTTCATTGCTCCAATCAGTCAAGCACTCAACTTTGTACAAGTCAAAACCGCGTCACGTTCTATGTACTATAAAAGTCTATTATTTGTCAGGAATTGAGCTTGACATGCATGATTTCAGAATCAGATCTCGTCTGGCTTAGCTTACCAAATGCCATAAGCCTGAACACTGAGCCATGCAAAAGAGTTATCTGCTTCCAGCCACTAACTTTCCAGAGCTTCAACCTTATTCCACAGTTCTTCAACTTTGAGTCCTTATTGTACAAATATAATTTCCTTTGCAGTTCAACATGATGGATAGTTGATCCAGTATATCCAAGAATGGTCTGATTAACTTGACAGCTTGAACTGATTGGTGGGTCCATCAAAATTAGTTAGACACCGTTTGTGCGGCTGGGCAAAGGAGAGTTGGGACTTAAATCCAGAGACAAGTTCATCTTAACATGATCCTTAAGGAGTTGGCGAGACACACGATCAGCCAAAACTGACTGTCCATCATACTGCTCCGCATGGGCAGGCCTTACAAATTGCTTTCCCAGAACATCATTCTCACAAGGCATCAGTTCTGAGAAGATATGAGACCCTGGCTGCTTCCCTCGAAACATGTCAGGACATGAATCATGATAGGAAGAGGGCCCATTGACATAGAAACCATTCATGGGCTTTGAAATGCCTCCAAAACCCTCTTGCAAGTTGATGGACTGTTTCATGTGAACAAATGGAATGGCACCGCTGCCACCTGTGAGTGGTGTGGATGAGCCTGAAGTGGTTCGCGGGCTAGATATAGGAGAAGGTGACATTCTTCCATTTAGGTGTGGTGGTGACCTTGAGTGCAATAGAGGACTTCCGATGGGTGAGACGGGGCATGATATGTTCCTTGGAATATGGATCTCACTGGAGTTTAGGAAAATAAGATCAAACCAAAATCTTATTATCAAACTGTTGTTGTAATCATCATCAGGGAGAAACATAGAGAGAGATAGATATATAGAGGGAGAGAGAGAGAGAGAGAGACCTGGTATGGCTATTAGTTTTTGAAACTCTAGATGAATGAATTGCAAGCCTATCTGAATCCAAGTTGGAGAAATTCCTTGCTTGCCCAATGCCCTGACAATGATCAATAAAACACAACAGATGAAAATAAGAAGCAACAAGAGAGGACTCATAAACTTGATAGCATGCACTATGCTCAAACATAAATAGAGAATGAGCACAAAACTACCAACACCATAAGATACCAATTTTACGTTTGTTGTAAAAATGGAATTCATACCAGTGCTTTCACTCCATTTGTAATCCCAGAGGGTGGATCAGAAGGCTCAAGACCCAAGATAGGCCTTTCCAAAGGTGCAGCATATTTCACAAAAGGATGCTCCAAAAGCTGAGCAGCTGTAGGACGATGGAGTGGATTTCGCTGTAAGCATTGCCTTATGAAATCCTTTCCATCATCCAAGAGGTGATCTGGAATTGCTGGCAGTTCCCTACTATTCCCAATCTTAAACATGGCAGCAACCTATTAACCGCAAAAAGAATATATTTATACAATGAAAAGAAAGAACAAATAATGAACGTGTTTCAAATATACGCAACATATTATTACACATGAGCCTCAAACATGAGAGAATGCTTGAATCAGCTGCTATGATCTCAGTCTCAAATTCAAATAAAAGCTTTCATCACTAGATCTAAATTCTTACCCCTTCATACTGGCTCCAAGGTGGTTTTGTTGTAGCCATTTCCAAAACAGTGCACCCAAGACTCCATATGTCCACAGCAAGGTTACAACCACTTGAGTTTTTTATAACCTAGGGACGCAATAGAAGTGAAGATTAGGTAAAACCATCACAAAGTATGTCACCGAGGAGATGAAGGGGAAAACTAGAAACAGTCTAACCTCAGGTGCCATCCAGTAAGGGCTTCCCTTAAATGATAAAGGACATGACTGGCCAGTGATCTGCAAAGCACACAAGATAAGTTTGGAGAGCAAGATTGATCCACATAATTAAGGTCAAGCAGGCTTGTTCTGTGGTATATAACATATTAGCAACTAGAAAGTAAATATGGAGAAAAAAAGTTCCAGCCGCAAACTCATGCAATTTCATTTAAGATCACAGTTTTATCAATTATGCTCTTTGCATGCATTCACAAAAGCTCTCGACATGGTAGAATCTGCTGATAGGAATATGAAAATGATCATGTGAACCACAACCAACCATTACAAAAGAAATCCTATTTCCCTATTCTTCTGGTCTCACGTGCATTATTTAATAGTCATTTCATTTAACAACACTTAATAAGAAAAGTAAAAATGCCTATGCTTACATGCTTTGCCATCCCAAAGTCTGCTAACTTGACACGTCCATTTGGGTCTACAAGTATATTTGCTCCTTTAATATCCCTGTACAAAAGAACACACAGTTTTATAAAGATGAAAGCTGCTTAATGTCCAGTATATACATTACAATCAGTATACTGCAACTGTTGAGCTTCAAATTACTCAATAAAAAATAGGTAATGAAATTCACCTGTGGACGGTATTTTTAGCATGTAAATATGCAAGTCCTGACAAGATTTGCTGAGTGTAACTACGAATTGCTAGATCACCAAATTGCCCATATTCTTGGAGAAGTTTATATATGGAGCCGCCAGATACATACTCCAAATATATATACAGCCTATCACCAACCTGTTATACGAATGACTATCAGCTTACATCAAGTAGAGTACAATGGTAAATGAATCTTCAATCAGAAATTAATAATGCAGATAATGTGGCTTTATGGCAGACCAATTAAGAGTACCATGCTTAGCTTGCTAAAGACCTGTGAACTGACAAGTACTGAATACATATACCATTAACTTCTTCAGAGTCACTCTTGTCATAACTAAACATACGATAATGACAAACAAGACAAATAAAAGATTGTCGTAAGTAATGGTTTTTAAATGCATAATATGAATAATACATAATGGACAGAAGACTTACTGATTCAGACCCATAATATTGCACAATGTTTGGATGCCGTAAACGACTCAATAAAGTAATTTCCTGTCAAAACATGCAACCTTAAAGTCAAAACAAAAGACAGAAAGCATATAACATTTGTCCAAGGAAGCTTAATGACACATTAAACAGCATGATGATACCTGCATTAACTGCTTAGCACTTTCTTTGGACTTTGCATCATCAGAAAATAATGTAACCTCCTTCATTGCACACATTTCGCCACTTTCACTAAACAAGTTAATAATATAAATCAGGTAGGATATTAACTACTAAGTGAGAGAGAGAGAGAGAGAGAGAGAGAGAGAGAGAGAGAGAGAGAATATAATTTAGGTATCTACCTATTAAAACCAACATAAACGTGTCCAAATGTCCCTCTACCCAGCAGCTTTCCCTTTTTCCAGCGTGAACCAGGACTTGCTGGGTTCTCTGCCCTTCCTGGACTTCGTGGCACAGAAGGAGATGTTGCTGCTGAATTTGAATGAGAAAAGGGAGACGCATTAGAAATTGTCACAGGAGGAAGAGGCAAACGATGACTTTGTTGTTTCCCATCATCAGCCCAGCTTGTCTGTGTCTCATTAGGAGTCCCTCCTGCTCTAGGATGGATAGGTGTAACAGCACCGCTATGAATTCTTGATCCTGGGCCTGGGCTTGTCATTCTGGGACTGGGTACCGGAGAATACTCAGGGCTACCTCTGCTTTGCTGCCAAAACAATTGTCCAGACATATCCCCTCCCATTGAATTATGCCCAGAATTGTGACCTGAACCTGGACTGGAGCAGTGGCCAGATCCAACTAGGGTGACATCTGTATAAGTTTTAGCAGCCCAGAAAGCAGTGTTCACAACTTGCTCATTGCCAAATGCTCTCATTGGACTTCTAGAAGGACTTGACTTTGAGCTGTCAGGAGCACTGCAGAATGCTCCATGATAAGGAACCTGTAGGTTTGGCACATGACTTCTTAAAGGCCTCCGTTTGGGTGATGTAGGGGAAATGTTATTGCTGAAGGAAATGGCTGATTTTTTTGGCTCTCTTGACTTTATTGGGGCAACAGTGAATATCTGATCCTTCTGCATTGAACTTCAGAAAAATTGCAGTAAATTTGTCAGGGATGAGCAAGCTAAAAGAATTACAAATAAATCATGCACATCCATGCATATACATAAAAGATGCTTACTAGTAGCATAATGGCATGTGCAACAAGTGAAAGCTCACCTGGAAGGGCTTCCCGCAGCAGTTCTATTCCCATTGTCATAGTCAGTGGCCTGAGGGCTACGATGGCATGAGTCAGCTGGATCATCACTATCAACGGAGCTCTCACTAAAAACTGAAGCAGTGACCATATCTCCATCTAAGTCTGTAGGATTTGACCTACTACCAATGCACCCAGGCATCGGGAGAGGTAGAAACAATAATGGCTTAGAGCCTTTTTCCGATCTTGGTTTTGTTGATATACTAATTCCAGAATCTGTACGACCAACATGAGCAGGATGTAGACCAGGAAGTGGAAGTGGTTGAGCATTAGTCCTTTCAGCAAAACTTTGACATCTTGAAACATCTTTGGAGGGCGAAGGGGATCTTGATTCTACAGGGGATTGACATCCCTTTTCCGAAATTGTGTCATTGCAATGTCCTTGTGACCCTCCTGATCTACCATTCACTCTACTTTCTGATGAAAATTTAAATTTCCGATGTAATGAGTCAATGAAACTTTCCTTTCCTGCCTTCTTCTTTGCTTCTTTGGATGACGACTTCCCCCACCATGAAGGCATATTTCTCATAAAAGTTTTACGGAATCAATGGGCAAGTACTCTAAAGCTATTTCATTTGCCAGCATTATAACTTATTGTACAGCAACATTACATGGGATTATCAATCAGCTAATTTTCTCTCGATCAGTGAGTGAGATTATTAACCAGTTACTGCACCTATACAGGTTTTGAGACCAACAGAATGTTCAGTTCTGACTTCCAGAAATGACTTTCATCAGACAGATACTAGGGAAAGCCACACCTTCCAATTCTAAAATATCAGCCAGTATTTGAATGAGTTTGCAATTAAATTCAGTACATAACAAAAACCTGCAGGGATAAAGGCTGCAGGTCAGTAACTCCATTTCAAGGATCTCCAAATTAAATACAAGGCACAGAAGGCTATGTTGCAAAAACAACCAAAACTAAGTAAATGACACTAGGACCTAAATCCTAGTTTATAAAATTTTGTAGATCAGAGGAATCTCACCATTGCTTATGCTCGTGCCACACGCACTAACCTGGCTTAACATGACATTGACTTAATGCACTCAACAAATGTGAACCATTAAATTTTGGAGTGCACCACTAGGTTAAATTAGCTCGCACCCACTTCTTTCCAATCCAAAAACACTAGTCTTTGTTTGGTTCCCTACTAAACGCAGCAAAAAGCAAATGAAACCCATAATTTCTAATCCAAAGCTTGATAAATTGGGCACAAAAACTCCGACTTCAACGAGCGGCATGGACCCATTGGCTCAATTTTTCAATACCCAGAACACAAAATAACGGTAAGAATAAAGTTCAAAATTTCAGTTTAATCTTCTTTCACCAATTTTCTCGGGAACGAAACGAAAGGTTTCGATCCCAAATTGCTCACAAGCACAAGCTTGCAACACAGATCTACTTACAACTAAATAACCTGAGCGGAATCAACAGCTAACTAACTTAAAGAAAAATCAGAAATTTGTTGTACTTAGATAACAGACAGTATGATACTTACTGTAAATATTAGGAGCTGCAAAATCCGAGCTAAACCCACTTGGAATCTGGCACTAATCTCAACAATGAACTTGATGAACTTCTTCTGATTGCACCGTGAAATAGCTCAGAAAACAAACCCCTAAAAATCAAGGGCTCAGCGCGAGTAATGGGATAAAGAGGATTTTGATGTATTTTCTTGCATTGAAAGGTTGAAGAGAATCGTCGCCTTTAGAGAGAGAGAGAGAGAGAGCATGTCTGAGCATAAGACATTAATAAGTTGTCTGAAGCTGATTTTTTGTTTTATATTTTTTTTAAAAAAATTAATACGGATGATTGATGAAATATTTAATTAATGTTACAGTGCCAGGTTACATATACCACCTTCAATTCCTTCTGCTCTCCAACAAGGATTTTATATTTTTTGAAAACTAATGACATTTAAATTATGTTTATTAGTTCGTAATTGGGTAAGGAATGATTGAATTGATGAGGAATTAAATTGAGGATGAGTCAAAATCTGGATTACATGAAGTTGTTTACTAAATTATTTAAAATCGGGGTATGTGAGGATATAATTGGTAGAAAAATATGAATTCCTAATGTGTTGGTTCTCTAAGAGTAAGAATATCACCTCCCACTCAAAAGTCTAATTCTTTCAAAATCACGAGTTGAATTGTCTAATTTTGTGTGTGACCCACTTACATCTTCATTCCATGGTGTGAGTAAACGCACGAGTAATTCATAATTGAAATCCAACTCTTTATTTTAATTCACAAGAAAACACACGAATTAATAAACACGTTATGACTATTTCATTACAAACAAATTGGGGGGTAAAGAATTTTTTGAATATGATGATATTTTTAAAGGGGATTGTAATTTCTCGAAGTCATCATTTCGTATATGCAATAATTACTTCAAAAGAAAAAAAAATAGTGTAATTTGTGATGTAGATGGCAGCCCTCACTTTAAAATTTAAAATAATTCCATGATTTATCAATGTACAAAAAGTAAATTGAGTCTGGCGACAACTTGATTATACGTGCCTAAGGAAAAAAAAACAGACAACTTGATTGATACCCAACTTTTAATTATAAAGTAGTGCAGTATCTTTCTTTAAAAAAAAATAAAAATAAACAAGAAAACATTGCAAAGTATGGTATCCAGATTGTAATTAGCAGGCTAAAAATAATTAGATGAGTGAGAGTAACCTTTTAGCAAGTGAAATGCCTAATTTTTTTGATTGCATGGTTCATGTATGTTGGAATTTAGTGGTGATTAAGAAACATTTGTAGCTACTCATTAAAGTAATTGTTTGGGGATGGCATAATTGGAGAGAATATAATGAGATTAAGGTTTACAGTCATATCGTACCATCATTTTTTTCCAATAAAATATTGACAGGTTTTAATTGGTGCAATCAAAATGAATTGGACCATGCTACTAATTGTTAGGTTGAACTACTTTGTGTGGGTGTGTGGGTGTGTGGGTGTGTTTTTTGTTTTTTTTTTATATTCATTATTTAAACATAATGAACTTTGTTTTCTGGGTAGGTATATTTGTTTTCTTCTTTTAATTATTAATATTTTTGTAAGGTTTTCCCAACAGGCTAATTAGGGTGTATATTAAAAAAAATACAAATTTATAAATAAACCCAATCCTAGACATGTATTTATAAAAAAATCCAAGCACTATTTAAACATAGAAACACACCCAAAATCAACCACAAAGTCAACTTTTTGGGTGTGTTTATAAATGAGTTTTAAGTGTGTGTAATGATGGGTTTTGGGTGTGTTTATATATTTAAATAGTGCTTGGGTTTTTTTATAATTTCAACTCCCATTTTGGGTGTTTTAGTGAAACTCCCTAAAAAAAAATCATTATGCGTGCGTGATGATTAGGAAAACTTCACTTATTGATCATGATGTGGGGGTGGTTTGATAAAGTGATTTAAACTCTCTTGTATTCAAGTTGAATGATCAACAAGTTTAAATGAGATGCAAACTATCATCTTCAACCAAAATATAAATTAAATTAAATTAAATTAAATTAAATAAATCCGAAAGAGTAAATAAGTGATGATCAAACAGAAAATTCTTATAGAGTATGATGATTTCCTCAAAACAAAATAAAAGGGTAGCAGCATATATGTGTTTTTTGCCCCAAAAAGTCATGCAATTTACACCATTAAAAGAAAAGATGATGCTCTTTCGACCTTTTATGTCAGCAGAAAAGGTATGCTAAATAGTGACTTACATTTTTATTCTTTTTTTGTCTTTGTTTTTTTTAAAAGATATTTTTATATTGAGAATAATAGTAATATATTAAACTCACACACACAATACCGATGCTAGAATTTGAATCCAAAATCTTGTTTGGAAGAGCAATTACTCCAAACCAACTACGCTAGTGTAGTGAGTGACCACCTCCAATTTTATCGGATGTCCTCAGAGGGGACCTCTTTTTTGTCTTCTAATAAGAAAGAAAATATTAGAAAAAGAAAAAAGAAAATAATAAGAAAAGAAGATAGCTGATAGAAATTGGACGTATTGGGCTCCTTGAGTTCACTTCACTTGACTGACTTAGGTCGTTCCTGTTGGCCCTATTCGGCACGTTATATATGTTGACAGGACACTCGCTGTCTTTGATTTGAGGCTGAATAATTTATCAATTTGAATTCTGATAATTGTCAAAGTTTGTGAAACTTTATTCCTAGGTGATATTCGTAGCTACACATGAAACATGAAACATGAGACTGTTTTTGTTTGTTCGTTTGTTTTCACGAATGTTGATAATATTCGTAGGAAAAACAAGTTTTGATTTCAAGTCACTCAACTGCAAACATGGTACGTGAAAAAAGGAAAAAAGGAAGAAAAGGATAAATACTCATTTGAAAATTCGTTGCTGGAAAACTCTAGATAAGGAAGAAGGCAAGAGACAAGGGTTTCGTGCTGGAGATGAAAGATGGCCAATCTAATCTACACAGGGGTCAAGGGTCAAGGGGAGATGTAACTAGGCTATTCACAGGAGAGGAGAGCAAAACTTGTCGGGTCCTTAGGTGCTTGCACGTGGCATGTTCCCTTCCCACACAAGAAAGATACTCCCTCTCTGTAAATTAGGGTTAGGTCAGCTTCAGTTCTTACTTTCATCAATGTTTCTTAGATCATACTTGATTGAAATGGCTTCTAACTTCCAAGTCATCATAATTTCTTATTTCTTATTTTATTTTATAATCTTGTTACATGATGTCATGATTTTTTAAAGTATACACAACCTATTTTGTATTTCATGGATAAAAAGGCCACAAACAGAGAGCCCATGAAAGTAAAAGCCTATCCTTCAAACCCACCACATCATGGTAAAGGCCCAAACCCTAATGATTTTTGTTTTTTTGTTTTATGTTTTCATTGACATTGATCTTTCCTTTGCACAAAAGTTTCACTTACAACAAGATTGATTAAATCAAACGCACCAACCAGGGCAAATATGATCAATCATCTTATCAGTGTCAAACCAATGGCAGTGACTAAAAGAGTGGAGGGGACGCCAAATTTGAGATGGCTCCAGAAGGATAAAGTGTATGCAAGGTATGGGGCTTGGCGAGCCTGTTCACACACTATCAAGTTGGCTGCCGATCCCAACAGTGATAGATTTCCTGCCACCGTGCTCACCCAAGCTAAAAGGAGCCATGCCTTCTTCTCCTCTGCCGCAGAAATTGCAGCCGCCGATGCTGCCACCCGTGCTCCAAGCAACAGAACTAGCCAACAGAAAGAAGGAAAAGAATTTCACATGTTAAGTGGCAGCTCAAGTTTTGAGATCATTAGCTGTTGGTGTTCTTCAAATAGACATTCGAATCGTAAAAATAAATACAGCAACATACCAGTTGGTACATTTGAAGCCAAATTTGATAGCACAAGTATGGTAAGGGCAAGAACAGCTATCCCAGTAGCATGATCAATATGTGCATAGGGCTCCATGAAGTCCCAAAGAGCGCTTGGAATACCAGTTTTGTTAAACCCTTCGACGGTTATAAACATTCCACAGAAGAAAATTAATAAGACCGAATACGAGACACTAGAAATAAAGAAGAAAAAAAAAAAAAAAAAAAAAAAAAAAAAGAAAGTCAGAAGTGTAATCTAACATACAGAGAGAGGAGGAGCATATGCTTGTAAAATATACCTTTTCTAGGCTTGGCCGAGCATCTGTGAAATCAAGAACCACTAGAGCAAGTGCAGCAGTAATTGCACACCATGACATATTCAGGCCCATAAGCAATGCAATCAGCATTCCTATAGTAACAAGGTAAACACCAGATTTCCACAGCAATCTTTTCCATCTTGTGGTCAGATTTTCCTTCTCTTCCAAAGACTCTGTAGGACATGCATCTCTCAGTCTATTGTTTGACGCAGCCCCTTCCGATAGGATCGTTTCCTCCCTTTTTTGAGAAGAAACATCAAGTGTCCCCTCTTTTGAAGCAATTGAATTTCTGGCAGAGTCCAAAGCACCACTATGAACGTTGTTTATTTCATTATCACTTGAAGGTAATCGGTTTCTAAGAGTCTCAACATTATCTATGTTCCCACTAAAATTTGGAGAACTTTTCACATCTGTGGTGTCTAATCTGAAGTTCAGTTCTTGGGAGTTTAAGGATGCACTATGTGACAATGTGGCTGGTGAAAACCGATGAGAACTTACGTCCTCCTCTACAACAACTTCTCCAGCTGGATCTTCCTCGTCCTTAAGGACAGACAACAACCTCCAGAACATACATAAAAGGATTAAAGCGTTCACAAAAATTCCCACAAGCATTGCAGAGAGAATTCCGATCACAAATTTTCCAAAAGGAATCTTACTCTGAACAGCTATAACCAAGTTCTGAGGATTACCAATCGGGGTTGCTGCAGACCCAATATTTGCACTTGAGGCAAGGGCAAGTAGGAATGGATGAGGTGGGAGGTTATGCTGTTTTGCAACTTTTAAAACAAATTCAGTCAAAAACACGCAAGAGGTATCATTAGTGAAGAGAGCACTGGAAATTGCAGAAATCAAGCAGATTCGACAGAGCAGATCCTTTGCTCCTTGGGTTTTCCACAAGAGCAACTTACCCAAATATTTGAACATATCTGCTCTTTCAAGGTAAATACTGACAACCATTGTCCCAAACAAAAGACCAAGGATTGGGAGATCAATAGCAGCATATGCTTGGTCGGGAGTTAAGACTCTGAAAATAACCATAAGCATTGCTCCTAGGAGGGCCCCTGCAGTCCTCCCAATTGGCAGAAAAGGGACAGCCGGGAACACTGCCAATACCCAAAAGACTGCAAAGGCAATTGAGCCAAGAACCACTTTCACAACAGAAGCCATGGCCATTTTTCCAACTTAGGAAGCTCAGAATCTTATTCTTGATATATACATACGAAATTCCAAAGGCTTGAGAATATACTAAGAACCCTGCAGCTAACGATAGCGTGCATTAATACAGGCCAAAAATGTAAAGACCCTGAACAGGGAAACCCATTGCACAATCAGATTAAGTAAAGATTCAACTTTGGACACTGAAATAGACATACAAGGTACAACATTTTATTCAAGACCTGGTCAAACAGCTGCAATGAAAACAGGAACTAAACAACAAGTTCAGTATAAGTTACTATTGCAACTTCGCGTGGACTGTGAAGCTCAGTAAATAACAAGAAGAAAACCAGCCAAGATTGAAACTTTCCTACTGTCTAATCGTGAATTCTATACATAATAGAAATTTACAAAGATAGTATTAAGGGAAGAAAAAGTCAATGCCATATCCAAAAATTTGCTATGAAGAACTCAATAATATTGAGGGATCCGGACACACAATATGAAAAGAGAACCACACGTATAATTATCTGTTTCAGATAGGATATTAGACAGAAAAAAGTGCATATATTGATGCTACTCCGGCCCCAAAGCAACATAATCTCACCTCAACATGCCGTTCTGCAGCTGTCAAAATCAGAAGAACATTGTATGTATAACTGTACTGCAAAGCAAACACTCCATGAAACAGAAAGTTCTTGGTTTTGGATTAGATGATGGGCAGATTCCAACTTTTCTATTTCAGCTAAATTAAATAAAAGGGGAGATCGCTGAGCTTCTTCTCGGTTTCCACATCTAAAAGCGAAAGAACTTTTATATGAAGCGTTCCCTGATTATCTTGTAATCTTTGCTGTTCTGAAAACCTACTTACTGTTTGATGCCCTTGCGTGGTAGACTCGCACCCATCTCATCACAAGAAATTTTTGTCCCAAAAATTCTAAGATAAACAAAAATGTGTTATAAAACTGAAGAGATTGTGGAGAGAATATAAAGAAATTAAGCTGTAATAGAGATCTGATGTTTGATTGAATCTTTGTTCTCTATATTACAATGGAGGGAGGAAGTCCACTTATAGGCAAAGCCTCTTGGCTTCCCGTGAATGTGCAAGTACGTGGATTGTGGGCTCCACTCAAGACATTACAACACTCTCTCTTGGAGACCGCCATATATGGAATATACCTCATTCAAAATCTTACTAGTAAAACTTAGCGGGATAAAAACTGGTCGAAGGGAAAAATAGTACATAACCATGTGTAACATAAAATTTTGTGTATATTGATATACATGCGACACTGTTTCGTTAAAACCTTGCCAGGAAATGTTATGAAAAATAATAGTTTTCTTCTTTCCGTAAAGCCAAATACAAAATATTTATATTATAAATAACATATAAACAAATTGAAAAGCTTTGAAGGTATAATGAAATTAAATAAAACAAAATAATAGGGAAATAAAAGGAAAATAAGTAATAGGTAAGAATGTGAGTTTGGTACGATGAAGCATGTCAAAGACGCTGTCTTAAAGCCTTTGTAGCCTCCCTACGTGCAGGTACTGACGGTCTACAAGACTCCAAGATACGACCCCTTATACACAAACTCAAGATCCGCTATGAGCACGTTCATATACAGATATAAGTATCCAAGTCACATAACCATTGCCCAAAATAATAATACTATAAAGTAGAGAATATATGTAAAAATAGAAAAAGAGAGAATTAGAATGTGTATGTGATATTCTGATAGTGTATTGTGTGTATTTTAAATGCGAAGAAGGAGTGGCCTTTTATAGGCATCCAAAACATGTCACATTCACCAACCATAAAAGTTCACCAACCAAAAAATTAAGGCATTCACCAACCAGAAATAAAATCTGAATATTAAATATTTATAACCCCCACAATAAATAAAATAAAACAACCAAAATAATTAAATAAATAAAACGGTTAAATTTTTAAAACCTTTTAAAATTCCAACAGGAAAACCCCAATGAGATAAAAACCTAGACGAAGGAAAAAGAGTACAGTGTGTGAAGGTCTTTACTGACAGCACGTTCCCCCTGATACTTAGCAAAATATCTTTAAGCCATACTGTTGATCATCTTTCTGAATATCATAGTTGACACTGCTTCTGTGAGTCAATCTTGTAATGTTGTTGGATGCTTCCCCTGAAATCTTCATGACTAACTATTTCTAGTAAGCGATCATTGAAATTTCCAAAGTCCGCGTATCCAACAAAATTTGGGCTATTTGTAAGTTTACTTTAAAAGGATATGCCCGTATATAGTGTTATGCAGAGATAGCATCAAATATGCCTTACACCACCCCAAAGTGATGGTGATGGAGTTAAGCTCTATATGGAAAATACAATGTCTGGTCCAGTATACCTCCGGAAAATCATTTAAGTGCCCAACGGATAATCCACATAAAAATGCTTCAATACTTTCTTAGTATAAGTAAGAATCTCGTTGGCATAAAGCTCGATCTTCGGGCCGAGACAAATATTTCTTGAACTCTTTAAGAGTTTTAATGTGTTGCAAACATATTATAATTAATGTACTCACTGAGGCAATTTATGCATATTAGTATTGAGTACAAATTTTTTTGCTTCAAGCACATGTCCTTTAGGGACTTGCTTCATGCAATTACAATCCTTTCAGGGATTTTGTTTAATGGATTAAACTTTATGACACATTATATAGCTTTAACCTAGCTATTTGTTCTGTTTGTACATCTTTAGGGAATCGTTTCTGGTGATATGTCTGTTCATTTAATAACCCTTAAAGATAATATGTTGTTCTCCGTAAATATGCAATAAGGAGGCACAATTGCATCTGTAAATACCGAGAAACCCAACATTTCTTGTTTCTGCTAGAAACATTGTGTCATACAAAGTGGGTATATTCCCTTTTATTCCGAACACCCAAGTATAACTTTCAGTATTAACATTCTTTGGGGTTCGTATTATGGGTTTGTTCTTACACGTTCATTCTCATCTATAATGGAATTGTCTCTTTCCATTTTGGCCAATGATATTGTCTTCATTTAATAATAGAACGTGTTTCCAATCAACACAGCCCATTGATGATTTGAATAGCTACTCCAAATTCAAAAAAAATTATTATTCATCAATTCATGATCCCACCATTCTCATGTGCATGCACATGCATTAATTATAGTTCTCCTTTTCTTGGGGTCTCTCTCTAGCTGGATCCTAGAATCTTATTAGGAAAGAAGTGAAGTTATGCTTTTGGGTACCCAAATCACTCACATGGGCTTTTATTGTCTCTTTCCAAACAAACATCTCTTATAAGATGAATTATGTGAGAATGTGGATCATAACCTCCAATGTAGCGTTATTTTATAGTATGACATGGATAATCTCCATTCAGGGAGTGGAACATTTAGAACCCATATATCTGTCATACTGCAATCATGCCACAGATTAATACATACATGTCAATTAATTGCCTTTCAGGGACTTTAAACCATATAATTTGTTATGCATTAGGCATGCACCGTATTAATATTGACATGTTAAAGGATTGTCCTTCCGGGACTTCAATCCATATCATTTGCTACACAACACGCGTGCATCATATTGATCACTGCTATACCCATGTTCTGTTCATATGGGACTTTAATTTATGCAATGTATTATCAATGTATTCAACTTGCAATCTGTGAAATTTGCTTTAATAATTCATGAATACTTATCAGAATGATACAAGCCATTCTTCTGGAATTGTCATAATACAAGTCGTTGTTCTAGAATGAGTTGTAATGCAAGTCATTCTTCTAGTATGGTCCTTTGCATGACGTTCTTCTAGAACGACCTTATCTCCCCATTTGGTTACCTTTAAGGATGTCGTACAAAATATCAAAATAAGAGTACAAGCATGAAATAACACAAGTATTGCTTACATCCTTAGGTGGGAGAAATTTTGCTTAAATATCATTCAGGCTCGTATCGGCTCAGCAAATACAATGTAATGCTTGATGATCTAGTTATATCCTGTAAGAGCAAAAATCACATTTTTTCTCTGTCAAAACAAAAAAAAAAAAAAAAAAAAAAAAAAAAAAAAAAAAATCTTTTTAGGATCACTACATGGACTCTTTCTTCAGATGTTCGTTCTAAAGAAATAAAATCCCTTATGAGCAGAGAGTTATAAAAAGAAAGAAAAGATACAAAAATTATGATATTGATTGCAAGGTAAGGTAAGCAATCAGGGAAGGAAGCTGGTGAGGGCAAACAACAAATTCTCATTTCTCCTAGTCTGGAAGAACTTTAGGAGATTAGAGGATGTGGTTGTCTTTATAACTCCCCGACATTGCCGAAATGTGATTAGGGATAGTCTCACTTCATGAATTGATGATTAGAGATAGTCTCGCTTCTCAAGCACATTGAGTGCTCACTGATAGGAAAAACAGGTGGATATTGCATCACTAGAACTGGAGAAAACTATATGTATTCTGCAAAGAAAATTTTGTTAGTAACATATTTATACACAAATAAGAGGAATAGGTAGATTCAATGAATTTCAAATTAACCACAGAAATTTGCGAGGTTTTCGGGGTGCTTTTGAAAAAGTAGCTTTGTGAAATCTGCAAAGCAAGATTGACTTTGACGAAAATAATATTTGAAAACGCCGAAAGTGTTGACAGATATTAATGGAGGCCGTATGAAGTTTTGGAATCTGGGAAATAAAAAGAGAGTATGGGGATCCGAGAGAATATTGGGATCCTAGAAACGGTGCCACATTTTCGTCTATAGATATTGCCTCTTCAAGGTCTGATTGGAATAACTGTGTTTCAACTCAACTTCCTTTCATTTTCTGACAATTCAGCCTTTTCTAAGACTTTCCTCGAAACCTTCTTAAAATCACTTCATCTTCTTCTCGCCCAAATCATTTTGATTTGAATGTTGCTCCCAAAACAACCCAACAACCCGTGACGCCAAAGTCTGGTGTCCGTCCTTTGTATCCCAAAATCGTCATCTCACGGTTAATGATTCTGTGATGATGAATGATACGACTACTGTCATAGTAGCTAAGAATTTCCTTACTCCTATAGATGAAATACTGTTAACAGGAAGGTCTAACGAAGAGGCTATTAATGACTCAATGGCTTTTAGCATTCAGAGTGCTGCTTCTGTTTCTAACATGGCTGATCGTTTGCGTGCTAGAGCAAACAAGATTCAAGAGCTGAACACTGAAAATTCGTCTCTTCAGAGAATGCTTCATGAGTCTCAACAGGAGGTTGAGAAACTTAAAAAGTAAAATAAGGCCTTGTTGAAATTGGTGAATTCATACTCCATTGATACGCAAACAAGGCTTGACATGCTGCAGATTTCCAATGAAAAGATTCTGGGATACCATGAGAGGCTCATGGCTAAGCTTAAGAAATGTCATCCTCTTCATTCAGAGGCTTCCAAAACATAATGTAATTTTATAGATTTTACAAAGTCTGCTCATTCCTTGCAGGTGAAAAGAATCTATCTGTTGTATGCTCTTTTCTTGTTATAATAATTGGGTAAATTCTTAAACTTGCACCTGTGGTTTTTACGTCTTTTCAAAATGACAGTTTGGAACATTGTGCCTTATAGGTTCAAATAACCACATCAAATCTCTCAACTTACATATTTCAACGCATGTCAGTCCGGAACTTTTGGCCTGGGCTAAACACGACCTCAGAATTTATTTGCCTTTTCAAATGGGCATGAAATATGAATTGAGGAAAGGTCATGATAATATTACAATATAATAGTGAAGAGCATTGACTACTATATACCCAAAACTTCAGGTTCCTGACTTTTCATATATTGGGATTCATGGGCTTCCGCCTTAGATCATATAATAGGTCAAAAGTGGAATGCTATTTATTTTGGTAGTTGGTTTTGGCAGAGAGGTGATAGCATCACGTGGGAGACAAAAGCCATGCAAATATGGTTGGTTTTTTGACTTCATAGCTGGCCTCATAAATTGGTTTCTTTGAAAAGCTACTCATCCTTTGGCTATAAAAGGAGAACCATGGCAGCAGCTGAAGAAGAAGAGAAAAGGGAGAGAAACAACAAGTAGCCATTCGACAGAGAAAAGAAAATTATGTCAAGTTGTCTTTGCTTTGTATTTTCAGTTTCTCTTCCTATTGTGAGTGTGTGAACTTCGGCTATTTGGGTTTTTAGGAAATTGAGTGATAAACACTATTGTATGTTCTCATTGATTATAGTGGAATACTCCGTCGTCTCCAAACTGGATGTAGGTATTACCAAACTAGTATAAATCTTGGTGTTCTTGTTGGTGTTGTTTTGTTCTTTTTATCTCTTGCCAGTTGTTATTTATTTTTCACTCACAGTTGGTTGACGCTTCCACACAACAAGGAGCCTCAATTTATCATTTAAAGTTTATCATGATATTATCCATTTCACGGTGTATCCTTAACAACCGGAATTCACAAAATATATTTCTTCATTGAGGTGTCGATTGTAACAGAATCAAACTTTATTAAATTCATCATTTTCTTATGCCAAAGAAGTATGTAGTGTACCACAATTTTCAATAATACCTCAAGGGTTGTCCATTTAATTGTTGGAACTTCAGGTTCTCAACACTGTCAGATTTTGAACTTCATACCAAAATTGCATATTCTCATGGTATGGACATTTTTATAATTTCTTGGACATATTTCTGGTCTTCAGGCCCTTATATAATTGGCCATGTTTTAAGGAACTTCTGACATCTCATTTAATTGCTCATTCATGAGTTTAAGGAACTGCATGTTCTCTTTTGTATATAGTGACGGTTTATCCAAAATGGTTAATATTTATGTATATGTCACTATTCATGTATATGGTACTATTCTTCAAGTCATGAATACATGCTTATTCATGCGTACAGTACATTTGCCAGTACAATTACTATTAACTAATACGGTACTGTTACATTATTAAGGAACTTCAGGTCCTTATTTACATGTCCAGGATCAAGGATCTTCAGGTCCAATCTCTTGTTTACAAATATAGTACCTTAGAGACTGCAAGCTCTCATATCAATATCATCATCAAGGATTTTCAGGTTCATTTGGTATGGGGAATTGTCATGGATTGTACTAAATTCTTGGATTGGCTTGGATTAGCTTGGATTAGCTTGGCATGGCCTAAACTAATAACACTTGTACTACGTTTGGTGTATATTTGATTGGACTATGACTAAATTATTTTAAAATATTTTTTCTTGAAAAGTAAGTTTAAAAAAATATTTTTTCAAACTTTTCTTGTCTCTGTCGAGACCTCCCTCAGCCCCATTCCCCTTCTTGGACCTCCAACAACCCCACCCTATCCACCCTCCGTAACAAATCTTAAAGCGAGTTGGCGATGAGTCAAAATATTTGGTTTGATTGGCACCATGAGATCTCTGTGTTGCTCGGAGAAGAGAATTGTGTGGAGGTCATATGCTGGGTTTTTTCAATTTAATCATTTTTGTTTGACTAGATTTCGATAATTGAAAAGGAGAAATTGAGTTTGATGAGTAAAAGAAATACAATAACTTTTTTTTTAGGGTTTGGTTAATTGAAAGAGAAGGAAAGTTATCTTGCTAAGGATTGATTCAATTAATGGGTTTGGGTTAGTGGCTGTTGGAGAGAGGGAAGGGATGAAGCGGGCGGGGTCAGTGGCTGTCAAACAGAGAATATGAGAGAAAGCCAAAGCCGCTCCAGACCCAGCTTTCTCATACTACTCGAAAGCTAGGGGTATCTGAGTTTGTTTGGGATGAGGGAGGAACAATTTTTATTTTATTGTATGAGGTTGCTGCGATGGTGGATTGAGGTTGCTATGATGGTGGAGGGTTTGGATCGGTTGCAGGTGCTTGGGTGATCGGTGGTTGTGGATGGCGCTTGGATGGTCAGTGGTTGCAGACGCTTGGATCAGGACTATGTTGTCCTCCCATTCCATGTGGGACTCATTAAGAACACCTAAGAAGGTATTTTTGGTAGGGCCAGTATTAACAGTCCCACTTAAAACTAGAATTAAGTGTAAACAAACATGGGATAAAAATTTGTCTAGTCCAATCCAAGCCAAAAAGGTGTAACAAACGAGCCCTTCAAGTCCTAATGTAGTTGTCTGATGAAGATCAAGGAACTTCTGGTCCTGATATCTGTATGCTATAAAACTCATCATATCACACAATTAATTCATAAAATAAATTGCTGGTATGGACGATAATCCCGCATCATACTTTAAATAAATGTAAATGTGCGGTAAAGTAAATTTATAAATTAAATTGTCTCATGTATGGACGTTAAGCCCGCACCATACTTTAAATAATAAAGTAAATGTGCGGTAAAGTAAATTCATAAATTAAATTGTCTCATGTATGGACATTAAGCCCGCACCATATTTTAAATAATAAAGTAAATGTGCGATAAAGTAAATGTGCTGGTAAGGGCACTAATTCTACTCCATACTTTTAAATAAAAAATAAAGACAATTGTAAACTCGTGCCATACTTTTAAATAAATACTGTTGTATGTGTAATAAACCTACACCATATAGTAAACAAAATAAATGCGAGATAAAACCACCGCTAAAACATAAGAGGTGAAACCATCTATAATATTATATATATTATTATACTATATGTTCTTATACTAATATATGATCAGAGAAGTAGGGAAAGTGGTTAGTGGCAGAGAATATCACGCATGCTCCAAAGTTTCCGATTCAATTGCTGGAAAATTCTACAGTGCGCCGCCTGGTGCACTATAGAAGAAGGTGCCTTCAATTGCTTTTGTCCTGTCCCCAGTCAATTGCTTTCTTATCATTATAATATGTTAAACCAAAACAGCTTTCCAACGTATATTATCATATTAAAGTGGATTTTGTGTAGTTTTTAATCCAAGCCTCTGCTTTTCCGCTGCCACCTGCACCATAGAAGGTGCCTCCCATACCCGTCCTAATTTTCAGTTTTTAATAAGATATTTCTTGTTAAAATAATTTTTTAAAACACAATCACATTATTGTGAAATTTTAAAAGAAACCACCACAAGATATTTCTTCTTAAAATAATAACTCAACAAAGCAAATAAGGACACAAAACTTGAAATAATTTATATCCAAATCTTTAGAAACTTTTTTAGTAAGCACAATAAATCCATCTAGTCTCTAGGATAACTTTGTTTATTATATTATATTAATATATATATTGAATATAAATAAATATATTAATTATCGGACCGGGTTCGGGAATGGGGATAACAATCCCATCACCGACCCATCCTTGGTCGGGGAATTTACAAATTCGAGGATCCCTATACCTGGTCCCGATTTCCCCCCGAAAACTCCCCCCGTTAGGGTCGGGGCCCCGACCCGACAGGTATTATTGCCAGGGGCTTTCTCCATTACGGATTACTAATTTGCGGATTGAATGCGAATTTCTATTTGGAACCGTTAGCGGTGGAGATTTAACATAAAAAGCAAAACATAAAAAATACCCCTTTGCACCGCCATTTGAGAAACGAAGAAACAACGGGCAAACCCATCCAATCAAAGAAACATTTGCCCACAGTTCTCAGGCAAAATTCTTCAGGTAGGTTTGTGGTTTGGACTGTTGGGATTGTGGCTTGGACTGCTGGGGGATTTTATTCTTCTTCTTCTTGTTGTGCTTGTGGGTTTGTGTTTTTTTTTTTTGTTTTTGGATTTAAAAATAGAACATTATCACTCAAGGTGGAGGCAGGCCATCGCTTGTCAATACCAGCACCAAAGAGGGAGGAGGCGGTGAAGCCTGGGTTTTGGATCATTTGGGACTTGGTGTCTTCTGCGTCTAATTCCATCAGTACAAGGAAAAAAGAAAGAGAAAAAACTGTTGAGAGACTCTTCTGAGAGATTTGAGAGGTCGGTGCCTCTTGGGTTTGCTGTCAGAAAAAATAAAAATAAAAACTAGGGAAAAATTAACTCTTGTGGAGAAGCTCTTATTGTTTGCTGTCAGTGACTACACTTTAATTTAGTTTGGTGTGAACTATTTTGGTTCTCAAATTCTGTTCTTTGAGCTATTGCCCCTTGGTATGGAGCAAAGCTTGGAGCAAAATTCTTCAGGCGGGAGAGAGAACTTCGAAATGCACGGGGAAGAAATGTTTCTTTGATGGGAAAGACGATAGAGAAGCGCGGGTCTCCTGGATTGGATGGGTTTGCCCGTTGTTTTTTCGTTTCTCAAATGGCGGTGCAAAGGGGAATTTTTTATGTTTTGCTTTTTATGTTAAATCTCCACCACCAATGACATCTAACGGTTCCAAATAGAAATCCGCATTCAATCCGCAAATTAGTAATTCGTAATGAAGAAAGCCCCATTATTGCCATCCCTAATCTTGGTATGTATTAAATATTGTAAAGAAATAATAAAATAATAGAAAAGGTAAGGGGAAGGGTGCTTATTCTTTCGGTGTTGTTTCTTCTGACCAATTTTGCAATCAAAGCCCAAGCAAAGCCACCCTGCATATTCATCAGTACTTGTTGTCATCCATGAACTTTGCAGAGACCAAGGCGCTGGCAATGATGGAGCAGGAGGGGCTGCATTTATTGGCGGAATCGGCGCCGTGCTTGCTGATCATCAGCTACAGAAGGACCAGGGGTTGAAGCCTCGAGGCTCGCTACTCCAGGAGCCTCAGCCGGAGGCGCAGGTGGGCTGTCCAAATCTGGAGTGGGAGCAGCTGCCGGATACTTGTGCTTAGTGGGAGTTGCAGCTGATGGTGAAGTAGTGGGTGTTTGTTTCCTCAAATGGGTTGGCTTCAATTTTGACTGGTTGAGTCTTTATGAAGCAGAGCAAGTTAGCGCATTTGCTCTGAAGCTGATGAAAAGGTTGAGGCTTTCTTGGTTAATTCAGTTTGAAATTTGAATTAATACAAGAAGAAGACGAAGTAGTAGTGGTAGTATGAGAAGCTTGAATTATGCTCAGGGCCCACTGGAAGGTGGAGAAGAACTGAAGACCCATGAGAAGTTTTGTGAACCAAGTCTGGTTCTTGAATTTGTGAAGTGGGTTATCTGGGAAAACAAAAGAAAATCCCACCAAGCCTCTGCTTGAGTTTTTGCAAGGTGGTCTGTTCTGGTGTTGATTAGAAGAACTCAGCTGGTATTTAGGAGATATTCGTGCTGGTAACGTGTTATAAAACTGAAGAGATTGTGGAGAGAATATAAAGACATTAAGCTGCAATAGAAATCTGATGTTTTATTGAATCTTTGTTCTCTATATTACAATGGAGGGAGGAAGTCCACTTATAGGCAAAGTATCTTGGCTTCCCGTGAATGTGCAATCATGTCTTCCAGTCTGTGGATTCCACTTCCACAACACTTTCATCATGATGTTCTTCATGATTTCCAAATGTGTGGGCTCCAATCAAGACTTTACAACAAAATGCCTTCTTTGTTTTTGCAATGTTGCATGGATTAATGAAATACGCCAGTAAAAAAAAAAGGATTTTTTGTTTTGTTTTAGGCAAAATGTTTTCTTTCTGATGATGTAAATCATAACCTTTTCTCTTACTTCTTCTGAGTTTTAATGGAAAATGACAAGTTTGCACTATATTTTAGTGAGTGCGACAAAAAGATAATGTTGCCGGTGGGATTAGAGATTCGACTGCTCATTTTTTTTATATTTACTTAACTTACTGGAAATTTGGAAGTTGTAACTTGTAAAATCGGATGGGGGTGGGATGGGAAGCAAAAGACAGCCTGTGACATGGTGTTCCAAGATGTTTTCCCTATGCTAATCATATGATTATTTTTCTCATAAGATGACAGGGAAGTAAGACTAACTAGGAACAGTACCAGGTTTATGCAGCAACTTTAAAAAACGCACCTCTTTTATATTTTTTGTACCGACCAAGCGAGGTCCAAATAAAATCTGGGGTGAGACCCTTCTTAGTCAAGAAACGAACGACAAAATTAGCTTCATGGTAAATGTGTTGAACATGCACAACATGAAGATGATCGCCGTGAAAAGAAACGGAGACTTTGCCCGGAAGAGCATCAACGACAATGTCGCAATACCCTTCAGACAACTGAGATAATAAGAGACCAGAACCTCAAGGCCTCGGTGCAAAGCAAAGCATTCGAGCTCCTCTTACATCTCTTCCAGAGCAGCCAGCCAGCAGGCACAAATGCTTGTAACCTGTTCGTTTTTGTCAACTATCAAAACATCAAACTCAATTTGTCGCTATTGGATCTCAAGAGAGGATTATTAAAGAAGAAAATCAAATCGAATGACGCAATTAGATGAAATGAAAATAAAAAGATCTTCAATCTAATTCAACACTTGACGTCAGATATCGTAAACCAAATCCTGTGACACACCCCCTTTTTATTCAACTATCAAACATCAATAAAATATTTCACGGGCAAGCTGGCTTCTGAGGGCATATCATTTTCATGGGCATTAAACAATTCGAAGTCTGACATCTGAGCCCAAGACATGCCAGAAAGAGTCCAAAATGACCTTCCTGGAATGATATTTACATCCATGTAACTAATAAACAAACAAGCTGTCAAGGTTTTACCTTCACATAAACCTTCTGGTCTGCAATTTGCCACACTGCAAAATGCCTCTTTATCTTTATCCACCTGATGCTGATGAGCTTTGATTTTGAACCATAAAACGCTCCACATGACATGCCTATTGCTTCTTGTTTTATCATGTCTCCTGGTTTTTTGGTCACAGCCTGTTTCCTTCTAGTTTCATGATTGTAGTGGTGTTTGGGCAAGTGGGTAGGGCAGACAGAGACATGAGGTTTGGCCATTTACGCAGCAGACATTCAATCAACTTATGCTTATCCTTGGCCAGCACCGTAACCAATTTGAATGGAACTCACATATATATATATATATATTCAGATTCTTGTTACACTTGGTATATATCACAACTGATTTAGGCCAAAGAACCCGATTTTAGAAGACAAAAATGCATTGTTAAGGGTAGTTTAACAGAGAACTTGGTGAAGTGGACCAGGTCTGGGGGGCTTGGAGCATTATTATTCCCTTCACAGGACCCTACATGGCAGATAATTGACATGAAACATATGCACAACAGCCAGAATTTGGTAGCCTTGGCAAGAATTATGATCGCACTGATATGAGTAGGCAGGCATGACCCAAACATCAAAATACCAAAGATACTTTCTGTAAGGCTCAATCAAACAGCCTCATGCTTTATGAGCCTTTTTCCAGATATGAGAGACCTACCAATATAAAAGAAGTAGAGAATTCAAAGCAGAAAAGAACGTGTAATGATTCAGAGGTTAATGCGATAATACCACCTTTTTATTACACATCCAGAAAAAAAAAATCAACAAACACAAAATCTATAAGTGAATCCTATCTTTTGTATAACATCAAGTAAAGAAATGTTCTAAAGAATGCTCCTTTGAGTACTCACACTAACAATTCTACAATCTATTTTCTCTCTGAATTATATTTTTAGGGCCAAAGAAACTCTCACCTCTGCAATCCATCCATCCATCCATCCATCCATCCATCAACAATGTGATCCCAGGTTTACCAAGCTATACATCAGATGGGTTAGAGGTGAAGCCATGTTGAATCATTCCTATGTCATCTAACTCCAGGTTGTAGAATTGGAAAGAAAGTCCAGTCATTACAAGGCTTAGATTCCTTAGCAGCAACATTTTTGTTAGCCCACCACTCTGAGCCAATGTTGGGCTTACTGGGAACTTCAGCCTTTGTGTTGTCAAAATTAAAGTCCTTCGTTGACCCAAGGGTGATGGATCTATGCTTCCGGTAACCTTGATCCTCCCCTTCTCCAGAAACATTTTCAGGAATTCTACTGGAACTTTCCTCAACACTAAACTCACAGTGATTACTAGAATCTGAAGATAACGCATCTCTTTCACTTGGGTAGTCTGATGCTATAACCTTTGAAGATCCTGATGCAGTTCTATTTGATGCCAATGCTTTATTTGCAAGAGAGCACGCAACATCTTCACCAGTCAATTCAAATGACACCCTATGATCAAATACAGTTTCCACAGTTTGACTTCCACTCTCTGAGTTGGCCAGGGATGCCACCTCAGATATCTGGTTCTCCAGAAGGAAACTGTCTCTAGAGGCAGGGCCAGGACCATCAGGCGTCAAACATCCAGAACCCAACCTGGAACCGATTCCAGCACCATTGGGGGTCACACATCCAGAGCCTAGCCTTGAACCTAGCTCATTGCCATCCGGCGTTAATGACCCAGAACCTAGCCTCGAACCCAGCCCCACACCATCTGGGGTCAATGATCCAGAACCTATCCTAGAACCCCACTTACGAGTGGTGAAATGATCAAAGCCAAAGAGTTTTGGAGCTTCTCCCATGCGAAACTCAAGCACAGGGTGTCTGTCAGGAAAAGGAGAAGACGTGCCAGAATTTGAGACTGCTGATCCTGGTGATATGAGATTACCACCCGGACTTCCTGGATATTGTTGGTAAGGCTGGAATTCGTAGTGTGACAATGCAAACTTCTGGTTGGTACCACTATTTCTACGATTTCGGTCCAGTGAAGAAGTCAGAAGTTGAGCAAAAGGCACTTCAGGGGATGAAGGTGTAGTCAGCTGCACAGATTCGGGAGGGGGAGTGAATGGAGCAGTAGATGGTTCAGTGTTGAAGGTAGAGAATACAGGTGGTGAGACTAACTGGGTCTCATATGCATAAGGGCCAATGGAAAAGATGGATGCAGGACCACCCGGAGAGTAGGCATTGGCAGAAAGAGATTTGAGGGACAGAAATCCAGCAGGTGATTGGGCAGCAGATGGTGGATCAGATGGGAGGAAAGATGCAGGAGAAGATGGAGGGGCAATGAAGGGTACTACAATTGCAGTTGAGGTTGTTTGGTTATCAATGGCAGAAACTGCAGCTCCTGGAACTACGGGCTCAGGAACGAGGACAGCATGACCAATTCGCTTGTTTTTATGAGACCCAAAGCACCAATATAGGCTCCAGCAGCTTCCCCATCTTCTTTTCTGTAGTCAAATGATTAAAAGAAAATATTGTCAATGACTCAGTTTCAGCTGGATCATGTCTGGTTTCTTATTTACCCGGTAAGGCTCAAGCATTTCACGGATATTACATGCATCAATTTGTTATTCCAGCATCAAGGATAAAATATGTCCAGAAGCTAAAGAAAATCTTCCACATCATTTTAGCCTAGTTAATGCTCATTGATACAAACTATAAATATAATGACGAACGAAACTTGATTTAAAATCCATAAAATGGCTTCAATATTGAAATCCTTGACTTAAATTGCTACAGTATATCCATGAACAGCATGAACAGACAACTAGAGGTGATAAGGACAATGATAAAGGGGATCCTACGAAAGCAGGCACTAAAGAAACAGAAATAACCTGCCTTTAAAACTAAAAGCCACAAACAGAAGAAATTGAGGCCCAATTTTCAAAATGAGTATGAAGTTTCATATAAAAGCACCATTCTGCCTCATATAGCAAATAAAACAAACTTGATCATTGAACATTTGACAGTTATGGGTTAAAGGTATCCAAGTGGAAATTGAAAATCAAAATTCCCTTGTGTTTCTACTAGCACTCTAAAAGGCGATACTGAAAAAGCTCCCAGACAACATCCTCCATAGCTATCGCGGCAAGAAAGATGAGTTGTTAGAATGGGAAGCAGGTCCCATGCCCAATTGGATTCTTGTGACTTGAAGAATTCCTGACCCAAGCTCCAAATCTCTGAACTACCAAATGTTGATCAGACGCCTTACAGAAAATTCTGTAAATCTGCTAGGTGCTACTAAGAAAATCCGGAATCTAAGTTACCTGCTGCTACATCAAAACATACTTGAAAGACTAGCCATTGAAATAAAATGGACTTAACTAATACTGCATAAAGCACAATGAAGTTTCCATAAAGCAACCCACGAGTACAAAGACAACCACGTCTCCATAAAGCAAGCTATGGCTACTATCTGAAGACAGAGCAAGGCTCAGGTGTATTGCTGACCGCCAACATCATTGTCTGGACTTGAAATGCATGATACAGACAAATCACGAAATAAAATGACTACAGAACTATATGATGTTAATTCAAAGGTAAAGGCGTGTGGTTTGTCTAACACCATGCTCTACTGGTTGCCAAAGACCCTGGGAAACAAGAAAAACAAAACCAAAATTGAAACCTTACATTTTATACTAGTCAAGTCAATTAAATTTCTCAACTTTTTCCTCTATGATTACTATTGATTTGAGAAACCAAACACGTGATGAACAAATTAAGGCATAAGTTTTTTTGAAAAAAGAAAAGGAACCAAAAAGCCAAAACAGAGAGAGAGTCGAGTAACCAAATCAAGGCATAAGTTTTCTAGACTCTAAAAAGATTCCCAAAAACACTCAAAGCTTCATACTTTTCACTTTTCAGCATTGAAAATAAGTAAAAGGAACATAAAACGCAAGATCCAACTGCTCATATATGTGTTTCAGATTTCCACAGTTTCTCAGCAACCAATCAGAGTAAACGAAGGACCCAAAACACAACAAATTAAACAAATTGAGATAAGAGAAAATAAATAAAACAACACACATGCATACATATATGCCTATCATACATAACACACACATATACATGTATGCAAGAGAGAGATAGATATATACAGGGACAGTGGTGGGCTGCGCTCGAGCTTCGGCTGAGACGATGGCAGTGGCGGCGGCGTTGATAGTATCAACGCTGCTATTGACGCTTCTCATGTTTGCTTAATTTGAGTTATATATTCTGGTTAATTTGTGATCCAACAAGCTCTTGCTTTTCGAGCTAATTTGTCTGCTTTTGTTTAATCTCCGGCGACCGTCTACTGTGTGTTCGGGCTATGTCACCGGAGAACGATGGATTTTCCGGCGAGATGCGAAGGACATGGCGGGTTCTGGATTTCGATCTGGTGACGAACGCTTTTGAAGCCGATGAGCCGAAGCAAGCAGACAGAGAGACAGGCAGACAGAGAGGAGGAGCTAGCTATGAGTGAATGAATGCAAAATGTGAACTTGTAAATATAGAAGGAAACACTAACATTCATTAACTCCTCCTCCTCCTCCTAAATCGTCTCTTTCTTTCTCTGTCTGTGGAGTTGGGGCCCACTCCTTTTTTAATTTTTTTAAAATTTTTGCTCCAATAAAATCCCATCTTCGCATTATTTTTTAAATTTTTTTAATTTTTATGAATATTTATTAACCAGCACAAAAAGGGCACGTGGGCTTGCCACTTGATGCATTATTCTAAAGGAGGTATTTTATGATGTATTTTCTTATTGAAATACATCACAAAACATGTATGCATAAGTATGCGATTAAACAAATACCAATCAATTAATAAATATTAAATACCAATCTGTGTTGTTCTAGATCCAGCAAAAATCAATGCAATATTTTTGTGTTTTCTGAGGTACGCAAATAAAAAAATTTATTTAAGAAGGAAAAAAATAATTCATTACGAACACATAACATGTAATATACTTATTTTTCTCTATTAAAATTGTTTTTTAGACTTTTCACAAATACGCACATTCTAGCATGACATTAATTGTATTTTATATATATTCCGTTTCCCCCATAAATAAATACGACTCAATTATTAATTGTATTCCAGTAGCGTAATGCGGCCACGGGTTTAGCAAGAAATGATTAAATTTGTGCAAGTTGAGGATAATTGTATAAGTGATTGGACAACAAGAAAATTGGCCAGCTGTCTTTTCTCTCTCTCTCTCTCTGTCTCTCTGTGATTCGGTAATTATTTAATAACTTTTTAAGTCAAACACCCAATTAGTTAGTTAGTTAATAATAATTAACAAAAATTTATCATTCGTAATAACAATGATTTATTATTTACAGGGGTCGTTGTAAACTTTTAAGATCCACAGGGGTCGTTCGTTGTAACTTTATAAAAGTAAATTAGACAGCTTCCTCTGGTAGCTAGAAAATATAAGATGACATAATTGTCCTTTGGTTCTGTTCCAATTTACAGCGTCGCACCAATGTTAATAATGACGTGGTGATTTTTAATGCCAAAAAGAAAAAAAGCAAACTTACTGGCGGCGTTGTGCGACCGCGTGAGATACTCGTGATTTGTAATATTCTGATTTTACGTTACGCGCGTCCCGCGCGCCTCTCGTGACCGCATTTGTGTTGCGGGCCCCGCCTCCCAACGAAAACGTAAAGAAGGCCAGACATGTAAACTAGAGAAACTTTGAGGGTAAATAGAAAAATCCTTAATTTTAAATTCTATTATTATTATTTTGCAACTTCTCGTTACTTTAATTTTTATTTAAATACAAATGCTAGTTTAAACTACAAAGAGCAGGGAGTTTCGTCTACACACTATTAAAGTATCACGGAGAGTCGGACTTGAGAACAAATTCATACCCTTCTCCACTGTACTAGATACTGTTACTTCAAATTTTATAACGTCGAGAAAAAACTTTTGTCAAAGATGTCCACGTGCGGCCCATCCACTTTTGGTTTTTTTTTCCGTATTATGGGTTTTTGTGGGCACCCTTCGTGCGTAAGACAGCGACACTCACACACTAAATAAAACTTGCACGGGTGGTGCTCTTCGTCTTTCTCTCTCTTTGGTGGTCTTTTGGTCTCAGCCATCATCATCTCTCCATCCAAATCCAGTTCATCCTTTTGCTTTCTGAAAATGATATCTCAACCCAACAAAAACACCTTTTTTCTGCTTTGCTGGTGGTGGCCTCATCACTCTGCTCTGCATGTTAAAAATTTAGAGCCTACTTTGTATTTTTTCTCACCTCTCTCACCTCTCTCACCTTATCCCAAACTTCTATGGTCAAAACTCAAAGTGTGTGTTTTACTTTTTACTGTTCAATATTTTATATTAAATGCGATCATGTTACCTAGCCACCTACCCTTTTTATATTCAGATTCTGTTCATGTCTCTGTCAGACAAATTATTCTAGGCTTCTAAACCCTTTTTGTGGATCATTCAGTCAATGTGTGGGATTATAATTATACAGTTGAAAATTATTATGATGGATTCACTTTCTACTCACTTTCTCAGTTCACCTCTGGTATTACAACAAGCAATGCAAAAAGTTAAAAACTTTGCAGATAAAAGCACACCAATTATATCCTAAAGCTTATTATATCAACACTCACTCACTCATATCCCACTTTCATCAAAACAGTGAGAGGTTCTGTGAATATGATAATCCATTTTTTTCCTAGATCCACCCATGTAACTAAACAATATTGAATGCAACTGGGGGTCCACTAAGAGGTGCAAATGCAATGCAACTACTGGATATTTCAGAAATTGATCCTCTCTCTCTCTCTCTCATGGGGTGGCTAGGTGTGGCTAATGGTCCTACAAGGCAAAAGCTAAACCAGCACACCACATGTTCAACTTATCAAGTAGGTGGGGGTTGATCTAGCAAATTTTAATATACAAACACATTCACATTTTATATGCGTATAACAGATTTAATTCAAGATCCTCCTTTATATCCCTTTGGAATTCTCTTATCAGAATAATTGCCCAAGGGGGGCAGCAACAGTTTGAATGAAAAGGTTTTTTCTTTTTCATCACAGGCACATCATGGTAGGTTGGTTATTATTATTATCAAGAATTCAATATCATATATTGCTTTTTGGAGTTTGGATGAAGGGTTTGCATGATTTTTGTGCGATTTTTAATACATCAATTATGTGCCTCCAAAAGAAGAACACCCCAACAACATTTGGAGCCCAATTGTCACATCATTATTGGGCTGACTGGTTATTGAACTTTGGCAAAGAGCAGTGTTAAAATTGACTAACAAAGATAAATAAAGGCCCATCCTTTGAAATGATTTACTGTATTTGATCCTTTTCAATTGGGCTACAAAGCCCAGGTTGGGCCTTACCCAGAAATGCTCGAAATCTGAAAACACATCTAATGCTTCTGGTCGTTATAATTTTGGACTCTGACCAGAACTCATGAATCGGAAAATATCAAAATTCTTGAATTGATGGTCATGGCCTCGGCTATTGCTGCTGCTACATTTGTGTGTTCACCAGCATCAGCTCCCAGAGGCACAAAATCAGCCATATACAACCCGTCTTCTTCGCTGATATCACGCCCCCAAAACCCAAAATTTCAACCTTGTTCTGTGTTTCCTCCACTGGGTCTCAGTCCTTTCTCACCATGGAGCGGCTTGAAGCATCTGGGTATCTCATTCACGCCGAAATCTTTAAAATTAGGTACTTTTTTTCATTCGGGTTGCTCGTGTTTTCTTTATTTGTTTGCTGTCTTTAGTCATTTCATCTCATTTGTGATTTGGTGGTGCAGAGAGGAAGGGAAGGCATAAGGGTATGGTGGTTTATGCATCTCTCTTTGGGGTTGGAGCTCCTGAGGCTCTGGTTATTGGGGTAGTGGCTTTGTTGGTTTTTGGTCCCAAAGGTCTTGCTGAGGTGAGTGGCATGTTATGTATAGCTGGACGTTTTGATCTCAAGTTCAAGTTCTTGTGTGAGAGTGCTTGCTAGTCTTTTGTTAACATCATCAGAATAGCTGGACTTAATTTCTCATATGGATGCCTGTGTTCTCTCAGTTTTAACTTTTAAGTAGTTGGGGTAAATTCTACGAACTAAGTAAATTTGGTTGGTCTATGAACCCCTCACAGAATTGTTGTTGGCCAAAACTCAATGATAGAAGTAATGATGGCCTTGGGAGCTTAGGATTTCAAGCTTTAGAAAGAAAATAATAATCTTTGTTGCTTAACTGATCTTTTGGCATCCCAGAGTAATAATTTATCTACATGCAGGTTGCTCGGAATTTAGGAAAGACTTTGCGTGCTTTTCAACCCACCATTAGAGAACTTCAGGTGAGTAATATTAACTTTCTTTCAAATGTATATTTATGGTCTTGTGAGAAGGCTATCAATGTTGCATGCATCTGCGTGCAGGACGTTTCTAGGGAATTCAAGAGCACCCTTGAAAAGGAGATTGGTCTCGATGACATTTCACCTTCAGCAATAGACACATACAATGCCAACAAAATGGCCACTACTTCAACCCCTTCATCAGCTGCCACGGCTGCAACCCCTTCATCAGATGCCACTACTTCAACCCCTTCATCAGATGCCACTACTCCAACCCCTTCATCAGCTGCCACGGCTGCAACCCCTTCATCGGATGCCACTACTTCAACCCCTTCATCAGATGCCACTACTTCAACCCCTTCATCAGCTGCCACGACTGGAGATGCAGAAACCACGGCTGAACCAAGTAAGTGATTGATGCAAAAACCACGACTGGAGATGCCAGTAACCGTTACATTTATCTTTGACTTCCTTTTTATTTATTGAAAGAAGTTCTTGTATATGTGATTACTGGTTAATCGTTCTGACACATTATGGAAGTTTTTAGAATATGAATGAATACTAGAAAAGAACACAAATAGGAGTAACCAGGCGTTGGGAAATTTTGAGCCAGTTCTAATCTATATCCCCCATACTTTTTTGCCCATACATCTTTCGTATGGGTAACACATGCTTCTTACAGAGAAAAATATTCGCTATTTATGTAGTCATTATTTTTAACTGAATCATGTTGTGGCTGTGGCTGTTTGATTCAATGTGTGATTATACAGATCATAACCTTGCGCCCCATGAGATAGTTTCTGTGTCACTTTAAGAAATCTCGAACTGTCAATTGTCTGGTGCAGATGGGGCTCCGTCACCAAGCAGAGCATACACCAGCGAAGAGTACCTAAAAATCACAGAGGAGCAGCTAAAAGCAGCTGCTGCCCAAAATCAGTGTCCGACATCTACTCCAGTGGAAAGTCAACTTGAACCTCAAACTCCATCTCAAGGTTAGTCGTCCTTAAATCAATCCCTCTCGCTCTCTTCCTCCCTCTGTCTTTGATGATCTCATTTGATGATTTGTATGCATACATTTGGTAACAGCTACCGTTGAAGAAACTGCTGCTAGAACTCCTCCGACTCAACAACCTCAAAGTGAGGCATAAGACCTAGCACATTAAAAATGGATAGCAGGATCCCTGCCCATTTTTGCGAGTGCTAAAATTGAGATATGAAGCCTGACAAGGATGAATGAAGCTGAGAAATCCCAATTATATTGTTCTTTCACAATTTTTGTCAATGACACTAGAGAAGTCCTTAGAATTTCTGTATAATTAAGAGTACAAACATGGCAACCTCAGGATGTCTGTGATCTCATCAGAGTATGATTTTGACCAATACTGATGCCGATATGCCACATATTTTTAGATAATGACATTTTGGTCTTTCATTTCTGGTTTTACCAATGTTCTTCAACTTCAAATTTGATGATAAAGCTAAATCACGATGCACGCACAAGAACAGCGCATTCTTTCCATTTGTATAAGAGGGAAAAAGAATTACAAGAGCAAAAACTTCAAATACTGAACATTTTGTTACAACAAATTCATGTGTCTGTGAGACTCGAAATCTATAAAGTCTCCATTTGCTTGTCCACTGTACCCATACATATCAAAAACCTTATCATCTGACGGCAAATTGTTGCCCTCTCGCCCTTTAAACCCCTCCAATTGTGAAGCCCAAGGAGCTGGCGTTGAGGGATTGGAACTTGAAGCCTCTTGGTTAATACATAGAGCAGTTGGATTTTGTGGTGAATTTCCAGCCGGCCTTCTGTTGGAGGAATTTGCCGTGGTCAGAGAAATGGATGCTGAATTCTGCTGCTGCAGTTGCTGCTGGTTTTTCATTGGCGATTTGGGCCGAAGGGCCTCTATGTCGGGGGTTGTCACAACAAGATGAGGTGCCTCTGGAGGTGGATTTCGTCCACCCCCTCCTTGCCAAACTTTTCCGTCCTTGTCAGCAAAGTTCCTGAGATAGGCCTGGACATCACCCGTATTCATTTAGCAGCGGATAAATCAAGAAACCAATTTTATGTTTGAAAAAAGGGAACAAGATTGATGCAGTGATATAATTAAAAGCTTCTAAACCTACTTTCTGGGCATGTATGGACAAATGATTAGTTGATTAAACAGTGAGCACCAAGAGAAGTCAATCCCAATGAATAACTCATGATTTGACAATAGCGTGTTGGGTTTGATGTCATTTATCAGCCTGTTTCTCTGCCATTTTGCTGCTTCCTTCTCAAAAGAATTCATTTCTATTTTAAAAAATAGAAACAAAAACCACCATTTTCATCCCAATTATCCTCTAATCACTAGGAGTTTTTCAGTTATCATATTCAAATCCACTGAACTCAATGGTTAAGCCTAAATGATCAGCCACTTGCATAAACAGAGGAGCTGGTGCACTCAACGACTGTGGTTCTGTACTTTCAGTTATAAAAAGAATTTGAGCTAAGTTCTTTTACCTCGGCATTGAAATTTGATGAGGATAGTCCTTTTCCAGCAGTCAGCCAACCAGACCGAATATTGTGGTCTTCACCAAAGAGTTCAAGCCTCCTGCGGCCAAGGGCAAAGTGCTCAATAATCCTGTACATATCCTCAGGCTTTTGAGTCGAACCTGCAATTCCAATGGCATCATATAGCATAATCAGCGCTCATTTCATTGATCCAGATGCAAATGAAACAGTATCATAGGGCAGTTTTGGAACTGAGCATAATGTATGATAATATCTTTTTTTTCTCCCTTATTTCTCATTTTGTTGATTGTACAAGGATAAGATTCTGCTTTATATGTGTTTACAGCTAAAGCAAAATTTTGCTACACAGATGATTCTGTCACAATTTATGCATGCCATTACTATTTTGACAAAACCCGCTTAATCTCTAAAACATATCAGAAATAACAAGAGAAACATATTCATCATGAACAGGTATAAACAGCTGCTAAAAATGATGAGTTATTTTGCTTATAAAAAAAAATTGAAACAGCTTGTGTTTTGTTTTCAAAAACACTAACAATAAACGTCTAATCTCGTTTTAAACACATTCACAAGAGCAAACTCTATCTCCCGTCCAGCTCACAACACATCATGACACCTGACTACAGAAACATTGAGGTAAAAACTCACACCACTGCAAACCGAGGGTTATTGATACAGTTACTAACCGTATGGGGGTTCCTCAGCTATTATAACATCGGTATCAATGTTGGCGTGTATTATATGGCCATCAGTGCTGCGACGAACGGTGCCTTTTATTCCCATCAAGCAATGTTCCTTCATTGTATTGGGAAAAATATTTACAAATCATTTAATCAAAATCAAATCAATTTATTAATTTTTTTTTTTTTTTTTTTTTTTTTTTTTTTTTTGGGGGGACAGGTAACGAGATGAAGATGGGACATTCAAAATAGAAAAATTACACCAACCTTTGAGTGCTGAAACAAAGTATGAGCATCATGCCGTAAACCTGGAGTCGCATTAGTTTTGTTCGTCTTCACCCAACATATATCTTCGCACCTACGAAATCCCCACTGCAGGATCACATTGATTAGATGTAGATAAGCACAATTTGTTTATGCAAACATATTATCCAAGATCAAATTACAGAAATAAAGGTAACCAAAAGTTGTGTTTATAATCTAATCCAGAGGTCCTGGTTAAACACCTTTTTTAGACATTGACGGCCCTGCTCAAGACCCATGCCATCGCCCACCCAAAGGAAAATGAAAGAAGGCGTGTCTGCTATTGCCTGTGACAAAAGTTCAATCATTGAGCGAAAGGTAAGAGGAAGCATGTAAAGACAAGAACTATACAGCATATGAATTATGTCTAATACAATAAGTACATAAAAATGCATTTTATGTTTAGTGATACAAGACTACTATTATTATCATACGAAACATCTATTAATATAACTGCTTTATTGTTTGCCACTATGAAGTTGAGAGATGAAAAGTAACTTAGCAGCAAGTTTTACATAAGCTGACATATATGGATGCCCATATCTAGTCTTCTTTTTTAAAGGAGAAAACAATTATTTGCATCCAGATTACCTCAATCTTAAGATTCATTATTTCTTCAAACGTCCAGTACTCCGTATGGTCAGCAACACCAGGAGCACGATGAACATATTCCTCCCAAGGTGGATCCACAAGAATGACATCAAACTTGGTTCCAAAGAACTCTGGGGATAGCTCAAACTCTTTCAGGTCACATTTGTAATACATGGGATGTGAAGCAGCTTTAGCCACAATCTCATCCTTTTTCTGTATAAGCTCCCTAAGCTTGGGGTAGTCCTCCACAACATTTGTAAGCTCTAGCTCCCTGATGAAATTCTGGGGTCGCATACCAGTATCAACAAAATTTTGAGAGTAATCATTCTGCTCTCCTCTAGAAGGAGCTTTACCAGGAGGCCCACTACTTTTATGAGGAACCCAGCCACCTGGATTTTTATCACCCAGAGTTCCTCTTCCCATTGGTCCAGCTGCATTAAAAGCAGGGCCGGATATGCTTGGAGGAACTCCTCTTCCATGGCCAGATTGGTTAAAAAACATGGCAGCGTTTGTCGGAGTCCCCATATTAGGAGGAAATCTCGGACCTGACGATCCAGGAGAGACCGAGGAGAGACCAGGTGGGACAGCTAACATATTCATGTCAACTCCCCGAGCACCAGGCCACACGGGAGGAGGAAATGGTGGAATGAAGACACCAGGGTTCATTGGTGGACCTGGAGCAGGTGACATGCTAGGTGTAAGTGGCTGCATGGGTCCAGGTGGAGGCATTCCAAGAGGTCCAAATGGCGATCCCATTATTGGAAGTGGGATTCCTACCTGTTGGCTGTCTCTTCCAGTAAGCCTACCCCTTCCTCCTCTGCCAACTCTACCCCCTTTTACTCCTTGTGGAGCATTCCTATTAAAAGGTCCTGGCTCCGAATTTCCATATGGAGGCTGTGAACCACCACCAGAACTTTGGCCACCAGCACCACGCCCAGGCATAGAACCTTTCTGTCCTCTTCCCTTCCCTCCATGGGAATCAAAGTCCTCCCTCCAAGAATTCTGATCTCGCAAGGAGGTAATATCATCTGCATATCTTTCCTTTGAATCTTCCCTTGGCAGTCCAGATCCATGCATATCACTCCTTCGTGTCCTGTCATCCTGCATATATGCCCACTCTTCATCACTTGGTGCTGATTTCCCATCAGATTGCTGACCTACTTCAGTTCTCCTAGCAAAGTTGGATGCTGATTCTGCTCTTCCATAATCTATAGGCTTAGTTTGGATCTCGATCACATCATAATTTTCATTTGAAATTCCAAAATTTGATGAGGTTTTCACAGCTTCGCCTCGGCTTCCATCTTTCCTATTACCAGACCGACCGTGTGGCCTTTCATTATCGGCCCTCTCACGACCGTGCCTTGGCAGCTCCCACTCCCTACCATGATCATAAATGATATCCCCATTCTTGGAATCTTTTTCATTACTGCTAGGTTGCCTTCTTTTCCAGTTCTCTTTGGAACCTTCCCGATCCCTATTCCTGTCACTCCAGCTATCATCTCTGCCTTTAGGTCGATCATCCCTATAACCATCTTTTTCCAGTTCCTTCCGCTTGAGATTAAAATTTCTGTCATAATCCATCTCAAGGTATTCTGAATCCTGATAACGCCTCCCACTCCTCTCAGGTGTCCTCGACCTGGTGGTACTTCCTACTTCTCTAGCACCCTTCTCTTTCATCCCCACATTTGATTCTTCATCAGCATTCAAAGACCTCTCCCTGCTTTCAGCCACATCCCGACCAGTGGGAGTTTTCTGCTGTCTATGCTTTTCAGTTTTCTCCCTGCCTGATCTGTCTTCACGAGAGGCAGGACTAGCCCTATTATCTTCTTCAAGTGTTTCTGGCCTACTTTTACCCTTACTCTTCTCCCCATCAGCTTTTCTCTCTTCTCTGTTGTTAGATTTGGTACCCCTGTCACTGTTTGAATCTAAACCCTTGATTTTACTCTCGCTGGGTTTCTCATACTTAGGATCAGAAGGCTTATTGCTTCTTGAATCGGATCTTTCGTGATGACTTTCTTCTGCTTTCCTTCCACCATCTGATTCATCCCATCTTCTTCTCGAGTTCCTCACCTGTTCAGAAGATCCATGAGTCTTCTCTCGGCTGCTTTCCTTCTTTTCTGAGTGCCTGGAATCTCTTTCCAGTACCTTTTCAAGCTCTCCATCATGGGACCTTTCTTCTTTGCTCTTACTTTTACTCTGAGAATTCTCATGCTGTGTTAGCTTTGAGCTCATTTTCCTTCTATCATTTTCTTCCCCTCGAATTGGTCCTCTACCCCCCAATTTATCTCCACCATCTTGCTTGTTCTCTAATTCCCCATCCTGATACCAACTGCTTAACTTTTCCAAACTGCTCTCTTCTTGTTTTTTCTTCATCTGCTTAGAGCGTGACTCTTTTCTTGAGTCATAATCGTCTTCATCACTATCTGCATTGCTAGAGCCACCAGATCTTTTTCGGCTCTCACTTCTGTCCCCATAATTTCTTCTTCTGCCACTGCTATCTTGTGCTCCTGTGTCTTCTCCATTACCAGATTTTCTTGATCTGCTCGACCTGTGCTTCCTCTTATCACTGCCCTCCCACTCTTCATCTTCTCCGGCCCTATCACTCTTCAAATTTGAGCTATCCTCTACTTCTCGTTTCACATGACTCCGACTACGTTCAGGAGAGTCCATCCAAATCCTAAGGCCTTCAAATTAAAAACACATAATAGTTATTATCATTTCTGATTTACTTGATGTGCTTATTACATCCGGAGCAGATACTGGAAAGCCTATGACCAAATGATCCTGGATCCAGATTTAAAAGAGAATAACAAGAGAAGTCAATGAATCCAAAAACAACAAAAATGAACAGAGTTTCGGATGAACAACTATAACCCTTAGCCCAATTCAAGTAGCTTGACCAGCATTTAAACTGAAATACCATCAAGCCAATTCAAGTTTTTTTGGGTAATAACAAAGTAATTAAAAGCAAGTTTAAAGAAAGACCTCAGAGAAGAACAGAAAACCCAATTCATTTTAGCATAAACACAGTATGAACCATGAATCCAACTTGAAAAGCTTCTAATTCCAAGTGTTTAGCATAATACAACAACACGACGAAGATAAAATTGCAAGCTAAGAACATAAATTCAAAGGCAACCAATCCACCTAAAACCCTAAAGACCCTGGGGTTTGACGCTGACATTGTAATCCAATACCATATATGCCCGAATATCACATATGGAAGAAACTAGGAAATCAGAATATCAAATTTCCAAATTCCCTTAAAGCTGAATCTGACTTACCCGAGGAAAAGTCCGCCCACCTTTGAGTCTCAACTGCGATTGCAAATTTGAAAGCGTATAAAGGCTCTCAGACGTATGCTTATATTACTACAAAGCAAAGCCCTAAACTCAAATTGTCGGGTTTGGGACGAAGGCAATGACACGCTGGTGGTGGTGATGTAGTGTGAGTGTGCGATGCGGAAAGAGACTCTGGATTCTTCTGTAAGCCCTAAACTCCGGTTCGACCGCTACTTTACCACCCAATCGCCTACTGTCAAATGTTAGTGTTAATTAGAGAGACTTGTCGCAATCTATAATCTAATAATAATTCACTATTTATTTTATTATAATTAAAATTTTAAACTTTTTCCCATTTAATTTAATTTTCGTCTTATGTTTGTAATATATTTAATTGGTACATGTAATTTTTTTTTTTTGGTGTGGTCATATTGGTACATGTAATATTACTATTACCTTTTTCAATAAAAAAAATTATTGTTATTACATGTACAATCCAATAGTATAGTAGCTGCCTTTAATACTTTACGGGTAGGCAACTACCCCTTTGGTGGGACTTCAAATATTTTCATTTTTGTATTTTGATTTTTTATAATTTGTAAATATGGGTAGGAATTGTCTACCTACCCCTTATGTTTGTAATAGCAAATGACCCACTGGTGTAGTGGTTTGGAGTAAGGCCTAAAATATCGATGATTTTGGAATATCGGTAGTTCAAAAACATGGAATTTTTTTTATAGAAATATCGGGATATTATCAATATCGATAAAAATTAAATAAAAACTACGAAAATTGTATGAAAAACTTGAAATTTTTTTTTTTTGAAACTTTGGAAGATATTTATTTACCCAATTATCTATTACTTTATCACAAAAAATTGGAAATAAATGCATTGCGTGATGGGTTTAACATTTGAGTTGATTATATAACAAGCTAACAAATACTGTCAGTGTAGAAATATGTAGTAATTAATGAAAGAAGATTAAACACACCATAATCATTTATTTATAATGATTTTCTACAATATTTTACACTTTATACATTGCATGATGAGATACATGAGTGACTTAGTATCACATCAAGATCTTATAAGGTTCAAATTTGAGTTATTTACACTAACACCTCCTGAAGTGTTCGGTTTTTTTTACAAAACTCCTTGAGGTTTTAGATCACAAAAACACCCCTTGATGTTTGAAATTGTTTTCACAACTCATTTTCATTTATTTTTCATCTAAAGATTGATGATTTTATACCAAAAAAATTCTCCAAATGACAAAGTTTGTCTTTAAGATTATATCGTATATACTTCATTGAGTTTAATTTTGTCATTTGCATAAGTTTTTTTTTTCAATGAAATCATCAATTTATGGACAAGCAATCAACGAAAAGGGGTTTTGTGAAAACAAATTGAAACCTCAGGGGATATTTGTGTGATTTTTGAAACATAAGGAGGTTTTGTGAAAACACAAGAAATCTCATGGGTGTTAATGTAAATAACTCTTCAATTTTTTAATTATCTTAATCATCTCGATATTATCCATATTATAGCGATATTTTGGCCAAATATTGATGAAGTATAAGAGAAATTATCGACATCAATATTTTCCGATATTATCGATATTTATACGATATGTGTATAGATACGTTCCAAAATATCCTTGATCTGAAAAAACGATAATAAACTTGATATTTCGTCAATATTATTGATATTTTGGACTATGGTTTGGAGTAATTGCTCTTCCATGCAAGGTTCTGAGTTCGAGTCCTAACATCCGTGTTGTGTTATCACTCAATAAAAAAGGTTTTTTTTTAAAAAAAAAAAGAAAAGAAAAAAAGATAGCATTATATACATTAGAGAGAGCTCGAGCATTAAATACATTCGGGATAGCTCTCATTAATAGAATACAAGACATTGTTTCTGGAGTTAAAAGAGCAACAAACTTAAAAGGATGACATTAACTTGAGTCGCACATTGGAAAAGAAGAGAAAGCATCTACTCCTTAGTAGGCTTATGGTTAAGGTTTGAGGCTTGAGAAAGGTTTTGAAACAAGTTTGGAAACTAGGGTTTTTGGTTTGAGACTTGGATTTACACAAACTAATTTTGTTTTGTTTTGTTTTTTTATTTATTTTAAAAGTCCACAAAATAGTTAATTACTATTTTGATTGTGATTTTTTTTTTGGTTTAGTCTCGTGGCTATACTATTTCTTTTAAATAAAATTTAAAAAACGGAGGCTATACTATTTCTTTAAAAAAAAATTTAAAAACCCGGGTATAGCCCGGCTGTACTATTTATTTCATTTTTTAAATAACAAAGACCGAGTATAGACGCTCGGCTATACTATATCTATAAAAAAACATTATAAAAACAGAGTATAGCCGTTTGGCTATAGTATTTATTTTATTAAAAAAAAAGGAGCAAAGTAAAGCCGCCCGGTTATACTAATTTTTTTTAAAAAAGGGAAAAACTTAGTATAGCCCGGCTGTACTATTTCTTTGAAATTTGTTTTAAGAAAAAACCGAGTATAGACAAACGGCTATGCTATTTCTTTAAAAATAAATTAGAAAAACCGAGTATAGAGCTCATAGTCAATGGAGTGTACTGTTATTATGAATAGAACAATCAACCTTCAAACCGTGAACATATTCTCAGTTTGGCTACATTCTGCAATATATCATCACTTTTTGTTACTAACAAATGACTTCCAATGGATGAAGAAATATGACTTCTGCTTGTTCTTTTGAGCTCAACATTTCATCCTCATCTTAAACTAAAATGCAACCTTTCAGGTTTGTAGAGAATGGGAAGCAACTGCCGTCAAAGTAAATAAGGATGTGAAGTTAGCACTTATTCGCATAGGTGTTGTGCTTGGCAAAGATGGCGGTGCTTTAGGTAAGAATACAGGCTTAGAATGTTCGGATATTCTTGGAACTTACCTGCTCATCTGGCAATGAAGCTGGACCACTAGGTAGCAGTTTATAGTCTTCTCCAGAACCATCTGCAACTAAGGAGATGCGCACTTTAGAGTTTTCCTTTAGTTGATATTAGTATACTCTAAACTTGGTCTATATATAAGAATGTTCGCTTGGATAAGCACTCACCGCCAGGTTTGGACTCCGATTCCAACTGCTTTTCTGATTCCTGAAAGTCATGTGAAACCTCAAATTCCTTGTTATTAGATTGGTAACAGACCATATTCATTGATAATTCAGGAAATAGTTAAGTGAAAACCTTTCCTTCTTCATCATTGTCTCTTTGTTCCATGTTTCTATGCCCTTCATTAAAGCTTTTGCTGCCGTACCTGCCAGAACTCAGAAGAATATCTAATAAGATTATTGGGAGTATTCAAAGTAAATAAGGAATTTGTGTTCAAAATGTTATTACCTAAGAAGAGAATGATAAGTAGAACTGTGGCCATCCAGTTGGCGAACATGACGTTGAAGGCAACTCCTATGCTGATGCCTAGCATGAGCATTGGCTGAAAGAGCAATGCCAGATCATAATCTATAAAGGGGCATGTCCAGTGTTGGGTGCCTAAGTCTCAAATTGAAGTATACTGTTGAACCTGCAGCACCCATTATCATACCTGCATGACCAATAGGATGGCATACAGTTCTTCAATTCTGTCTAAATTGAATACATTAAGATTAAATTAACAAGTTAAAAGAAGAGATTAAAAGGAAAAGTAGTGATTACTGACACTTAGAAATGGCAGTGGAAGACTTGGGATCAAAACCAATGATCAAGGCAAGCATTGCCTCCACCCCCAACACCTCCCACACTACCCAATGCTGCACCAAAGAATCCAACTGTTGAGCCAACTACAATTTTCCAACCAAACTTGATCTCCTGAACAACCAAAATACATATGTCAAAGTCAAAATACCACAACAGTAAACATGAAAGGAAGAATCATAAAATCTTATCGGAACAAGTCAAAATACCCTAAAATTAGACGTAAAAGTTATATCCCCCTTATGCTCTCTCTCTCTCTCTCTCTCTCTCTCTCTCTATATATATATGTGTATATATATATATATATATGCGTGTGTGTGTTCTTGCTGGAGATACATTAACTACAGTGTTTAAGAGAGATCAAACTCACTGGTGGAGCAAGTTTGAGTATATGTCTGCACAAAGTTCAGATACAGTTAAAATCATAGTGCTAATAAACCAAAAGGTTGTAGGAACAATGTAAGCATCATCTCTTTCATTTCCAATTCTCGGAAATCTTCTTTAAAAGTTAAATCCTTGAACACACTGTCACTCATATCTGAATACATGGCCTAGGCGGGCGCTAGGCAGGCTAGGCGGGGGCTAGGCGGGCGCTAGGCGGCCTAGGCGGGCGCTAGGCGGTGCTAGGCGGGCGCTGGGGCCTAGAAGAAAGAAAAGGCCATTTTGGAACTCCAAGTTCTGGGACAAGATGACGATGGTGGTATGAGGCGAGAGAGAGAGAGAGAGAGAGACGACGATGAGATTGAAGAAGAAGAGAGGTTGCGTGTTATGTTTAGGGTTTAGAAAAGGGCCTGGGCGAGAGAGAAGGGCCTGGGCTTCATAAAATACAACATTAAATGGATTTTGCAGTATGAAATCACTAAAGTAACCACTAATAAGTAACAAATAACAAATAAATTGTGGTCGAAATGTTATTCCCTAAGAAGAGAATAATAAGTAGAACTGTGACCATCCACTCGGTGAACAAGACGTTGAAGGCAACTCCTATGCCGATGCCCAGCATGAGAATTGGCTGAAAGAGAAATGCCAGATCATAATATGTAAGGGGCATGTCCAGTGTTGGGTGCCTATGTCTCAAATTGAAGTATACAGTTAAAACTGAAGCACCCATTATCATACCTGCATGACCAATAGGATGGCATATAGTTCTTTAATTCTGTCTAAACTGAATACATTAAGATTAAGTTAACAAGTTAAAAGAAAAGATTAATACTGATTACTAACACTTGGAAATGGCAGTGGAAGACTTGGGATCAAAACCAATGATCAAGGAATTTTGAATCCAAACCTCTTCAGTGATTTTTCCTTGCCAAGAATTTCTTGACAAGATTTTCTGACTGACAAAAAGAATAGACTGAATTTTGTCTTGCGTTGAACTATACCTACGGAGGAATTCCCAATTCAAGAAAAAGGGGTCCCAAGATGAAACCGCCTCCTGGCCCAAGTAGGCTACCCACCATACCAGCTATTATCCCACAGCTGCAGTAAGGAAAAATCTGATGCAACTTCCAGTTTGTGATTTCCTTTCCTTTGGATGCAATCACCCTGGTGCCTTTGCATAAGAATTTGGCTTCAAAGAGCGTAACGGAGACTGCAATTGGTACCTGCGAAATGATAATATTTATGTTCAACTGTAGATCATTCTTTTTTTGTATGCTTGAGTGTATACAGTTATGTGTTTCTATAGTGTCCGTGAAAGAAATCTTACTACTCTGGTTGTTAACCTTACCTGCAAGGAGTTCAGGACCCAATAATTCAGTAACAAAAGTTAAAATCATGGTGCTTTAGAAGCAAATGCAATCATGGTGCTTTAGAAGCAAATGCAGAGGTATTAGAAAGATGGAACTTGATTGCATTGCTAGTGATGATTGTATCCTTTGGAGAGCATTTTAAGGTCCGGTATGCGAATAGATGAGTTCCTAGAAAAGCTTCTTTAGTTGTACAGAACTAGAGAGTAAAATAACTTCCCTTACCAATCTGAACAATAAGAGAAGCCACCCAGACATACACAAGCATCAATAACTCCTTTCAATAAACGTGGTCGTCGTTGTGTGATATAGCTAGGCACCTGGATAGAGTTGTTCATCATATCAATAAAACAAAAACTGAAACCACTTAAAAATTGCAGATAACAAGGAAGTTGCAAAAGAATACAGGCTTAGAATGTTATGATATTCTTGGAACTTACCTGCTCATCTGGCAATGAAACTAGACCACTAGGTAGCAGTTTATAGTCTTCTCCAGAACCATCTAGAGATGCGCACTTTAGAGTTTTCTTTTAGTTGATATTAGTATACTCTAAACTTGGTCTACATAAAAGAATGTTTGCTCTTGAAGACCCAGTTGAGCTAGTGCTTTCCTTTGGCAGAGGGACTAGCCTTTTTCAACTCTTTAAGCTCTGTTCTGATCTGGGTTTTTGCTAAAATGGAGGTGGTTCTTGTCGGGTTGCTCAGAACAGCTTGGATTGCTGCGATACTGCCTATACTCATAGCTTCTGTACCTTCTTCTAGGTTGAGCTCATTTCATGGAGCTATTTTGGAATTTACCAAGAGAGGAAAGATCATGAAATCTTCTTCTCAGATTAGTGATTGATTGTGATTGGTTTTTTTGGTTTAGTCTCGCGGCTATACTATTTCTTTTGTAAAAAAATTAGAAAACCCTGGTATAGCCGGTCGGCTATACTATTTCTTTTCAAATAAAATTTAAAATACCGAGTTTAACCGCGCAGCTATACCTTTTATATACGTATTGATCTGTTTGGGTTAATGAAATTATGACTTTTCCCTTTAAAAAATTAAATATATTAGAAAAGAAACAATACATGATTTTTGCACCGTTTAGGTGAACTCCGCAAAATTAGCTCCAACGGCCTTGCCGCCTTCTGTCTGCCTCTCTTGCCTCCAAATTGAGCCAGATCATTAACACTGAAGATGATCACCACCCTATCAGAATCACAGACTTGCGCGCTTACCATGGGAATCAAAATTTGTCCTTTCACTTTTCACAATAGGAACCTTTTAGGCTTCTGCTTCCCAGTTCAACTTGCTGCCCCTATCCAAATGAACTCTTAACAAAGCTTCTTGGTCAATTTGTTATCATCGCTGCTCATGACTGGAAATTCAGTTGAAAAAGTGTGGAGATTCCAGAACCTGTTGCAAGTCAAAGTGGCCTCTTTCTGGGAGTGTAGGAAAAGTCAATGCTACCATATAAGAAGAAAGAATTTAAGAGTTTATATGAATAACTAGCAAGTGATTTTATGATTCAACTCAACTATTTCAATTAAATTAAATTATTACATTATGTTTAGTTAACTCATACACACAAGTCTTGATTTATTAAATTAGACAACAATTTAACACATCCTGTCTTATAAATCTCATCATTACGAGAGACTTATAAAATCAATCCAAGCCGAGCTACCAAATGAGAAATACAACAGTGAAGTGATACAGTCTACAGACATACTTGGTACAACACTGGAAAAAATACTGACCACATAAACTTAAGATGAGATTCACACACCAAACATCCATCCAAAATATGAAAATAACATAGCCCATCATTAATTCCCAAGTCCAAATCACAACCCTTTAACATTTATAAATGCTACTGCAAGCAAGTCTGCACTGCATCTGGAGATCCAATCCAGGTTAAAGAAACAAACCCAAAAACAGAGCATATGCTTGCTACAATTGGTTCGCATGCGACTCCAGTGATTATTATTATTAAGCATGCCTCAACTAGACTCACACGCCAAACCAATTGCATTAGCTCCATCAATCTCCATCTTCCACCTTAAACTTAACTAGTTGCCAATCGGAACAAAGCTCTCGTCTTTCTCCAGCTTCTCCATAGTCGGAGCCTCCAAGCTAATCTCCACATCAATGCTTCTCCCACCGCTCTTCCCCTGGTACAAATACACCATCCCATCAAACCTATTGTTCGACCCGCTTCTCACCCCCTCCGGTTTTCCCCACCCGAAATCCACCTCATAAACCCGAAACCTCGGTGAGCTCCCCACTGCCACGCAGTTCACTCCCGCGTCCTTGAACTCAAAAATCTTCGGCGAGCTCTCCCACTCCTTGTTGCGCTCGTCAATGGCTTTCGAGTTGTGCGCTTCGATCGCCTTCTGGATCATCGAAGCTCCGAACTCCGGCGGGTTCGCCGACAGCAACCCGGCTGCCGTCACAGTGAAGACCGCCTGAATTAGGTTACCGAAGTAGGTATCCGGCATGGGCGGGTCGACCCGTTTTCGGCAGTCCGCGAAGACGGTGAAGACAGTGTAGTCTTCGGGTTTCAGGTGGCGCGCCTTGGTGACGTGGCGCCAGATGTGGACGGAGAGGGATTGGAATGTGGAGAATGGTTTTGAGCCGTCCGATGGTGCGTTTGCGTTGATTGTTGACTTGATCTTGTCGATGGCTGCTTCCGAAAACTTGAACACTCTCTCTCTTAGGTTCGGGTCCGCTTTGGCGTTGGACGACGCGTCGCCTACGGATGGAGGCGGAGAAAGATCGAGCTTCACGCGAGTGTTTCGGGCTTGGGTGCGGTCCAGGAAGGGTTGGGCTGAAATGGATTTGGACCCATTGCAGACCTCCGCCCACGAGCTCATGAAGTGCCACGTGGAGGTACCGTCTAGGATCGCATGGTTGAAGGCGCACCCTATTGCCAATCCATCCTTCAGCTTGGTTAACTGCGTGGCGTGACCCCAAATCCAAATCAACGGTTAAAAGGGTTCAAATGACGAAAAGGCAAGTGATCCATGGTTCATAATAAACAGTAAAAAATAAAAAAGGTATCAAACATCATTGATTATTCAAGATAGGAAATCGAACATATACATGAGTTTAGATCTTTGAAAAATAGATATGTGAGTTAGGTCAGTTTTGTTCTTCTTTTCGAATTCAAGTTCGAGTGTCGCTTGTACAGTGAGAGAAAAAAAAAACAAAAAATCTCACAAAAATAGGAATCTTCAATCATGCATGAAAAAGCTTCACAGACGCACACGCACCTACCCAGAACGTCTGCAAAATGGACATGTAAAAATGTTTCTTGGGTCCCATCCACTTTAGACTTTACTACTTTAATTAGATTTTGTTGAGCTAAAGATTAATTAGATGCTGTGATTAAGCACGTCATTAATCCATTGATTATTTATTGAAGTTAATCAGAGTAGATAGCTAGTATTAATTAATGAGTGATGAATTTTACCTGCAGTGCCAGCAAAGGCCTGTGAATGCCCTCCAAGTTCAAGACCCCATTGTAAGGTATGAAGTCCTTCAAAGCACTGGTGCCTTCCTCAACTGCCAGATCGGCTATGCTGATCTCTTCTGATGCAGCCTCCACAACCTCCACACCCTCCATCTCATCACCATACTCAACCCTAAAGACTCCCTCCTCATCTTTCCCAAGCTTCCCAGCCAGCTGATAAAACTCCACCAGAACCACCTCCAAACCCTCCTTCAGCTTCTTCACCATTTCCTCAAACTCAGCCCCCTTGTAAAACAGTAACTTCTGGTTGTAGTAAAAAGCCAGGTAGGGGAGGTCAAATGTGACCAGCTGGCATTCTTTCTTACCTATCTTTTTGTTGGGCTTCACATGGGTTTTGTTAGTGACTTTCACCTTCAATATTTCCTCCTCCTTCCCCAACTCAGCTGCCATGATTAATGATGTTGATGTTGATGTTGATCAACCAGGGAGCTGGCTATGAAGTTTGAAGAGGAAAGTGTGTGGGTTGATGAAAGAGGGTAGAAGATGTTACTTATAAACAAGTTGCTGGTGTAGTTGAGGTTGCAATTATGGGCTTCACGGTAGAGGTTGGGACCCATAAATGCTTCCCCTTCACTAGGTTTAGGTGTGGAAATAAATTTTCATGCAAGAAATAACACTTTTTGCTATTCTTATTATAGGTTAGTATTTTTTCTAGGTGTGAATTATATATATATGCCGGGCAGGGCTTGGCAGTGGAGGGTTGGGTTGTGTATGTCAAGGCGTTAATATCAAAGATAAATTATTATACCTCCAACTATTTGTGTGTTCTGGTTGCATGTATATACGCTATTATGTTATAAATTTTTACTGAAAATTATGTTAAATTTTTATAATAATTTATTATCATTAAAAATAAAATATAAAGCTGTAAATTAAAGAATAAATTATATTTTTCGAGCTTCATATTCCAAATCAAGTGTAGTTTCTATATATTTGAATAAACTATACAAAATCTATGTGATTTTTTAAATTATCACAATAAGTAAAATGTAAAATTGAAAAGAACAACGTTGTGGTGGGATAAAGACAATTATGTACTACAAACGAAGTTTTGTTTTTTGCTTTACCTAAATTTTTTTTTTGCTTTTTAGAAAATAAAAATATTTATTGAGTCGAGGGATTAACAGTAAAGAAATTCGTAACAAATTAATTCCCACCCAACACAAGTCTGTTAAAGAATATAAGTTCCACATTGAAAATTTGATTAAATAAAATACAAGATATAATGAATAATTATACTACTAATATCACCGAGGCCTTTTATGATAAAATATAATACATACTAAGCTTTGTATGTGGTTAAGTTATAGACAATATTAGTGTTATTAGTTATGGATCGCTAATTCGTCTATTTGAATTTAATAAAGTCATAATGATACACGAAAAAAGAAAAAATGCTGTCAAAATTAGTTGGACCAATTTATGAAAGGGCCACAATATTGACCTCTTATACCTAGCTCTTCTAAAATCTTACTAGCCTTCAATTTAATGGGGATGCCCTCAACCACGGAGGGCTCTGGGACCAATCTAAAGTCATATAAAACACTTTAACGAGTCTTTCATAAATTTGTTGCGATGGTTGAGATCTAAGAATGACCATTAATTTGCAACTCCTTTACAGGTACAGGGGTGAGGTTAAAGTTAGCTTTTTGAAAGAAATTTGGGTCTCTTACATCAGAAATGACACTATGATATCAAATCAATCATGTATTGTTACATCAAATATGACTCCATAGGGCTGCAATTGCCGTTGTATTAAAAAATTTGGAGAATGCTAGTCATTTTCTCTCTGGCAATCTTTTTGAAATTTTTTCCTTTTTTCTAATGATATGTGTCATTTTTGTTATACTTAAAACAATATAATTAATGTACGAGGCAACTAATTTTTTGTTTTTCAAATTTACATTTAGCCTTACATGTATTGACACTTGACATTGTTAAGTCCAAATTAAAAACAAAAACATAAACAAAACATAAAACGAAAAACAAACAACCCAGGAAGTAGACGCAACCCCTCCCCATCCACCATCCACCCCAACCCGATGGCGACCTCCCTTTCCTCGCTGCCACTCAAAAAGAGCCAAAACTTGTATAAAAGCTTTAATTTTTATCAAGGGTAGATATGAAAATATAATTAATATTTTTTAATGTAATTAATGACAAAGAAATAACACGTATCATCAAGAGAATGGAGAAAGTCCAAAAGAGAAGGTTATAGAAAAGGTTGCTAGCATTCCCCAACAAATTTTAAGGCATCCAAGGGAAGTGGGTAATTCATAAATTCTCATAAACATGATTAAATAGCCCATATGAACTACAATTATATCTATCATAAGGTCGGCAAAGAATCCCAGTCTGGTATATAGCGAGGCGTACTTCTATAGCTATATTTCTCCATAAATGATTGAGTTATTGTCACATTGTTAATTAACGAATTCTGAGCCTCTGTATTTAGGCTTCCCGCATTTCGACTAATAAATCACTCAAACAATCTAACCGCTTAAAACATGACAAGTCATATTTTATTTTATTTTTATTTCCAAAACCCATTTAAACACCAACTTAAAGAAGAAGAAACTTGAACCCGCTGCGCTGCACGTCTATGAGTATTGACAGCCTTGGAAGAAATGTGAACGAAAGGTACAGTATTTTGTTTGATTTGAGCAAAAAATGTTGACGTGTTTTTACGACTCCCCATCCCCAAGATAAGTCAAAGCCTTAACTTACCAGCGAATGCTAAATTAATCTATAAACAGATTCAGTATTCTCAGAAGCTATTCCCAACCCAATGACATTGCAAAATATGACAATTCTAGTGCTCGATCAGACCAGAAGAAGCAACCCTAATTAATGACGCTTGCAATTTGCAAACACATGATGGTTTTTTTTAAATCGTTGAGTTGAAAACAAGATCAAAAAGATATTGATGAGGACATGTGCCAGAAATTTGTGTGTACAACAAGTGTTGGTTGGCATTGAATGACCGCCAGCCAGTCCAGCCAGAGCCAGTCCTGTGGTCTAAACCAAGCACCGACACATTTACATGCATATAGCCTCTACGTAGCAAACCCAAATTTGGCCTTTGGTGTGTGCATCGTAAGATTGATTAGGTGAGACTGTGACCCAATAATTTGTCCAAGCAAAGGCCAATAATTTATACATTCAAGCACCCCCCAGCGCGCGGGGGCATTCAAAGCTAAGAAAACTTCATCTTTGTAATTACTTCAAATTTATGGGTCATACTGTGGTATGAACCGGATCCAGAATTTCCTTCACAACTAGATTTCTGGCCCGGTTAATGGTCATGAAACACAAATACAGATGTTCCTCTAGCTCATCAAGCTGCTGCCTAAAGCTACAATCATTTTTCTTCAGCTGGCGGCCCACTTCGCCGCTGGCTTGGCTCCAGTCCTCTCCACGGCCCACCCAAAACGTGACCATGCCGTGCATGTGCTCTATCTCATCATTCAGCCGAGCCACGAGCCGGCTAACAGTCTCTAGATCTCTATTTAGTATGTAAGTCCCCTTGGTGGCTGCATCGAGCTGAGCAGCCATCCTAGCTAGCCTCCTCGCCGAAGCCAAGTCAAGAGAAGCAGCTATAAAAGCCGGCATCGCCACAACTAGTGCAAGAGCATGCGTGACTACAATTACACTTAACGAAGCCGTTAGCGCCACTAAGAAAATAGCTGAGCCGGCTCTTAATTTGTTTGAGAGCCGAAGCTTGTCTCGAGCCTTGTTGCGACTCGACTCGAGCCGTTTTAGCAAGTTTGAGCACCCAGCTTGAATGGCTTGAATGCGAATCAGGGACAAGGCAGTGGTTAATTTGGTTAGGCGGGTTAGTGTTTCAGGGGTAGACCTGTCATTTAAGGATTGGAGGCTGGTTTTGATGGAACGGTATTTGACACGTGTACGGTCAATGTCTTTTAATAGGAGGCCACATAGGATGGAAGCGTCGGCTGTTTGTGTGAAATAGTCGGATAAAAGTGTGGGGTGGTTCGGGGCCATGGTTAAGATCCGAGCAACCATGGGTTGGTCCGGATCCAAAAGGTGCTCCGCGAAGAGCCGATAGGATGGGAGCCGAGCTGCGGTAGTTGACTCCATTGGCATGCGCTTGTTGGACTTGGTTGAGTCTCCATTGGATAACGCCACGACACGTGTCCAGAAGTCGAGGTATGATTCGGTGCGGAAGGCATTAGCGTATTCTTCTGTTACATCCACACCTGTTGAAGTAGTCGGTCTGGTGGGCCCGGGTTCTGCACCCAAAACAATAAACGAGCCCAACCCAGCCATTACAAGCCCACTTTGCAATTAGATTAACAAACGAGAATGCGAGCATGAAATTTTGGACAAGAAAAAAAATATTATTTTTTTTATAAAGAAAATAAAAATAAATTACCAGTATAGGAAATAAATTTTCGGATGCGTGCACTAATTCTTTTCCCCATTGCAACCTCGTCAACCTGTGAATCTCAGTACTGCAAAGAACGCTTGGAAAGAAAAAAGAAAAAGAAGATCAGAGAATATAATCGATCATACAAAATATAGGAGAATAAGAAAGTGGCATGAAGAATTGAACATGAACCTGTGGGTGTATGGATTGAAAGATGAGAGGATGCTTTGCGTCAGTGGACAGAGAATTAAAGGGTTGTAAAAATGAGAGGGCGTTTATATAGATAGTGAGCCCTAATATTTCATTTTGCTGTTGCTTGTAAGAAACATAGATATGAACTTAAACTCCGTGGCTTGTAGTGCACTCGAAGGCTTTTAAGAATTGTTAGGAAGTTTAGCAAGAGCTTTCGTTCCAATCTTAATTCAACTCAGCCTAGCCAAGTACACGTGGAGAAAAACTTATTTTGTTATTTCCGGCTAATAATACTATGCTGCGTGAAAATGTTATCAATTGTGTCATAGTATTATTAATCGAGAATAGCAAAATAGTATTGTGTTATTCATGTTGCATGAAAGTGTTTCCCGTACATTTGGCACTGGTTCCTTGGGGTTAAAATGTGCGGTTGATATCATTTGAGTATGCCGAAGCGGCAACGTATTACTTTCGTGTCTTTTGGGAAAACAGGAAGAAAAAAGCACAAGTTCCTTGACTTCCACCGCCCGAATATGTTCCTGTCCTAAGAATATTCCAGTTTTATTAGCGTGTTGTTCACATCACACGGAATGCACTTATAATTTATTTTTTCAATAATAAATTATATTAATTCCGCAATTTCTTTATTTTTTGCATTCCTATTTCATAAAAGACTTTTCCTTTTCTGTCTGCGTCATCGCCTACATGGCATATCGCACCTTATCCTGACTCTCAACTTATCCTCTCACGCTTGGCTTATCCTATCACGCATAATAATAACGCGCACAATTTTTTTCCTATTTAATTTCACAATTTAAAATAATTATCATTTTTTCATTAAAAAAAGCATAATTTTATTTTCAAATTTTCTCAATGTAAAAAGAAAAGGACAAATTTCAAAGCCTGGTCCATGTCATGCATGAATGCCACGCTACAATGACCAATAGGATCAAAGTCTCGAACTCTCAAGAAGACGACAGAACATCCTAGAAGTCATCCCCATCGTCGTACCCAATATCATCTTCCACTCTCTCCGCCACGTCATCCTCAATTTTGTCCTCCACGTAATCAAAGCCCTCCGCCAATGCGACTCCACCAAGAACCCCCGCCACCGCGCCCACAGCCAATCCAGTCCCCATCCCACCAAACTTACTCTTCTTCTTCTCCTCCTGTCCATACCCCGCCTGACCAGAACTCCCCTGAGCTGGCTGACCGTACGGCGCTGGAGGAGCATTGTACGCACTGTACGGGTACCCAGAAGGTGGGGCCGCGTAGTAATCGCGCGGAGGCGGCGGTGCAGGTGTGGCGTATGGTGCTCCATACGTCAGCGGCGGTGGGGGTGCGGCGTACGGTGCGCCATACGCCGGCGGCGGAGCAGGATAATCTCGCGACCCCGCTGGTGGGACCCCATAAGGCTGAGCGTAGTACGGCTCCGGCGGACGGTAGCGCGGCTCCCTAATAGTAACCTTAACGTCAACTTTGCCCTGGGGCCTGCCAGAGGGTCGCTTGAGCTGCAGAGTGCGGCTGGCGCGCTCGTCGAAGCCCACGTCATCGACGACTTCGCGGAGTTTGAGCCTGGCAGACCCGATCAGTGGCTTGGTGTCCGGGTCGGATCCGGCGTGCACGACGTCGATGTAGAGCGTGGTGTCGCCGTCGACAGGACCCGGTAGAGGGATGGTGAGCGTCTCGTCCCAGTAAGGTGACGTGTCACCCTCCTCGTCGACCCTGGTGGAGTACTTGTTATTGGGGTCGACCCATACGACGGCGTACGGCTTCACTGGGCCGTTTCGCCAGTTGACGTTCTTGAGGTCGCGGGCGGAGGAGAGCTTGACTTGGACTTCGTGGCCGGACGCCATTAATTGGTCTTTTTGTCTGGTCAATAATGCGTTTTGGGTGTGTGCGATTGTGCTTAAAACGGGTTATTCGTATATAAAGGTCCAAGGGAGGGAATATTTTCTTGTTACAAAAATGCGAAAATACAGTGGTATCCTTGGTAATTGATTTTAGTAAGGGTTAGTGGGAGGGTATTTGAGTACACGGGAAAGTGAGGATAAGTCTAAAGTGAGTATCTGGGGAAGAATTATATTAGGCCGGTTTAGTGGTGTTATTCTATGTTAGCTTAGGCACTAAGCATATATCTGAGGTGGTTTGTGCATTTTGGATGCCGATTAATTAAGGGGCAAAGTTGACTGACAATTACATTTGGTGGTTAATTAATTTGGTTGTCTTAGTTAGGTCCTAGATGCTTCATGCTGCTTCACACACAAATTTAAAGTAAGTAAAGCAGAAACAAGGGATGGGATTCGTTACAAAAGCTTCTGTTTTCCCAACATTATTATGAAGAGACTGTTGCCAACCTAACCCATGCATATAATCGACCGAGCGAGTTCAAAATTTCTGCATACAACTCTGTGCCTGCCGCTAAGGGAAGCTTCTTTTGTTAAAAGCAACCGGGCAGCGCAGGCACAGGATTGTGACACGTTGAGGTTCATTGTCCACCACAAGTTCACAAATGAAAGATGATAAGTCCAGCAATGGGTCCTACCTACCTCAGCTGTTGTTCCTGTTTCCTGCACCAGAAGAAGCTTGTCCAAGTCTTGTGGGGGTTATTAGAATGTTAGCTGGGTCAACAAAGTATTTCTGATGGAGAAATATACGAGAGCGTGCTTGGATTTATTAGCCAATGTTAGAAATATGTAAAGTGACAATACCTTGTGAGGCCCGTTTGGTGTTCAACTTGAATTTAAAATATAAAAAACTTGTCTGGTAGTCTTATTTTTAAAAACTCAAACTCAAGAACAACTAAAAAACACCCTAATTATTAATATATACATATATATCTTTTTCCAATTTTTTTCTAACAACCCACAAGTTCTTAAATTTTTAAGATTTGAAAACAGTTTTCAAGTTGCATACAAATAAGTTTTTGAATATTAAAAATAGACTTAAGAACTCATTGTTTTTAAGAAAAATAACAGTCTTTGAGTTCCTTATTTGAATTGAATACCAAACGTCCCCTAAATTATCTTTCATCATCGGCAAAAAAAGTCACTAGAGAAAATTATGGCAAGAGTGGAATTTGGAAAACTACACTTTGCACAGCCTAACAAAAATTAAATAAAATGTCGAGAAAATGTACATGCCAAAATGTCAGAAGTGGGATTTGAACCCACGCCCTCGTTAGAGGACCAGAACTTGAGTCTGGCGCCTTAGACCACTCGGCCATCCTGACGTTGTTGTTGAATTACACGTACAAAACATATATAACGTGAGACGATGAAATTTGTTAACGCCCTTTCTTTTATGAAACGAGGATAAAATGAAGAGGCTTTTTCAATTTATTTCATCATCATTATTATTTTACTTTTCATGTCACAAGCTTCTCTCTCAAGCTTGGACTTACACACTTTTAAGAAAAATAAAAGGCTGGTCTTTTGGATTTATCAGCCGCAGTGATTCAGTGAAGTTGTTCATCATAGTAGAAGTTTTGGTCAATTACTTGAGTAGAAAGCTAGGGGATATTCGCCATTAAGTATTTAAGTTAAGAATTGGTTACATGCTTCTAATTTCAGTTGTTGGATTGCATCTAAGATATTGCCAACGTATTTAATGAATACAATCCAACGGCCAATATTATAAGCATGTAACGAATACTTAACATAAAATACTTATTGGAGAATCTCCGAGAAAGCTAGTTTTCAGCATCTCGTTTTTTCTTCTGTTGTTGACCCTTTGCATGACAGCTGATTCTAACAATAAACTTATGCATATCGTTTTTTCTTGGAGAATCTCCGAGAAAGCTTGTTTGCTACTATTCTAACAATAAACTTATGCATATTGATCTTAGAGATAGTGACTTTTAGTACCAAAATTAACATACACTATTGATGATGAAAGAGAACCCTGAAAAGGGGAAATCAGATCAAACCAGTTGAATCAAATTGATAGGTAAATTCTGTACTACTGACAGGGAGGTAAAATCTCCTGCCGGGAACAAATCATGCTGGTTTAAAATTGTGTCAACACAAAAATTGGAAGAGCACCCTGCAACTCTAAAACATGACTTCCAGAGAAATTCAGGCCAATATAAGCAGGGAGATTTTAGGTACTCAGGATGTCTTGTCTGAGGAGAAACGTGATGTGAATTTCTTTTAGGATCAAGTTCATATACGGTTGTCAGCTATCTTCTCATCTTCAACGTTATGTCCACCCCACTTCTTCATTCGCTCCGAAGATTGTTCAACCTGTGCCAAGGAAAAAGGATTACGATTATTGTCTTTTAAACAAGAATGCTGAAGACATAAGTAAATGAAAATCCTAGTTGGTGATCAGTTATAAAGTAAACTGAAGGACCATATGGATTCCTATAACAGATTTAACTGACCTCCTTGTTCCAGTTGGTTCTATAAAGCACTATCAAGAGAAGCAACGTTTGAAGAGCAGTTCCGCATATCATGCCTCCCCAAATTCCCTACAATAATGAACAAATGTTGGTATTAAAACTAGCTGGACAAAACACAGATTAGAGACCGTGAAGACGAAAGAATCTCACAAACATTTAGCTGTGAAACTGAGACTGAAAATGTTTTACCTTAACTCCCAAGTTTGCTGTATAACCAAGAAGGAATCCAAGTGGGAGGCCAAAAATGTAATAACAACCCAAGTTGATATAAGCCACCAGTCCTTGCCATCCACCTCCAATAGCAACACCTGAAATCATGAATCCAGTAAAAATTAAAAGGGGGAAGAGTCCTGTATACAGAGAGGGAACTGAGGAAAAGCCAAGTGACTCGATTGATACCAGAAATGACGGGTTGGACACTATTAAGAACCATGGTAATTCCAAGAAGAAATGCTAGCTTCGCAACAGCTTGTTGCAATTCCACGTCGCTTGTGAAGATGACAGAAAAGTAGTCTTTCGTTATCAAGACGACAATCATGCAAACAATCCCAATGAGCAGAGACTCAAGGACTGTCACGCAGACAGCGTATTTAGCTGCTCTTGGACGTCCCAATCCAAGTTCATTGGAAACTCGAACACTGAAAAATCAATGGCAGAGATAATTGTAAGCACAACATCTTTGTTGCCTCAAAAAGTGTAGTTTGTGTATGATGACAACGTCATACAAGGTACACCAAATGATAAAAGTAGTCTTGGTACATACCCTACAGCAGCATTAACTCCAATGAACAACATTCCTTCATATCCATTGAGATTCATGCTGCAATGCCAATTGATTGAGTAAAAATCCAAGAAAAAACATCATAATTTGAAAGTGGAAATGTACATAAACCATCTAATCTAAGAAGGACAGAGAAAAAAAAAGCCAAAGGATAAGCAGCAGAAGTAGAAGGTGGTTGCAAGAACAAAAAGGAGGAAGTTGGGTCCTTACCAGATAGAAAGTGAATCAATAGCAATCACAGCATTGCTAAGATGGCCAGTAAGAATGATTATACTCATCATATACCAAATCTCAAGGCAAAGCATGACAGCTGATTCGAGCGAGAGCCTGACAAAGGCCCAGATGTCTTTGAAAGCTAACCATGAAAAACCACTCCACCCTTCATTGCACCAACCGATTATATAAATAACTTGACAAATCGCAAGTTCCCAACCTGTGATATCAAATGCTATAGCTGCACCATAGATGCCCCAATCCAACACGTAAATGAAGAGAAAGAGCCATCCAATGTGTATAATAAGGGCCAGAAAACCAATCCATGCAAGAACAGCAACCTTGCTTTGTGCCTGAAGGAACTTTTGGGAAGGGAACATGATGGCAAGTGAGAATAACTGAGGAATGACATATACGGTGAAGGTTCCAGCAAGATCAGCCACTTCTTCGTCCTGCCCAATAAGCTTTAAAATCGGGGCAGTGAAAACGTAGATTGGCGTGAGGATGACACAGCTGATAAATAGAATGATCCATGACCTTTGCATGTACACTCCAAGCATGTTAACCCTTCCAGCACCAAATGCTTGACCACATAGCGTCTCTAATGCACTCCCCATGCCGAGCTACAAGTTTGTACAAATTATCAAATTTAGCTCCTTCAATTCCATGACATAGGTTTTGCTGCTAAGCTACATACATAGTACATACTGCATACCAATCAATCGTGCATTTGATTTGAATGATCTATCATCTGTATGCATGCATGCATGCATACATACATACATGCATGCATACATACTTAATTCCATAATAGTAAGACATAATCCATTAGAATAATTCAAAGGGGGAAAAGACAGAGTTTTGAGTGTTCCTTTAAAAGGGCCCGGCCCATTGACGAGGCTAATTCCTTTTAATTAGATTTCGATTTTTAAAAAATTGGTTAAATTAAATTTGATTTTTCTCTGTTCGTTAATATGGTTTATCCAAAATAAAAAGACTAATAATCCATTAGAATAATTGGGTTCATTTTTCAAATTTTTAGGGATCATTATCACATATATATATATATATATGTAATATCGCCTCTCTCTCTCTCCGTCAATGTCATACAAAATCTCTTATCATTTCCGAGCTTTTCTCAACTGTGAAACAGAGTATTGAGAAACAGAGTATGATTCAAAGACTACAACTTTCAATAACGAACATAGATTCGTTGACCCAATAAGAAACATAGAAAAACTCTCAACTTAACTTTAGTCAGGCTCGGAGACTGGAAGGGCGTGTGCCGTCTAATCCCAGAAAGTATATATTTTTAACCATTTTAATAAATAATTAATTAATTAAAAAGCAGAATGTTTTGAAAACTGAGGCGTACCTAACACACTTCAAAAAAATACAGATAAAAGAAAAGCATGAAGAAGAAGACGACTGCAACAAAAGAAACCCAAATCATGAAAACATAAATCAAGTAGAAAAAGACACAGAGTTGTTAAATCTCACCCTACCTAGTAAGAATGTGAAGGTAAAAAGTTCCACAATAGAAAGTTAGAAAATCTTGCGGGCTTATAAAGAGTTGGGCTACACCCCCATTGCTAATTGGTTTTAGGTTGAAACCTCAACTTCCTTAGTCAAATTCAAAAGAGACTGTGTGTAAATTGACGACATGCGCATTGCATTGCATACGAATTAATAAATGAAATGGAAGGGTAGCTAGAGCTAATTTACCATGAAGCCGAAAGAGAAGGTTGAGATCACAGAGAGAGAGATTGAGACGGCAGAGAGCTGAAGGTTTCCGAGGTGTCCGACAAACATGATGGAAACAGAGTTGGTCGCAAAGTTGCAGATGATTGTGAAGGCGATGGGCCCCCCTATTTTCCACAGCTTCTTAGTCTCTATCCAAGTCACCGACCGAGCATCCTTCCAGCTCGTCACCGGCTCATAGTCTCGAACATCATCGCCGTTCACTGCCGGAAGCAATGGCGCCTCCATATGAATTAAATACTGCAGGAACACGTGCACGGCCCTGATATGAAGTGGGAGGGAGCTAGCTGGCGGCCGGAGATGAATTTGTCGGTGCTAAGACTGGGTGGTAGTGTTGTGAACTGGGTTGGTGAGTGTTGGGTTTTGGTTTGGTGTGGTTTTGGTTATGTGACTTCGGGAGAATGAAGTCCCATATTTATATAGCTCCAACTTCGTCTTTGACTTTTACTCATTTGCTTTGACTTAAAATATTACTGTATTTCGACTGTAATTTATTTTGTTTTTTTACTTTGTTAATTAATGGAAAGAAACATTCCCAATTAGTTGAGACAGCAACAGATTTAAATCTAAATGTATCTATATATAATTATATCAAGGCTTGTTTAGTAACTAATTAATAAATTCTGCGCGGCTGTTGGATTGCATTAAAAATACTACCAATATATTTAATGAATACAATTCAACGACCAAGATTAGAAGCATGTAACGAATACTTAACATAAAGGCTTTTTATCACAAAATGTCCCTGAAGTTTGCGAAACTATCATATTGCATCCTTAAAGTTTTTTGTATCACTCATGGTCCTTAACGTTAATATGGGTGCTCTTAAATAGTACATCTGTCAAAAAAACTGTTAAATCCAGGGATATAATCGTCAAATCAATCCAAAATTATAAAATACATATAATTGGTTTTCTTAAATTGATTTTCTGTTTGAAAGAGCCAAACTCCTGTTTGGCAAGAACTCATGCAATCAGAATCTCCACCGAGGCTAGGCAAAACAAATACTGGGACTTTGAGATAAATGGATATTTTCCTGATAAAGATTGTAGGATTGTTGACTCAAGAGGCAACACAATGGCACAGGTAATAATTCCTATTCATGAAAGAATATATAAAAAGTTTCATTGTTTGTTTCCATTGAAATTCTGAATGTTTGGATTTGTTTATTGATCACAATGAAACATAGATACGGGGAGTTGATGGCAAGCAAGGATCTCTTAGAGATAGTGACTTTTAGTACCAAAATTAACATACACTACCCTGAAAAGGGAAAATCAGATCAAACCAGTTGAATCAAATTGATAGGTGAATTCTGTACTACTGACAGGGAGGTAAAATCTCCTGCCGGGAACAAATCATGCTGGTTTAAAATTGTGTCAACACAAAAATTGGAAGAGCACCCTGCAACTCTAAAACATGACTTCCAGAGAAATTCAGGCCAATATAAGCAGGGAGATTTTAGGTACTCAGGATGTCTTGTCTGAGGAGAAACGTGATGTGAATTTCTTTTAGGATCAAGTTCATATACGGTTGTTAGCTATCTTTTCATCTTCAACGTTTTCTCCACCCCACTTCTTCATTCGCTCCGAAGATTGTTCAACCTGTGCCAAGAAAAAAGGATTATGATTATTGTCTTTTAAACAAGAATGCTGAAGACATAAGTAAATGAAAATCCTAGTTGGTGATCAGTTATAAAGTAAACTGAAGGACCATATGGATTCCTATAACAGATTTAACTGACCTCCTTGTTCCAGTTGGTTCTATAAAGCACTATCAAGAGAAGCAACGTTTGAAGAGCAGTTCCGCATATCATGCCTCCCCAAATTCCCTACAATAATGAACAAATGTTGGTATTAAAACTAGCTGGACCGTACGAAAGAATCTCACAAACATTTAGCTGTGAAACTGAGACTGAAAATGTTTTACCTTAACTCCCAAGTTTGCTGTATAACCAAGAAGGAATCCAAGTGGGAGGCCAAAAATGTAATAACAACCCAAGTTGATATAAGCCACCAGTCCTTGCCATCCACCTCCAATAGCAACACCTGAAGTCATGAATCCAGTAAAAATTAAAAGGGGGAAGAGTCCTGTATACAGAGAGGGAACTGAGGAAAAGCCAAGTGACTTGATTGATACCAGAAATGACGGGTTGGACGCTATTAAGAACCATGGTAATTCCAAGAAGAAATGCTAGCTTCGCAACAGCTTGTTGCAATTCCGCGTTGCTTGTGAAGATGACAGAAAAGTAGTCTTTTGTTATCAAGATGACAATCATGCAAAAAATCCCAATGAGCAGAGACTCAAGGACTGTCACGCAGACAGCGTATTTAGCTGCTCTTGGACGTCCCAATCCAAGTTCATTGGAAACTCGAACACTGAAAAATCAGCAGCAGAGATAATTGTAAGCACAACATCTTTGTTGCCTCAAAAAGTGTTGTTTGTGTATGATGACAATGACATACAAGGTACACCAAATGATAAAAGTAGTCTTGGTGCTTACCTTACTGCAGCATTAAGTCCAATGAACAACATTGCTTCCCATCCATTGAGATTCATGCTGCAATGCCAATTGATTGAGTAAAAATCCAAGAAAAAACATCATAATTTGAATGCGGAAATGTACATAAACCATCTAATCTAAGAAGGACAAAGAAAAAAAAACAAAGGATCAGCAGCAGAAGTAGAAAGTGGTTGCAAGAACAAAAAAGAGGAAGTTGGGTCCTTACCAGATAGAAAGTGAATCAAGAGCAATCACAGCATTGCCAAGATGGCCAGTAAGAATGATTATACTCATCATATACCAAATCTCAAGGCAAAGCATGACAGCTGATTCGAGCGAGAGCCTGACAAAGGCCCAGATGTCTTTGAAAGCTAACCATGAAAAACCACTCCACCCTTCATTGCACCAACCGATTATATAAATAACTTGACAAATCGCAAGTTCCCAACCTGTGATATCAAATGCTATAGCTGCACCATAAATGCCCCAATCCAACACGTAAATGAAGAGAAAGAGCCATCCAATGTGTATAATAAGGGCCAGAAAACCAATCCATGCAAGAACAGCAACCTTGCTTTGTGCCTGAAGGAACTTTTGGGAAGGGAACGTGATGGCAAGTGAGAATAACTGAGGAATGACATATATGGTGAAGGTTCCAGCGAGGTCAGCCACTTCTTCGTCCTGCCCAAGAAGCTTTAAAATCGGGGCAGAGAAAACGTAGATTGGCGTGAGGATGACACAGCTGGTAAATAGAATGATCCATGACCTTTGCATGTACACTCCAAGCATGTTAACCCTTCCAGCACCAAATGCTTGACCACAAAGCGTCTCTAATGCACTGCCCATGCCGAGCTACAAGTTTGTACAAATTATCAAATTTAGCTCCTTCAATTCCATGACATAGGTTTTGCTTCTAAGCTAAATACATAGTAGATACTGCATACCAATCAATCAGTCATGCATTTGATTTGAATGATCTATCATATGCATGCATACATACATACATACATAATTCCATATTAGTAAGACAACCCATTAGAATAATTCAAAGGGGGGGAAGACAGAGTTTTGAGTATTCCTTTTAATTAGATTTCGATTTTTAAAAAAGTGGTTAAATTAGATTTGATTTTTCACTGTTCGTTAATATGGTTTATCCAAAATACAAAGGCTAATCCATTAGAATAATTGGGTTGATATTTCAAATTTTTTGGGCTCGTTATCTTTTCTCTCTCTCTCTCTCTCTCTCTCTCTCTCTCTCTCTCTCTCACATACAAAATCTCTTATCATTTCCGAGCTTTTCTCAACTGTGAAACAGAGAATGATTCAAAGACTACGTCTTTCAATAAGAAACATAGAAAAACTCTCCACTCAACTTTAGTCAGCCTCTGAGACTGGAAGGGTGTGTGCCGCCTAATTCACAGAAAGTATATACATTTAACCATTTTAATATATAAATAAATAAATAATCAGAATATTTTGAAAACTGAGGAATACCGAACACACGTTAAAAAAAAAAGATAAAAGAAAAGCATGAAGAAGAAGACGAGTGCAACAGAAGAACCCAAATCATAAAAACATAAATCAAGTAGAAAAAGACAGAGTTATTAAATCTCACCCCACCTAGGCTATATGTAAATTGACGACATGCGCATTGCATGCACCCCATTAATTATATATGAATTATATGCATAGAATTAATAAATGAAATGGAAGGGTGGCTAGAGCTAATTTACCATGAAGCCGAAAGAGAAGGTTGAGATCACAGAGAGAGAGATTGAGACGGCAGAGAGCTGAAGGTTTCCGAGGTGTCCGACGAACATGGTGGAAACAGAGTTGGTCCCAAAGTTGCAGATGATTGTGAAGGCGATGGGCCCCGCTATTTTCCACAACTTCTGAGTCTCTCTCCACGTCACCGACCGAGCATCCTTCCAGCTCGTCACCGGCTCATAGTCTCGAACATCGCCGCCGTTCACTGCCGGAAGCAGTGGCGCCTCCATATGAATTAAATACTGCAGGAACACGTGCACGGCCCTGATATGAAGTGGGAGGGAGCTAGCTGGCGGCCGGAGATGAGTCCGACGGTGCTAAGGCTGGCTGGTGTGTGTTGGGTTTTGGTTTGGTTTGGTTTTGGTTCACGAAGTCCCATACTTATAGACTTCTTCTTTGACTTTTACTCCTTTGCTTTGACCTAAAATATTACTTTATTTCGAGTGTAATTAATTTGTTTTTTTTTAACTTTGTTAATTAATGGAAAAAGAAACAATCCCAATTACTGCGAGACTGCAACCTATTTAAATATAAGTGAATCTATATATAATTATATCAAGGCTTGCTTAGTAATTAATTAATAAATTCTGCACGGCTTGTGTAAAAAGACTTTAATTTGTATATTATTAGTCTCAAGTTCAAATTCTTATGACACCTTAATAATGTATGTGAAACTTCCATTTCTCCTTCCTCTTGTAACGTAGACTTGTACTATAAAAAAAAGAGATATTTAGTGATATACCCATTTCTAGCACTAATATTATAAATAAACCCTACATAATTGAATTTATATAAACAAACTCAAAAAATGACAGCTGACCTTATTGAATTTAATATTGATTATTAAATTACTTTGATGTCCTATTGAGTGTTTTGGGTATTTTTATGAGATTTTGGGGTTGGGCTTGTTTTAAGAAATTGATGACAGTTTTGTTATTTATAAGAAATTAAAAACTTTTTTGTCATGTTGTAAATGGGTTTTGGGTGTGTTTCTAAAGTCCATTTCATATGGGGTATTTTTATATTTTAGACCCTCATATTGGGTATAATAGTGAATCTCCCTAAAAAAAAATCTGCACGGCTTGTGGAAAACTTTGCAAAGTATTGTTAATTTTAATCTAGAAGAAATAGAAATCAAATTAGGTAAGCTATGCTTTGCATGAGCTAATCTTGTTCCAATTTTGGTCATACACATGGCGACGGTTCGCACGTGGTTTTCAGTCATCATTTGTGAATGTCAGTGTCAGAACTCAGAAAGATTTGCAAATATCAAAGAACGCCCAAAGGGATTTAGCTAGACTAACGTAAACTCAAAGCCCACCATTCAAATTTTCCACTGTAATTCCAAAGACCAAATAATGAAGTTTTGAACCACCACTCTCTCGCCCACCTACCAATCGCTCTTGAGACTTCAAAGTTTCCGCCTCCCAGTGGAAATGCCGACTGTTTGGTACCAAATATAGCTAGGCTAGGCTATCCCCATACCATACATTATACATGCTCAATCCTCAATGGAACATATATTGGTCATCGTACGTATCCATGTACAATTATTTCCCTTGTTTGCACGGCACACCAGCAGCACAAGAATCCAACCACCTCACCTTCAACTCGGTAAGATTTTCTCAGCACCAGACACACACAGAAACTTAAAAAGTTTGGTATGGTAATCGATGGTTCATTGTCCACGTCTCTGGTACTAAACATCCATAATTGCTGAAATGAATGGACCTGAATAAATCTAACATACCTACTATTTCCCCAAAATTCACTCTTGCTTCATTATTTCAAGTGTTAATAATAATAAAAATTATTATTCGCACTTCAAAAGATTTGTCTTACACTCCTTACTTGTATTAAGATAAGTGCGAAATTGCACTCAAGGGCAGGGAATTGTAAATCAAGAGATGCTTTTTGAGTTTTTATTTTTATAATAATAATTATAGAGGAAGAAATGAAATACTACTATAGTAAGAGTTAGTGATAAGTTTTTTGAGCGCTTAGTATACTAAGAGTTTCTTCAGTCATGCGTAAAATTATGGGAGGCTTTTGGCTCACTCATGACCTAAAAAGATTTTTGAACCCAACCCAAAGTGGATGTGAGCACAGATGGTGGACCCAAGGGTACAAAGACCCAAAACTCTAACAAACCTTTACTCAACCTTTTAAATGTCCATGGGTGCCAGTGTAGTCGTCCACTAGTGATCCATGAGAAGAGCAAGACGGCGATTCGTAAAGACGGTGGGCCCAAGTCCAGTTCCAACTCAGCCCAGCTGCCCTTGTTTGTTATCTCTCGTCAGTTTTTGTTTATTGGCTTCCCCAGTTGTTGATGCGCTTTGTTGTTTGCTCCACCTGAAATACAAATTCAACCATGAGATGAGATGCAATATTAAGATTAGTTTACGATATATAGGAATAGGTTTGCATATGAGATTCTAGTGATTACCTCTCTGTCCCAGTTGGTTCTGGAAGTCACAATCAATAAGAATAAGATCTGAAGCGCACTTCCACTCATCATGCCACCCCAAAGTCCCTATGTTGTAACATCCATCATTTTAAACTAAATTAATCTGACAATGTGACAAATTACAACTGTATTTTGTGTCATATGAAAGATAGAGAAGCTAGTATCAGTACCAGAGCACCCAGATTTGCTTTAAATCCAAGAAAGATTGCAAGTGGGAGCCCAAATAGATAATAACAAGCAAAGTTTATGTAAGCAACCATCACTTGCCATCCACCTCCAACAGCAACACCTGCAACAGGATTAAAAAAAAAGAGACCCATTAGAAAAAGGAGGCTTGGAAGTTGGAGGGAGGGTTAACAGTGGAACATTGCATGAGCAGAACTAGTGAAGTGAGGAGAAGCAAGCAACGCTGAAAGAGATATACCAGATAACACTACTGTTGCGCTATTAAGAAGCATGGTTACACCAAGAAAGTATGCTAAACGAGCAACGGCACGTTGCATATCTTCACTGTTTGTGAAAACCATGGCAAAGTAGTCTCTACTTATGAAGACAGCAATCAAAGATAAAATTCCAACTATGAGAGATTGCAAGACTGCAGTACAGACAGCATATTTGGCCGCTCTTGGGCGCCCCATTCCAAGTTCATTGGAGACTCGAGTGCTGCGTACGGATGGTTGTTGATCGTTATCAATGATGTGATCTTATCAACACCAGAAAAATGCATGGAAAGTGCAGTACATATATATATAGAGCAACATTTACCTTATAGCAGCATTTAGTCCAACCAACAACATGATCTCCCAATTCTGAAAGTTCATGCTAATTAAAAGAACAAAAATATGAAAGAAATGAGAACTACAATTAGTTTGGTGCTTTCAGTTATGGAGATGAGAACAAGTGCAAAGCAGCATAAATATGATCTTACCATATCGAAAAGGAACCAACAGCAATCACTGCATTTTCAAGTAAACCTGCGAGAATGTTTATGGTCATGGTATACCATGAGTCTAGGCAAAACATCATGCATGAGGCAAGGGATAGCTTGGCAAAAGCCCAAATGTCCTTAAATGCCAGCCATGAAAATCCTGTCCACTCCTCGTTGCACCAAACCATAATATACACAAATTGACCAACTGTAATTCCCCAGTGTGTGATGTCATAAGCCACAGCTGCACCAGTGGTTCCCCAGCCAAACACATTGATGAAAAGATGAAGCAGTCCAGTTTGTACGATCAGCGCCACAAAAGCAATCAATGCCATTGCACTAACCTTGCTCTGAGCCTGAAGGAACCTCTGAGTGGGAAAAAAGATGGCAGAGGAGAACAACTGAGGAATTATCTTTACACTATATTTTCCAGCAAGATCAGCTATATCACTTTCTTGGCCTAAAATCTCCAGTATTGGAGCAGCAAAAATATAAACCGGTGAAAGGATGATACAGGTGATCAATAGGACAATCCATGACCGCTGCATATAGATTCCAAGTGACCCAACTTGGCCTGCACCATATGCTTGACCACAAAGCGTTCCCAGTGCAGTTGCCATACCTTGCTACATACATAAATGCATAGCTAAATTAAATTAGTCTCTCTTTCATTCCTTCAACACAAGTCATCTCTTAAGCAACATTTCTAAAAATTGCGGCTGCAATTGGCCACAGAATTACAAATATTCAAGTCAAACAGCCCTTGAGCATTTAACCGAAAATCAAAAGGAGACGTGAAACCTGCTATGCTATATACTCTCTCTCTCTCTCTCTCAAAATATATATAGCCAAAAGACTAAGGAGAATGTGACCATATATTCACCTAATAAATGCAACTGAACTCACTCAAAAGTTAAAACTTTCCCTATAATTAATTAATAAGAGTAAACAACTCAAAACAATATAAACATGTAAACAGTCACATTTTACATGAACATATAATATACATATATACACATATATATAGAAATAGAAATAGAAACAGAAGCAGATGTAAATAGATGCAAACCAGTAAACCAAAAGGGATGCCAGAGATGACAGTGACAGAAAGGGAAATAGCAGAGAGCTCAAGATCTCCGAGATGACCCACAAAGACGGTGGTGACAGACAGAACCAGGTACTGAAACAGAGTTGTAAACGCCACCGGAGCTGCAATTCTCCAGAGCATCGCTGCCTCCTTCCAAGAGACCCACATGGCCTCCTCAAAGCTCCTCACTGCCGCATAGTCATCATCAGCTGCCTCCGCTTCGCCTTTGCCTTTGAGCAACGGTGTTTCCATTAATTTACTCCAAACCAAACTCACCAATGAATATGAGAGTTTATGAGCAATAGTACTATATGCTCTGATAGAACATGAATTTGATTTTCAATATTTGTTGTTTTGTGGGCAATGACAGCCACTTTAGCTACCTAGCAAGCATGGTGATGGTGAGGAGCCATTATAGTTAACACATTTTTAGTGTGTGGTGTGAAAGACTGAAGCAGAGTAATTATATCTATACTTTTGTCATCTTCTTGTGCCAAAAATATATCATTCTCTAGAATAACAGAAATTCATATTTTCTTCTTCTTTTTTTCGTTTTTTTTTTTCATTGTAATATGATGTTGTCGACCATGTCAAAACAACCCACAAGTCTATTTCTTTTTTGACAAGGTAACCAAAACCTTTTGGGCTTTTTTTTTTTTTATTTAGTATAAATATAAAATATGAAAATTGAAATAAAAAAAAAAAAAAAAAAAAAAAAAAAAAGACCGTCGCTTGGTGTAGTGTGGCTCATACCATACTCAAATCATGGTAATGGTTGGCCAAAGTCCAAAAAATAGGCGCCGACACCGTTAAGCTTATGAACAGAGGAATATGCATTGGCCTCCGAAAATGGCAAAGCTAGAAATCTCACTATATCATTGCCTTTTTTGTACTTGTACTTAAAGATATTTATTCATCCAAAACAAAAAGTTTGAACATTGAACATTGAAGGAGCAAAGAATTTCAGGTACTTTGAGCTCCATTCTCAGCTGTGACGTCTTGACCACCCCACTTCCTCACGCGTTTTGTTGCTTGCTCCACCTGCAGTTTCATTTCAATATGAATTAGGAAGGAGAAATTCAATACGGGTACATCCAAGGACCATAATGAAAACAGAATTACAAGTCAATTCTTGGTTGTATTTTGTTAAGATTTTCAAATCTCACATGGTTTATGATTTTCAATGAATTGAAATATTGATTATACCTCTTTGTTCCAGTTGGTTTTGTAGAGCACAATCAACAGAAGCAAGGTTTGGAGAGCAGTTCCACATATCATGCCCCCCCAAAGTCCCTGCATCAATCACAGGAATTCATCAAACACTTGTGAATTATAGTAACCTACTTGGAATTTGGAAATGATACTATATATCTTAACTTACCATCACACCCAGATTTGCAGTATAACCAAGAAGATATCCAAGAGGAAGTCCAAAAATGTAGTAAGAACCCAAGTTTATATAAGCTACCAGTGCCTGCCATCCACCTCCAATTGCAACCCCTTCGAGAAGCAAGCAAGCAAACATGGGCATCAGCAGAAGAAGTGGCATTATTTGTATAACATTTCATAAACTTAGTCGCACATCAAACGGGTACCTGATATTATTGGCTGGATGCTGTTGAGCAACATAGTTATACCAAGAAGATATGCTAGCTTAGCGACCGCTTGTTGCAGCTCCTTATCACTTGTAAAAAGTAGGGAAAAACTGTCTTTGGTTATCAAGATCACAATCATGAAAAAAATCCCAATTAGAAGACACTGAAATACTGTCACATAGACAGAGTATTTGGCTGCTCTTGGTCGTCCTGATCCAAGCTCATTGGAGACACGCACACTGCATTATTAGTGGAAATTAAAAACCTTAATTAACTCATTCACCAACATGAGAATAATCATTCAAATGCAATATGCAATGCTGTTCACCTTATTGCCACATTTATTCCAACGAACAACATTAGTTCAAATCCGTTAAAGTTCATGCTGCGAAAGGAAAAGAAGAGAATGGTATATTAGCATTAGGTATCAAAAGCTTATCATTAGCCACCATGGTATTAGCATTAAGATGTTAATTACCAAATAGAAAGGGAACCAACTGCTATAACTGCATTATCAAGATGGCCTGTGAGAATGAGTATGCTCATCGTGTACCAAATCTCAAGGCAGAGCATGACAGCAGAGGCAAGGGAAAGTCTTACAAAAGCCCATATCTCCTTGAAAGCCAACCATGAAAACCCAGTCCAGCCGTCCCTGCACCAACCCATTATATACACAACTTGAGCAATTGCCATGCCCCATCTTACAATGTCAAATGCAACAGCTGCACCCAATGTGCCCCAACCAAACACCAAAATGAAGAGACACAGCAGTCCAATTTGTATGATCAAACCCAAAACTGCAATCCATGCCAGAACCATAACCTTTCTCTGAGCCTGAAGGAACTTCTGAGCTGGAAAAATAATGGCAAGTGAGAACAATGAGGGGATTGTTTGGATAGTAAATTCTCCAGCTAGATTGGCTATGTCATCTTCTTGACCTAGCAACTTCAAAACGGGTGTGGCAAAGATGTAAATTGGCAAGATGAAGAGGCTGGTTACTAATAGGATTATCCATGAGCGTTGCATGTAAATCCCAAGCATATGAATCTCGCCAGCTCCAAATGCCTGCCCACACAGGGTCTCCAGAGCACTCCCCATGCCAAACTGCATAAACATAACATATTTAGTCTTCATATTTTTGACATTCTTAAAGTTGCCATATTGGTACAATTCATGCATCATTGTTGAAAATAATGCACATTTGGTGGAGATTTCTACAAGCTAGCAGAATTTTCTAGGATAATTTAGAATGCAAAGTCGGCGGATGTATTCCCTAAACACTAGTCGCTAACTTAATTGAAGCTAGTTGAAAGTTCTAGTTGAAACTACAATATAAGCGGCTGGAATTACAAGTTACAGGTTTACTAGAATAACCACTTTACTAGATGGTTGTTCCCTTTATAAATAGGCACTAAGCTTTCTGTTTGTAATCAATCTAGTGATAAAGGCCAATAGCTACAACTAACAGGCCAAATAGCTAAGCCTTGTATCCATCCTATTGTTAAATAAATAAAATCACTCTATTTTTCTTTTAAAAACCCAACAGTGGTATCAGAGCGCCACTCACACACTTTCTAAAACCAACAATCATCAAGGTTCTCTTTCCAAATACATATGTAATGTTATTTCATTTCATGTACTTAACTAATAATCGAAACTTCAAATTCCTAGTCTGGCAACATATATATATATATATATATATATATATATAATATAACATGTCAGAAACCTGACATATGAGGAACTAAGGGGAAGAAAATTGACCAAGAATCCAAAAGCGAATGTGGTAATGACGGCTAGAGAAATGGAGACAGCTGAGAGCTCTACAGTTCCGAGATGACCAACAAAGAGAACGACAGCTGAGTTAGTCCCATACATACACAACATAGTGATCACTGCCGGACCTGCCATTTTCCAGAGCTTCACTGTCTCAATCCAAAACATACACCGCAGCGCATCGAAGCTCCTCAATGGGGCATAGTCTTCATTCCCACCTTCATACAGATCATGAGGCTTAGTGCACAACTGATCAGCGCCTGCAGCTGTGTCCAGTAGCGGCTCCTCCATTAAGATAGGTAGATAGGTCTCTCAGGTTGAAGTTTTGAAGGATATATATAAAACGATTCATATTCTCTGAGGCTGGATTAATTGAATTTGGTCGTGTGTGGTGTGAAAGACTGAGAAAGAGACGTTCACATTAGTCTCTGTTCTCGGTCCACCGTTAGACTGAAAACACTGTTAGACTGAAAAACACTGACTATTCAACCATTGGGTCTGTATTCTCTATGTAATATGACGTTAAATAATCTCATTATATTCATGTCCACCATGTCATAAAACAACCCATAAGTCCATTTGTTCTTTTTGACAAAGTAACCAAACCCTTTTGGGATTTTAAATTTTATTGAAATTGCAAATACGTGAGTACCACTGCTTGGTGCAGTGTCGGTCATGCTCATGAGTCATATCATGGTTGGCGCCGACGCGGTTGTTAAATTTGTGAACAGAGGAATATGCATTGGCCTCTGAAAATGGCAAAGCTAGAACAGAGGATATTTATTCTATTCAAAACCCTCACTTAGCCAAAAAAGTTTGAACATTGAATGGAATGGAGGAGCAAAGAATTTCATTTCATGTACTTTGAGCTCCATTCTCAGCTGTGATGTCTTGACCACCCTGATGATTTGTGGCTCAACTTGTCTACTTGCACCGAAAGTATATTCCAAGTGGGATAGCTGCAGAGAAATAAGAGGCTTTGGCAGAGGAATAATAAGCTTTGGCACGTGGGGGACAAAAGTCATGCAAATATGGCTGGCCTTGACCCGGTGGCTTCTCAATAAATGGAGAAGCATGGCAGCAGCTGAAGCAGAGGAGAAGAGAGGGAGAAACAGCAAGAAGCCATTCGGCCAGAGAAAAGAAAATTCTCTCAAATTGTTTTTGCTTTGTATTTTCAGTGTTCTCTTCCCATTGTGAGTGTGTGAGCTTGGGTTATTTGGATCTTTAGGCATTGCCGAACCAGTATAAATCTTGGTGTTCTTGTTGGTGTTGTTTTGTTCCCTTTATCTCTTGCCCGTTGTTGTTTATTTTCACTCACATTTGGTTGACGCTTCCGGACAACACACCCCACTTCCTCACGTGTTTTGTTGCTTTCTCCACCTGTAGTTTCATTTCAATGTGGATATTATCAAATCTCGCATTGTTTATGATTTGCAATGAATTGAAATATTGACCATACCTCTTTGTTCCAGTTGGTTTTGTAGAGCACAATCAACAGAAGCAAGGTTTGGAGAGCAGTTCCACGTATCATTCCCCCCCAAAGTCCCTGCATCAATCACAGGAATTCATCAAACACTTGTGAATTAACGTAACCTACTTGGAATTTGGAAATGTTACCATCTTAACTTACCATCACACCCAGATTTGCAGTATAACCAAGAAGATATCCAAGAGGAAGTCCAAAAATGTAGTAAGAACCCAGATTTGCATCAATCACTGGCTGGATGCTGTTGAGCAACCTAGTTACACCAAGAAGATATGCTAGCTTTGAGACCGCTTGTTGCAGATCCTTATCACTTGTAAAAATTAGGGAAAAACTGTCTTTGGTTATCAAGATCACAAGCCTGAAAAAAATCCCAATTAGGAGAGGCTGAAACACTGTCACATAGACAGAGTATTTGGCTGCTCTTGGTCGTCCTGATCCAAGCTCATTGGAGACACGCACACTGCATTAATAGAAATTAAAAAACCTTAATTAACTCATTCATCAGTATCAGAAACAGAGACAATATGCAATCCTTGTTCACCTTATTGCCACATATATTCCAATGAACAGCATTTGTTCCCACCCGTTAATGTTCACGCTACGGAGGCCAAAATATGGGAAGGAAATAGAAGAGAATGCTATTAGTATTAACTACCAAAAGCTTATCATTAATCACCATAATAATCAAGAGGAGTTTTAGATGTTAATTACCAAATAGAAAGGGAACCAACTGCTATAACTGCATTATCAAGATGGCCTGTGAGAATGAGTATGCTCATCATGTACCAAATCTCAAGGCAGAGCATGACAGCAGAGGCAAGGGAAAGCCTAACAAAAGACCACATATCCTTGAAAGCCAACCATGAAAACCCAGTCCAGCCGTCCCTGCACCTACCCATTATATACACAACCTCAGCAATTGCAATCCCCCATCTTGCAATGTTAAATGCAACAGCTGCACCCAATGTGCCCCAACCAAACACCAAATGAAGAGACAGAGCAGCCCAATTTGTGTGATCAAACATAAAACTGCAATCCATGCCAGAACCTTAACCTTTCTCTGAGCCTGAAGGAACTTCTGACATGGGAAATTAATGGCAAGTGAGAACAATGAGGGGATTTTTTGGATTGTAAATTCTCCAGCTAGATTGGCTATGTCATCTTCTTGGCCTAGCAACTTTAAAACGGGTGTGGCAAAGATGTAAAATCGGCAAGATGCAGAGGGTGGTTACAAATAGAATTATCCATGAGCGCTGCATGTAAATCCCAAGCATATGTATCTGCCCAGCTCCAAATGCCTGCCCACACAGGGTCTCCAGAGCACTCCCCATGCCAAGCTGCATAACATAACAAATTCATATTTTTGACATTCTTAAAGCTGCCATATTAGTACAATTCATGCATCATCCACATCAATCTTATGTTGCCAAATATATAGTGTAATGTCATTTTTCATGTACCTAAGTAATAGTCGAAACTCCCATATTCATAGTCCGGCGACATATGACATGTCAGATGTATAGCATGTGCTTATCATAAGAGGAACTAAGGGGTAGAAAATTAACCAGGAATCCATCAGAGAATGTGGAAATGACCGCGAGAGAAATGGAGACAGCTGAGAGCTCTACAGCTCCAAGATGACCAACAAAGATAACGACAGCTGAGTTAGTCCCATACATACACAACATAGTGATCACTGTCGGACCTGCTATTTTCCAGAGCTTCACTGTCTCGATCCAAAACATACGCCACAACGCATCGAAGCTCCTCACCAGCGCATAATCTTCGTTCCCACCTTCATACAGATCATGAGGCTTAGTGCTCAACTCAGCGGCAGCTCCTGTGTCCAGTAGCAGCTCCTCCATTTAAGTTAGGCAGATAGGTCTCTGGCTTGTAGGGAATTGTATTTTGATTGATGTCTTTGAATAGGCAAACGCCTTTACATAAAGGACAATACTTCTTCCTTCACTTCTATTGTGACACAGTCAAAAAAGTGACATCTTTCCTCCTTTTTGAATGTTTTTTTTTTTTTTTTTTTTTTTTTTTTTTTTAATTTATTTATAATAAATAATACTTTTACTGAAACCTTAGCTTTTTACCCAAATTTAAAATAATAAAAAACAAAGGGCCACAAAGACATAATTTTGATTGAGGAAGAAAATTATTTTATTTTGTATTTTGAGAAAAAAAAAAAAAAAATGGGATTTTTTTCTTTTCTATTTTGGTAAAAAACTAGGGGTCCAGTAAAAAAAAAAAAACAATTAAAATAGAGGACGCATGTCACTTTGTGGTTGAGCCACAATAGAAGATAAGGAGGGGAGTATTGTCCTTGCATAAATACACAATTTTCTGTATCTAAGAGGTAAAGAAAACAAATACAATAAATGGGTATCTGTCTCTAGAATTAGAGAAATTATGATCAAAGGCGGATTCACTTCTTTTTTCTTTTTCTTTTTTTCGATTTCTTCATTGTAATATGATATTATTATTGTAGCAAATAATCTTATTATATCGATATCATCTTAATATAGGATGTCGACCATGTCAAATACTGCCCAACATGATGAGCACCACTGACACCATTAGATAAACTTAATACTTATGAACTGAGGAGGAGTGTGCATTGGCCTCCGAAAATGGCAGCAATTTGAGATCTCACTAATTCTCGAGCTAGATTGGCTATGTCTTCTTCTTGACCTAGCAACTCTAAAATGAGTGTGGCAAAGATGTAAATTGGCATGAGCGCTACTTGTAAATCCCAAGCATATGAATCTGCCCAGCTCCAAATGCCTGTCCACACAGGGTCTCCAGAGCACTCCCCATTGCCAAGCCGCATTTTATTTCATCAAACAACAACATAACATATTAAGTTTTCATATATTTGACGTTCTTAAAGTTGCCATATTGGTACAATTCATGCATCCACATCAATGTTCTCTTGCCAAATATATATATATGAACGTCATTTTCATATATCTAATTAATAGTCGAAATTTCAAATTCATAATTCGGCAACATATAACATGTCAGAACTCATCGAAGCTCCTCACCGGGATGTTACACGTAGTGGTCTTCGGTCCCACCTTCATACAGATCATCATGAGGCTTGTTGTTCAACTCAGCGGCAACTGCTGTTAGGTAGATAGGTCCCTAAGTTTGAAGTTTTGAAGGTTAGTTGGCTCCTTTACTTCTTTAATGTTTAAAAGGTTCTTGGAATAATTAATTAAGGAAAGTGCTAGGCTACAATAATTTATTTGTTAAACTAGCAGACCGCGCTGTACTTTTTGGGATATACGATGCTAATTCAAAGGAAATGTCCGTCCATGAAAAGAAAGGAAAATAAGGTGATTTTAAAAGGATCATGAGGTGGGGAGGGGATAGATGAATCGTTGAAGCCAAGCTAACCCATGCATACATCCGTGACTCGGTTGGAAAGTAATGTTATTTGTACCATATTTAATGACGACAAGAAAACACGTAATGAGGATCACTGCTTGGCGTCTGAAAATTGTAAAGATGGGCCTCGCTGCAATTAGATATCTCACTACATCTTTTGTATTTGTACATATTAAGGGGTGCACAAAATCAAACTAGTAGGCAAAAGGATATTTATTCCATTCAAAACCTCATTCATCCAAGAAAAAAAAGTTTGAACATTGAACTGGAATGGAGGAGCGAAGAATTTCATTTTCAGGTACTTTGAGCTCCATTCTCAGCTGTGACGTCCCGACCACCCCACTTCCTTACGCGTTTTGTTGCTTGCTCCACCTGCAGTTTCATTTCAATATGAATTAAGAAGGAGAAATTCAATACGGGTATATCCAAGGACCATAATGAAAACAGAATTACAAGTCAATTCTTGGTTGTATTTTGTTAAGATTTTGAAATCTCACATGGTTTATGATTTTCAATGAATTGAAATATTGATTATACCTCTTTGTTCCAGTTGGTTTTGTAGAGCACAATCAACAGAAGCAAGGTTTGGAGAGCAGTTCCACATATCATGCCCCCCCAAAGTCCCTGCATCAATCACAGGAATTCATCAAACACTTGTGAATTAAAGTAACCTACTTGGAATTTGGAAATGATACTATATATCTTAACTTACCATCACACCCAGATTTGCAGTATAACCAAGAAGATATCCAAGAGGAAGTCCAAAAATGTAGTAAGAACCCAAGTTTATATAAGCTACCAGTGCCTGCCATCCACCTCCAATTGCAACCCCTTCGAGAAGCAAGCAAGCAAACATGGGCATCAGCAGAAGAAGTGGCATTATTTGTATAACATTTCATAAACTTAGCCGCACATCAAACGGGTACCTGATATTATTGGCTGGATGCTGTTGAGCAACATAGTTATACCAAGAAGATATGCTAGCTTAGCGACCGCTTGTTGCAGCTCCTTATCACTTGTAAAAAGTAGGGAAAAACTGTCTTTGGTTATCAAGATCACAATCATGAAAAAAATCCCAATTAGAAGACACTGAAATACTGTCACATAGACAGAGTATTTGGCTGCTCTTGGTCGTCCTGATCCAAGCTCATTGGAGACACGCACACTGCATTATTAGTGGAAATTAAAAACCTTAATTAACTCATTCACCAACATGAGAATAATCATTCAAATGCAATATCCAATGCTTGTTCACCTTATTGCCACATTTATTCCAATGAACAACATTAGTTCAAATCCGTTAATGTTCACGCTGCGAAAGGAAAAGAAGAGAATGGTATTAGCATTAGGTATCAAAAGCTTATCATTAGCCACCATGGTATTAGCATTAAGATGTTAATTACCAAATAGAAAGGGAACCAACTGCTATAACTGCATTATCAAGATGGCCTGTGAGAATGAGTATGCTCATCATGTACCAAATCTCAAGGCAGAGCATGACAGCAGAGGCAAGGGAAAGTCTTACAAAAGCCCATATCTCCTTGAAAGCCAACCATGAAAACCCAGTCCAGCCGTCCCTGCACCAACCCATTATATACACAACTTGAGCAATTGCCATGCCCCATCTTACAATGTCAAATGCAACAGCCGCACCCAATGTGCCCCAACCAAACACCAAAAGGAAGAGACAGAGCATCCCAATTTGTATGAGCAAACCCAAAACTGCAATCCATGCCAGAACCTTAACCTTTCTCTGAGCCTGAAGGAACTTCTGAGATGGAAAAATAATGGCAAGTGAGAACAATGAGGGGATTGTTTGGATAGTAAATTCTCCAGCTAGATTGGCTATGTCATCTTCTTGGCCTAGCAACTTTAAAACAGGTGTGGCAAAGATGTAAATTGGCAAGATGAAGAGGCTGGTTACTAATAGGATTATCCATGAGCGCTGCATGTAAATCCCAAGCATATGAATCTCCCCAGCTCCAAATGCCTGCCCACACAGGGTCTCCAGAGCACTCCCCATGCCAAACTGCATAAACATAACATATTAAGTTTTCATATTTTTGACATTCTTAAAGTTGCCATATCGGTACAATTCATGTATCATCAAGGTTCTCTTCTCAAATATATATGTAATGTTATTTTCATTTCATGTACTTAACTAATAGTCGAAACTTCAAATTCATAGTTTGGCAACATATATATAAATATAACATGTCAGAAAATTGACATATGAGGAACTAAGGGGAAGAAAATTGACCAAGAATCCATAAGCGAATGTGGAAATGACTGAGAGAGAAATGGAGACAGCTGAGAGCTCTACAGTTCCGAGATGACCAACAAAGAGAACGACAGCTGAGTTAGTCCCATACATACACAACATAGTGATCACTGCCGGACCTGCCATTTTCCAGAGCTTCACTGTCTCGGTCCAAAACATACACCGCAGCGCATCGAAGCTCCTTACCGGAGCATAGTCTTCGTTCCCACCTTCATACAGATCATGAGGCTTAGTGCTCAACTGATCAGCGCCAGCAGCCGTGTCCAGTAGCGGCTCCTCCATGAAGATAGGTAGATAGGTCTCTAAGATTGAAGCTCTGAAAGTTAGTTTGGTTCCTTCATTATATATATATATATACATATCAGCTGTGGCCGTACATTCTCGTGAATGAATGAACTTAACTTATTTAATGTTTAAAAGGTGCTGTAGAAGAATTATTTAAATTGAACTGAAGTAGCTCGGTCGTTTGTGTCTCCGCAGAGACTGAAATCAGAATAAGTTATTTGTTATATAAAGCAGAGCCCTGACAGCACCATATTTGTAGGGATATGATATGCAAATCCAAAGGAAATATCTAGCCATGAAAAGATAAAAAATCAAAATCAAAAATCAAAAGGAGGGTAGAAAAATCGCTCAAGCTGCTACGTGTGGTTCGTCCAAGAAAAAAAACTGCTACCGGTGGTTCGTTTTGAACAAGTCTGACCTAACCCAACCCAACCCGTGCATTTGTCATCCATAACTCGGTTAGAGTCTCATGTTATTTGTATCATATTTAAAGATGAGTTTAAAAAAAACATGTAATATAATTGTTGGGTCATCGATATTATTCTACAATTTCTCCGATTGTTGTACAACAATAATAATAATAATATAATATATCTATTGAAACTTGTTTATGTTATCTGATTCTAAGGCTGCTTATTTCGTGGAATTTGCATGCATATAAAATATAAATCATATAAACGTGAGCCACGCACCTTTCTCAGTTTGCAACTCTGAAGCTCATTCTCCATTTTTAGGTGCATGAATAAATGAATATGTAACATATATAACAGGTCAGTGTGGTACAGATTGGCCCAAACCCAAAAACAAAACTTGAGTTGGAGCGATCATTTTGTGGGCTGCTTGAAGCCTGCAAATGCCCATTTCCCAAAAGATAGATCTTATACCATTTAACACGTCGGTTGGCCCATTTAACTTATAACTTACAAGAAAAGGAAACTCAAATAAAAAAACAGAGACAGGCTGGGCTGAAACCGAAGAGAGGTGTGTGTGTGTGTTGTGTAGGTCACAAGGGGATGTGCACTGACAATGTAAATTAAACCGCGAATTACTGTTGGACACATAGTTATGAGCGAATCTGGTGCGCGAATTTAACAGTTTTGACTCGATCACTGGGGAAAAGAAAGACACACTCTCTTCACTGAAGCTTGCAGTTGCGTTGCGTGTTGTGTTGTGTGTTTCCTCACCTACTATTGCCGGTCATTGCATAAAATTAACGCTACAGAAATTACGAAAGAAAAGAAACTGAAATGAACGAGAAAATCTTTTATCTATAATGATCAAGTACAATACAATTGACAACTATTTTATGGGAATAAATAATGAGAGAAAAAAAAACACGAACACACGTTATTTAATAATAACACATCTCCCTTAGAAATGTACCCAAGGGCAAACTGCATATATATTTTAAAATAAAACAGACGTTCATTGAACATAACGCTTTTCAAGCGGAATTAGTCAAATCATAATGTATATATATGACATGAAAGGAAAGGGGGCCTTTTCCTTTTCTTAATTAATCACTACTAAATTACAATAATAACGTGTTAAGGATAATGTTTGGATCACTGTTTCTATGAAATATCCTTAATTAATTTCTTGCAACTTCATCGAAAACAAGCTGCAAATGGAGAGGGTAGAGTTGTAGCTTTAACCGACTGTAGCCGGTGATGGCTGGTGCCTTCATGTGGAGACTGGAGAGTTGAAATGAATTGAAACCGTTGAAACCGGTTTTAATTGCTTACGGACAATAAGTAATTAAACTTGAGTATCTATATATATAAAGCAAAAGATAGAGAATGGTAAAACATTCAAAATACTAGAAAATGTTCTTTTTTAATTCAAACATTAAGAATTGAAATTATTAATTAAATGAGGATAATATGGTAAATTAATATTTTTTATATTTAAAAAATAAAAAAGATAATATGTCATACTTTTATGTAGGGGTGGCATTTTGGACCGAAAAACCGAAAAACCGCAAAAACCAACCGATAATTTACCGAAATAAAACCGCAATCGCGGTAAACCGAACCGCATTTGCGGTATTAAGAACCGAACCGCATTTGCGGTTGCGGTATTTGATATTCAAATACCGCGGTTACCGCAAACCGCAAAGTATAGCCGCACGGCTATACTCTACAGCCTTATTTCCATTTAATTGTCTGTAGCCTTATCTCTAGCCGTTAGATGCAATTGAGATCTCACTCTCCCTGATTCTCATTCGACTTTAGCCTTATTTCCACTTTTATATTGTAACTTTAATTAACTTTGAATTTGATTTTTCTTTTTGGTTGTAACTTTAATTCATTTTGCTTTTGGTTTGTAACTTTAAAGGATTTGGAATTGGAATGCTTGATAAATATAACTTTAATTGGAATGCTTGGAATTGTAACTTTAATTTTCTTTAGGTTGTCAATTTATAATATCCTTGAGGAGATTGTGAATTTATAATATGTTTGAGAATTTGAGGTTGTGTATTTATTTATTTAGGTTGTGAATTTATATTTTTTGTGAATGCTTGAGAACTTGCGGTTTTAAACCGCTAATTCGCGGTAATCGACCGCAATTTGCGGTTTACCGCAAATTGCGGTCGGTTCGCGGTTTGGAAAATCCCCATACCGCAAATAGTCGGTCGGTTCGCAGTTTGGCCAAAAATTCGCAGTTACCGAACCGCAACCACCCCTACTTTTATGGAACATAACTACTCATATTATCTTTTCTTAATTCTAAAAATAAAATAACAAAAAAAAAGAAAAAAGAACCAATGTGCTAAGGGGCAAGTATTATATTATATATAAATGTGATGGAACACGACAATAATTTATTTGTTAAACTAAAGCAGACCACGCTGTACTTTTTGGGATATATGATCCTGATTCAAAGCAAACGTCCGGTCATGAACAGACAGAAAAACTGGGTGATTTTAAAAGTATAATGATGTAGGGGAGCAGTGGCGGAGCTACGATTTTATATTTGAGGGGGCCAAAATGTTAACACAAAAAGTTTAGTTGTATATTTTTTTGGCCTATTGAGTAAACTATTGCGTACAAAAGCACTAAATTGAAATGCGTGGTTTTTTTTCATAAAATGTAGTATGATTTTACTATTATATTCACATTAAAATACAATTTTGACTAGTATTGATTTGTGGTGAGAGGGCCATAGGCTTAAGTATAGCAATTTTTCTTTGCATTTGTTACCACATCCAATATATATATTCAAAAGGGTTAAATAAATTGGAGGGGCTAGGGCCATCCCAGGCCTTAGTACAACTCCGCCCCTATAGGGGAGGGGATAGATGAATGTCGTTCAAGCCAACTCAACCCAGCATACATCTGTAGTTCGGTTGGAGAGCAATGTTATTTGTACGATATTTATTGACGACTTAAAGAAAACATGTAATGAGGACTTGGCCTCTGAAAATGGCAAAGCTGCAATTAGAGATCTCACTATATCTTTTGTACTTGTACATATTAAGGGGTGCACAAAATCAAACTAGTAAGTAAAAGGATATTTATTCTATTCAAAACCCCATTCATCCAAAAAAAAAAAAATTATTTGAAAACTGAACTGGAACGGAGGCGCGAAGAATTTCATTTTCAGGGACTTTGAGCTCTATTCTCAGCTGTGACGTCCTGACCACCCCACTTCCTCACGCGTTTTGCTGCTTGCTTCACCTGCAGTTTCATTTCAATGTGGATATTTTCAACTCTCACAGCGTTTATGATTTGCATTGAATTGAAATATTGATTATACCTCTTCGTTCCAGTTGGTTTTGTAGAGCACAATCATCAGAAGCAAGGTTTGGAGAGCAGTTCCACATATCATGCCCCCCCCAAACTCCCTGCATCAAACACTTGTGATGAATTAACGTAACCTACTTGGAATTTGGAAATGATACCATATATCTTAACTTACCATCACACCCAGATTTGCAGTATAACCAAGAAGATATCCAAGAGGAAGTCCAAAAATGTAGTAACAACCCAAGTTTATATAAGCTACCAGTGCCTGCCATCCACCTCCAATTGCAACCCCTTCAAGAACCAAGCAAGCAAACATGGGCATCAGCAGAAGAAGTGGCATTATTTGTAGAACATTTCATAAACTTAGTCGCACGTCAAACGGGTACCTGATATTATTGGCTGGATGCTGTTGAGCAACATAGTTATACCAAGAAGATATGCTAGCTTAGCGACCGCTTGTTGCAGATCCTTGTCACTTGTAAAAATTACGGAAAATCTGTCTTTGGTTATCAAGATCACAATCATTAAAAAAATCCCCATTAGAAGACACTGAAATACTGTCACATAGACAGAATATTTGGTTCCTCTTGGTCGTCCTGATCCAAGCTCATTGGAGACACGCACACTGCATTATTAGTGGAAATTAAAAACCTTAATTAACTCATTCGCCAACATGAGAATAATCATTCAAATGCAATATGCAATGCTCATTCACCTTATTGCCGCATTTATTCCAACGAACAACATTAGTTCAAATCCGTTGATGTTCATGCTGCAGAAGCCAAAAAAATGAAGGAAAATAAGAGAATGGTATTAGCATTAGGTATAAAAAGTTTATCATTAGCCACCGTGGTATTAGCATTAAGATGTTAATTACCAAATAGAAAGGGAACCAACTGCTATAACTGCATTGTCAAGATGGCCTGTGAGAATGAGTATGCTCATGAAGTACCAAACCTCAAGGCAGAGCATGACAGCAGAGGCAAGGGAAAGTCTTACAAAAGCCCATATCTCCTTGAAAGCCAACCATGAAAACCCAGTCCAGCCGTCCCTGCACCAACCCATTATATACACAACTTGAGCAATTGCCATGCCCCATCTTGCAATGTTAAATGCAACAGCCGCACCCAATGTGCCCCAACCAAACACCAAAATGAAGAGACAGAGCATCCCAATTTGTATGATCAAACCCAAAACTGCAATCCATGCCAGAACCTTAACCTTTCTCTGAGCCTGAAGGAACTTCTGAGACGGAAAAATAATGGCAAGTGAGAACAATGAGGGGATTGTTTGGATTGTAAATTCTCCAGCTAGATTGGCTATTTCATCTTCTTGGCCTAGCAACTTTAAAACGGGTGTGGCAAAGATGTATATTGGCAAGATGCAGAGGGTGGTTACAAATAGGATTATCCATGAGCGCTGCATGTAAATCCCAAGCATATGAATCTGCCCAGCTCCAAATGCCTGCCCACACAGGGTCTCCAGAGCACTCCCCATGCCAAGCTGCATAATATAACATATTCATATTTTTGACATTCTTAAAGTTGCCATATTGGTACAATTCATGCATCCATATCAATGTTCTCTTGCCAAATATATATGTAATTAATGTTTTTTTCATTTCATCTACCTAACTAATAGTCGAAACTTTAAATTCGTAGTCTGGCAACATATAATATAACATGTGCTTGACATGAGGGGAATTAAGGGGAAGAAAATTAACCAAGAATCCAAAAGCGAAAGTGGTAATGACGGAGAGAGAAATGGAGACGGCTGAGAGCTCTACAGCTCCGAGATGACCAACAAAGATAATGATAACTGAGGTAGTCCCATACATACACAACATAGTGATCACTGTGGGACCTGCTATTTTCCAGAGCTTCACTGTCTCGATCCAAAACATATGCCTCAACGCATCGACGCTCCTCACCGGCGCATAGTCTTCGTTCACACCTTCATACAGATCATGAGGTTTAGTGCTCAACTGATCAGAGCCAGCAGCTGTGTCCAGTAGTGGCTCCTCCATGAAGATAGGTAGATAGGTCACTAAGGTTGTAGCTCTGAAAGTCAGTTTGGTTCCTTCATTATATATATATATATATATATATCAGCTGTAGCCGTGCGTTCTCATGAATCAATCAACTTAACTTATTTAATGTTTAAAGGTGCTCTGGAAGAATTATTTAAATTGAACTTAAGTATCCCGGTCGTTCGTTTCTCCGCAGACTCTTATAATTTATTTGTTAGATAAAGCAGAGCGCTGTCCGCACTACACTTGTTGGGATATGATATGCTAATCCAAAGGAAAAGTCCAGCCATGAAAAGACGGGGAAATCAAAATCGCTCAAGCTGCTACCGTTGGTTCGTTTTGAACAAGTCTATCCCAACCCAACCCAACCCAACCTGTGCATTTGGCATTCATAACTCTGGGTTAGGAATAGGGTTAGGCTTAGGGTTTTGAAGCGGAGGGTATTGGTAATAATATGGAGCGGAGGTGTAATCTCCGTGTTGCATCGCTGATTGAGGACGAGAGACTAATGCTACCGGGTTTAGTTGGTATAGAATTTGATCAAGACTAATGTTATTTGTATTACATTTAGAGACGAATTTAAAAGTCTTCTCTTGTTAGGGTCATCGGTAATATTCCACAATTTCTCCAACTGCTTCTACAATAATGATAATAATATAATATATCTATTGAAACTTGTTTATGCTATCTGATTCTAAGGCTGCTTATTTCGTGGAATTTGCATGCATATAAACGTGAGCCACGCGCCTTTCTCAGTTTGCAACTTTGAAGTTCATTCTCCATTTTTAGGTGCTTGAATGAATGCATATGTTTATGACCAAAAAAGAAAAGAAAAGAATGAACGCATATGTAACATATATAACAGGTCATTGTGGTACAGATTGGCCCAAACCAATAAACAAAAATTGAGTTTGAGCCATCCTTTTGTGGGCTGTTTGAAGCCTGCAATGGCCCATTTCCCAGAAGATAGATGTTTTGCCGTTTAACGCGTTGGTTGGCTCATTTAGATTATAACTTACAAGAAAAGAAAAGGAAACTCAAATAAAAAAACACAAACAGGCTGGGCTGAAACTGAAGAGAGGGAGGGCGAGAGAGGTGTGTGTGTGTGTGTATGTGTTGTGTAGGTCACGTGGGGATGTGCACTAACAACGTAAATCAAACTGGGAATTACTGTTGGACACGTGGTTCTAAGCGAATATAATGCGCGAATCTAACGGTTTTGATTCGATCACTGGGGAAAATAAAGACACTCTCTTCATTGAAGCTTTCAGTTGCATTGCGTGTTGTGTTGTGTGCTTCCTCACCTGCTATTGCCGGTCATTGCATGAAATTAACGATACAAAAATTACGAAAGAAAAGAAACTGAAATGAACGAGAAAATCTTTTATCTATAATGATCAAGTACAATACAATTGACAACTATTTTATGGGAATAAATAATGAGAAAATAAATAAAAAAACACGAACACACGTTATTTAATAATAACACATCTCCCTTATAATTGTTTTTCATGTACCCAAGGGCAAACTGTAGCATATATATTTTAAAATAAAGCAGCTGTCCATTGAACATGACTCCTTCAAGTGGAATTAGTCAAATCATAATGTGTATATATTACATGAAATGACAGGAAAGGGGGCCTTTTCCTTTTCTTAATTAATCACTACTAAATTGCAATAATAAACAAACTTAAAAAACAACACAAAGAGATCTACAATAACGTGGTTTTATAAGACACGGTCACTGATAGACCATGAATTTTTTAGCAGATGTGCAATTTTGAAAGTTAAAAACTCTTTGTGGATTGAATATCTAAAGCTTTTTACCTAGATTGACCTTAGGTCCCTTCATACATTCATATCATACATGAAAAATTGTTTTATATAAAAATATTGACTAAGTATGAAAAATGATTTTTCGGAATAATCATTTTCTCAAGATAATTTTGTACGGCTTTTATTCCTTACACATCAAGTAAGAAAACTTAATTTTTATGGGATTTTAGTATGAAGTATATATTAACTTAATGAGCCATCATTTTTAGCCTAAATCATATTTTGCACTAAACCCGAATTTTCATATTTTGATTTGGTGGGAATTTGATTTTCTAGTATTTTTATTTGAATCCAAATGGGGTACTTCCTTATTTATATTGTAAACTTAAGTAAATGAAGTAATATAAAAATAAATGAAAGTAAAAAGACAAAGACATTTATTTAAATGTTGAAATTGGAAATAAGGTAAGTTGAACAAATTGGCAATTTGAAGTACCTACAATGATTTTCTCTACAAAAGAAAGTACAGTTGTACCTCCTTGTGCCTTAATAGGTCCGCCACTAGACACAGTATAGGTTAAGGTTAAGGATAATGTTTGGATCACTGTTTCTATGAAATATCCTTAATTAATTTATTGCAACTTCACCGAAAACAAGCTGCAAACAGAGAGGGCAGAGTTGTAGCTTTAACCGGCTGTAGCCGGTGTCATGTGGAGACTAGAGAGTCGAAATGAATTGAAACCGGTTTTAATTGCGTACGGACAATACCAAAATATTGTAACGGAGAGAGGAGAGGAGAGGAGAGGTCCGGTTATTTCGTATTCAGTGATCGCTTTCGGCACCGCAAACGCCTAAAAGACGTGTTAACGAAATTTTGCAACGCGAAACATGAAAAACTGAATGTGGTCACCAGTCGACAGCTATAATCTTAAAAAACCCACCCAAAACAAAAACAAGGAAGCCCGTAGTTTTTTATTGGTAGTTATAAAATAACTGACAAGCCACGTGTAAGTTTTTTTATTGATGAAAGAAAATATATATATTGATTAATATTTCAGATAAATGCACCCATAATGTTGTTTAGTGCACCCAAAATGCCCGTGAAAGGGCACTCATTTGATTTCATAATTCTCATGCTCACACTCCACATAACGCGTGCTACGTGGAAAATACACCCACCGGTCATGGATGGAGATTTTGGTGTTTCGACATTAAATTTGTTGTGATATTATATTTGATATGATCCTGATATATATATTTATATTGGACCAGGGCAATCTTATTCAATTTGGTTTTTATTACATAAAATTAGTCTTGAATGTGTTTTATTAAAACTCCATAAGAGCATACATCGAATTCGGAGATGATAAAATATTTCAAACCCAACATGTAATGTGCCCAAGTTAGAATCGTTTTCTGTATTTCTATTTCAACTTTATGCCCAACATGTGATGTGTCCAAGCTTACAAGTATCTATAATTATTTTTCTTTTTTTTCTTTTAATTTAACCAAAGTATGGAAAATGAAATTACTATTATTATTTTTCGTTTATCATGCCAGATTTGATTATAATATTTGTGGGTGAGGGTGAGATATTTAACGAGAAAAACGAATAAGCATACCACACTCAATATTAAATAATAATGAATGATCACAATAACTACATGTATATTAATTATTAAACGAGGAAAACGAATATTATGATTGTCTAATTCAAGTTGTCACATTCGCACATAACCTTTACACTGTGGAAAATGAAATATGCATACTTTAATTTTATTATTAACAACACAATTACCATCATGCCACACTCAATGGTTATATATACTTGCTTTATAAAAAAAAGGAAAAAATAGAAGATGTTGGTTAGCAATATGAACATAGATGATAAAATATATTTGGTTAGAAAAAAAAATTGTCCTTGTGCCAGTAGGCGCTCTCAATCGTTAATGTTAGTTATTAATGCGTGTGATATCAACATTTTATCAACATATGAGAAATAGCAATCGTATACGGATGACTGACTGAATACCTAATAAAATTATATTTGCAGTTTTTCATTTTATAAGACATTTCTTATTAAGGAGGGTAATAATATATAAAACTCGCACACACAATATAAATTTTAGGATTTAAACCTAAAATTTTATCCGAAAAATCAATTATTATAAACCACTACAACTCTAGGTGTTGGCTCAAGTGAAGTCTTAGAGACATTGAACCAGTTGGAGAATTGATTTTCAAGTAAAAAATCACCGCATCGAATGGTCGACAGGTAGCTGCTTCTTCCTGTATGAGCCACCTCTTGGACCAATGAAAAGCCACACATTTTATTATTTTATAATTTATAAATTTTTTAGAGTGTGGCTTTCGTGTGGCATGAATAGCGTGTGCGTGTTACTCTCCTCAAATAGCGCGTAGAGCTCATGCAGTCGGCGCTAATTGGATTCCAACTAGGAACCGTTTAGTCCCGGTTAAATCTAACTCCCTAACCAAACAGGGGCCCACATCCTCAAATGACAAAAATATCCTCCTCCAATGCCACGAGTTAAAGAGTGATTCCTCCTCCTCCTTCTGTTAGCTCTACCAACTCCTAAACAGACGGCTTTTCCAATTAAAGTAGTCGAGTGCGTGATTACCATTTTTGCCCTTAGGAAAAATATAAATAGTTATTGTTTAGGTGGCGGTGGTGGTGATGGTGGGTGCACCGTGCACAGGACAGGATGAGGAAGAAAAGCTGTGATATTTTATATAGAAAGCAAAGGGGAAAGGAATTTGGTAATTTTGGATGTTTAGAATGTGCTTTCCGGGGTCACAGATTTTTATTCGATAAATACATGGTACATGGACGTCGAGTTAGGCAAGGGACAAGTGGCACATATGTTATGTGCTCGACACGTGTCGAGTTCTGGATGCCTCGGGTTTTCTGTAGCTTGGATGGTTTAGTTGCTAACCAAACCAAATAGTCATGCATATTGTCTCACACGCAACCTTTCTATGAAACATCAAGTAGTTGGTAACTTGGTATTGGAGCGAAATTTCACGCAAAATAAATACACAAAAAAGTTAAGTTTCAATTCAAAGCATTTCTTCTTTTCTTTTTTTTCCCGGAATGAGGAATTCGAACACAAATTCTTATATACGGTCAATTCCTCTTGTTACACGCTTGAGCAACAAGTTATTTACATATATAATTATACTTGCAAGACTTATTATTATATCTACATATATAATTATACTTACAAGACTTATTATTATATGATATGTGGCAGTGCTAATTGTTAAAAGCATATATAGTTGACCCGCACCTCACCTCTTCCAAGCATGAGGGGATGATTTTCGTAATTTTGGCTGTGTTAGAATAATTGGTGATTGGACAAACGTTTTAGGAGTTGAAAAGGTGGTATAGCGACTGGCGTTTTGTGGTCAAATGCTTTGGTTCTAAGACTTTATCCCACGGGTTGTGTGGCTAAGAAATTCAAATAAAAATCACCACCACCAGCCAAACACAAGCATCAAAACAAAATTCAATTCAATCGGGATCAAAGTGTGTGATTATTTTTTTAATGGAAAGATGCTCCAAATATATATTGTAATAGCTTGGCATTTAAGCCAAATGAACAAGGTGTGGACAACAGCTATGGATTCTTTCATGACAAGCATGTTGTTGTGGTTTTTTTTTTGGGGTGGGGGATAATTGAAGGATTTTAGCATTTAGTAAACAAATTTAAGAAATTAATGTCTACGGAGCTTCATGATTTCGGCCAAATGGGCAGGAGATTCCACCAACTAAAATTAAGATGTGGACCTTTAAGTGTAAGGCCTAAGGCCCTCACATGTTATATCATTTTTCAGCATCCTATGTGACGACGTTTAACAACCATTTTTAACCATATGGGTACGAAATTGGGTGAGAAAAAAAAAGTTGTATTGTATGTGCCACTTTATTTTATGTGTTTTATTGTATTGTAGCAATTATTACTGCACCTGAGATCTGTGTTTAAATATTCTCCTTATAATATATCTTATATTAAAAGAAAACAAAACATTTATAAAAAAAAAGAAAAAAGATATTTGGTCATATATCCATTTTTAGTACTAATATTATAGATAAAACATACACCATTTGATTTCTGTAAACAAACCCAAAAAATGACAGCTGGCCTTATTGAATTTAATTTTGATTATTAAATTACTTTCATGCCCTATTGAGGGTTTTTTTTATGAAGTTTTAGGGTTGAGTTTATTTTAAGAAATTAATGGCAGTTTTGTAATTTAAAAGAAATTAAAAGTCTTTTTGTTATGTTGTAAATGGACTTTTGGTGTATTTCTAAAGTTCATTTCATGTACGGTTTTTATAATTTGGGTTTATATATTTGGTATAATAATGAATCTCCTGTTTATTATTAATATAAAATAATTATGGTGGTATGTCACAAATAAACAAATAGTAGTAATGGTGGTGGGATTTTACTATATGTAGTGAAACCCTGACTGCATTGCAACAAGTGATGCTATGACGGATGTATGTTAAGATTGGGTGCCCAACAATTTCTGGTGAACGTCTCCCTCTTTGCCCCTACTTTATCCACTTTTGTCAGTTACACAATGAATACATGTACACAATAGGATGAAATCAATTACTTCATCTTCTAAGCTAAAAAAAAATTTCGTAACTTCATCTTTTATGAACATTGTATGATATCCGTGTTCATTCGTCATATATAAACGACAGAATACTTTTTTTTTCTTTGGGGTAAGATAAGTGGGTGGGTAGAGAGAAGCATGAAACGACGGTAGCAGCAATCTTCATGTTAAAGAAATTAGATTTGCAGTTGGGTGGCATATATATGCCCCCTTAAAGAAGGTAGATTTATAATTTAAAGCTCTAGAGTATAGTCAACTTGCAAGCAACTAGTTCTCAATTTTCTTGTTGATGTTTTACTTGATGATGGAGAGGAGGGGGGAGGGGGGGGAGCAATATTTCTTTTTTCGCTTGAGGTTTAGAGGATAAGGCTATCTAGTTAGACAGATAACTAAGCTTATATGTATAAAAAAACTCGCCTAATTCCACACGACATGGTCCAATTTTTGTACTAATTACTTACCCTCCTATCAGTAAGCTTTAAAATGAAAAGATACATAATTTGAACATTATCATTTCACATGGCCATACACATACAACTTCTGTGGGGTCCGGAAACCCCATCTTTCTGAAGAACTAACATCTATTTGACCAAATTAGATAAATATAAACCATGATTTCACGAGGTAAACAAATTAATCGACAAATTGTAGATTCATTTGCAACATGAAATGTTTGAGTTTACGACTCATCTTTTACAAGCATCACAAGTAGAAGTATATTCTTAGCAACATCAACTCAGTAGATCATTTTGTATTTTTAAAAACAAAAAAGTTAAAATTAAAATAAAATTTATTTATGTCGGGCTAAAATATTATAATGGTTGTGGGGGAGAGGTTGGCGACGTAGACAAAGGGTTGTTTTTTTTTTTTTTTTTTTTTTTTTTTGGGGTCAAAAAGACAAAGTTGAGGTTTAATATCCCTTCATACGTAAAGCCCTGCAACCGACTCGTGTCAGTTAACCCCCCAAGAGTCAACCGGGAATCGTCCGTTAGGACAAACCAGCTACTGGAATTTCGAATCCGCGAACTAGCAAACAGAGAGGAACCATTTTACAGTGACGGGGCCGTCATTTACCCTTGCCTGAAAGCACAACCCCATTAGCTACACGTGGTTGGGGTGTCGCTTTCTCGGTGCTCTGGATTGCATTTTCGGGGCTCTTGTCGAAGGCCTTTTGGAATAGTTTGTAACTGTCCTGTCAGATGATCATAGCCGAATAAAGATCATCTCATTCACTCAAGCGAAAAAACACACACCCCACCACCTCCCCACAAAGCCTTTGTCTCCACGCGCCCCGAACTCCTCGTCTCATTCTATTGGTCCGTGCTTTCACGCTCACTGAAATCTCGTGCGGATCCTTGATTGTAAATTTAAAACGGAAGGCCTAAGCTGTAAGCGAAGAGTATATCTACACGGAGCATCCACCGTTCACCGCCATAAATCTAGATCAAAAGTTAATCCAACGGTGGAAACACGATGGCGTACGTTTTCGCGTGGATTCATTTAGGAATTGTAGGACTTAATAATGAAAAAAAGACACCCAAAAAACCAAAAACCAGAAAGCAAAGCTACGAGCGCTCGCTCTCTCTCTCTCTCTCTCTCTAGTTGGAATCTGCCTTGGTTATATTCATTTCATTACAATTACAAATGAATTCAAGGCGATAATAAGAGAGAACGAAACTGTCTCTTCCTCTTGTTTCCCAAAATCCCATGCGTTTCTTCCTCTTTTAGCCTTTTTTACCCTTCTTCTCCCTCGCTCGGAAAACCCTGAGAAAAACAGCAGGAAGAGCGAAAGCCTCCAGAAATGCAATCAGGCTTCACAGGTGGAGCCGGAGCTGGCGGTGTACCTGATTTCTACGCCGGCGGGCGATCCATCTCCATCGCCACAGCCATGAACAACCACCACCAGCACCCTTCTCAGCCTCCCTACCACCGATCTTCACTCCCGGGCCTCTTCCTTGACAACCCCTCCTCCCAGATCGCCCGCCAAACACAATCCCAATCCCAATTCCAAACCCAAACCCCATCAACTCTCATCGGCAAGCGCACGCTCGCCGAGTTTCAAGCCCATCAGCAGCAGCACCACTACCACAACCCGAACCATAACCTCTATTTACGCTCACTGAAACCCAGAACATTCCAACACTCCTCTCCCATATCCCCTCTCTCTCCCATAGACTTCTCCTCTTCATCGACAATTACTGGCTCTGACTCTTCGTCTTCGGCATCGTCGCTAGTGTCTCACCAACGCTTCGGTTTGCCCCTTCTTCAGCAGCTCCGCCCTCAGCCCGTTCACCAGACGCTACCACCTGCCGGGTCCTTCGTCAACAACAACCCGGTTCAGAATCAGACCCGGGTTGTCTCCGGTGTGGACTCCGAGAAGAAAATGATTAGCAACAGGCTGCAAGAGTTGGAAAAACAGCTCCTCGACGATAACGACGAGGAGGACGAAGGCGACGCCGTTTCGGTCATTACTAAAACTAGCAGCGAGTGGTCTGAGACGATACAGAACCTGATCGGTCCGGGTCCGGGTCAGAGCCAGAAGCCCGTTTCGCCCTCCCCCACTTCGTCATCGTCTTCTTCGTCCTCCGTGGCTTCCCCTGCTTCCTCCACGTGTTCCAAGCAGTCGCTTATGGAGGCCGCTACGGCCATTTCCGAAGGGAAATCTGAGGCCGCGGCTGAGATCCTCACGCGCCTGACGACGTCGCAGGTTCCGAATCCTAGACCCAATTCCGAGCAGAGGCTTCTCGAGGTCATGACTTTAGCTTTGAAGTCCCGGGTCAACCCGGTCGATAACCCGCCTCCGGTGACCGAGCTCTTTAGCCAGGAACACGCCGGGTCGACTCAGTTGCTCTACGAGCTGTCCCCCTGTTTCAGGTTCGGGTTTATGGCCGCTAACCTCGCAATCCTGGAAGCGACGTTGACGGACAAATCAGCGACCAATAAGGTTCATGTGATTGACTTCGATATCGGGCAGGGCGGTCAGTACGTGCTCCTTCTCCAAGCGCTACCCGCGCGTCCGAATGGTTTGCCTGCCACGGTGAAGATCACCACCGTCGCAGATAATGGCGGGGAGGACAGGTTGACGATGGTAAGACAGAAGCTGAGTAAAGTCGCCAAGCAACACGGTGTGGTCCTGGAATTTAACATAGTGAGCCAGAAACTCGCCGAGCTGAACCGTGAGTCACTAGGTTGCGAACCGGACGAGCCGATCGCCGTGAATTTCGCTTTCAAATTGTACAGTATGCCCGACGAGAGCGTGTCCACGGACAACCCCCGCGACGAGCTTCTGCGGCGCGTGAAGGGTCTGTCGCCGCGTGTGGTGACGCTGGTTGAGCAGGAGCTCAACACAAACACCGCCCCGTTCATGGCGCGCGTTAGGGAGACGTGCGGGTATTACGGGGCGCTGTTGGAATCAATCAAGTCGACGGAGGCGGGGGATAACTCGGAGCGAGTGAAGGCGGAGGAGGCGCTGAGTCGGAAGCTGATAAACTCGGTTGCTTGTGAAGGGAGGGATCGGGTGGAAAGATGTGAAGTGTTTGGGAAGTGGCGGGCCCGCATGGGGATGGCGGGGTTCGAGTTGAGGCCCATGAGCCAAAACATGACCGAGGTTTTGAAGCAGGGACTCAGTTCGGGTAATAACCGAGTCAACTCGGGGTTCACGGTTAAAGAAGAGAATGGAGGGGTTTGCTTTGGTTGGATAAGCCGCACTCTCACCGTCGCATCCGCTTGGCGTTAACTAATTTTCTCCCTGTCTTTTTGGTTTTTGGTTTTTTATAATAATTTTAATTTTTCATTTTCTGGCTAATATTATTATTATTAATTGTTATAAAAATACTCTTATGATTATTATAATGTAGTAGCCTGTAGGCCGTAGGCTGTAAGCTTTCCTGATAAAATGGAAAAGGCGGAGGAAGAATGCCCACCAAATGAAAAAATAATAAAAATGCGAGAGGTGTTTGGATTTCCCTGAAAATTTATTCTCTCGCTGCATTCATGATCATGATTGTCGTTTGGTTTTGGGTTTAGGTTTAAATGTGAATTGTGGATTGTGGCGTTAGGTATAATTTTGCTGACCTTGCGTTGTAATGTAATGTGGTTTGCGATTTGTTTGTATTACCAAGTACCAACTATCAGGGCTCCACTCATATTTTATATATTTGGTTTTTCTTGTATTTATGTTATTTTTAGGGAAACTTTAGGTATTTGTCTTCCGACGTGTCGGGTTCTGATTGGACCTTTAGGAAGGCCAAATGTGGTATGGAGATTTTCACTGCAATTTCTTCCATTGTAAAACAATACTGGTGCTATAAAAAGTCTTTTCTTTTTCTTCCAGAATATTACCAAACATTTTCGAGTATAAATCCATTGACATGAGGACAATGCAGGACAAAATATGTGGCTGGCGAGTTTGTTGGTTGGGACGATTTGAGGATCTTGGGTATTAAATTAGACAATGGCATGGCAAGTAGGCAACGGAAATCATTCGTCATTTACCACTATTATACTCCAATCCAATATCAATGGTTTATTATTCTTTAATTAATTTTAACATTCTATTCCCACTTTCATTTCGGTTGCTATTCAAGTAGGTTTTTAAGAATAATTAATAAATACCACTTTCATGATGTAATAAAGATTTGTTTCCAACCGTTACATCGAATTAACAACAGTTTAAGATGTGATTAAATCTATCTCGATCGTGATACAATAATGTTTGAGCCATTTTGCTCCACATTTGCGATGGATTGAGGAGCAATTGAAATGGAATTTGTGAGAGCTAATATACATTTATAGAAAGGGAGACGAATGGATAAATTTTTTAATACAGATAAATAACAGTATTTTATTGAAAAAAGATGAGTAACTACCTAGTACAAAAATCAAGCTATATTGCTGGAAATTAAGCGAGTATCTCTACACCAATAAGAGACAAATAGATAAATTATAGTATATGAATATTTAGTAAACAATCATAAATAAATATGCATTGAACTAAAATGATATAATAATATTTGCATCATGAATGACTGTACAGTAAACAGTTATTGCAGCTGTCGACCCCAGCGAAATTCTCATAAATACATTAACCCACAAGGTTAGTGTTCATGAAAGAATAATGATATTGGGGGGGGGGTGTGCCTAGCCTGTGCTTTGGTAGCAAAATGTGGTGTGGGAGAGAAACATTAAATTACCATATTAAATGTGACAATCAAAATTTGATAAAAAGAAGAAGAAGGGAGAATTTATGGTGCGTGCCCAATAGAAATGAATAATAATGATAGGAGTGTTGGATTTGATGGGCTGAATTATCAGACTTGTGTCACCCAAAAAGTGAAGTTGAGTACCCATCTCACTGCACAAAGGAACCATCCTCGCCTTAAAAGTCAAAATCCTTTTCTTTTTGCAGAACAATAAACTTTTTTTATTTTTGGTCTTTAAATAAATTTTACTTTTCACCCATTGTCGGAGGAAATTGCCGTAGATCCCTCCGATTTTTTTAAAAAATAAATCGTATAGACGCGCGACTATACTTTGGAGTATTTTTAAATTTGTTTTTATAAAAATAATAGTATAGCCGCGCGGCTATAATGTTGAAATATAATATATTTAAAGCGTAGCTACCAGGATTTTTTATGGGCTTCAGATGCAAAAGACAAAAATAAAACTTTTTCATGGGCCATTCTCACAGGAATAAGAAAAAATAGACCCGTTAGCTCAATATGAAACGGGCCGAAGAGCAACTCTCTTGGACTTGGGCCACAAAATCAATACCGTCCCCTCGTTCTCAATGAACGCTGAGCGTTGACTGACAAATCAACGGGAAAGGAAACTGAACAACATAACCGAGTCATAAACCTCATCTCAGTCATCTACCCCGACGCTCGAGTGTCAAGTCACTGAGCCACCAAAATGCTCGTGTCACTGAGACTACCTTCTCTGAGCTCGCTCTTCTCCCCCTCCATCTCCGGCCGTCATCCGGCGGTGCTCCTGCGACGCTACCACCGCTGGTTCTCGGTATTCGCAGCCGGTTTCTCGGCTCAGAGCACGGTGTCGGTGTCCAACGAGGACGCAGTCCATAGTCACAGGACTTCAATGCTTGGTACCTTGATGTCATTGAACAAGCTGAGCTCGCCGATTATGGTCCGGTTTGCGGAACCATGGTCATTCGTCCCTACGGTTACGCCATTTGGGAAGCCATTCAGGTACTCCAAGCTGGACCTCCTCTGTTCTATTGGATTGGTTGCATTAGTTTTCAGTTCACAGTTTTTAAAGTAATTTTCATTTTTGTAGGATTATCTGAATATGAAATTCAAGGAGACTGGTCACAGTAACATGTATTTCCCACAGGTATTGAATTGCATTCTTTTGTTTTGCTTTTGTTTTTTAGATGCTAAGTTATAGATTTATTGCTATTTTTATGGTCATGGTCAAATCAATTAGGCGCATGAATGAGTTCTAATTTCACGTGTTGCATGTGTAATGTATGCTTATAACTGTGAGTTGTTTGTGTGTGGAATGTTGCAGTTTATACCATACTCGTTTATAGAGAAAGAAGCTAGCCACGTTGAAGGTTTTAGTCCTGAGTTAGCACTTGTGACGATAGGAGGAGGGAAGGACCTTGAAGAGAAACTTGTGGTGCGTGTTCTCTTCAACTAGCTTTTGTTGTATTTCTTCTTTATGTGTATGTGATCGTAAAAGCTGAATCATATTGTGCTCAACTGTTGAAGTTACTGAGTAACTATGACCTAAGGTGTGGCTTTGATTGTTGCTTTTCCTGAGGCTCTGGCAGGTTCGACCCACGAGTGAAACCATAGTCAATCACATGTTCACCCAGTGGATTCATAGTTACCGTGATCTTCCACTTATGGTTAACCAGGTATGATGCTTTGTCTCATTATTTGCAGTGCTTCAATTTTCATTAGAAGAATTTCCCACTAAGCTTTGGTCTTTCTCATGAGGAATTTAATTCAGTGGGCAAATGTCACAAGATGGGAGATGCGGACAAAACCTTTTGCGAGGACTCTTGAATTTCTCTGGCAGGAGGGATACACATCTCATGCCACTCTAGAGGAGGCAGAAAAAGAGGTTTGTGTCTGACATAATGACTGCCCTTAAACAGTTGCAAAATAAGTATCATTTTTCTTTAATACATTAGTTCCGCTCAACTGCAGGCTATACAGATGATTGATGTGTATACAAAATTTTCTTATGAGCAAGCTGCAATACCTGTTATTGCAGGTCGAAAGTCAAAAGTGGAAACATTTGCTGGTGCTATTAGGACCTACACAATAGAGGCTATGCTGGGTGATCGAAAGGCATTACAGGCTGGAACCAGCCACAATATTGGGCAGAATTTTTCTCGTGCATTTGAAACACAGGTATTTTGATATGCTAGTGTGGTTCTTGGTCAGTTTTATTCCAGATGATTCAGAAAATCAAAGCCTCATTTATACCATTCTATCCAAGTCCATCTGATGTCTAATGGCCTTTCTAAAGTATTCAACTTGTGTAAGTTGTTGCTGTGATTGGATAATCATGAGCTTGTATCCTCTAATCGTTTGTACAATCCATCAAATATAGAGGAGTTTGACCAAAAGTTGTGCACGCAGTTTACTGATGAAAGTGGACAGAGGCAACATGTGTGGCAGACTTCATGGGCTGTCAGTACCCGTTTTGTTGGCGGTACTTATGACCCATGGAGATGATACAGAGTTAATGCTTCCCCCAAAGATTGCACCAATACAGGTAAAGTGCTAAGTTGGAGACCTTTATGCATTTTATGATGCTGATGCAGATTCTTAGAGTTGTGGTCATTTGCTTGTATGGATGTAAACCAAAAGCTGCAGTAAGACTACCTTCTGTAATAGACTATTTTAGAAGTATAATCTATGATATGCCAATGTCAGTGTCTTAGCATACGCTGTGTTTAGTATAAGGGAAACTGGAAACTTGTATGTTAGTTTGGTTTAAGTCGCAAGTCATTGGGTTGATTCCTTGCTAGTTTGGGTACTGAAAATCTAATAGTTGTGAATGGCTTCATGAGAGGAGTAGCTAAAGGCTGCTGTAGTAATCTAACTTTAAAATATGTATCCTTGTTTGTGGCTTGTTATTATATAGCAAAGTTGTAAAATGCATCTCATGGACACTGAAAATTGTGATGCATGCAACGACAAAGTGCATGCCAGTTATGAAAGGAGAAAGTTTTCTATTGATCTTCTGGCTTGTTGTAGTTGGATTAATATATTCTCCCACAGCACATGATTATTTGTTTTAAACGTTCTCTGTTCTCATAACTAAGAATTCATGCCTTGTTATGCTTAGAGTTCAATTTGGCTGTGCTTGTTTGGTATGTTGCATCTGCCCAGGTGTGTATGCAGACATGGCTTCTTCTTCTTCTTTTGTGTTTATTTAATAAATTCCTTGTTTGCTTCTAGGTGGTAATCATACCAATTTGGAAGAAGGATGATGATAGATCAGGAGTTCTCAATGCTGCATCATCTGTGAAAGAAGCACTGCAGGCTGCAGGGATTGAAGTTAAACTTGATGAATCTGATCAGAGAAGCCCAGGATGGAAATTCAATTTCTGGGAGATGAAGGTTTGTCCTGATTCTTAAAGATAAATCATAAACGATACTCTTTGGTTTCTCACTAAAAAAGATAAATAAAAAGAAAAGAAAAATGTAATTGTTACCCTTTGGCATGTTGCTTTTAGCACATTAATCTTATGACTTGAAAGAAGCTTATTTATATAAAAGCTCTCAGAATGAAAAGAACTGAAAAGCCATCACATATTAGCCATTCCATTATCTCATTCTTTGACTTGCATGAAAATTGAATGGGATGTTCTCCTAATACTTGTTATGAATTCAAAGATTGCAGAAAATTAGACCTGAAATTGACCTTTCCTCATGCTCCGACTGGCGTTGGTTTTAGTGTGTGTGCTACTTACTGTGAGCATATTGTTTCTTTTGTGTGTTGATACTATTGCATGCACAAATCATATATTGATTCTTTCTCTTGCACGAAGCTACTTATATTATCTATCACCTCAATATCAGGCCTTGGTTTTGTAGGGAGTTCCTTTGAGGATTGAAATTGGTCCTCGTGATGTTTCAAGTGGGAGTGTGGTTGTATCTAGAAGAGATGTTCCTGGAAAGCAAGGGAAAGGTTTTTGGAATATCCATGGAGCCTTCAAATTTGGAGGCTTATGTGAAGGACAAGTTGGATGAGATCCAGTCATCTCTTTTGAGACAAGCAGAATCATTTTGAGATAGGTGCATTTTCTTGCTCTTAACATTTAATAGTTTTTATGAGCTGAAGATGCAATTTCGTCCATTGAGTTTTATAAGCATCATTGGAAAAAATAACTGATAGTGCCCATGAACTCTTTGAAGTTAACCTCAGTATAAGAACCAAAGCTTTTTGCTAATTTTTGTCAAGCCAGGTAGTGGTTATAGTTACACCGTGTCTGCAATTAAGTTGTCACCACTGTCATTCTAGAAAGCCGGAGGAGGGGTTTTCAACGCTGTGGCTATGCAATTGATTAGATATCTATTATTTGGAAGCGTTTTTCACTTGGTTGGAATACTTGTGGAGGCATTGACAATAAGAATGTCTTTTTGCAGCAATATTGTGGATGTAAGCTCATATGATGAACTCAAAGTTGCAATCTCCCAGGGCAAATGGGCAAGGGGTCCTTGGTCCGCCAGGTATGTTCTATTAAATGATGTCTTTGTTAATTGCATGATAAATATGCATTGCATAATGTATACTATTGAGGTAAATTGCATTTATGATTCTAATGTGATGAAACTGCAATGATTGGTACAGTAATGAAGATGAGTTAAAAGTAAAAGAGGAAACCGGGGCAATGATCAGATGTTTTCCCTTTGAACAGCCGTTTGGGATTAAAAGATGCTTGATGACTGGTAATCCTGCAGAGGAAGTTGCCATTTTTGCAAAGTCATACTAAGTTTCCAGGTTTCCCTCGGATCACAACACCCAACCGATATCGTTACTACTCAGTCTGTGTTTTATCAAACTTTCTTTCAATAGACTATAGAAGATTGGACCAAACGATGTCACATACATCTATAAATTGTCAAAAGTGGTTCATTTGCTAAATTCCTTGATTCTTCTCCTCTTTGGAGGAGGATGATTGAGATGTATTGTTATTGTTTTTAGGTCATCAAGAAAGTATTGTTGTTTATATCAAATAAGAAAGTATTGTTGTTCGGTGGTACGTGCCCATTTTGACTCTCCAGAAATTGTTTTTCTTATAATACTTAGATGTTCCTTTCAATTTCAAAGCAGGTTGGTAGACAAAACATTTTCCAAACCTAAAACAAAACAGGTAATTAATGATGAAACAAAAATAAACAAACTTTGAAGCCCCAAAACGAAAACAAAATCCCTAAAAATTTTAGGGGCTCTGGGAGGAAAAGTCGCAAACTTGAGGAAGGACTAGTTGCTTACGCCGAAAGCGATTCCTAGGCTCCACTCCACGCACCAGTTATATTACGACGCCAAGAATGGTTTGTATATTGCGGAGTTTGGATTGTTGCGCCCTGGTGGGGGCCCACAGTTGTGGAAGATGAGATGGACGGCTCAGATGCGATCGGGCTGTTTCCTTGCGCAGGGAGGGAGGAAAGGGCATCATTTTTGGACTTTTTGCAAGTGTGGGGCCCAATTGCTTGTGGTGGGTGGGGTTCTTTCCGTGGAATAAAAGTAATGCGTTAGGGAAAGAGGAATTGTGGAGATTTCCTTCCTTTTTTTAAAGATAAAAATAAAAATGTTATGAAATTGTGCATTCAAAAATAAATACTCGTAATTAAAATGAGAATGTCATTAATTATAATTTTGGTACATAACCTTTTTTCTAACGAAGGTTAATGATATATTAACTTAATAATTGCGTGATTTGGTAGTAATTTAAATTTGTCACCTCAATATATAATATATATATATATATGGTGATGCAGATTTAATTGTAATTGAACAAAGAAAAAAAGTTAAACATTCCAATTTAAACAAATAAAAGAAGTTAAAAATCCCAATATTCTGCGAATTGATTTTCCTATTCCTTCCCTATTTCTTTTCTTTTCCTCATAAGAATCCCTAACTTGTTGGTGATGGTAAATCAGAAATATGTAAGGCTCTAAAAAAGGAATAAGCAGAACAATAAGGGTCATAAATACAAATATGCAAAAACGTTAAGACCCAAAAAGAAAGCATATATTTCTCCTCCTTTCTGAAGTTGTCTAGTGTAAATTATTGATAGTCAGGGTGCTCACTCGTAAATCAAAATTCCGGAGATCCAAAAGTCAAAATTTCCTTTCCTTCCTCAGAAATGGCACTATTTGACTATTGACTTCGAGATTCGTGTTATTTGATTTTTGGCAATCTTTAAGGATACTTTGGGTAATATGATAAAGGACTGAGGGCAGTATTGGTACAATAGTGGCCATAAATACGTGGTGAGAGAGAGGTCTCATCTATGCTCTCATCCAAACAGGAAACAAGAGGAAGTGGGGAGAGAAGATTGAAGAAGAAGAAGGGGAATTAATCAGCGGCCACAAGGTGCAACGTTTGTTCTCCAAAGCCCGGTAATCTACGGCCCTTATTAAGCGATCAAGATCGCGACTGAGATTCGTCTTCTTTGTTTAAAACCTAGAAGAAGGAGAAGAGGAAGACGAAGAGCAATCAGATTTGAAAGCATTTTTTGGTTTGCTTTGGCCAGATTATGAAGGATTTTGATATTGTTAGGGGCCGGAGTCTCTTCGTTGTTGATCGATTCGATTCGTTTTGACCGTGACGGCGATTGTTGGAAAATTGAAAGAACAGGTATTGAAAACCCTAAAGCTTTTGATAATTTGCGTGCGCTTTTTTTGTGGTTAATTTTATCTTTATCATCATCATCCTCTTCGTCGGTCAAGAAAACTACTACGAAGCGAAACCATGAAGCGGCTTCTTATCGACTCTGGATTTGTGCCAATGTCTGATTCATTGGGCTCTGTAGTCACTGCCTCCATTAAAGAACTAGTCCAATTGCAGATCTTGAAGAACTACAGCTTTTTCTTCAAGTTGTCCTTCAGCACGGTACTGGATTTCACGGAGCTTAGTGGTGATGGGCTTTTAGGGTTATATAACCATAGGTAGAGGCACAGGGCCGAGATCCACGAGTTTTTTATATCGTGTTTGATCGACTGCGGCTCTCAAATCTTGATGTTTTGATTGAAGGGTTTCGCTCGCTGCAGTAAGGAAAAAACTAGTTGGGGTTTCTCCAGGAGGCATGCCCTGTTCTATGGATGCTAAAATTATTGATAGGGAATTTGAATAAATAATTTTTAATTTTATATGGCTGGATCTATGGGTTATGGGTGATCTGTTTTTTAGCAGAATCCCCATGTCCTTTAACTTCATCATTCCAGTACAGAGTCATCTCTTATATGTGCCCATCTATATGGATCGAAGAAAGCTTCAGAACATAACGAAGACTTTGAATCTACTATGCAAAGTTTGTGGGCCTGTCGTTAATCTTAGTTCTTTCAAGGCCAGGACTCTGCCTGCTCTTGTTGCTGGTGATAATGAGCACGACGAGTTGAATTACTTGTTATGAAATGCACCTTTTTTCATATCATGAAACCTAAGAATACTGCTGCTGCTCTCTGCTGGCCAAATAGTGGGTGGAAATTATCTTTAGGAATTAAAAACCATTGCGCTGAATCTCTTTTTTGGGTATATTAGACTCGGTCTACTAGTTTGAATGAACGAACTGTTTGTCCTGTTTATGTTATAAGAAGTCTTTTTGTTGTCCTAATACTATATGGTTGCAAAATGAAGCCCGATTTCGAGTATTAGGGACTTGCTAAGTTCAATTCAACATTCTGAACCAAGGGAGTTTTTGCAGTCCTTCAAAATTGGTTAACACGATCTGCCTCAAGGTAATGGCCTGTGGAGGCATTTGCTGGCAGTCTAGTTATCAGCTTTGGGCTCAATAGCAATGTTATAGATTTTCAGACTAGCTTTGTTAACCATTTTTTTCAACTGATTTCCGCTATTTCTTGTTTATGTTCTACATTCTGTGCTGATCTTCATTTTTTTGCATCTTTCAGGTGTGGTAGGTGGAAAAGTCATCAGGAATTTGTTTCCTTTGGTGGGTTTGAAGAAAAGTTTGTCACATATCCTAGAAAGATCGAGAAAACTAAATCATTGTAAGCTTCTAGGATTTGTGATTGATATTTTCGAAGGATAAGTTTTATGTTCTCATTGTAGTTTTGTGACTGGATTTTGAAATTATGTTGAAGTTTAATGATGTTACTGCCACAGGTGCAATATATTGACATGTCCCAGTTATTTCATTCTGCATCTTCATGTCATATATTTCAAAGATTTTTTTTCTTTGCAATTTGACTTGGAAGATATAATTATTTTCCTTTTGATTTGCAGTCTCATTTTGTGCTTGCACTGGGGGTGTACCCACCACTCTGGTGCAAAGTGGAAAGCAACTAACAGCAGCATCTTGCAGAACCTGTGGCGGCAGGCAAACAGTTGATGGGATTTGGTCTCTCTGCTAAAGCATGATGAATACAGTACGTGTAGAACTTACGGAAGCTATTAGTACTAACTTGAATTGGAAGATTTCTAAGGGTTATCGGAGTGCACCAAGGCGGTCAAGGAAACTGGTTGATAGAAGCCAAAAATTGGGTGTAGAGCTAGCAGAGAAAAGTGCTAGAAGTCCATCAGAAACAACCGTTTCTGAATCAGAGAAGGTTAATACTGCACAAGTGTTCCTTTTTTGTTTCTTTGTACTAATCCTTTTAGTTGCACTTATGTCCTCATGTTTCTGATATAATTGTCTGTTTTGCAGCTTGGTGTGGCTGTACTTGGGAGACGGTTCGGTGACAAAATTGAGCATGTACCCATTAAGAAAAGGAGATTTATGGTCCGGTCTCCATCACCCCCGCCTCACCTATCTTCTCCACACCTTGAAGACAACCAACCACCACTGGATGGGCGACGTGCTTCAGGTCAGAAGTCTTGTCCAAAATCAATTGTCAAAAAGCATCCCACAAGGAGTGATGCTTCTACGCTGACTAGGTTGTGTCATAGTGTTGCTGATAGTGGTGTTAATGAGAGCTTAAATGAGGTGACAAATCAAAAACCTGGTGGTGGGGAGGACTTCTCTGGTATTGAGATATTGGCAGCTGCTGCCTGCAACAACAGCATAAATGATGATATGAATCCTGTTGAGGGTAATTCAGTAGGTGAAGATTTATCACAGGATGGAAAAGATGCGTCAACTTCTGAAAGGCCCTCAGAGCAAACTTTTGTTTCAACTTCTTCAACAGAGATGGAAGCTGCTTCAGAATTTTCAGAAGCAAGAGATGCATCAGTCTCTGCAATCTTGGAAGAGAGTGTTGCATCACTGGAAACAGTACATTCGTCCATTAAAGATATACCACAAGAAGATAAGATAGAGAGCTCCAGTTTTGAGGCTAATGGGGTCAGAATTAATCCTAGCGAAGGACACGATGAAGCAGTAGCAAGATCCATTTCCTCGAAAGATGTTAGGTTGCACTGGGACCTAAATGTTACTATGGATGCTTGGGACGAACCTTGTGATATGGTGATTGGTGACCCTCAAACAACTGCAGTAGATGATATCTCGATGAATAATAAGCAGGGTTCAGAAGCTCTTGAGATACCGGGGGTTGAAGATGCTAAAAATGACATTGCAAGCACAGTGCAGCCCCTGGCTGACAATGATGAACAGGGATTGGAAGCGTGCCCTGAATTTGAGATGAGTAATGGTAAATGCGTTCCTGCTGATAATGCTTTGGGACCTTCAAAAGATACTGGAATGGGTGCAAAGGCCTCCTCTCAGGATGCCAGTGTGGATACATGTGTTGATCATTCTCCTTGCGATGACATCATGGTCACAGGCCCTGTCTCTGAGGAAACCAATAAAACACCACCTCCCATCTTAGCTGTTAAGCATATGACAGAAGATACTGCTCCTGGTGTACAACTGGGTGTAACTGTCTGTTCGGAAAGTGTAAAGGTTGAAAACCCTGCTATAGCTTGTGTGCCAGAGGGGGCTTCCTGTGAGATTGAAAGCACTGTTCTAGATGACGATGGTAAGGGCTCTGGTGCAACATCTAGCTTCCATGATGATCCAAAATCCCCTGAAGAGATGATGGGAGTAGAAAGTTGTCATTCACTCGCACCTGTGGTCCTTGAAGTCAAGCCTGTAGCTAAAACAGAGGATATGGCTGCTGACATTTCCAAACTTGATTGTGATGATAAATCTGCGTCAGGTGCATCTATTGGAGAAGGCCTATCTCTGGTGACTTTAACTGCAAAAGAACCAGTTGAAGCTATCTCTGAGACTCATACTGTTGATTCTCTACCAAAGGCTGCAGCTGGGTCCTCCTCTGGTGAGCAATGCCACTATGGTGAAGGTACCACATGTAGCTTGGGTAGAGTCACTACAGAAGATCCTTCCAATGACAACTGTGACTTGGATGTTTGTCAAGATGATAAGGATCACATGGTTGGCAAGGAAAAAACTATGGAACATGAAGCTGGTTACGAATCTCAGTATGAAGATGGGGAGTTGAGGGAATCAGATGTACCATATTGGGAGGAGAATGAATTTGAGGATGAAGAAGCTGAATGTGTTGACTATGGTTCTGATACATGTGACAGTGATGCTGCTCATGACTCTATATCAGGGAAAGTTGGAATGGGACTTGAATGCAGAGAAACAGAAGTATTTGGGTCAGAGTCTAGGGAAATTAACAGGAATGCGAAGGTTGTGAGAGGTTTGAGTCCAGGATCTGATAACATGTGTGAAAAAAATGAACATTCTTTGAGACAATGTTCCATGGGTTCGAAGACAAAAACTTCTGGATCTGATCAATTGCCTGGTGATTCTGAAGCTTCTTCAAACAGAACTGCGGAAGCAACTGAGGGCTGCACAGGAAGGAGACATGCCGCTAATTACTTCGATGGCCTTGGTGGCAAGTATTCTCCTGCTGAAGTGGGTGGATCAGTGGCATCCAACACTCTAAATAGGATGGGTCCTGTATGTGCAAGGAGGAGGTAAATTTGAATCTTTTTATCTTTCTTTAATGCCAATTTTGACATTTCTATCTTGGTTACCAATTATTCTTTTTCTTGCTTCAGGTTGCACAACTTTGATATGTCTTTTCGCTCTGAAGAGGCTGGTTCTGATCAGTCCATGGGAAAGGAAAAATCTGATTCGCGTATGCATAGTAAAAGCTCTGGAGGTGCACATTTGGTTAATCCTTCAGGGGGTTATTGGGATTCCAAACGCCGCGAATCTCCCAGTTATCATGGTTCCTTTGGTTCTGGCCGCCCTAGACCAAAAAGTGTTGTTGAGAGCCATGGTTTTGAAATGGATCCAGATGATACATTTTCAGAAGCAGCAGGAGTTCACAACCGTGTTCGCAGGCAAGCTATAAGTTTTTCCTCAAATCGCCTGTATCAGCCCCCACTTAGAAGAAGATCGCCAGCCGAGAGAAATGACACACATAATATGCATAGGGGAGTGATACCTATGAGAGATACAAGTCCCGATAGGCGGAGGTTTAGAAGATACCCACAAGGGGTTAGTAGAGGCATCCGGGAGGAGTACCACAGGCCGATGCCCGATGATCCCAACGAATGTTCTTATAATGTGCCACGCCGAATGGCCAGGAGAGATCAAAGCACTTCACCTCCTGGCAGAGGACCTATATATTATGGTAGACCCTACAAGAAGTTCCAGTCTAGATGCAGAAGTCGTTCTCCTCTTTCATGGGGTTTACCAAGAGAACGGAATGATGTTTCAAGACATCGTGGCAGCAGGTCTCCTGATTATAGGCTGGATTCTAAAATGGATAAGCCAAGAGTGCCCTTTCAGAAGCACAGTTTTGGAGCAAAGTACGAAGTAGGAGGGTTCATGTCTCCACCAAAACGTCGGTTTTCTCCACAACAGAATTCCAGATGGTTTGATGATTCAAATAGTGGTGTAGACCATAATTTCAGGGGTAGGAGATTAGCTGGAAGGCGGTTCCAGCAGGGACAGAGGATTGATTCAGTGCGTTCGTCTCGGAGATTAAGTTCGGATGATTACTTCGAACCCATGAGTCGGCCTGCAAGATTCTCTGAGTTGGCCAGTGGTGGTGGCAGGGAATGTAGATATGAGGGCAGTGATGATGATAGAAGAAAACATGATGGAAGATTTGAGATCATTCATCGTGTGAGGCGTTATGATTCAGATGGTGTTGTCCGTCAGTTCCGTTATGATGAAGAAGATCGTTTTGCATCTCGCAACACACAGAACTACGATGACTGCGACAATAGAGCTGCCGATAGACGGCCTCGTGATGCTTACGTAGGAGAGATAGCTAAGAGAAGGGTAAATTAAGGTTCCAATGTTGACTAGGAGCATTAAACTCCAGCCCCTGCTCCGACTCAATTCATTTAGACTGCAAGATGCATAATTTGAGAGGAAAATCTTCATCACCTTTGCCTCTGCAGGCATTTTCATCAAATCGATGTGTTAGTTCTCTGGCAGATAGGAGTTCTTCCCAATTTTTACTTTTTCATTTTCTTTCTTACTGTGATAGTTAAGTCCAAATATTCGTATTCTTCCCGGCGTCTGGCACTGCTTGTGGAAGCTACCCTTACCATTCTGATTGCGGCTAGGCAAAATTTTTTTTAGGAAGGGCCTAATGTTGCTTTGTTCATCTTGAATTTTGTTTTTATTTACCTTAGGTAATTTTAATGATTAGTGAAGAATGGCAAGCTTTTTAGTTTAAGGCTTTTCTTGGTTCCTTCTTATAATGTGTTTACTTATGGTGTCAAGAGTCTCTTTTTTGGCTTTGGCACTTCTGTCAGCTTTTTAAATAATAAATTTCCTTTGTTTTCGTGGAGGGTAATATTTAGACCTTATTCTTCAGTGACATACATTTGTGCCGACTGGTTGTCTCCTTGAATTGCAATGAAAAAAGTGTAAATGAAGAACCAATCACTTTTCCTGATCTATCTGTACAACTACAAATTCTCCATATTGATCGTTAAACTCTAGTGCTAATTAGCTAAGCAGAGCCACTGATTTGTGGGCGAAGCAACGTCTTATTCAGCCATGAAAATATTTCTGTGTCTAGTATTTCAGCTTTACCAACTGAAGCTCATGGAATGGTAATGTAAATTCTTGTTCACCAAGCCCGATGAACATACTGCAGCCACTTCTTGCCTCATCCTCCTTGGGCCACTAACGAGGATCCCAATGCTTGAACCTTCACAATCAGACAATATTCCTGCAAAATAATAATATGTTAAAACCCTAACCCCTTAAAGAACTGTTGCAGAGTGCTTTGATTTAAAATAACTCACCTTTAAGATCAGGTCTTCTGTCATAGTGCACCTTTGTGGATTCCACAAAGGACCAATGGGGAAGGCTTTCAAGCTCTTGATCACCACCGGAGTAGCATGCGCTTGGTGAAGTAGTTATCGGCGTGGATGCGTCTATGGCTTGAATCTGTCCCATCTCCTTGACACTCTGTTTCTTGTTCCACAGAAACCCTGCTGTTGCAGTAGTGGCTGTGGAGACACATAAGAGTAACATGCTTAAAGCAGATCTAGAAGATTCAGAGTACATAACCTTATAGTCATGCTCATTTGGGTATATGTAAAATCGTGTGAGGATGCCCAGGAGCACAAGGAAGATAACAAAAGAGGAAGATATTATCATTGCAAGCCAAAGCCAGCTGTTTTGGCCTAGAATTGCAGAAACTGGTACATCTAAAGGGTCTGGCTTGAAATATATTGTTTGGAAGGGCTTGTGGGAATTTGATGTGGGTTCTCTCTCTCTCGTCACATAAGCTTCAATTTGTAATTGCAAGCAAGAAATGTCCAAATCTGTGCCTGAAACTGGGAGGATGAGGTTTAACATGGTGAGGTCCAGTGATTTCCTGAAAGCACATATGAGCAGAATCTGTGGAGTCTTAGTGCCTGAGTTATTGGCCCGAAAGAGGAGCTCCCGGATGATTGATATCAACGGAGTAATGCCACTTCCTCCACTCACCATCACGATCGTGTCGTGCCTGCACCGGATTTTCACCATGCCAATCAAGTTAGCTTAGCACTCACATTATGACATTATGAAAAACTGGGGAGTTGGGGTTTACAATGTAAGCACCTTAGCATGTTGTTTGAGACAGGTCCATAGGGTCCTTCAACTGAGACTTGTAGGCGGTCTATGGGCTGAGTGGATGACAACTTCTGATACAAGTTTTGAGACCAATTTCCTTCGCTTTTGATGACAACGCTAAGCTTGTCAGCATCCAATTTGCTGCTGGAAGTAACACTAAAAGGATGCCATTGCAGCTTTGAAATGCTAGGTACATTTACAAACACCATGCTTGTTGGAGAATAACTGAGTCCTATAATCAAATTCAATGAAAAAGATTTAAAATGGGAAATCTCAAATTTCTTTTCTGTTTTCTTTTTCAGTTTTTGTGTTTCTTTCTTCACCTGGGTTCTTGGAGAAGTTCAACTCAACAGCCTCACATGGAAGAACACGTGCTGAAACCAGACGAATTCTTTGTTGTGATTGCAAGAAACGCAAGAACCTATCGATGATGAATAGGTAAAAGCCTGGCAGCATTGTGCAAGCATAGGAGAACTTCACATGAAACACGTAGAAGACAACAAAGACGATGAAGAGATGATGAGTGTAGAAGAAGAGCTCAAACATCTTGCGGCGTATGCGAGGGAAGCTTGTAGCCCACATGGCTAATCCGGCGAGCAGAGCGATTTCTCCAGCCAAATTGCAAATGGCAAAGTTGTCCCAGTTGAACATCTACAGTGGAGAACAAAACCGCTTCAAAGTGAGAATGGCTGGCTCATTTCGTTTCTAAATTGTATAAGTTAACCAAATCACCTTCTATCTAAATGAGAAGTGGAAATTTATTATTTACCAAGAAGATTTGGCTTGTGTTGGCCCAATATATGATGTAACAAAGGCCGTGAGCCGTGAAGAGGGTCATGACAAGGTGTCCCAGCCAGATATGATACTTGATGCTTGCCTCTGATGTGAGGCCAATGAGCTGCAAAATGGAAGAGCCTCTGCTTACAGGGAAGAAGAGAAGGGATAGACAGAAGTTTCCAACTAGGCCTAGTGCTAGTGCTACAATTGATAACTTTGTTTCCCACCTGTCAAATTAAGTTCATTAAACATCTGGTTAATTATTTATATGAAGGAAATTATATTAAATTTGTTCAAGTTTTAAAAGCAAATAGAGATTTCTTACACTTGCTCTCCCTTGACTCCGGCATGTGCGGTTGCAAACATATTATGCAGATACGAAGAGATTGACCAGACAAGTAGTGCAATGGCCATCACCACAAAGGATAGCTCTATCCAAGAAACAATCCCAAGAGGACCTTTCACCAGCACCGGTCTCTTCCATGATGCCCAAAATGAACTTTTCACCCTACCAATCAAAGAGCAAATAAAATAAGAAAAATATTTGATACATGGAGAGAGAGAGAGAGAGAGAGAGAGAGAGAGAGAGGGTACCTTTGGTTGTTCTCATCAGCTTTCTTCTTTCTCCTGTGAAGCAAAAAGCAGCCCACAGTTGCTATAAATAGGATGGGGAATGGGTAGATAAGCACCTCTGCACCTGGAAATGAATAAGAGAAAACCATGGCAGCAGAGCAGAATGCAGTAAGGCAAAGGCTAAGATGTTTGAGTCATAGAGTTGCAGAAGAAAGTGAAAAAGCTTTGGTTTTTAATTATGAACCCAAAGAAAACAAAACAAAACAAAACCTTGTTTCTCAAAATAGGTAGAATCAGTGTTTTTAAGAATGTGAGGGAACCAATTCAGGTAGAAAGTATTGGTGGGCATCATGATCCAAATCATCATGTACCCAACAAATACCATCATCAGTAGCAACAACACCATTGATTCAAGGGTCCTCATTCCTGCACTAGAAGACATTTCTTTTTCTTTTGGCACTTCTGAACATAAACCCATCTGATCTCTCTGTTTTCCAGTAAAGTGGTTTCCTGGATATCCTTATATATAACTTGCATATTACATAAGTTTTACCTTTTTTTTTCTTTTTATTCTTTGAGACATAATTTTTTTTAATAATAATAAAAAAAGGGGAAAGAATCATAAAACATGTCAAGAGTTTCAGTGAGTTCACATGTAAAAATGAGAGAGAGAGTTTTGGAAGCCAAATTAGGCATCAAATAAAAGTTAAACAAGATGGTTGACTTGTAATATGGATGGTGAGTGAGAGAGTGCCAAATAAAAGGTCATTGTAGATACCGTACTGTCTGCAGTGTTCCTTCCAATGCAATTGTCAATTTGTCTTTGGCATAAACATACATGCAACGCTTCAGCTCTGCCTCCGCCTGCTCATTCCCCAATTTGTCCTTTATCTATATATTACTCTACAACGTAACACGTCTTTTCTTAGATATTTTTCGGTTTAAAGTTGTAGAAAATTGAGTAGAAATGAGATTTTTAAAATACGTCCCGTCTTTAAGAAATATACAAGGTATCGTCTAATATATATGAATTAAAAACTGCCATTCCTTTACATTGCCATGGAATAAAAAGAAGTTGACAAAACTTCAAAACCTAAAGACAACTGAATACAATGAAGGTCCGTCCGGCCAACTCCGGCCAAGAAACAGTACAATAAAGGTAAAAAAAAGAAAAAGAAATCTGCCCTTGTATGCCTCACCGTTTTCCATAGATCATGTGCAATAGTGCAATGGCTATATAAAAATCAACATTATTTGCACAATTCGAGCAGAGCTTCCATTTGTTTACATCAACTATTGAGTTCAATCCAATCCAACCCAAAACAAAAAAAAACAAAAAAAAACACAATTTTATACAGAATTTATATAGCATTATGGCACTGTACAGGCTGAACTTTGATCACCAGTTGTAGCTAATGGACTCGAAATGCAGATTATCTGCCAAACCAGATGAACAAATTTTAGCAACCTCATGTCTCATCTTCCTTGGCCCACACACCAAAACTCCCACATCAGATTCTTTGGACCCCAACAGAATTTCTGCAATATTATATTATAAACAAAAAACCATAATCATTAATTTCTTCAAAACTGTGTTATTAATAGGATGTTCGGCTTTATAATAGTCGTAAAATAACCTACTTTTGAGATCAGGCCTTGTTCCATAATGCACCTGGGTGGCTTGAGCAATTGGGCACTCTTGATTCTGTGGATGACTTTCAAGTTCTTGATCATGAGTTCCATAGGCATCTACGTTCTGAACTTGCTTCCCTTCCATGGCATTTTGTCTCTTGCACCAAAGGAACACTAAGCTAGACACCATGAGAATGGAGGCACAGACCAAAAACATGTACCAAAGACATGTGAAAGAGAAATGGTAATTTTCTCCAGTGTTGTGGTCAATTGGGTAAATGTAGAAACGAGTGGTGAGGCCCAAAACAAAGAGGAACAAGACAAATGAGGACGAGACTATTGCAGCTAGCCATAGCCAGCTATTTGGGCCTAAAACAGCAGAAACGGGCGAGTCCAGCGGGTCGGGTTTAAACCATACTGTTTGAATGTCCCTTTGGGCCTCTGCCGGAGGCTGCTCTGTTTCTCTGGTCACGTAGGCTTCGATTTCCAAGTCTATTTGGGCAGCAAAATCAGCAGGAGCCCAAGAGATAGGAAGCAATAGTTGTAGCATGGAGAGATCGGCTGAGTTCTTGAAGGCACAGATGAGCCGTACACGTGGCACATGGCAGTCTGGTTTGGTGCTTTGGAAAATAATCTCGCGGATTATGGAAATCATAGGAGTAATTCCACTTCCTCCACTGAACATCACCAGAGCCTCATGCCTTAGGAAATGAGATGAAACAGGGCCATAAGGTCCTTCAACAGAAACTTGGATATGATCCACATTAGAAGAAAGTTGCTTGTAGATTTTTTGAGACCAACTTCCTTGGTTCTTAATCACAACACTCAGCTTATCTGGCTCCATGTTAGAGTTTGAAGTCACTGTAAAGGGGTGCCATTGCATCTTGGATATGCTAGGCACATTAATAAACAAGATGCTAGTGGGATTATAATCCAACCCTAGAACAAAATATAGTATTTTTCATTAGTTAATATAAGGAAATAAATAAATCAATAACAATTATGATTGCTTATGTGAGTTAGGTTAGTTTGAATTCCCTCTGATTAACCCATAAAATAATGGCCTTAAAGTTTAATTTAATTACCTTGGGTCTTGGAGAAGTTGAGCTCAATGGTTCCACATGGTAAAACTCGTGCTGAGATTAAGCCGGCTCGTTGGTAAGATTGTAAAAATCTCAAGTATCTATCAACGATGAAGAGGAAGATCCCAGGAAGGATCATGCAGAAGTAGGAGGCACCAACATGCAAGATGTAGAAGAAGACGTAGAGTGGGTAGAGATTATGGGTGTAGAAAAAAACTTCGAACATTTTTCTTCTGATACGTGGAATGCTTGTCACCCACATTGCCATTGCAAACACAATTGCAATGACCCCAGCTACATTTGATACATAAGTTTTGCTCCATTCAAGAATCTGCAATGCGTACGTCATCACCAAAGTCAATTAAATCTGCCAAAGTTACTTTGTGTTGTGTTGTGTGTTTTTTTTGGGTAAACTTTGTGTTGTGTTCATCATGGATTAAAGCCGATGATGAAAAATAATTGAGTGTATAATGTATTGCCATTTTTATAATTAATGTGTACGGAATTAATTCATGATGAGTCAGTCTATAGTTGTGCTTGTAGCTATAAAAATTAATTAATTTTTAGTTATATTATAATCACATGTGTGATATTGACATATTATCGATAATGATATTATCAGTATAAATTAATCACATGTGTTATATGAGATTGATTATATAGGAGAAGGATATATATTCCATTTCCCTCCGTACGTAATTTATGTTTGTTCTTGGATGGTGGTACCTGCAGAGAATCAACCTACGATGTTTACCTATCTTATCAACAATATGACACACCGAGTTTAAGTTGAACCACTGAATTCTTCCCCTTGGGATTGTGAAGGATTCCTCGCTATACTAACAAACAAGAAACAAATAACAACATACCTCTGCACACAAGACGCAAAGATATTCTCTTTCTCACTACTAGAAACAAGAAAATCATTTTCATGCACACATACATGATAATACAATCAATTGAGCTAAAACCTAGAGAGAGAGAGAGAGAGAGAGAGAGAGAGAGAAGAGCAAGAGGGAATTAATTAAAGAGAAAAAAGAAAAAAAAACTTGAACATGAAAATATATACCAGAGCCATTTGATGAGTGATGCCCCAGTAGATGATGAAGCCTAGGGTGTGTGCAACAAAAAGTATCATCGAGAGATGGCCAAGCCAACTATGATATTTAATACTCGACTCGGATGTGAGCCCAAATAGAGGCAAAATTGAAGACCCTCGAGTTACAGGAAAGAAGAGAAATGCCCAGCATATGTTTCCAATGTACCCCAATCTCAATGAAACACTTCGAAACTTCGCTTCCCACCTGCCATATTTATATATTCAAAAAACCCTCAAGCGTTAATTGATTAGTAAGTTGAAAAAATACGATGTCCGGTTGAAAAATTAAGTCAATAACAACAAGTATATACTGGTATTATATTGAATTCATACACTTTCTCTCCATCTTTATGCATATGGAGGTGGCCAAAGCTGACATATAAGTAGTTGGCAAGAGACCAGACCAAGAGTGCAGCGAACATGATCGCAAAAGCAAGCTCCATTGCCGTAACAATTCCCAGAGGAGCCTTTACAACCGCCGGACGTCTCCAAAATGTCAAGCGACTTGTTGTAATGACACTACTGCAACCAGTTCATAATGATGATGATGATGATGAGTATATATAGTTTTTTTAGTTTGTATATAAGATTGAGGAGTTTGAGTATGACCTATTTGATTGCTTTTGAAAATGGAGATAAACACAGCTTAAAGCTGCTATTAGCATCATTGGGAAGGAGAGAAGCAGAAGATTTACCCCTGCAATTAGTATCACACATCACATGGTTAGCATATAATTATATAGTGAAGAAAGAAAGTATGCATCAAAACAAGTTAATAATTAAGCAAAGCAATTCATCAACAACTGAAGGAAGACAAAACCTTGCGCTCCAAAATATGTAGAATTGAGCTTGCTTTGTAGGTTGAGTGTCCAGACATTTTTGTAGGTTTTTGTAGGCAACATGGTCCAAATCACGAGCCATCCAAGAAACACCACAAGCAAAATCAACCTCGTAATACTTGTCAACATTGTCTGACTGCCCATCCTTTCGTTTGAGAGGAGTGTTTCGATACTGAGAAAGCTATGCAGAAAATTACCCCACCTTCTTCTGCTATGCAACTAAAAGATTAGCTTCCAACAATATATAGGCATAAGGGTTGAGGAGAGAGGCACCATCCATGCCATCCATATACTCCTCACCCTCATATTTTATAAACTTATTTAGTTTTTAATTAAGGTCAGAAGAAGGGGAATCAAGTTAATTGTAAAGAGGTACACGCGCGACAACTTTTTGATGAGTGTGAATAACAGTTCTCTATCAAGTTCAATAATTTAATATATTTTTTCCGTCCATAATTCTTTTGGGCTTTAGAAAAGTAACGATGTGAACAAAATTATTTTATCAAAAGGGACACTTGAAATTAATTCTCATATTCAAAATTTCCATCATATGTTGGTTGCTGCTGCTACTATTATGCGCCCAGTGTGCACATGCGTACTATACTTACATGGACATGCGTACTATACTTGCGTGGTGCTTCGGAGCGATATCAAGAATGGCAAGTATAGTTGACTTTTCTTGGGTAGTGAAAGTACAGTTGACCAGTGGGTGAAGTAGAGAAGTATAGTACAGGTAGTACACCATAGTAGTTGACATACATCAAGAAAGAAAGAAAAAAAGTAGACATACCTTGAGATACGAGATGAAATCAGGGAAGTGATGTATTATAATACAGATTTTTCAGTATAATAATCCTGCATTTGCCTGAGTTTAATTTCCTACTGAATGCATATTCACGTTCTAATCCATGTTTGTTTATAGCAAAAAACGACGTCATATGCAAAAGATAATTAAATGAAGGCTTGAAACGACATGGTTTTGTGTCCCTATTTGATATTTTCATGTGCACAAGATGTGGAGTTAATCATGTTATTTGTATCACATTTGTTGATCATCTATCCACAGAGATCTGATCACTAACATAGCCTCGAATTAAGAGAAATAGAATTTTCTTGCACACATCATCGCAACCAAAGTTTTCTCTACTTGCATTTGTCTTACAGGCTTTTGGTTTTTAAAAAAAGAAAAAAAAAGAAAAATAGATATGATAGAGACCTATTCAAGATGATGAACATCTCAGACCAAAAAAGATTATGAACACCCACCGTCTCCTGTTAATTACTCATTCCCAATGTCAATGATTTACACGATTGGATGAAAAGAAAAACAGAACGATCGAAAATCGAATTTGCATTTTCTACATGTGTCTGAGGACCATCATTCCAAAACCAATGCCAAGAAACGTTGCAATGGCAACTCCAAAAATGCCTGCAAGGATTGCAGGAACTACCAAAGAATCCCATCCTTTGGCCCTGGCCATTCCACCTGCTGTTGTTGGCCCTCCAATATTGGCATTTGATGCCAACAGTATCGGCTTAAGATCAAAGCGAAATAGCTTTCCCAATCCGAGGACCACGGCGAGATGGACGGTTACTTGAACTAGAGCAAACATGAAAATACTAGGCGCAGTGTTGATCACATTCCATATGCTCCCACTAGCACCTATTACTGCAAAGAATACCTGTTCTGAAGAAAGCCCCATGTTAAGCATACATAGAACGCTGCTGCATGTAAAGTATATCATATTATATTAATAGATGGATGGATAGTTTATTTGAGGTCAATTTTCAGTTACCTGCATCAAGAGCAAAGCAACAGTATCACCAGCAGGTGCAAGGTAAGCGAAATGTGTTGGGAGAACAGTCGCTAAAACGACAACAGTAGCTGTTATTGCTGGTAGGCTACCTCCTTTGATTCCACATAATCCTGTGAGATATGTGGACGCCTTGCATATCACAAAAGATGTAGCAAGGGCAGTAGCAGTCTCTAGAACAGGCAGCTTCCTCTCATCATTGGACTCCATTTTCATTGAAACATCTGCCAATAATTTCCAGATACGTAAGCAATCTCAGCAGAGATTATTTTAAGCTGGCATGTCTTAGAGAAATGGCCGGAAAGAACAATTATCATTTGCCAAAGAAGTTCCAGCAGGAAGAGAGAGAGCAGAGCAGAGCATAATTGAGAGATCATACATCATCCAGCTTAACACAATGTATGCAGGACTTGAACTAAATTATATATAGGACGAGAATTTCATACCATTAGTTGATCTTAAGGCCTCAGGAGGTATTTTAGAGGCCAAAGCAAACAACACCATGAAATACAGAGCACAAATAACATTATCTGCTGCTACTCCTGCAGCCAAAACTGAGGGGGAGACACCGAGAGCCTCTGAAATCGCAACATAATTAACAGCTACAGAAATCATCCAAAAAGAAAAGGAGAAGAGAAAGAAAACATTTTAGTCATAACTATAAATCAATACAGTGAAAAGACACCAATTCTGAAGCACCAAAATTAAGCTTCAAAGAACACAAGTAAAATAATTTATCCTCAGTTCTAGGATGCAACAAATTGATATTATGATGTTGCTACTTAGAGATCAAGAAAGGTAGTACAATCATATATCTGCACTACTGAATTTCCATAAACATAAGCTGACAGCTTCAAAATTAGCAGGCCCGTCCTGACACTTACATCCACCAATATAGCTACCCATGAGAGCAGCAGCTATTTTCCAATTATCTGAACCAAGTGATCGCATAGGCACCACCAAAAATGCCACTAGAGTTCCAACCATAGTCGCAACTGTAACATACAAGAAGTTACAGGTGATCAGTACCAAATCTGAAGTATATAAGCATTCCAGAGGAACAATTATGTGAGAAATTCATTTTCATATAGAAAAGCCATAGTCTTTACAATGCTCTCAAACATATTGCCTGTCAAGACTCACAAGCAAGAAAGTATCACCTGATCCAAGCAAGAAAGCTAAGAGCAAAGTCCCCGTGGACCGCATCACACTACGCAAGTCAGCTTGAAATAATAGCAGTGGAATAGCTAATGGTAGAAGGAACTCCAAGACAATGGAATATGCAGGCGCTTCAAAAGGAATTATGCCAAGATTACTTGCTGCAAGCCCAACCAAAGTGCTTACAAGGGCAGCACTCACCATGCCACCAATCTCGGTCTTCTCGGACCTTGCAGCAACTCAAACCAAGTCATTCATTACGAGCACATATGTCCATTTTGAGTAAATTCTCTTTTTTTACATACATAAAACAAAAAAAAAAAAAAAAAAAAAAAAAAAATTTCTCTGGGGTCAATTAAGAACTAGGGCATGTTTGATTTGATAGCAAGTATGATTTTTGGACAGTGAATTACCTAAAGCTTAAATATTTTCTTTTCGTTCTATTATTTTTCGATGATAGGCAACCAAACAGATGTAACTAAGTGTAAATTGGACTGACGTGGTATTACCAGAGGCCGAAGGCACCAATTGCGAACAGAGCGGTCCATAAGCCCCAATGGTCCCCCGGAGCGATGATAGGATGCCTGAGCTGTGACGTCACCCTCGTTGCCCGACTGAATTTACGGCTCTGAGGAGAAGTCAATGGCCAGAGAAGCGTTTTGTTTATGGTATGAGACAGAAAGGGCCTGGGGTTGACTCTTGTGAGTTTGGGCTTTGATGCCGAACTGTAAACTGAGAGTGAAAGTGATGACGTGGGTATGGCGGGAAGGGAGAGGAACGGCGATGTGAAAGACGCCATTAATGATTAATCTTGAGGACTGAAACTGAGGTTTCAGCTTTCAGTGTGGGTGGGTGTTGCAGCTCTTCTTGTCGTTTGTTCTATTTGGATCCTTCTTGCAATTATGATGACGTGGCTGGTTGAGAGCTCAAGGACAATGCACCCTTGAATCACTTGTGATCATTGTCATTTGAATCTTAACATGTGAGATGTTTTGCCACTACGTAAAACTTAATGAGTTGTCTTCTCAAACTCGGTCCATGCCACAAATCTTAATATCTATGCTGTTCAATTACAAATGGGTTTATCTACTTATTTTTCAACTTTCCCACTTTTCTGCCTGCAGGTTCACAAAGGTTACAGGTTTGGAAAATTTCAGGTGATCATCGTCGGAAAGCATTACATGTATTTAAGAACCGCCAGCCCGAATGCAATGCCGATGAAAGTTGCAATCGCAATGCCAAAAATGCCTGCAAGAATTCCAGGAACAATCATAGAATTCCACTCTTTGGCCGTGGCCATTCCACAAGCTGTTGTAGGGCCTCCAACATTGGCATTTGATGCTATAAGCAACAACTTCAGGTCAAACCCCAATAGCTTTCCCAATCCCAGGATCACAGCAAGATGAACGGCAATCTGGATTAAAGCAAAGAAAAAGATACTAGGAGCAGTGTTAATGACATTCCATATGTTTCCGCTTGCTCCCACCACCGCAAAAAATACCTGTATCTCACAAACAGTTGCCAACAAGAAGTCACTTATCACAGATATAAAAGAAATTGAAAATAATGAAAATTTTATCAATTAAGGTGGCTTCCATGAGATATTAATTGACCAACAAAATTTGGTTTATGGAAGAAGAGAAAAGTCCTTACCTGCATTAGTATCACAGCCATAGCCTCACCAGTTGGTGCAAGATACGCAAACTGTTTTGGAAATACAGTCGCCAGAGTAACAACAATGGCTGTTACAGCTGGCAGGATGCCTCCTTGGATTCCAAAATATTTCGTGAGATAATGGCCACTCTTGCATATGGCTAAGGACACAGAAAGAGCCGTAGCAGTTTGTATCAGAGGAAGCTTGTTTCCAGGCTCAGAGGATGCATCCTTTCCAATGCCTGCCAATTAGAGTTCCAGCAGTGTCTGTTAGGACATACATCATGTTTGATATTTTAAGCTCATCATAAGACAGGATATACAACATTTTGGCTTTGCAGATACTAAAGAAAAAGAGAGGCAAAAGTATGGACAAAGTAACATTTGTTTCATGATCAATGTGGCACACAACCGAAGAATTAGTTTTGGAAAAGAGAAAGGTGGAAAAGTATTTAGCTAAAATATTTTCAAGATTGCATCCATTGAAAATGAGGGAGCTGAACCAATAATTAATCCGCCATGATAGCTACTGGAATTCTTCACCCTCCAGAAAAAAAAAGGAAAAAAAGAAAAAGAAAAAAAAACTGGACAATCATGACATGAGAAAGTAGAAGTTTACAAACCATCATCAGATGTTGAAGGCTCAGGAGGTACTTTAGAAGCCAATGCGAACAATGTTGAAAAATATACAGCACAAATGACATTATCTGCGGCTAGCCCGGCAGCTAAAATTGAAGGAGAAACCCCAAGAGCATCAGCTATGGCAACGTAATTGACAGCTACATAAAACCAATTGCAAAAACTTTGTCAGGACTTAGGATATATAACCAACATATGCAAATAGTGGCAATACTACATCTAATTTCAAGTCTTTTTATAAGAGACTTGGAGGGCGATTACGAATAGGTTCCAATTTGTGTGTGTGTGTAGCTCTATAAGGTGGTAAACAGATTACCTCCACCAATATGTCTGCCCATGAGAGCAGCTGCTATTTTCCAACTATCTTGACCAAGTGATTGCATCGGCACCAAAAGATATGCCACCACTGTTCCAACTGTTGTTGCAACTATATTGTAACACAAGGGAAAAGACAAATATCAAGACTCAAGAGGTTATAATGAAGAGGAGGCAAAGATCAAAACCAAAAAGCCCATATAAAGATGACCACAGAAGTATCATGACTATCCATAAATATTCATTTAATTCATTAATCTGCCCCAATAAAGAACATCATACCTACAGGGAAGCAGTTTTCATGATCGTGATCATGGCAATGAAATATAAACTTCCTAAAAAATGCATGACGCCTTAAAAAGGTCAGAACTTTTTACAGCATGAAACTTCCATGGCATGTAATAATCCAAGAAAAATATAAGCTGAAGAAACCAAACACAATAAATCCAAGGATTATACAACAGTAGTTATGGAAAGTAAATCATGAACTTGTGTTTACAAAATTTGATACAACAGGGTGCCTTAAGATTAGAATTAACTTCCTTTCTTTAATAAGTTAAATTATTAACAATTTCTCAAACAAACAAAAATCAGAATGAAATAATTACAGAAACAGAAAAGCCATGAACTCAATATTACCGGATCCAAGCAAGAAGGCCAAGAGAAGAGCCCCGGTTGATTTGATCACACGTCGCAAGTCTGCCCTGTACAAGAGCAATGGCACAGCCAGTGGGAGCAGAAACTCCAACACAATCGAAAATGCGGGTGCATTCGATGAAATAATTCCCAAATTACTCGCTGCAAGTCCGATCAATGTGCTCACCAATGCCCCGCTCAATGCCGCCCCAACCTTCGTGTTCTTCTCTGACCTTTTAAAATAGAATTAAAAACAAAAAAGGAACTCAATTTAGATCAGTTGAGCTGAACTTTGAATTGTTTGAAACTTGAAAAGCAAAAAAGAAAGCTTTTGCTTGTGAATTATGTGATCACCAGATACCGAAAGCGCCGGTGGCGAAGAGAGCAGTCCAGGTGCCCCATTGGTCGTGAGACGAAATGAGAGGGGCGTTGAGTTGGAATCTGACGGCTACAGATCGATCTCCCAGATTAGGAGGAGCCGGAGGAGAAAGAAAGCTCTGCCTTCTGTTATTCAACGGATCAGCTACTGAACTACTGCTGGTGATGGTGCTGGGTGAGGGGGGAGACACGGACACTCAGACTCGGGTTTTGGCGGGTAGACAAATTTGACCGTTGGAGTGCCGGCAAAGCTGGACGAGGAGGAGGAGCAGGTCCGATTGAGAGCCTCGATGTCATCGTAGCCATCGGAAACAGATTAATTTCTGGTTGAAGTCGAAAACTTGAAAGTTGTTTGCTTGGGAGTGTACTCTCGGTCAATGAGTCATTGACTTCACTCTCATTAATTTTTTTGTTTTTTGGTAAATAACTCTCATCGATGGAATGAAAAGCCTCGTACTGCAGGTCCTACTACTAAGAAATATTTTTGCTCGTGTACTCTCACCGCCTTTCTTACCCATGTGATTTTTCTTTCTATTTTCGCCAGACAAACAAAGTTGAGAGCTCAATATGATCTTCCAAATTTAGCAAATTCTAAGCTTTATTTAATGTTCTTTTGTTTTTAGGGTAAATTACTCAAATGGCCCTCAAATTTATCCGCAATTTACATTTTGGTCCATAAATTAAATTATTAGTCCAAATGGTATATAAACTCTATTTTAATCACCCATTTGATCCAACTGTTACATTCTATCAATATTGCTGTTAAATATGAGGGCAAATTGGTCATTTCGTACGTTAAAAATAAAATAAAAACTCTCTCTCTCTCTCTCTCTCGATCTCTCTCTCGACCCCAGGCCCCATGAACCCAAAACCCCAGCTCCAACCCACCCTCCACCCAAGCTAGCAACTACAGAAAAAGAAAAGAAAAAAATCTTCCACAAACCCCATCCCAACCCAAAAACCTCAAGCTCCTCCCCACCCTCCACCCAAGCTAGCAACTACAGAAAAAGAAAAGAAAAAAATCTTCCACAAACCCCATCCCAACGAATCCAGAACCCTAACTCAACAGCCATCCAGACCCTCTCCCCCTCCCAACAAACCCACGATTCCATTCATACAATCCCATCTCATCTGCCTTAAACTCAAAACCTCCACAAAAGCCCAAACCAACTAACCCAATTCCCTCAAAATCTCCCAATTTTCTCTCACTCAGCTCCACCAGGACAACCTTGAATTCGAAGGCTCCATCAGAGCCTAATTCAAGCATTGACGCTTGTATTAAAGCCCCCATAGCTCCATGGATGAAGGGTCCTCTTCTTCTTCAACCCCATGAAGTCATTGACTTCTCAAAACCCCGAAACAAGAAGACCCACAACAATGCCAAAGCCGAAAAGCCGGATACTGTGCTGGTTGGGAAGTTAGTTGGCATTAGAGGCGATAAAGCAATCAAGCAAATTGTCCAAAGCATTGAAAGGCTTGGACCAAACCAGAAAACAGATGAAACCCAGAAAGGTTTTGGGGAATTTAGAATTTGGGATTCCTTGGAGGGACTTGGACAAAATGAAAAATGGGATGAAACCCACAAAGATTTTGTGGAGTTTGGAATTGGTGGTTTCTTGGAGGAACGTAATAATTGGAATGGGGGAGAAGAAATCGAAGGGAGGGGGTTTGGGTCTCATGATTTTTTTCTCTCTTTTTCTTCAATTATTTTCTAATTTTGTATTTATTTTACCTTATTTTTGTGTTAATTATGAAAAGTCGTATTTGCCCCTAAAATTTGGTTACATTTAACAGAAAATGTAACGGTTGGATCAACTGGGTGATTAAAATAGAATTTATGTACCATTTGGATTTAATAATTTAATTTATGGACTAAAATGTAAATCGCGTACAAGTTTGAGGACCATTTGAGTAATTTACCCTTTGTTTTTAACAAAAGCTTTGATGAATGCTCATTAGCACTAATTACACGTTTAATTACAATTTAGCCAAAAAATGGAGGCCAAGATTGGCCAGCAAAGTCACACTCGATTGATTTCTTTCCATATCTTTGTCTGCCCTCTTGTCGATTCGTTAGTCTCAACGTCGTTGAGCCGGGCCTTCGATCAAGAAAAAGCCTTCTTAAACCTACTAAATAATTCCAACAGCTGAGCAAAATTCTGTGGTTGTCAATTTAGTCATTTTGTATTACATCTCATGTTTTGATAAATTCTGAAACTGAATCAAGTGTATTGTGTTCAATTCTGGCAAGTTTCGATTAATTACAACTTGAAATTGAGCAAGATTTAGCGCCGTAGTTTGTTAATTTTGCCAGATGGATGATCAGCAATATCACTGCAAAGATGTGTCAGTTTGCTTCTGCTTCTTGGCACTAAAGCCCTCCGCTTCCAAGGCTTTCAATTTGTTCTTGATTGCTGCTATTTTAGAGCTCCGACTCGTCTGTCCTGAACTACTACCAGAAGGGCTTGTTTTGGTTGCCTCACCCGCTCCTTTTGAAGAATTTTCTGCTGCTTCTACCGTGTACTTCTCACTGGAAACGCGAACAACCAATGGGCGTCCACAAGCTAGTCTCCCATGCATCTTCTCCTTGGCCAATTTTGCTTCCTGCATGCTTACTTTAACGGTGGAAATCAGGAATTGCTTGAAACCTAACTAATAAGAAAGCAAGCAACTTACTTACCTCTTTGCTGCTATACTGGATGAAAGCAAAACCCCGTGGCTCTCCACGTTTTCGGCCACGAGTGTGCCACAAAAAGTCCTCAGTTACAATCTTCCCAAATGGAGAAAACATCTTAATTAGAGCAGCCCTGGAAAATGCAGGAGCATGACCATATTAATTATCACGGGTACTAGAGCAATAAAGATTCAATATTTGGTCGGGTATTCCAAAGGTTTACTTACTCCGTTATCCTCAGATCAAGGTTACCAATGTAGATTTTGCTTTCACTATTTTCATCACCAGAACCATTAGGATCCTGCACTTATCCATCACAACGCAATTAAGGATTCTGTAATGCCATCTAGCACCAAATATGAAATATCTAATAAAAACTATTCCGACATGTTGCTAAGATTGTATAATATGTTTATACTGATGGTTCTCAAACAGCAAAGTGTCAGAATAGTAATCACTTTCTTCTCTTTTTATTTTGCAAAGCAATCATTTTCAAGCTGAATCCGGTGGACAAGCTTCCTTCGGGCCATACAGAAGTGCCAGACTGGTAATCTTGGTTACCCGAATATATAAATCCCATCACCTCGGATTCCCCTGTCAGGTCCATCTTTCAAGTCCAAAGTTCATATAGATATCAAGGGCCTTTTGGCATTCACTAACCACCACAGGTAGCCCCAGACAGGGGCCACATAGATACATGACTCCCCCAACCCACACAGTCACAGAAATATAAACAAATTGCTAGAAATATCAAATAGTGTTTACCGTGGGGAAAAAAGAAGAACCTTCATAGAAGCAAAGTCTTTTTCAATTCATAGAGTTACCTCTCTCTCTCTCTCTCTATATATATATATATATATATATATATATTCAAATTCTAGTTCTAACAACTACCGAGATTAAAGAACACAACAATGCAATAACTGAAAGGCAACTATCAGAACGAGTACAGAAAAAACAAAGCCAATGAAACTAAAACAAATGTGGGAAGAATGGGCTGAAGAAAACCCACGTATGCTGCATAACAGAAAGATGGTTCTAAACATATACCTTAAAAAGGTTTTAAAAAGAGGAAAAAAAGAAAATGCCTTCGAAAATAAGTTTACCATGATACAAAAAAGGGAATATGATGAGAATTCAAGTTCCAGCAGGACCAGCACACAAGCATAAACGAAGCTTCTGAAATTTAGAGCATCAAACTCTGCGTGCAACCTGCATGTAATTAAAAGTAAGAGCTCTCTTCACTCAGATAATGTACTAAAAATTTGAACTTGAACCATATTAAACAAAATTCCTGCCTAATCCAGTGTTGCCCCTTCATTCGAGTTCCTCAAAGAACAAATTTTTATGGTAATAAGGCTAAAGTAAATTGAACATCAATATATGATCCTGGCCTATAGCCATGATTCATGACAATGAAATCAGATTTTCATGAACCTACTCTAAACTGTGAATAAGATTGATCTGAGACGAAACCCTAGATATAAAAATCTGAAATCGAAAATTTGAAGCGCAATTGGTACCTACCTGCTACGTGAACAAAATCAGAGCGAACCGGTTGTCTCAGAGAGTCCAGGGTAGGGGATAGCGAGATGGAACGAAGCAGAGAGAGATTATCAGGCAAAGGAAAGCTGCGCTGATGCTCCGGTTTCGGATGTAAGAACAGAAACAAGGGGAAAACTGTAAAACGACATCGTGCTCCAATTAATAAGTAAAAAGAGTTTTAAATACTTTTTCACTTTTTTTCTTCCCGGAAGTGTATGTTGTGATCTTATATTTTATTTATTTCGACCGAAAAAACAGAATCTTATATTTTATTTAACGAATTAATGGTAATTTTCTTGACAAAACTATATACATATATATATATTTAAATATTTGGGGGAAGAAGATTGACTCGTGTGTAAATAGGCGAACACACTACTTTGATTAACTGATATAATTCATATCTACAAATTAATTAATGATTTTTTAAGGCAAAGACAAAGTTGATGTCTTATTAGAGAGAGGTGTCAATTTATTACTTGGAAGGTCATAAGAAAATGGCACCCACCCACCAACCTAAATCAAATTTTCAACGATCTTGGGCCACCACCATGAATCTATGATTGAACACCTATAAAGTTTGGCATGTTTTTAAAGAGCATAAATACAAGACTCGTGTATTCAACTTTAATTTGTATGGTTATGTATGCTCTGTCTGTTCTTCACCGAAGACGGAAAATGATAAAAGAAAATTTGGAGAGTGGCTCTTTCTTTGGACCTACCCAAACTTTTGAGCACATGAAGCCCCCCTTGGTGAAATTGGAAGATGAAAGTGACACTGACATTTCAGATACTCAGTGGCTCTGTCACTTGCAAATGTCACTGAGCTGGCATGCATCAACCCTTTTCAGTGTGTGCAGCTTAAATTTCACTTTCTAACCAGTTCTGTATAATATATGGTTTCATCAAGTCCACATACAACAAGAGAAAAAAAGAAGGGGGTAAGAAAAGATGAACAAATAAAATAAATGCTAGGGGCCAGGCTCTTTTATACATTAATACAAGGGACCCTTGGATTGGGTTAGCTTTCAAATATCCTAAAAACAATCATGAAAAAAATCACAAAGAGAATATGAGAATTAGGTCTGAGTACTGCAGCATTTTCATATAGAATCATGAGAAACATAGAAGAAGACACAAGGCCTTGACCTTTTTTGGCAGAGGATATCACAAGGGAGGGGGGGAGCATGCAACAAAACCATGTAGCCTGCAAAATGTAGCTCAGCATTTCCTTCTGGAAGTCATATAATTCTACGCACTTGGCCAAAAATGTCAAAAACAAACACAGCTTTGTCCACAAGATAAGAACGGTCCAAAATCTTCAATATAAAATAATTTTTTTCTCAACACTTCACTTCCATTAGTCAAGGCCTCTGTGCTGTGACTCTGTTTCTCCATAAACCCAACAATTTGTCTTCCACTCTTCACTCTCACGAGCTCCAGCTCTTGAACCTCTTCAAGACCCCAAAAAGCCTCCTTCCATGGAGACCAAAAACCTTCACTTTCTCTCTTTAACTCTCCTCTCCCTCCTCCACTTCTCAGCCTCTTTCACTCCCTTAGACAACTATCTCCTCAACTGTGGCTCACTGTCCAACACCTCGTTCTTCAACCGGGTCTTTGCTGGAGATTCCTACAAACCCGGGCCGGGTTCCATTTCGCTCACCAACCAAAACCCACCTCCCAATTCACCCGCCCTTTACCACACAGCAAGAGTTTTCAAGAGAATTTCAAGCTATAGCTTCGGCATCAAGAAATATGGTACTCACATGGTACGTTTCCATTTCTCACCGTTCGTAGCTCAAGGTTTCGATTTGAAAGCTGCAAACTTTAGCGTTTCCGTTGATAGGCTTGTGCTGTTGACTGATGTACATGTTAGAGATAATGTGCTTAGAGAATATATAATGAAAATTGATACAAATGTGCTTGAAATTGTGTTTACGCCTCTGGACAACTCGGGTTTTGCATATGTAAGCGCAATTGAAGTTTTTTCAGCACCTGAGGACCTTATTGTTGATTATGGAGCTAAGTTGGTGAGTGCCGATGTAGTTGAATACAAGAATCTTTCTTCCCAGGTTTTAGAGACCATTTATAGGATTAACGTTGGAGGTTCCAAATTGACCCCTTTTAATGATACTCTGTGGAGGGATTGGGTCCCTGATGTGGATTATCTTGTCCTGAAATCGGCCGCAAAGCGTGCCTCCACCACTCATATTCCAAATTATCAGAGAGGAGGTGCAACTCGAGAGATTGCCCCTGATAATGTTTATATGACTGCTCAGGAGATGAATAGGGATAAGGCAATTACAGATGCAAGGTTCAATATCACATGGGAATTTCCAGTGGGTTCGAATTCTGGGCATTTAGTTAGATTGCATTTCTGTGACATTGTTAGCCCTGCACTTAACTTGCTGTATTTCAATATATATATCAATGGGTATGCTGCATACCGAGATGTCGATCTATCGGTACTGGCAACCAATGAACTTGCATCTCCACTCTATATTGATTTTGTTGTCAATTCAGATGTTTCGGGGGTTATACAAATTAGTGTTGGTCCTTCTGATCTGAGCAGTTCTGTGAGGATGAATGCTATATTGAATGGGGCAGAGATCATGAGAATGGTGAATGTTTCCCATTTACAGACTGAAGCTGGTTCTAAGAAGAAAAGTATATGGATTTTGGTGGGTACAGTTGTTGGAGGCTTTGTTATTCTGTGTTTTGCAATTGTTGCATTTCTGCTTGCTTTGAAACGCAGGAAGAAGAAACTGAAACCTGCACCTGCAGAAAGTGTGGGTTGGACACCTTTACGCATATATGGAGGTAGTTCACACAGTAGAATGTCTGAAAGGACGGCACTTGCATCTCCAGGCCCAAATGGATATCATTTCTTGAAAATCCCTTTTGCTGAGTTACAATTGGCAACGAACAATTTCGATAAAAATCTAATTGTAGGCTCTGGTGGTTTTGGCATGGTTTATAAAGGGGTCCTAAGGGACAATACAAAGGTTGCTGTGAAGAGAGGTGTGCCTGGATCTAGGCAGGGCCTTCCAGAATTCCAGACTGAAATAACTGTTTTGTCTCAAATTCGGCATCAACATCTTGTATCACTTGTTGGTTATTGTGAAGAACAGTCAGAAATGATACTTGTTTATGAATACATGGAAAAGGGGCCCTTAAAGAAACATTTGTATGGTTCGGGGCTTCCACCTTTGTCTTGGAAGCAACGACTTGAAATATGCATTGGATCAGCAAGGGGTCTTCACTACCTTCATACAGGTTTTGCTCAAGGAATCATTCACCGTGACATTAAATCAACTAATATCTTGCTTGATGAGAATTATGTGCCTAAGGTGGCTGATTTTGGTCTTTCGAGATCAGGCCCGTGTCTCAATGAAACCCATGTAAGTACTGGCGTTAAAGGTAGTTTTGGGTATCTTGATCCTGAGTATTTCCGGAGGCAGCAGCTTACTGATAAGTCAGATGTTTATTCATTTGGGGTAGTGCTCTTTGAAGTTCTTTGTGCTAGACCTGCTGTTGATCCATTGGTTGACAGGGAGCAGGTGAATTTAGGTGAATGGGCAATGCAATGGCAGAAGAAGGGTATGCTTGAGAAAATTATTGATCCCCATCTTGTTGGACAGATCAAACCAGGCTCTTTGAAAAAGTTTGGAGAAACGGCAGAGAAATGTTTGGCTGAATATGGTGCGGATAGGCCAACCATTGGTGATGTACTATGGAATTTAGAATATGCTCTTCAGCTTCAGGAATCTAGACCACGAAGAGAAGTGCATGAAGACGGCGATATCAATGAGCTTCCAACAAATGCAATTGTTCCTGGAGATCCAGCTACCAATACAAGAACAGAGGAAGGTGATGGTAATGGTAGTTTAGAGATTAATACAAGCCAAGTTTTTTCTCAATTGATGACGAACGATGGTAGATAGCTTTAGGCTTGTGCATCAATATACAATCAATACCATACAAGAATTTTAAAGATCTCCACTTTAGCACTACCACTGAGACAAAACTTAGAGGTATCTTTCTGAGGTTTTTACTACTATTAAAATTTTCTCGTTTTTCTTTTCGTTGCTTTTAATCCTTTTATCACGATTATCATCCGACACTTTGTAATGAATTTCTGAGTTATATCTTCCCTACTGTCAAGATGTTGTAGTATTTTCTTCTTTCTATCTTATTGTTGTATCTTGTATGTAACTGAAAGAATTGCAGAAACTGCTCGTGTTTGCTGTCTGAAATGTATAATGTTTTTGTTTTTGCATTTCTGGGCTTTCAAGTACCAAACCCGCAAAGCTGCAAGTTCTATTTACACACAGAAGATACTGTGAATCATAGGAAGCTTGCATATATTCAAAAGTAAAATTCCTAGCTGGTGAACTGGCTGTTCTGCACTACACTAGACGCAAGAATCTTTCTCACTTTCTGCGGTTCTGGTTTTTCACTTAAAAAGCAATATGTGCTGCCATCTATAGAGTTGTTAAATGGTTGCGAAGAAAACGAAAATATAATGAGTGGAAAGTAATGCCAATTAGGCCCCAAGTCCAGCTGGAAGCTAAAATGTCGTTAATGGCGCATTAGGTTTGCTGAAGCAATCTACCAAATCTGTGTAATATGGTGAGAGAGAGAGAGAGAGAGATAGTGGGATTTGGTCTCCCCACTCAAAAGTGTCGATCCTAAATCATTACTAAATATACAATACTTAAACATTTCTCTCTGTCTTTAATTAGATTAAAGTACATCATTTTCATACCTACTGACCTCGTCTTTGTATAGTGTAGCCTAGCCACCATCATTTTCAAATTTGGCGTCAATTTTGAACCCTGGCCTTTATAGCACTTCACTACTGACATATATACAAGTAGTCACTGAACATATTTGTAGCTGAGGTGGGATCCATATCAAATACAGTATCAACAACTGCATATCGAATACATATCAATAGTCGATATCGTGTCGATATGGATCTCACCCCAATTACAATATAATAGGATCCCCTAAATATAGAAAGAGAGTATGGCTTACTTTGAATATATAGTTTCTTTTCTTTCACACATGCACGCAGTTGATGAAGTCCCCAGAATGTGATGCGATGATAAGATTGTGATCAGATTTGAATCTGAGCTCATGGAATTTGTACCAAAATACAGGGATAAGGTCCAATAAGAATATTGATGATGAGCGATTACCGGGCAATTATTGATGATGATGTAAAAATTCAATATCAAATATACGTATACAGGGAAAAGGCATCGTTTACCTTTCAAGTTTTTGAGAGAGACTTTTGAGTTTGACACCCACACCACACCACAAACATTACTAATAAAAACAGGAGGGGGAATTCAAGCTTATATGCCTAATTGTGTCGCAAATGCGAAATATCTTACATCACCGACGTCGACGCAACAGAAACAAAATATACCGAAGATTTTTATTCCAAAGGATTTGTAGTTCAAATTGTCATTTTCACTTGAGGTTATGTGTTGAATCTTAACTTCTCAAACTACTGATACCCTGCCTTGTCCGTGGGAAAACACGAATAAGGGTATTACGGTCATTTTGTAAAATAAGGCAGTCGGTGTGTTAACCGTTAATAATTGCGTGGCGTGGTACGTAGGCCCACTTATCCAAGTCGGGCTAATCATAACTCGATACGTTAACCACAGTGGCAGACAGTTGTGCTAATTGCTGTCGATTCCGTAATTTCCTCAAACTTCCGGGGTCTGTTTCATTTCTGAAATACCCCTCCGCGAATAAAAAACAGACAAAAAAATGCCACTCACACAGACACAGTCCGTGAAAATTTACAACCAGATTCTGAATTTTGCTTCCACACACACACAAAAGTCATAATAAACACACACTTTCTCTCTCTCTCTCTCTCTCTCTCTCTGCCTGAGTTGAAGAAATAAACAGTTTAACGAGAAGACAAGAGCAAAAAAAGAGAGATTAAAAAAGAAGAAAGAAAGAGAGAGTTACAGAGAAATTTAGCAAATCGAGGCGAGGGTATTCAAATCAGAAGTCGTAATCGCTGAGGCTGCGAAAAGTGGTGGAGTTTTGTTTGAATTAAAGTGAATAATTTCATTTCCAGAGAGAGATATAGAGAAGGAGAAGAGGGGTAGGGTTTCTGATTTGAATCCAGAGGGAGGTGGAGTTTCGGTTAGGGATACAGATAGGGTTTTTGGTGAAGAAGATGACGGAGGTGGTACTGCATATATATGACGTGACGAATAGTGGATCGGAAAAAACGAACAGCACCATTCTTCAGATCAACAAGATCTTCAAGGACGGTATCGGCCTTGGCGGTATCTTCCACAGCGCCATACAGGTTCTCTCTCTCTCTCTCTCTCTCTCTCTCTCTCTCTCTCTCTCTCATGCACATGTATGCATGTATGTAATCCCAAAGTACACATGTATTGACTAGTTGGCTGGTGTAATCTTGGAGTGCTGTGAATTTATAGGAGAGATCTAGGGTTTTTGACCTTCCCTTTGGTTAAGGCAGTTGGGAATTTTGACTTTGATTCTTGTGTATTTATTATATTGGTTGGAGAAATGACCTGTGTGTTCACTCTGATTGAATGCCTAGGGTTTATGTGGTTCTCAGTGGTCACTGATTTGCTTAATTTATTGTACATCTTTGATGGAGATTTTAATCTGAATAATGAAATTTTGCAATTTAGTGATATTAGATTTTCCCTGGATTTTAAAGTACGGAGGTGTGGTTGAGTTCAGCTTGATCCTGGGTGCTCATTAGTTGCTGATTTGCTCAATAGATGTTTCTCAGTATGATGGAAGTGCCTTTTTGTTGAGTTTTCATTGCTTATGTTTTCAAAGACAAACATTATTCTTTTGTGGTATTCTTTATAGTACAAGGATCTGAGCAGAATTGTTTATGCTTTATTTGATAGGTTTATGGAGAGGATGAATGGTCATTTGGGTTCTGTGAACAAGGATCTGGTGTTTTTAGTTGCCCTTCCGGAAAAAATCCTATGTACACCTATCGTGAATGCATCACCCTTGGTACAACAGATTGTTCAATTTTCAAGGTTAACCAAATCTTGAGGGAACTCAGTAGAGAGTGGCCTGGGTATTCATATGACCTGTTATCAAAAAACTGCAACCACTTTTGTGATGAGTTCTCTGAAAGGCTTGGGGTGCCAAAGCTTCCAGGTAACGTTATGAGATCTGTTATTTTACCAGCAATTCTCAAGCTTAATGCTTTTTTCTTGCAATTGAAAGATTACTTTACCAAACATAAGTGCAAGGGTCAATGATGTGTCAGTGTCCAAGTTGATTGCCTGATAGATGGTGTATGCTCTATTGGAACATTCTGATAGATGAATTTAATTAGTTGCCTTAGTGTGACTCCCTTTTGTTTGATGGGTTGGCTATTGATATGCAAATTGGTTGTTGGTCCAAATCTCTGTTGGTTTACAATCTTGAGATCAATGTTTTAGTTGTTTCCGGACTTGATGAGTTTAAGCTATTTCTTGGTAGTAAAGAAGATTTTTGTAGCCAACCCTTGGAGTGCGGAACAGGCAGATTAATTAGTCTTTTTTAGTCGGTTCATATCATTGTCTTTCTATTTATATATTAATGTCATTTTTGAAAACTATGTCCTATTAGAATTTGACCTGCACATATATTTTGTCTTGGAAAATGTGCTGTTAAGGATGCACTCATGCCCCCTGCTCCATTGCTTTAGTTGACATTATTGATAATGTATTGAACCTGCAAGCTTTATTTCAAGCATGATTTATCTGTGTCTTGTACAATGTGCGCTTTGTGTCTGTTTTTGCATTATGCTTACTGATTTTTTGGTTGACTAGTACCAGAAATTGTTGTGGTTTATGTATTCTTTTCATGTATTATCATGAGCTTGAAGATTCGAGTGTAGCAAGGGTGATCGATATAGCGAATTTTATATTGAGTTTTCTTCTAAATTGGTCGTGTCTGTTACGGGGGATGGGGGGTTTGGGTGTATGGGTTTTGGGGGGAGATGAGAAGGTTAAGTTGTGAAGTTATGATCTTAGTGTTACTGTGCCTTTGGATTTGAAAATGGAGTTGTAAATTACTATCTGGCATGCATTCTTATAGCTTCTTCCACAGGTTGGGTTAATCGTTTTGCCCATGCTGGTGATGCTGCAATGGAAGTAGCGGGTAATACAGCAATACGGGTGAGTAATTTATGCAGAATGCACTATTGTTATAATATCCCTGAAGAAAAACTTATCTTTCAGAGCCATTTATGCTCCTTGAAGTCTGTCATTACCAATTCATTGGATCCTCTGCTGTAAAAGTACTGATTATAACTCTGGTTTTCATTGCCTATCATGTGCTTAGTGCATACATTGATTCAATTCAAAATTTCAAGCTTGTGGTTGCAGGCAACCAACCTTAGGTTTTTTAGTGAGCCAAGTTTTATGTAAATAAGATACTTGACATTTTTATCTTCCTTGGGAAGGGGCAAATTGCAGCAAATTTAATCTTAAACATATCCACAAGAGTCCCATGCAGAGACTATCATTGCTGTTGTTTTTAATTTGAAGTTACCTACGTATGGCCTACTATGTTTTCTGTTTTGCCTGAACTTGTAGTGGCTTTAGATGTTGCTTAACCCTTATGTTCTCAATCTTAATTTGTCTGCAATCTAGTGTGCCCAGTAATTTATTTATGATCATTTTTTATACTTCTGGTTGCTTGAGTGCATATAAGTCTGATAGTTTTCTTGGGTTGTTGCAGTTGAGACAAGCCAAGACAGAGATTGTATCTGCTAGCAAAGTGGCATATCGTTTCCTTGCGGGTGTTACTAACAATGCCATAGCTGCTCCTGAGTCTCCTGGAAATTCAACCAGAGGCACTCCTAGATTTCAAGCAGCTTGGTTTAAAAACCTAATAACTACAGGAGCAAAACCATCCAGTAGTACAGAAATTGAGAATAAGGAAGAGGATGTACTTCGGCACCACCAGCAATCAGATGCAGAGTCACCGCCGCGGCAGAAATCATATACATGGCGTACCACTTGAGATTGTAACTTCAAGGACATGTTACCATGTGTACCGCTAGTTAAATTCATTGGGTATCAATGAAAATTTCTTTTGTCGCTGAACAGAATTATGCCCATTCATCCGCCCAAACTGGAGTATATATATTCAATAGGTTGCCCAACTTGTAGTTGCTTTATTACATGATTGATTGATTGATTTCCGTAGAGTTAGGAAAACACTTATGAATGTGTTTGGCCAAGTTTGATAATCGGTTCTGTATTGTCAGAGCCCTAGCTCTCAGTGGGGAAAACTATCCACTGCAGTTGTAAGGGACGTCATCTGTATTTGACTGGTTTGGTGATTTAAATGGATTTTATGAATATGAGTTCATACCCGTACAAGTACACTCCACTGAAGTCTCAAACTATTGTCTCGAGAATTTACGGTCCATTCAAGTGAGACCAAAGTGATAATTAACTCATTTGTCTAAGCAAGGATGGCTATTGTATTTTTATTTGTCATGCATAATGCGAAAAATAACGCTATAGGCATCAACCCTTTTGTCCGACGAGACCCTAGACGAGACCAGGGAGACCGAGAAGAAAGGTTGCGGTCAGGCCAAAATCCCCAACAATATTGGCAACAAACAACTCTTTGAAATAACAAACTATTATTAGCAGCATGCCTCAATCGCATCGAAACAGGAAATTCGTTAATAACAGTATGTCATACACCAGAAAATATCTGAACATAATTCACGATTGAAGCTACACTAGTTTAATAATACACTCCACAAAAATATCAGAAAGACGAGTCAGCTTACACTGCACGTAAAAATATCGCAGCCTCTAGAAGAGAATTTAAGAAGAAAAACGAAAGAGCATGTCATGCAACATTGTCCAAGCTGAAGAAGATACCTTTACCCGACAAACCACCTAAACACATTCGTGAAATTATATACAAAACATCATTATCGAAATTCAGCCAATACGCCTCTTCCAGTAACATGACGACTTCACTGAAATGTCCGTCTACCGTCTTAGCATTCCATCAAGCACCATTGTGCCTTCATGTGCTTCCTCTGCAATCTGAAGAGATGAAACAGCTTGTGCTGCAATGAGACCAGCAGTGAATCCCGTAGTCCCCCAACCTGCTTCCTCACAAAATTGTTCATGGTAATCTCTTCCATAAGGCCCAGATGAGAACGACAACTGACTGTTCCCCAAACCACCCCACTTGCATCCCGATCTGTAAGCATTAGAGACCCACCCAATCCTTTCAAGTGAACACTTTGCAGAGTCCTGATAAGGAAAGCATGCCCTCCGTCCAGCCATAAAGACGTCAATATCGCCAGGACAATCCCAAGGATTAAGCACTTCGTCTTTGTTCAGAACAATTTCACACGTCTCATCTGAGTCTTCACCAAGTAGAACATGCAGCGCAACAGCCTCGGCAATTGCAGCACCTTCTTCATCAAGCCTCTGTTGCTCTTCTTTCTGCTTTTGTTTTTTCTTTTCTAGTTCAGAAATGATGGCAGCCGAAGTAGCAAGGGCTTTCTCCAAGCGCCTCTTCTTTTTCTCAGCCTGTTTTTGACGATCCAATTCGTCCTTCACCTGCTTCTTCTTAACTTTTCTCACAACAGGTTGCAGTTTATTACACTCCATGTTATCCATTCAGATTAACGACCTCTAAATAGATGCCTTTGTTTAACTTTCCTTTCAGAATTCCTCTAAAGTATACATTTCCCTATAACTGTGTTCCCTTACTTTTCTATATTACTAAATAAATTTAATTAATTTTCTTGTTGAAAACTAATATATTGCTGTAATCCTGACAACTACACCCACTCAGGTCTGTAGGAGTACCTCATTTTGCGAACGATGCAATCCCAAACAGAAACAACAGGCGACAACAGAAGGGAAAATTGATATGCACTCACAGATCCACCCCTTGGCATCATTCTTCCTAATTTCCCACAACCTTTGCATTTACCCATCTGGAGCATACTAAAAGAACTGATCATCAAATACCAATTGTCAAAGCAATAATCAAAATCTGTCCCAAACAGCTCACATGGCCTTCGCTGCTGCAGAGAAAGTAAAGAGTCATGATTGAAACCAAAACTTCTACCCTGGTACACATGTTTAGATGCACACAAAAGTATAGATATATGACCTATGAGAAACAGGTACACACACATGGTGTAAAACGCAGGCAACATATATCAGGGATAACTCCCTTAATATAATTGTCATAATTTAAAGTGAAGTCAAACTTCCCCGTAAAGAGACCTATCTAACCTAAAATTAGATCTAAATAACATCACCTGAGACCTCACAATCAAGCTAGATAAAAAAAATCTTCAAAAATTATTGAATTAACAATCCTTTAAAAGACGTGTACGATATCCATCTAATCCTTGCTAGTGACAAAGTTCTGAACCCAGAGTAGGCAAAGGGTTCGCAAAAACAAGAGATATCCAGTGAGTCAACTCGAAACACAGCTTCAATTATGAATTACCAAGGTCCTGAGCAAATCTAAACCAATCCAATCTTCCATTATATTGGTGAGATGATGGAATAAGACCAAACCGATGAATAATTTATCACTCAATTCAATAACTGGGGAGCTAAAGAACAAAATCACAAAACAGAGGCCAAGTTTCAGACCACCAATTGAACTTTCACTCAATTTTCTCTTCATCCAAACAGATGGTGGTATCTAATTTGTTCAAATCCGCACTTCACCAAATAGATCCGCACAAAAAATCAACATAGTTACAACAGTTCATCACAAATCCATACGTACAATCGTGTGATCTATATATCAGTTCCGATACAGAAACATCAAATTCTAACAGTATTAACAACTTCCATAAAAATCAGATCCAAAAACCCATTAATCTAGAAACATAAATCGAAACCAAATATCAACAATTATATGCAAATATAGATACACGAAATTAAAGACGAAGAGTGGGAGAGAGAGAGAGAGAGAGAGAGAGAGAGAGCAAACCAGGTTAGAATGAGAGCTAGAGGAAAGGACCTCGAGCTTTGTAAGTCATCCGTGGAAAGCAGAAACGGGAAGAAATTGGAAGCGTTTGGATCCAAAGAAACAGAGTTGTGTAAGAAACGAAAGTGAAAATTTCATAACAGAGGGAAATAACCGACCACATAGAAAGAGAGAGAGTGAAGGGGGTAATCGTGTAAATTACGAATGGGACGGCGACGCGTGGCGGGAAGATGGCCCGAGTTGGTCTGAAGGGTAAATCTAGAATATCTGACTTTTCTTTGTCCTTTGGATTAGGTTGGGGTCTGGTTGGCTGGCTCTATCGAACTCCGTGGTGTCACTTGCTTTCCGTCAAAATATTTCTATTGGCTTATTTATTTGACGGCTCAGATTATAGATCTGAAAACACTTGTCTTTAGATCCAACGGTTTGGACTAGCTACATGAATAAGAAGGTAGGACTGTGATTTGGTAATGGCAAACCTGGACCTCCATATTAGGCCTCTTCCTACACAAGACCTTTCCTGGAGTGTTCAGGGCTTTTTTTGTTTTTAAGCTTTTGGCCCAACTACTCTAAAGAAAACGAAAAATATCTTATCTCTCAATTTACCTTGATAGTCTGAAGTAAATTAAATTAATCTAATCTACTAAGATCAACCAGAACTTAAGTACAAGGAGACAGACTCACTACCATGACCGCAACTGTCTACACTTGTCCTCTTTCGCTTTTGAATGAGTCTATGATGAAGAAAAAATAAAATTTTACTTATTATTAGTCTCAAAACTTTAACATGCTCCAAGTGGTGATAAGTTCAAGTCTTCATAGTACCAATACGTTATACGTGTGAGTTTCTCCTTTTCCTTCTTAACTTTGGCACACACAAAAAACTTAAAAAAAATTAAAAGATTAAAATTGATTGATTTTGCAAGTTTTGAGTGTGAATCGCTAAATCTGGCAAATTAATTCGTCCATTAAATAAACAAATCATCTCTTATCTTAGACTTAACAGTTGCCCTTCTCTCTCACAACTCAAATTCTCTTTAGTCACTCAACAATAGTCTCCTCCTCCACCAAATCTTTTTCTTCTTCAACTTCCATTTGTTTTGATGATCTCCCCTTAACCAAAGGGGCCATAGAAGGCGCAATGCTCTCTCTTCAACTCCCCACCGTTATCAATCCCAAGCCCTCCTCCTCCTCCTCCTCCTCCTCCTTCCTCACCAACACAAACCCCTTTAAACCCAAAACCCTAAAACCCAACCCGTCTTCCCCATTCACTGTTCGCTCCGTCCTCCAATACAATAGGAAGCCCCAATTGTCCGGCGATACCCCCCGCGTCGTCGTCATCACCTCCGGCAAAGGCGGCGTCGGCAAGACCACCACCACCGCCAATGTCGGCCTCTCCCTCGCCCGTCTCGGCTTCTCTGTTGTCGCCATCGACGCCGACGTCGGCCTCCGCAACCTCGACCTCCTCCTCGGCCTCGAGAACCGCGTCAACTACACCGTCGTCGAGGTGCTCAACGGCGATTGCAGGCTTGACCAGGCTCTCGTCAGAGACAAGCGCTGGTCCAACTTCGAGCTGCTCTGCATCTCCAAGCCCAGGTCGAAATTGCCGATGGGGTTTGGCGGCAAAGCCTTGGTTTGGGTCGTCGACGCCTTGAAAGCCAGGCAGGAGGGCTGCCCGGACTTCATTCTCATCGACTGCCCGGCAGGCATCGATGCCGGGTTCATCACCGCCATTACGCCGGCCAATGAGGCCGTGCTCGTGACCACGCCGGACATCACAAGCTTGAGAGACGCTGACAGAGTCATTGGGTTGCTGGAGTGTGACGGAATTAGGGATATCAAGATGATGGTGAACCGGGTTCGGACCGATATGATCAAAGGTGAGGATATGATGTCGGTGCTGGATGTGCAGGAGATGTTGGGCTTGGCATTGTTGGGGATGATACCGGAGGATACGGAGGTAATCAGAAGCACCAACAGAGGGTACCCTCTGGTTTTGAATAGGCCGCCCACATTGGCTGGACTGGCTTTCGAGCAGGCAGCATGGAGGCTTGTTGAGCAGGACAGCATGAAGGCTGTCATGGTTGAGGAAGAGCCAAAGAAGAAGCGCGGCTTTTTCTCCTTTTTTGGCTAGGAGTTTTACCCTTTTTTATTCTCTGAATTGATATTGCTCCAAATTTATGAGCTTTATCATGTATGGAGGTTGCATATGTTTCATCTGCAGATGATTGATCAAATTTAGAGGAAAGTAAGAAGCTGTGTACAGAGTGGGTGAGTGAAGTTTCAATTCTATGATTGTGTTGTGTTTCTCTCTTATTGGTAGCTAGCTAGATTTTAGAATTCTAGTTTGTTTTTTGTTTTTGTTTTTAGAGAATGCAAGTAACTGTAACTCTTTGATGAGATCATCTGAGCTGCTGCTTCTTGGTTACCTTTCTAGGTTCATTCTTTTTTGCTGTATTTACTAGATTGAGAAACAAGGAGAATTCGTACCTGTTTCTTGCATTTTGTGGGTTGAAAAGTTCATGCCTGATGTCAACAGGATCATTTGATAGATGACGGCTTAACTCTCTTGCTATCCCAGTCACTTTCATGAATTGGCCTCTCCCCATCACCACGAAGTTCTGACGATGTATTTCATCTGCTAGAAACATTGGAGAGTACGTTTTGATTAGATGGTGATCTCTTTCTGCCAAGATGAAAGCTTTTACTTCCTCCAAAAACCATCTCAATAACAACTCTCTTTTCACGTGGTATCCATCTAACCAAATTCACGGCATGCAAATGACTTGGTTACCAACGGGGTTTACTGAAACATCTCAAGTTTTGGGCGTCTTGGTACTGAAACATCAAACCCCTGAATCTCCAAATTGAACGAAGCCATCGAAAAGCAGCTGCTGGAGCAAGCTAAGAATTTACTTGTAGTCTTCTTCGCAATTCATAGAGCAGCTTTGGGCCCACCGTAGTTATATTACCTGAATAAATCAAATAAAATCAAATAATTGTGGACTCATAAGTTCTATTTCAAAATTTGTCCCTTCTTTTATGGACAATGATGATATGACATTAGCGGCATAAAGATTCAGTACCCGCTCCAAGTGTTAAAACAACAATATTCCGATGAGGTTTCTCGGATATTTGAAATGCCAGCTTGTCTACCACATCATCCTGCAACCATTTTAGAGCATTAATGGGGTTTCATTTGATCCCGATATGTAATATTTCAGCTTTTAAATTCATATTTTCCATGCTCTTTCCAGGCATAATTGTATCTTGAAGAAACTTAAAATTCAGTATTACCAGAGAGGGGATGTAATCAGATGGCGGGCCAATTATAGTAGCAGCTAGCTCCCTTCCACCAACATTCTGCTCATCTATTTCTCTAGCAGCATAAACCTGATATCAGACATCAAACCAGTCAACCCTTTGGTTGTCAGATTATGCAAAGACTTTGTGCCAAGACATCTTACCTTTGTAACTACAACTTGATCTGCATCACGGAGGGCATTCGCAAAGTCATCCTTTAGTGCTGCTAAACGACTGTAAAATTATCATCAAAGAGTCTCACATAATTATATGGATCATGCTAATGATGCTAGAAAATGTGCTAAAAGAAGCTCTCAATTGTTCTCATGTTGATGAATACCTGTAAGTATGAGGCTGGAATACCACCAAAAGAGACTTGTTAGGGAACCTCTGGCGTGCAGCTTGAATAACAGCACTAACTTCCGTTGGATGATGAGCATAATCATCATATATATGGCATCCGTATATTGTGCCAATCATCTCAAAACGCCTTTTTATGCCTATAAAATTGTTTAAGTGCAAGCTCACGCGATTAATTGTATTGTTAATTGGACTTTGGTCACTGAATAATGTTACAACAGTAGCAATAACCTGCATAATACAGCACGATTACAAGAGACATTAAGTTACAGGACTTCAATAGTTCAATTTTACTAATTGGTGAAAAGAAAAATGTCACTTATACAATGAGAATCAACCTAACCTAATTTTCGTTTGATGTTTGTTCACCAAAAAACGAAAATCCACCCTTAAAAATTTTGAAATGCCAGGCTTACAATTAGAAAGATATTATGGTTATAATATAACTCACAAAAGAAATGTGATGAGAAACACTACATTCGGTATGGTATGCTACTCACTGCTAATGAATTAAGGACGTTATGAACTCCTGGAATCTGTAGACTGATGTCTACCACAGAGCACCCTTGATGACACTACAGGGGAGAGAGAAAGAGTGATTAACCATGGAAGAGAATATGCACTTAAGTTGCATACATCATCATTTTTCCAGAAGAAACAAAATAACATAAAGAACAGAGGAGCATCCCAGACATGAAAAGAAACCATCTTTACGACATGAAAAGAAGCCATCTTTACATACCAGTGTATAATCACAACCACCCTTTAAGTTTGGCCTAATTGATGATGCATGCCAATCATTAAAACTTGTGGTTCCATAAGTTGTTATGTTGTAGCTGTCAGAACATTTTTCCAATGGCCTTGACCTTAGACCACTCCAATTATGCGATCCAATTGGTAACTTTCCATCAGTCAGCAAGGAATATGCACCTTCACTATTGAAAACGGATTTTTTTTTAATGAAAATATACACACACAAAATTAAAATTACATATGTAGCTTATATGGGGAGGCAAAATACATTAGACAACAATATTCAATAACCAATACATGCAAGCACTACCAATAGACTAAACCAAACTCATACAGAGTCTTAAGTCTAATTGCATATGAAATGAGAGTTGAGCAACTACCGGACAAACAAGTAAATCTAGAGCAGCTCAGATGCATGATGCATGACTTAGGCAAATGTTGCTCTTCTAGAATGCCTACCACTTGAACTTATCTGCTGCACCAAAATGCAATATGCTGCCAAAATAGTAGAGCAATGTACCTATCCCCACATAAAATGAGATGTCCGCCCACCCTGATTCGACTCAGGAATTTTCTGAAAGTAGCTTTAACTGCCTCCTCGTTTTGAAATATATCAACATGCTCCCAATCCAAATTTGTTACGATAGCTATATAAGGTGATAGTCCCAGGAAGCAACCATCATATTCATCAGCCTATTACAAACACAAATTATGTGTGTAAGCTACAATCTTTATGAACATAGAATTGATGGTTGCTTACAGAAAGGAGAGAATAAGTATTAAATAGTAAAAACTTAACCAAATATCGTTTATTTCTACCGATAAGTGATTGTTATTCATTGTTATATGAATGGGATTTAAATATTAGATATCTTCAGTCATTTGTACATCATACCATTACCATTTACCACCTTATTCCTTAATAAGTATACATGTAATCCTTGCATGGTTTTCAAAGCTCATGCAACTCATCAAATACTCAACCCCGTCATGAAAAAGTATACCTCCAGGACAAAATTCCAACCATCACCGAAGATAATGTTTCCTCCTGAGAACTGCAAAAGAAAGTTGTAATCATTTTCAACATCTAATGATAGAAAGTCAATTTAAGCTACTCATCGTAAGACTTTATTACAGATTCTAGTTCAAAAGAAAGCAGAAAACTATGGTTTAAACATGGTGAATGGACCATACAAGAAAGAGATGTATTACTATTGCATCTGAAACGTTCATCTTTTCACCAAAGCTGCACAGAGAAAAATGATACCTGCGGCACATGTGCTCCAACTACTGCTGTAAGATTATCACCCATGCTGTCTAGAACATAAGCAAGCATACTTGCAGTTGTACTCTTTCCTATAAGTATTAATCATTAACATTAATAGCATTAAGAAAAAGAAGGCAAGCTAATAGTATCTTAGATTTGACCACGATTGGATCACTATTATAACTATTATAGTATATCAGTTTTAAAATTTAATACTAGGCATGCAAACTTAGTATTTTTTGGAGTATCACAACCAAGCATATAACCCTATCACATTTCACTGTATGTTTTTTTTATAAATAGGAATCGCATTTCACTTTACTGAAGCAAAAGGAAAGGGAAACCACCCAACTTATTTACATTTTTCACTAGATAAAAAAAATAACAAATTAATATAGATAGATCAGAAAAGACATTCCATAAACCCTTAAACTTGTAGACAATGTTAACTTTGATTGATGAGGATAATAGCTTGGACAAATTCTTACCATGGCTACCACTTACGGCAATGAGATTGTACCCCTGTGTCAGCTTTCCTAACCAGTGGTCTCGCTTGTACCTGTAAAAGAAAGGGGTTATGATATGAAATCAAGAAGAACAACTAACGTAAACGTAGCATTACTTGGATAGGCAAACACTAAACTGTAAAAGTGGCATACGTGATAAACAAAATGGCATCCATGGTATCGTTTAGCATAGGAACTGATACAAACAGTTTCTATGCCTCATAAATCACAAGCCAAAAGAAGTTCAGAACGTAGTACATCAAATGCCAAATTGAACAGTAAGTACTCACACGGGAACTCCAACAGACTTTGCATACAAAATCTCCACATTGTGTTGGGGAATAGCACTAGAAACAACAATGGCGTCAGGTAATCTTGAGGCAGCGTTCCTTTGCAGATTTTCCACCGAATGACCAATATGCAAAAGTGCCCCTGCTTCCTGTAGCCCATCCATGAAGCTACTCCATCCAATATCCGAGCCACTGACCTCATAACCCTACAGGAGAAAAAAAATACAATTCAAGAAACCTAGAAATAGTCCAGTTTTCAATTGTATATTACACTCATTAACATTAACAATTAAGAGCCAAGCCAGATGACACTCTAATACTTGACATCTGCCGAGAAAATAAAAAACCGAAAGAAACAAAGATTTCAAATTCTATACAAGTTTGAGCAAATAAGATAGTTTCCTTAACCTTCCACCATGCTTTCACTTTGTTAAGTTACTAAAGGAAGCTCCATTTGACAATCCTAAATTTCAATTTTCCTTCACTTACCACTTGTTTACTCAACAACAAAGCAAGACTTCCATAAGGGTTGTTTGTTTTCTTTCATTTTCTATCATTTCACACCATTTTCTCAGAAAGCAAACATATAGGGCTGCAATCAAGCTTCACCTGTTTGAGTGCAAACATGGCCAGCGCAGACAACCCACAACCTCCAATACCCACAAAGTGAATCCAACCCTTGTCATTTCTCAAACTATCAAATACTCGATCTCTCTCCTCCGTGACCGTCGTTGCGATTGAGATGCTACCACTGTTGTTTTTACTCAAGGCTTGCACGGATTTTCCACTGCGATTGGTTTTGCCCTGGACGGAGATCTTCCGTAGAAATATCTGAAAGGGAATCTTCTGTGTCTCCATAAAAATGGCGGGAAAATTGAGAGTTTTGGACGTCGATAATGCCGGGAATTTCATTGTGTGATACAGTGATTTTCCCGTGAAACTGGCGGCTTTGAAGTTGGATCGTGGATTCTCAAAGATATGGATACGGGTATTTTAACTGTAAAAAGAGGGACGAAGAGATTAGGCCCAATATATTGCCGCCATTTATTCAAGGAAGAAAGCGGTCTAATACTCGTTTACCAATAAACCTAAGAAGGTCCAATACTTTTGCAACATACCAAAAGACTTATTTTTAATGTTCATTCTTAGGTTATTTTTTCCCCAAAGTTAGGAATGAGGCGTTTTTCAAACGCATGCGATAATGTGATATAGGAATTCGAATATAAAATTATCAGTCAACTTATTACTAAAAAATTTATTATGCTATTAAGTTTTACTAGTTTGTAGAGTTGAAATAGCAAATTAATATCTATAAAGTATAAACTAATGCAACTATAAGGTCCTTTTTTCTATTATGTTCTTTTATTAAATAGTCTAGTCACACGACGATACTTATTTTGACACGTGGGTGCCTAATCGATGGGGTTCTCCTTTTTTTTTTAAGTATAGCCGTGCGGCTATACACCGTTTTTTAAATTACAAAAATACAAATTTATAAATAAACCCAATCCTAAACATGTATTTATAAAAAAACCCAAGCACTATTTAAACATAGAAACACACCCAAAATCAACAATTGTATATTTTTTGGGTGTGTTTATAAATGGGTTTTGAGTGTGTGTAATGATGGATTTTGGGTGTGTTTATAAAGTGTTTTGGGTGTTGGGTTTTTTTATAATTTCAGCTCCCATTTTGGGTGTTTTAGTGAAACTCCCTTAAAAAAATAGTACTTGGACACGCAGGAGCCTAGTCGCAAGGCAGGTCCTTTTTTTAAAATATAAATAGTATAGCCGCGCGGCTATACTCGGTTTTTTAATTTTTAATTTATAAAATTAGTATAGCCGTTCGGCTGTTCGCATTTTGACACGTTGGTGCGCTCCTTTTTTAATATATAGTATAGCCGGTCGGCTATACTCTTCTAATTTTTTTGGATAAATAGTATAGCCGCCCGGCTATACTCTGTTTTTCTTTTATTTTTTTTCCCTAATTTTTTTTTAAAAAAATTTAGTATAATTGATCCACTATACTCTTTACATATATATATTGGGATCCTTTTTTCTTTTAAATATTTTCCTCGATTTTCGTTTACCAATAAGAGTAATTTAGAGCATTATCCAAGTCTCTATTGTCTACTTTTCATTTTTAATTTTTCAGAGTTATTACTCGTATAAGAATTTACCACTTTCATGTACAATCCAAGTATTTTGTTACAAAATTTTCAATAATACAGACAAAATTCACTTATTATACACATAATTTTCACATATTATTGAATAAAATTCATATATATTTAAAATTTTAAATATATTATATTAAAATATTAGTTAATTTTATTTTTCAATGTGTTATACCTCGTTGACAATATTTATTATTAGTTTAGTATTACTTTTCTTTCCAACGTGAAAATGATATTAGAAATTCGAATTATCTTGTTTTTCTTTTTCTTTCTTCATACAAAGCAATCACTACAAAAATTGAAGAGGATACACCATGGGCAGTGGGCACCTAATAATTTTTGTCTCCAAACGCACAAAACTGATGACAATGGACATAAACGAAACGCCAATTTAAATAAACAACACTGACTTCGTCAAAAAAAAGAACGATCAAATGCATAATTCAATTTGCCACCTCCCCAATCGTTTTTAAGTTTTAACCACACGTGGCTTGCGGAGAATGCAAGAACCTTTTCATGAAATCATAACTGACGGAAATGGGAGACCAGCTGACCAACATGGGGACCTTTCGCCACACGAATTGCTTGTCTATTTGTTCGGTTAAACCGTGGCCCACCGGTCCGTGGTGCAATTCCGCCGACTTTGCCGACATAATGCAATGATATGAAGCTACCTGCCCTTTCCGACCTAATCTCTAATCTCTTTGGCTCGGCCTCAGAACAGAAGCCCCAGTAGAAATAATTTGGATTATCCATTTTCAACCCGAATCAATAACATATTGAACTGAAATTGAGTTTACTTCAACTATTTTTTTTTTATCATAAATCAAAAATAAACTTCATTAAATCGAATTAAAATCATACAGGACAAAACCGAATTGAATGTATTGAATTGGGACAACTAAATCAATACGTTTCTTTGAACGACAAATAGTTTCTCCCTCAATTGAAGGTCAGCTCAGCTATCCCAACAATGCAATTATTAAATTTATTGGAGTCTTACATCATCGTTGTCATGCACTTTCTTATTTTATTTTAATTTTCCCTTTATTGTTGGGATTAACGTCGATATCAAAGTCAAGATAACATACTTATTTATAAAAAGGCAGGGTGATGCCGGAAGCAATATTAGAATATGCTCAATAGACCAAAGTTGTTTAATTTCTCGAGCTTAAATAAGTTAGGTATTGAAAAGTTCAAATATAAACACTCCTACCAATGACTAAACAAACATGGAAAGTAAAAGTCTCAATCGAAAAACATTTGACTCTTAATCGACAAACTACAGTGTTCAAATATGTAACGAGTTCATTTTAAAAATATGTTAAATTGTGATTGACATATTTAAAGTGAAATGGATCATTATCCATTAGCGTACAAGCAATCCTAGCAATCCTAGTGACATATGAATTGCAAAAGTTAAGTGCATGAACCACTAAGGTTGCGTTTTTAACATTGGCATGGAAGAGTGGATTAGATTGGGAAATTGGCATGACCAAACAAAGGGGAGAAAATGGGCGGCACGCGGTAGGTTGATGATGAGGGTGAGGGAGGGCACAGCAGTTCCATGAGTCCATTATATGCTTGAGTGAGTCAGCACCACGAAGCCTGTTTCGGGTTTACCTCCTCTGCGCACTTGTATGATCACTACACATGGCTTCACACTATTGGATATTTATCTCTGACTATCTACTTTATTTCAACTCACAAACTTTTGCATAATTCAATCACAAACATGTTCATTGAAAACGACGACCTTGATCAGACAAACTATTATTAGCATTAAGAGTAGCATACTAGGTACGTAACTTTCAACGCTTAAAACTCAATCAAACTTTCAACATGTACAATTCTGTTTATAGTTTTTCCCTATGTTTGAAACTTTCAACATGTGGATGCATTTCAAATTAAAACATTGTGAGGTATTCCTACTTACAAATTTTGCCCTTCCCACCCCCTTTCATACTAGGTCAACTGCTAAGCATGATTCATGTGTAAAATTTATATGTGATAATGTTTGTGAAAGTTATACCATTGGACGCTAATGGGTTCCCCATCACAGTGGTGGCGGCTTTATCCTTTTCCCCACATGGCACTCAAGTTTGAACTCCGAGTCGAACTCTAATGTTAACAAAAAAAGAAAGCTATACCATGGATGTGATAATTTATGGTTTTAACTTCATTTGTTTGACTCAATGGGGAAAAAAGAAAAAAAGAAATGCTAGCACCATTAGATAGCCAATTGGAAATGCTCATTCGTACTTCTCTTTTTAACTAATGAAAATGCCTATTGTGGAAAGGAGTAGTTTTGTTGTCTACTTGATTATAGGGAGTAAAATCATGTTGCTGATTATGTAGTTGATATGAGGCACAAATTGTCTTTAGGCTTTCATAGTTTTGACGCATTCACTATTTCTTTGGTTTCTATCTTGTATGATAATAGATTAAGCCGGATTTTTCTCTGAAATGTTCTTTGTTAGTTTTTCTTGTTTTATCGGTTACTCCCGTCTTGAAAAAAAAAAAAAAAAAACTGTGACAAAAATTTGCTCACACTTCATGGTATACGTGGGACGGAATACAAATTCCCCCGTACGTAAAAATACATATATACATACCCTTCTTCTTCATTGCAATGCATAACACTCAGGCAGCCCAACTGCCTAAAACCCTAGCACAGCATTTTGGTTCAGTTCAGTTCAGTTCAGTTTAGTTTCTCACTTGCTCTGTTTTCCACCATGTAAAAACAAAAATGATCACAAAACCGTTTAATTTATCTCTATCACTTTTCTACACTGAAATTTCTGATACAAAGGGGAAGTGGAAAATGAGGTTCCATCAACTACTTAATCTAAGTTACGATCCCTTGTACGCTTTGATTCTCCTTCCGATCTCCTTTTCCAACTCTTCGAGGCCTCCCACCTCTTCAAGTTCCTGCACCAGATCAAACACAAAATACAATACCAATTTAGCTCCTGATTAACAATACTATTTTGACGACCGAGACAAACTTTGTTTGAGTAAACACTAAAGAATTGCAGACCAACCTTGGGACCCAGAAACAGCCCATATGGCACACCCTCGAATTTCTCTGAGTGGTGGAGCTGAAGCCAAAACATCCAAATCAAACAAAATCTTGACAGTTAAGATTCAGTTTAAGAGAAAATCATAATTAAATGGCTCGACCACAATATAGAAATAGAACCCATGTTCTTACCTAAACTTGCTTTATGCAAGAATTATGGAAGTAAATTAATGTAAAGAACTATTAATGTATAGACTTATAGTCTGTATGTGTTTGTTGTGTGTGTGGTGATCATTTCGTGCTGTATGAGCGCTGTGATATTTTACCTGATGAGCAGCAGCAACCTTTCTCAAATAGGGCACGTTGGCTATGGGACCCACTGGGAATCTTTTATGAACTAAACCATCGTGGACAAACATATACGCCATGCCGAACACCGTAATTCCAAGACCCTGTTCAAAGTCAATTTGTCAATAACAGAAAATTCTAAGGCCCTTATGTTAAAGAGGATTAATTTATAATCCCCATCAATTAATTATGATTAAAGTCGTTAATAAATCAATAAACACGGTTTCGTAGTAGAGAGAGAGAGAGAGAGACTTACAGCACCAAAACATAGGCCAGGAACAAGGCCTTTGTGGAAGAAACCATAATTGAGGAGGGCTATAGCTGGAACAGCGTTAATTACAGCAAACACATCGTTAAGCTCGAATGGACCTTCTCTGGGTCGGTGGTGAGACTGCAATTAAAGTTCACATCAAATATCAAACACTCATTGGTTGCTAAGAATGGAAAAACAATATAAAAACTCAAGCTTGTCATGTTTCTTTCATTGCTGGTTTCCCAGTGAACGAAAAGAAACAAAATTCCAAACTCAAAATTTTGTTGGCATCAAAGAGATTACAAAAAGTAGCAAAATTCGAAGCAAACCTCGTGCATATGCCATAAAGAAGCGTGCCAGAGAGCTTTATGAGCCCATCTTGCCCAAAACTCCATTCCCACCTAAAATATACATATATAAAATCCAAATCGATTTAGCAGTTTTCAGTGCAAAGAAAAAAACTTCAAAATCAATTTAATTTAATTAAGTTTCCCCAATTGAGAAGCAGTCAGTGAACTTACAGCAGCACCAACGGATAGAGCAAATGTACCCAACATTTCAGACAAAGGCACATTCCCACCCTACACAGAAAACAAAATCACCCAATTCAAAAACTCAACTTGAGAAGATAAAGTTCGTAACTTTTGTGGTTTAGGGAGCAGAGAGAAATTGGGTACCTCCATTTGCCAGTAAAATCTGTAATAAACAGCCATGACAGCCATGGAAGTAATACCAAAGCTGGACATCACAGCAGCAACAAGATAAGTGAACCTCTCCGATTTCTTCCTGGACAACTTCTCAGCCACACGTACGGACGGAATTACAATTGGGATCTGAGAATCAGCAGCCTCTTGGGCTTTTTCTGTGCAATTCTCGAGATGGGTACTCTGCTTTTGGTCCTCCATGACGACATAGACAGTGAAACAGAGCTTCCTTCGAGCCCTATAATGAAGTGCTGATTTTTGGTGGCGAAGATTCGAAGGTGGGGAGAAGATAGTTGGGTTGGGTTTTGCGAGGAGGTATGAGGATTGGATGAGACGGATGGGGTTGGGGGTTGTGGCGGCGAAGTGCCCAGCCGCCATGGAAGAACTTCAGAGAGAGGGAGAGAGAGAGAGAGATTGAATTGAGGGTGGGTTGAATTGAAGTGAACAGACACCACAACTTTCTGTCTGCAAACTTGAGAGAGTTTATGAGAAGCAAACCATCGCTTAAAATACTCGTATGGCCAACTCAAAAAATAAATATAAAAAGATGCCTGGTTTGTGGACTAAATTACTACAACGCCATTCACGTGGCCAAAATTACCGAGTGATTAGCGAAACATATTATTTTGAAACGGGATGGCGTTTTGGGTAAATTAGTGAAACAAGAAGGGTGGGATTGGGAAAGTGGAGGGTGATAAACGACACATGTCCGGGACGCCAAGGATTGCGAAGGAGGACGACAGCGAATCACAGGGCAGGGCAAAGATTGTTGGTACAACAGCGCGTTGGTCTTTTGGCGTTACCTTACCAGTTTATCGGCTGTCATAAAAGCCACGCGGCTGTTTATGTATTCACTCACTCGCTTAAAGACTCCATACCGTTTTGGGATGTTACTCGATTGGTCTTCTCTTCGTCTCTGTTTTTCTTCTCGCCACAGTGATTGGCTCTCGATTGTTAGGGTAGGTACCGTATGACACGTGGCAATCTCGTAGTCGTCTAGACCGACACCTGGAGAATCTGTGGGTCATTCCGGTTTGAACCGGATGTCGTTGTTGTGGACTTGGCACTTGCTATTAATGGAAGCCAACCATCTTTTTCAATAGTTTCCAACGTACGACCATCCTTTTACACAGCCCAAAACGTGCATGATTTTTTTATTTTTTATTTGCACAGCCCAAAGGAAAAAACAAACAAACCAACTAATGGAGCCCAAATAGCTAAATATGAATTTTGCTTGTGGGCCAGGGTTGCTTCATGCTTCCTTGTTAAACAAGGCATCAATTACATAACAACCCAAACTAGTTGAGCCCAAAAGGCCCAAATAACACATTTATAAACATGTCCGTTTGGAATCTCAGTAACAAAGGCAATTCTTGAGAGGTTATAACGAGGTGTTATTTATGCTAGCATTTCATGAGGTTTTTCGTGTTTTCATATAACCCATTCAGGTCCTAGAAATTACACAAGCACAACCCAAAGCTTTTGCCATGTTTTGATGTTCTTAACTAATTTGTGAGGCAGCCATATCGATTGATATCTCTATATAATAAAAAATCTATACTTTTTTGCTTTCTTCCTAACTTGCACGTCTAGATCATTTTAATGCGGTGGAGGATCGAGATGGTGAAGTATTTGATTGTCCACTTACGCACAAATTATAATCCATCACCAAATATATACAGATTTTTCACAAATAAAGAATTTTTCCTTAATCCAATTGGATTGTATTTTTAAATATTTAGGATTTATTTCCAATTGTAACTCATGGTTTTGTACATCTTTATATATCCCTCCATGTTGCAGAAGAACAACATTCAAAAACATATCCCTGCATAAGTTTCCGAAAGGTGACGTGAGTTAATTAATTAATTCAAATCCACCCCTAGTAGGCTAATCGCTCCATTCAGATACCCTTCCAAGAATACGAAAACCAATTAATTGGTGCATTCTCTAATCTCTGTCCCAAAACACCACGGTTTTGTACAACAATTCCTTCACTTCCAGACCATGGACGGAAAATCCAAGATGTCCAATGCACGTTCCTTCTCCACCCCTATATCTCACTGTTATTTTGTCTAACAAATTACTTTCAATTTTGATGTGTATCATGTAAGTTTTGACAATGCATGGTTCCTCTATATCTGGTTTTTTTTCTTCTTCGCATGAATGTGGCATGGAAAATAACAATACGTGTTCGTTTTTGTTGTTCTTCTTCTCTAATTACAGGTTTCTGGTGCAATCTTTTTTATACTGGGATTGTTTTTCCTAAGAGCCGCAGAATGTAGAACACCAGCGAATGGGGGCACGGTCAAGTACTCTGCCCTTAGCTGTCGAAAACACAGTGCTCTTTTGACTGATTTTGGAGCCGTTGGCGATGGCAAAACGTCCAACACGAAGGCCTTCAAGGCGGCCATTCATCATCTAAGCCAGAGTGCATCCGACGGCGGAGCACAGCTTATCGTGCCACCGGGGAAGTGGCTCACCGGGAGCTTCAACCTCACCAGCCATTTCACCCTTTTCCTCCACAAGGATGCTGTTGTTCTTGCAACTCAGGTTTAAATCTCTTGCTTTTTTTGGTCGAAATGTTTCCTTAATTTCTTGAATATTTAGACTTAATTACCTTTATACCATACAATTAGCTTATTTGGTTGTTATTTTTAGAAAATCAGGTTTAATTTCTCGCCTTTTTTGGTGCGATTGTTCTTTAAGTTTTTTTGTACATATATTTAAGCTTAATTGATTGTAATTACCATTTTACCATAGATTAGCTTATTTGGTGACAAACATCTCCGACCTAGTAATTTCAGTTCAAAAAAGGAAACTCCGACCTAGTAATGTACAAAAACATAGGAAAAGTAGTAACTTTCTTACTTTGTTGTATGCATGCAGGAAGTCAATTCGTCGACTTTAATTTCTCTATCAGCCAAATCTTTTTCATGTGAAATTATCAATTGGTCATCACCTTTATCATTAATGACTATTTTGCATGACCAAATTTACAGGATGAGTCAGAGTGGCCTCTTGTTCCAGCCTTGCCTTCATATGGAAGAGGTAGAGATGCCCCTGGTGGAAGGTTTAGCAGTCTAATTTTTGGAACAAACCTCACCGATGTCGTAATTACAGGTAACATATCAGACTTAATTATTTTAATTTTACTGTGATTTTGGGTCAATTATGTTAATGACTAAATTGGTATTGGACCACTGTTGTTTTTTAGGTAACAACGGCACCATCGATGGGCAAGGTGCTTCTTGGTGGAAAAAGTTCAAAGCAGGTCAATTGAATGAAACCCGACCCTACATGATTGAGATCATGTACTCTAATAAAATCCAAATTTCAAATCTTACTTTGGTCAATTCTCCTTCCTGGTTTGTCCATCCCACATACAGCAGGTAACCATTTTTCTATTCTGACCGATTTTCTATCCTAGTTGGGGCTCGTTTGGGAATGCTTTCATAAGAAGCACTTTGGTTTACAAGGGTTTTTGGGAAAAAAGAAAAGAAAAGAAAGCACTAGCATGAAACTGTTCTGATATGTATATATTCTGGTTTTAATTTGCAGCAATATAACAATCCATGGGCTCGCTATCCTTGCACCAATTGACTCTCCTAACACAGATGGCATAAACCCAGGTTGGTTAAATTGTATCCACTTTGTTCTGTCTCCTTGGTCATATTTGAACATAGTTAATATGTATACCTATTTTTGCTCCATTTTCAGATTCATGCTCACAAACAAGAATTGAAGACTGCTTCATAGTCTCTGGGGATGATTGCATTGCAGTAAAGAGTGGATGGGACCAATACGGGATCAAAGTCGGGATCCCAACGGAGCACCTTGTGATCAGAAGACTTACGTGCATTTCACCTGACAGTGCTACCATTGCTCTAGGCAGTGAGATGTCCGGTGGAATTCGCGACGTTCGAGCTGAGGACATCACAGCCCTTAGCACTCAATCCAGTGTGAGGATCAAAACTGCCCAAGGAAGAGGAGGTTATGTCAAAGACATATTTGTGAGAAGAATGACCCTCAAGACTATGAAGTATGTTTTCTGGATGACTGGCTCTTATGGGTCTCACCCGGACCCTGGCTTTGATCCTAAGGCACTGCCTTTGATCCAGAACATCAACTACAAACAAGTTGAGGCTGAGAATGTTACTTACTCCGCAAGGCTGGAGGGAATTCCTAATGATCATTTCAAGGGAATTTGCATTTCTAATGTGACTATCACACTGACCGAGAAGCCCAAGAAATTACAATGGAACTGTACCGATATTGCGGGAGTTACAAGCAATGTGACTCCAAAGGCATGTGATTTGTTGCCGGAGAGTAAAGAAGTCGTCGATTGTCCTTTCCCGGAAGATAGGTTGCCGATTGAAGATGTTAAGTTAGTGACATGTTCTGCCAGTCTCCCCTTCTTCTGAGAGTCATGTATTATATGAGAATTTTGATGCTCAAATGAAAGGCAGCATCTTATATATGTTTCAAATAGATTGGAGTCTGAATGACAATAAAATTAAAGTAGTTTTCCAAGATTTCCTTCTTTTTTCTATAGACTATCCATTTGCAAACTAATGTATATCACAATGCAAAATAAAAAAATCCCACTGGACGTATGCCCTGCCCAGCCTTACATTGGAGCTGGCTCTTTTTATGGCTTCAAAAATGGAATGGCCTCCGCAGGCAGAGCTGCTCAATGACACCATCTCTGAACTGTTTCTTTATTGGATGTAGCTTGATCTCATAAAGCTTCGGCCATAATTTTCCGGTCACTGCCAAAACATATGGGTTAATACATATAGAAAAAGAGAATACCACAACCCCAAAAAACATTACGCATATCATCAGATGAAGCACCTAGACAGAAACACAATTCTAAGACGCTCCCAATACTTACAATTGGATGCACATTGAGTTCGATTCATAACACAGTTCGTGAATTATTTCAATCAATTCTATACCAACAGAGGATAACCATTCTTCCTAATGCTGATAATCATTTCAGGGTTTCCATCAATTTTTCATGAGCACAATCAAAATTACACGATTTCATAGAAAGCCAACTGTTGGAGCTTACCAAAGATACGTTTTTTTGTCACTATCCCATGCAATGCCGTTTAGAACATCAATACTCTGTTTAAGATATTAAAATTGATAATAAGTAAATTTTTAGTTTGAGATGTATGATTTCAAGAAGAATGAAACTGTGCATATGCAAAGTGTCTTCAAGAATTTTCATACAGATCAACTACTCCCCCCTAATTGATTATATTTCCAATTTTGAGGGTATTTGATTACAAATTTTAAGGTGGAACCCATATAATTTTTTATTTCTTTTGTGTTAGTAAACGTTGGGAAGTCATAAATTAGAATTATTTCAATACTCATGTAATAGTAAACACATGATAAGTAGGAATTGGAATCAAACCAATACCCTTTCCTGATAAGTAAATATGTCATAAAATCAGGTTGAGCAAGGAAGTAGTTTATCCAATTCCAATTTCTTGATCTAAGTTCCCCGATTCATGTCTTATCCTATTCATGATAAGTAAACGTTACGTAGAGGCAAAAAAAAGAGGAAATGTGTAATTATCTTAATTATTAAAAACTTTTATGCAATAGTGCTCGTGTGTATTAATATTATCGCTTTATTTTCCAATCAGAGAAAAATGGTTTCTTTAGACATAACATGGATAAATTCAACAGGCAATGCAAATGGTGAGGGAATTAGGTTTAGGTGAGGTTGAGGGAATTAGGTTTAGGTGAGGTAACCGTTCTCAATATGTCTCATCATCTCCCAAAGAAAGATGAAGAGACAAGCCAACAAATGCAACAAAGACCGTACGTTGATTATTGATTTGATACATAATCCACATGTAGTAGATGCAGCCCATGTGCACTTTCCTTGCACGTCTGATTTTACTTTGCTTAAATTTAGGTATTTACTGTTTGGTTTGGGATTATGTGTTGACATGAGTTGTATATTCCATAACCAATTAGGGATTATTATTTATTTTTCTTTCATTTTAATCCTATTTTGTTTAGGATTTATTTCCTATTGTAACTCATGATTTTCTACATCCTTATATATTCCTCCATGTCGGAGAAGAATAACATACAGAAAATTACCCCCTATTCTTATTGTCTGACATTACACATAAGTTTCAAAAGGTCACTTTCATTACGTTTCTTCACTTCCCTGAAAACCACAGTTTTGTTTCTGTACAACAATTCCTTCACTTCCAGACCATGGACGGAAAATCCAAGATGTCCAATGTAAGTTTCTTTTCCACCCCTATATCTCGCTGTTATTTTGTCTGACAAATTACAATCAATTTTCTTATTTTTGTTGGCTTGTTTTTTTCTGGGTTGAATATGATCATGACAATAGATGCTTGGGGGGGTTTTGATGTGTCTCATATAATTTTTTACAATGCATGGTTTCCTCTATATATAATATATCTCTGGGTTTTTTTCTCATGAAGATGACATGGATAATAACAATATGCGTCTTTGTTGTTGTTCTTCTCCTCTAATCACAGGTTTCTGGAGCAATCTTTTTTATACTGGGATTGTTTTTCCTAAGAGCCGCAGAATGTAGAACACCAGCGAATGGGGGCACGGTCAAGTACTCTGCCCTTAGCTGTCGAAAGCACAGTGCTCTTTTGACTGATTTTGGAGCCGTTGGCGATGGCAAAACGTCCAACACGAAGGCCTTCAAGGCGGCCATTCATCATCTAAGCCAGAGTGCATCCGATGGCGGAGCACAGCTTATCGTGCCACCGGGGAAGTGGCTCACCGGGAGCTTCAACCTCACCAGCCATTTCACCCTTTTCCTCCACAAGGATGCTGTTATTCTTGCAACTCAGGTTTAATTCTCTTGCCTTTTTTGGTGTAATATATTTCCTTAATTTCTCGATTATTTTAGACTTAATTGATTGTAATTACCGTTATACCATAGAATTAGCTTAATTGATTGTTTTTTTAATAACTCAGGTTTAATTTATTTCCTTTTTTGGTGCGATTTCTCTTTAAAAAAATTTGTGAACATATAGGCTTAATTGATTGTAATTACCATTCTTCTACCATAGAATTAGCTAGACAAACATCCCCGACCTAGTAATCTACAAACATAGGAAAAGCAGTACTTTCTTACAATGTTTTGTATGCACGCAGGAAGTCAACCCGTTGACTTTAAATTCTCTTTTTCACTTTTTGTGAAAAGCTATTGCTCCTATTAAGCAAGTATTTTTCACCACCTTTACCATTAAATTATTGAACATTTTGAACGACCAAATTTACAGGATGAGTCAGAGTGGCCTCTTGTTTCAGTTCTGCCTTCATATGGGAGAGGCAGAGATGCCCCTGGTGGAAGGTTTAGCAGTCTCATTTTTGGAACAAACCTCACCGATGTCGTAATTACAGGTAACATATCATACTTAATTATTTTAATTTTATTGTGATTTTGGGTCAATTATGTTAATGACTAAATTGGTATTGGACCACTGTTGTTTTTTAGGTAACAACGGCACCATCGATGGGCAAGGTGCTTCTTGGTGGAAAAAGTTCAAAGCAGGTCAATTGAATGCAACCCGACCCTACATGATTGAGATCATGTACTCTAATCAAATCCAAATATCAAATCTTACTTTGGTCAATTCTCCTTCCTGGTTTGTCCATCCCATATACAGCAGGTATGTTTGATCATTTTTCTATCCTAGTTAGGGCTCGTTTGAAAATGCTTTTATAAGAAGTACATTGGTTTATAAGTGTTTTTATTTTATTTTTAAAAGCACTAGCAAGAAACTGATCTGATATGTATATATTCTGGTTTTAATTTACAGCAATATAACAATCCAAGGGCTCACTATCCTTGCACCAATTAACTCTCCTAACACAGATGGCATAGACCCAGGTTGGTTAATTTTCTTCCACTTTGTTATGTCTCCTTGGTCATATTTGAACATAGTTAATATGTACCTATTTTTGCTCCATTTTCAGATTCATGCTCACAAACAAGAATTGAAGACTGCTTCATAGTCTCTGGGGATGACTGCATTGCAGTAAAGAGTGGATGGGACCAATACGGGATCAAAGTCGGGATCCCAACAGAGCACCTTGTGATCAGAAGACTTACCTGCATTTCACCTGACAGTGCTACCATTGCTCTAGGCAGTGAGATGTCCGGTGGAATTCGCGACGTACGAGTTGAGGACATCACAGCCCTTAGCACTCAATCCAGTGTGAGGATCAAAACTGCCCAAGGAAGAGGAGGTTATGTCAAAGACATATTTGTGAGAAGAATGACCCTCAAGACTATGAAGTATGTTTTCTGGATGACTGGCTCTTATGGGTCTCACCCGGACCCTGGCTTTGATCCTAAGGCACTGCCTTTGATCCAGAACATCAACTACAAACAGGTTGAGGCTGAGAATGTTACTTACTCTGCAAGGCTGGAGGGAATTCCTAATGATCATTTCAAGGGAATTTGCATTTCTAATGTGACTATCACACTGACTGAGAAGCCCAAGAAATTACAATGGAACTGTACCAATATTGCGGGAGTTACAAGCAACGTGACTCCAAAGGCATGCGATTTGTTGCCGGAGAAAAAAGAAGTTGTCGATTGTCCTTTCCCAGAAGATAGGTTGGCGATTGAAGATGTTAAGTTGGTGACATGTTCTGCCAGTCTCCCTTTCTTCTGAGAGTCATGTATTATATGGGAATTTTGATGCTCAAATGAGGTAGCGTCCTATGTTTCAAATATTAGGAGTCTGAATGACAATAAAATTATAGTAGTTTTCCAAGATTTCCTTCTTTTTTCTATAGACTATCCATTTGTTCAGCAAATAATCAATTGATAATGAAAATCTGAAAGAATGGATGACCTCCGTAACAATCTCAACTACATTAATGAATTTACAGGGAAAGCTTCTGTTATGAAGATTTCTAAGATGAATTATTCCTGATTGACAAATAGCTTAGGGCTCAACCTAATGAACCATTCGTTGAACTTCAATACAATTTTCTGGTACCAGTTTGCTGCAGCTTTATCCTTTCATGTGTTTGTAGGGCGCCTATTCTTGCAGAAGCTTTACTCTTGGCTAAAAGTTTCTTTCTTAAGCCATTGATCCTTCATTGTAGGGACAATGATAGGCATACAAGTCATTCAGAAAATGAAACATATGACAAAAGTTAAGGAGAAAAAATGGAGAAAAATACTTGTTCTTACATCACAGAGTAGCAAGTCACGCGGCTCAAGCATGTGAATAACTTCTCCCATTCTAGGCCTATGTTCTAAATCGGGATCAACGCAGCGAAGAGCAACCAAAAGTACCCTTTTGAGTTCCTTTGAAGAGGGCTTCTCTGGCAACTTAGGATCCACCACACAAGCAATTTTTTGACTGGCAACCATGGACTTTAACCAGTCAACTAGATTTGGCTGCAATTCAGGAATCATTGTTCAGATATCAAAGGTTGAACAACAAAAACACCTTAAAGTTTGAAATTAGGAATTCATACTTGCGGTTGACTGCGATCTATAGGGTTCCTCCCAGATATGGTCTCCATGATAAGTACCCCAAAGCTATAAACATCGGACTCCTCTGTGAAATCACCAGTGGCAGCATATTCTGGATCAATGTAACTGGAGTTTCATGCAATTATAGAATGAGAAGGAAATCATCAAGAATTCACAAGTAATATGTCGCAATGGTGAAAATGAGCAGGCATATATAGTTTTCCACATGCAAAGAAACTGACCCTAGTGATTCCATTATAGTGATCCCCCACTCAGGATTGTAGAGCTTAGCAAGGCCAAAATCTGAGATTTTAGGATCCCACTGGTGATCAAGCAGTACATTGCTAGATGTTAGTGTTCTATGTAGGACTTTTGGTTCAATATCCTCATGAAGGTAGGCCAATCTGCAGAACCACACTCACTTCAAATTATATGACCACAAATTCGTCTAATGGAATATAATTTAGATATGTCGTATCTTACCCTTTTGCTATTCCTTGGATTATTTTCACCCGAATGCTCCATGTTAGAGGGCTGACTTGTGTAGAGCATTCATGAAGCCAATGCTGCAGATTTTTGTTATCTACGTACTCATTCACAAGCAATCTAAAATAAGGAAAATAAGATCATTAGCTGCCTTTTGAACATCTAAACTTGTCAGTGAGGAAAAATTCCCATACCTGTATGCTCTTTCAATATGGTATCCAAGCAACTTGACAAGATTTTTGTGTCTCACAAACCCGATTGCCTCCATTTCTGCTATGAAGTCCTCGACTTGAAAACTGTTGTTTTATATCACACACAAGCTTTATTTTGCAAAAACTGAAACCCCCCAGTAAGACTTGCACAAACATATGAATTCTGGCTACCTAGCATTAGCTACTTTGGTGTTCATCTATTTGAGATCGATGAGAGAAATGAAAATGAAAACCACAATTCGGTTTCTGAATTTAAATTTCTTTTAGTATCTTATCATTTCCAATCATATCTAATTTATTATTCTTCACTCTAGGCCATGGCATAGTGCTATATATTAACTCATTAATGGGTACCTGTCACTCACAAGCCTCTTCACTGCCACGCGAGTATTATCAAACAGAATGCCATGATAAACAATTCCATAATCTCCATTGCCAATCAGATTCTCTTTCGAAAACCCGTTTGTTGCTACCTCAAGCTCCCCCAGACTAAACTTGTTGCCCCTCCACACATCCTTCACCATTGGTGAGTACCTAGAAACCGATTCCAAGTCAGTCACATAACTATTTTGGATTCTCCCACTAGCCTGCTGAGTAGAGGACAACTGATCTGAAAACAGCTGTCCATGATGTTGCCGCAGCTTCCCGCTGTTCATCCCAATTTCCGAAAGGTTAAGCGAAAGCAGCCTCCGATCAAGGGATGAACTACAATATGCGTTGTGTGGATTTTTGGAAGCTATGGGATTTTGGAAGCAAAAACGGGATTTGTAGGATTTTTTACGACGGTAATGGATGACACAGAGCAGGAAGACTATAAGAGTGAGAACTGTGAATAGAACAATGAAGATTACAAGCAAAACCCATAACTTGACACCAAAAAATGAGGTTGGCTTCAAGAGCTTTTTCTTGAGAGACAATGCACTGGAGGACATGTTATCAGAGAGAGAGAGGGAGAGAGAGGGAGCTTAGCAAATAGCAGTGGCATGAGTGATGGGGGTCTTTGAGCAGAAAGAGCTACACACAGGAAGTTGGGTTAATCCATATCACTTGGGTAAATTTCAAATCTTTAGTACCAACTAATCATCGGAAGTAGCGGGAAAATCAACCAATAGGTTCCTGCCACTTCAAAAATGGCCATTTCTTTGTTTATCTGGTAAATCGCCACTTTCTTTTTTTATTTTTTGAAATTTCTTCTTCTCTGACTCTCCAATTGATACTTGTCCACCAGCCCACCTAATAAAACGACATGCGTTTTTTTTTGTTCGCTTCTAATTTTGGCTCTGGGATTTCAGTTTTTCTTTTTTTCTTTGTGGCAGAATTTATGATAGAATCAACATCTTCACAAGCAAAGCACAATAAACACAGAGAGAGAGAGAGAGAGAGAGAGAGAGAGAGAGAGAGAGAGAGCTGAACTATACATCACTGGGAATTAAAATTCCAATAACTCTGAAATTGTTCATTCACTCGCCAATTAAACGCTTCTTTCCAGAATCTAACAACTTACAAGGCAGTTCTCCAACTGATTTCCGGTCCCTTGTGTGGGCTGAAATTGCAAAATATTGTATATCACAATGCAAAATCAAAAATCCCATTGGCCGTATGCCCTGCCCTACCCTGCCCAGCCTTACAATGGAGCTGGCTCTCTTTATGGCTTCAAAAATGGAATGGCCTCCGCAGGCAGAGCTCCTCAATGGCTCCATCTCTGAAATGTTTCTTTATTGGATGTAGCTTGATCTCATAAAGCTTCGGCCAAAGTTTTCCGGTCACTGCCAAAACATATAGGTTAGTACATAGAGAAAAATAGAATACCACAACCCCAAGAAGCACGACACACATCATCAGATGAAGCACCTAGACAGAAATACAATTCCTAGACGATCCCAACAATTACGATTCGATGCACATTGAGTTCAATCCATAACCCAGTTCGTGAATTATTTCAATCAATTCTATACCAAAAGAGGATGACCATTCTTCCCAATGTTGGTAATCATTTCAGGGTTTCCATCAATTTTTCATGAGCACTGGGTCGAGCACAATCAAAATGACATGAATTCATAGAAAGCCAACAGTTGGAGCTTACCAAAGATACGTTTTTTGTCACTATCCCATGCAATGCCGTTTAGAACATCAATACCCTGTTTAAGATGTTAAAATTGATAATAAGTAAATTATTAGTTTGACATGTATAATTTCAAGAAGAATGAAACTGTGCATATGCAAAGTGTCTTCAAGAATTTTCATACTGCCTAGCATTTCAAGGAACTCATACAGATCATACATTGTATAGCAACTGGCACTAGAAAAAGCAGTGAAAACATAAATAAGATATCGTCTTTGGTTCAAGGGCTTACATGATTCCCAGCTGCTAGTAAGCCTTCCCTGTAAGGCATAAATAATATAAAAGCCATTAAATGAAACACCCACGAAATGAACCCAAAAAAAGGGCCTCCCAAGAAAGACAACAGAACATGATACTCCTCGTACTTAGACTAAAGAGACTGAAAAGTTAATAATTAGATAAAGGAAAAGGAATGAACAGGAAAACCTTAAATTTGGAAGGAGAATCCATCCAAGCACCCTGCCATCTTCATGCGAGATTCTAGCAATGCAGTCAGTCTACACAAGGCAACATAAGGCATTTCAAGACATGTATATTTTTCCATCTGCACATCATAACTGATATTTTCTGTTGTCCACATGTAGCCCATATACTTCCATAAGGAAGTCATGTCATATGTCAATGCTCCTATTAACATCCCCAGAAAAACAGAATATATATATATATATATATTAAAGTAAATTACAAACGAAACAACCAAAAATCATTTGGCGATGAAAAGCTGACCTGATAAACGTTTGCCCAAACTTCGCCTTTTACAAACTCCAACTCATTGAGGTTGTGCACTTCATGATCTTTGTATTTGACAATACGTTTGTCGGTCACTGCACGAAATATGACATAACTATTATAATAAATTAAAAAACAGAATTATCAAGCAAATTGAACTATCACTACTTTGGAGGAGATAAACAGGTCATCAGATATAGGTAAAGCATAAAACAAAAATACAAAAAAAAAAAAAAAAAAAAAAAAAAAAAAAAAACAAACACAGAGAGTAAGAGAAAAAAATGGATTGATGTTATATACAAAAGAAACCTTTCAATGTTTGAGGATCAATCTTGTACAACACTGACGAGCCATCACTTCCAAATAACACTTTCCCATCAGTAGCCAGTCCCCAACCATCATGCATCTTATGAGTGAACTTCTCAAACTGTATTGTGCAAAAAATAAAGCAAGTTATTAAGGATCGGGAACCACATTTCACAGGAGTTTCAATTCTCAATTTAAGGTCAAACTTAATAGAATTGATTTAAGTTGGTCAATTTTAACATCAGAAAAATTGAATATGCAAGCACTGAACCTAAAACTCAAAGACTGCAGAAGCAGAGTCATATGATGACACTATTTAAACTGTCTTCAGTTTTTTATTTCATTTCCTTGTAAATCAGCTTGATAAAAAGAATAATAAATATGATATAACGATAAACATATTTTGAAAGGAATAAAGGAAAAGCACAAACTTTGCTTAAATTTTTTCGGTCATATATGAAACCATATTTCGTCAACCAAGTTACTTGGAATAGCCTACAAAAGAACATATAAATGGCTAGATTAGCAATTTGGGACGCTTTAGATGTCATCATATCATAAATATAGAATGAAAAATCAAAGAAAATTGCTACTCAATGTCAGCTTGCATTTATTTATTAACTGAATCAATGACAATACACAATTCAACATGATTTTCTTTTCAGACCTTTCACCAAGGAGAGTTAATCCCTCTCCAAAATAAGAAGCATCCATCTTCTGAAGAACTTCAACCTGCAGGTAACAAAAACAATATTGGATTTAGACATAAACAATCTAAAGTTTGGCAATGTCCCAACCAAGCACCCAATATAACTGAACATTTGTCACTATGGCCTATGTACAATTGTACAAGTAACAATTCAACTTGCTAACCAATTAACTATGAATCAAGAGGATCAGTTAATATGACTGAACAAGGAAATTAAAAAACCTTTACCTTCCCTGTTTGAAGAGCTACCTTGCGCACTGATGACTGAAACAACGGAAAGAAGAGATGAATCTCAGAAACAAAATTCAAGCCAGGTTTCAATGCAAGAAATCATGTAGATCTTTGGTATCTTTTTTGACTGATACAAATGTTTTACTGAGGCAAACTCACCTTCCCATAAAGACCAGTTGACTCGAATAAGCTATCATTTCCAGCATAAAGAAGACCCTGAAAACAAACAACCCACAATTCGTAAATGTAAATTTCAAAGTAATTTTACAAGTATACCTGTGAAAATTTAACCACGAGGATTACCTGGGTGAAGGCGTTGGGATCGTGAGGGAACTCATTGACTACCTCGATTGAGAAAATGCTGGCGGAAACGGCAGAGAAACTGACGTTACTCCAAATGTTCGAAGAAATGCCCAGAAGAATAAAAACGCCAACAATGAGAACGACGGAGAGGATCAGAGAGGTATTTCTGTAGTTTGAGGACTTGGGCCGAGCAGCCATGGGAGTGTAAGGCCTGGGATCCGATCGCTTATTTAACTTCCTCCTAAGCGATCCAGTGGCCATGAAACCGAGGCCCGATCATGGATCAGTTAGGGTTTTTAGAGTGCAAGCTGTGCTGCCGGGTGATTTTGCGGGACGGAAACGGCACTCTTGCGCTAAAATGCGCCGGGGTTGGTGCCGTTGAGTTGACCGTTGGTCCACGAGTACCTATTATTTATCCGCCGTTTTGGAACCCCGCCACTTATTTTTTCTTTTTATTTTTTCTCCAACATTTTTCATGTTAAAGTCTCAAATTATAAAATATGGATCCTTTCACTTTCCTAAGAAAAAAACAAAAAAAAACAGATAATTTCACTTTCCTCAGAAAAAATAATAATTTCATGCTTATTATTTATGTTCATTAAAATGTCCAGTATTTATTTACTTTCTGGGCCATTTGTCCAATGTTCGTACCTCTATTGGGCCATATCTGTTTTCGTCCACACAGAACAAAAGGCTGATGTGCTAGTTTTGGGCCGTTCAGCTGTTACAATCGGTGGGGCTCGCGGTGACGTCATAGGAAAACGCTTGAGCTGGGAAGAACGTTCGAGAGCAATCGACTTAACATAATGAAGAGAGAACCTTCTCGATACACTCTCTTCTGGAATTAAACTGACTCGATAAGACCACGTCAGCCAAACTCTTCCGCTCTCTACGACGTCGTTCCAAGTAGGCCAACATACGCGGGAGATTTAGAATTCGAGAGAAGGGTAGAAGAATCCAGAAGCACAGTAACCGCTTCCTCTTCTTTATAAAAGTCTCTTCATTTGCTCAGCCTAATTCATTAGTAATCAGAATCGAAATCGCTCAATCTCTACGTTCAGACTCTTCTGCTTCGCTTTCTCTCTCAAACAAGCTTTAATTTTCTCTCGCTTTATCATTGCAATGGCGGACGTTCAGATGGCTGATGCAGAGACCTTCGCTTTCCAGGCTGAGATCAACCAGCTTCTGAGTTTGATCATCAACACCTTCTACAGCAACAAGGAGATTTTCCTTCGAGAACTCATCAGCAATTCCTCTGATGTGAGCCTCTCTCTCTCTGTTGATGTTTTCATTTTGCTTCTCCAACTATTTTCATGTTATTATAATAAACAATTCTTACTAATTTGGATCGATTTTCTTCCAAAATGTTCCATTAAATCGCTATATTTTGTTTTTTAAACCTAGTTTCTGAACTAAATCTTGTTCTAGCGATGATGTAGGATTATCAGTTCGTTTGTTAGGATCTGGATTTGTAGCATTTTTGACACTGATGGCTTTTGGTTGTGCGTAGGCTTTGGATAAAATTCGATTTGAGAGCCTGACGGACAAAAGCAAGCTCGATGCTCAACCAGAGCTTTTCATTCGGATTGTACCTGACAAGGTCAACAAGACGCTCTCCATCATTGACAGTGGTATTGGCATGACCAAAGCAGGTAAATATCTGTTGTTCTGTTATTTTAGTTCTCTTATTGATACATTACCAGAATGTGGAAGGATTAATTAGTTAGTGAAAAATTGTGCATTCCATACTATAGTTCCTGCTTCTATTCCTTTTTTTGTTTTCCGACTATGTTGAAAAATATGTTTGTTGTATTTCTAATTACTTAGATTTATCAAGAACCAAAAATATTGTTTACTATCTCTATAAAGGAAACTATCCAATTTATGGATTGTTTAAAAGACCTGTGATTATGTCAATAGATGATCTAATTGCAATCGATATTTGTAGATTTGGTGAACAACTTGGGTACAATTGCAAGGTCTGGCACCAAGGAATTTATGGAGGCATTGCAAGCTGGAGCCGATGTGAGCATGATTGGACAGTTCGGTGTTGGGTTCTACTCCGCCTATCTTGTTGCTGAGAAGGTCATTGTGACTACAAAGCACAATGATGACGAGCAATACATCTGGGAATCACAGGCTGGTGGTTCCTTCACTGTCACTAGGGATGTCAATGGTGAACAGCTTGGCAGGGGGTACCAAGATCACCCTCTTCCTCAAGGAGGACCAGGTATAAAACTAAACCAACTAATTAGTCCCCTATTTGTGCATTGCTAGATAATTCAATGTGCTATTGTTTCATTTTAAAAGGATAAAAGTAAGAATTGAGTATTGATTCATTGTTATGTTTGTGAACAGTTGGAATACTTGGAAGAGAGGAGGATCAAGGACCTCGTGAAGAAGCACTCTGAGTTCATCAGCTACCCCATATACCTCTGGACTGAGAAGACTACTGAGAAAGAGATCAGTGATGATGAAGACGACGAACCCAAGAAGGAAGAGGAAGGAGATGTTGAGGAGGTTGATGAGGATAAGGAGAAAAAATCCAAGAAGAAGAAGGTCAAGGAGGTTTCTCACGAGTGGCAGCTCATCAACAAGCAGAAACCCATTTGGCTGCGTAAGCCTGAGGAAATTACCAAGGATGAATACGCTTCCTTCTACAAGAGCTTGACCAATGACTGGGAGGAGCACCTTGCTGTCAAGCATTTCTCTGTTGAAGGACAGCTTGAGTTCAAGGCCATTCTCTTTGTCCCAAAGAGGGCTCCATTTGACCTCTTTGACACCAGGAAGAAGATGAACAACATTAAGCTTTATGTGAGGAGAGTGTTCATCATGGACAACTGTGAGGAGCTCATCCCAGAGTATCTAGGTTTCGTCAAGGGTGTTGTAGACTCTGATGATTTGCCTCTCAACATCTCTCGTGAGATGCTACAACAGAACAAGATCTTGAAGGTGATCAGGAAGAATCTTGTGAAAAAGTGTATCGAGATGTTCAATGAGATTGCTGAGAACAAGGAGGACTACCAGAAGTTCTATGAGGCTTTCTCCAAGAACTTGAAATTGGGTATCCATGAAGACAGCCAGAACAGAGCCAAGCTTGCCGACCTTCTCCGATTCCACTCAACCAAGAGCGGCGAGGAGTTGACAAGCCTGAAGGACTATGTGACAAGAATGAAGGAGGGTCAGAAGGACATCTACTACATTACTGGTGAGAGCAAGAAGGCAGTGGAGAACTCTCCGTTCCTGGAACGCCTCAAGAAGAAGGGCTATGAAGTCCTTTTTATGGTGGACGCGATTGACGAGTATGCTGTTGGGCAATTGAAGGAATATGATGGCAAGAAGCTGGTCTCTGCAACCAAGGAAGGCCTCAAGCTTGACGATGAGACCGAGGAAGAGAAGAAGAAAAAGGAGGAGAAAAAGAAGTCTTTTGAGAGCCTCTGCAAGACCATCAAGGACATTTTGGGCGACAGGGTTGAGAAGGTGGTGGTCTCTGACAGAATTGTGGACTCTCCTTGCTGCTTGGTGACCGGAGAATATGGCTGGACCGCGAACATGGAGAGGATCATGAAGGCTCAGGCTCTGAGGGACAACAGCATGAGCTCGTACATGTCCAGCAAGAAGACAATGGAGATCAACCCCGACAACGGAATCATGGAGGAGCTGAGGAAGAGGGCAGAGGCTGACAAGAACGACAAGTCTGTGAAGGACCTTGTGCTGCTGCTGTTCGAGACGGCCCTGTTGACCTCTGGTTTCAGCCTGGATGATCCAAACACTTTTGCAGCGAGAATTCACAGGATGCTGAAGCTGGGGCTTAGCCTTGATGACGAGGAGACTGCTGGGGAAGATGCAGACATGCCTGCTTTGGAGGAAGATGGTGCTGAGGAGAGCAAGATGGAGGAGGTCGACTAAATTATCTATACATTTTGAGGATTAAATTGGATTTGAGCTTGTGGATATTTTGGGTATTTGAACGTAGTAAAGCGTCTGGTTTATGGGAGGAAGGTGCTCCTGTGTTTTTTTCTTTTTCTTTCTTTTTGTTTTTTTTTTTTTTTTTTTTTTTTTTTTTTTTTTTTTTTTTTTTTTGTCGGAGAGTGTGGAGTCGTGTAGTTGTGCTTAAATTCTGAACTCTGGTACAAAGTCAATATAATTTGGGAATTCTCCAACCCTGTGTGCTTCCTAAAGTTCAATTCAATATTTTCTCTTTACATTTTGCTAATAAATTCTTTTTAAGTGCATCTTCTTTCCTCGAGTAATTTGTGTACTTAAAGTAAGTTATGGCTGCGGGCATCGTGCCCAGCCTAGCGTTGTCTCCTTGCTGTGGAAATTATGCAGCAGCGGTAGCAGAGCACCGAATCAAATGACTAGAGCATTTGCATGCGTAGTAGTTTTACGACATGTCGTACTTCAGTGTGGACATACATACATAGTGCAATTTTGGGCCAAGGAAGAAGGTCTCCTGGTTTTCTTTTAGTTGGGCCATATGCTGCGCTGATCTTGTAGGCTGGTTTAGCCATGAACTGGATAGGCGAGGCCCTGGAGTGCTTTGCTTCGGGCTCACGTTTCCTGAATGCGCGGACTGCTGCATATAAATTATAATAAATTTGCCTGTCCTTTCCAGAGAGGCCTTTTCAGTGTTGCTTTTTGATTTATCTAAGGATTTGTGCAAAATACCAACCGAGTTTCCGAAAATGGCAATGCCGTGATAGTTGATTCCAACCTAATTAAGGAAACAAGAAAAAGAAAGAAAACCCTCCGATGCTAACTTGGAGCTGAGAAATATCAACCACAAAAAACTATCCAAAAGCCATAATGTATTTCTAGTTTGCGAGAATGTTTGTCATAACAATTAGTTTCCTTTAAGGTATGTGGCGTCAAGTACCTTTTTTTTTTCTTCAAACAATAGCGAAAATAAAATAAAATTAGAAAATTAGAAAATAAAATTCACATCAATCATTTTCTTTCACATTCTAATAATTTTGCCGGAAGCACTAATTTCAAATACATAGAGAGTATGCAGCCTTCTATGCAAAATGCAATATCTAATAAAGAAAAAAAAATATTTGCTGACCGAAAAAATAAGTTGTCTGTAATAGACTGGGTTGTATTCCGCTGGACCTGGGCACATTTTTATTTTTATTTTTTTTTACTTTTTATTTTTAAATAAGGAGATGGGCAAATTGGATTTGCAACAAGGACGTGTTTGGTTGTTGCAATGCCTTCACGAGGACCTTACCAATGGAGGGTTGCCATGTCATGAGAAGTCAAACTTCCAACTGCGGAACGCACCAGATCGGCGTTTTCTTCCGACGTGGCAGATACTGGTCGATATTGTAAGTATGTGTATCCACAGCGGATTTTCTCCACAACATTATTTGTATGAATAATTCCTCTCTATGCTATAGCTCTGCAGAGGCTACATAAATACGGTAGTGGTTACCACCTCCTTCTCTCTTAAGCATTTCACACCTCCATTTAATTTTCTCACACTTTCTTTTCCTCCAAACAAGCATTCATGTAAACCCTACCTATTTTCCCGTCAATATCCAAAAAGATCTTGAACATGTAGAATCTTGCTGCTTTTCTTGCTTCCTGTCTGCACAAAGAAACTATATTTTTTTGTAGAGTAAAGGTCTTGATCTTCAAGGTTTCTGAAAAGCAGAGAACATCTGTAGTTGATTTTGAAGTGACTTGTTACAATGTCGGATTTTCCTGGGAAAATGAGCTCGGAAAGTGAGGAGCACAGTTTACTAGCACACTCTGAATCGAATACACAAGAAGTCGCCAAGTAATCTTATCACTCTTTTTATGCATTCGTTGTATTATTCTAATCTTTTAAGCTGATCTCAGTAATATATTATATAATATTCAATATAATACTCTTTATATTATGCCGTAGGCAAAAATAAAACTACATTTTCCTATTACTTCTCTCGTTTGGTTGCCAAGAAAATGGAGGAAGGGGAATAGAAAATTAGCTGAAAGTTGGCTGCCAAGAGTATTTTTGTGATTTTTTCTTCTTTTTTTTTACTTAAAAAAATCACCAAAACAGCTAATCTTTGTTACATGACGTTTAATAATACCAACTGCTAATTATTGCTGCCTAATTAGCTGAAAGTTGGTTTTTGGTTTTTTTTTTTAAATTCAGACATTCAAGGATTGCATATACAAGGGATTTTATGTTCTCTTTAGAACATTTGGATGCGGGCAAGCAATTACCGGGTGGGATCAAACCGTCAATTTTAAGGTAAAACACTTGACGCCCGGTAGTTTACAGATTGAGGGCGTATCCTAGGAGTTTTGGAAAGTTTCTGCTTTTAACTATAGCTCTGTGGTCTTACGTTTTCAATTTGATGATTGTTCTGGAACAGTGAACTTGAGTCCCATGTTTCTTCGCAATCTTCTCGTGCATCAGGTGTGTGCATTTATGTTCTTCCTAACACTGTCCTTAACCTTTCCGATTTCGTGCTCTATTTTCTCTATCTTTTGAGAATACTATTACATTTTGATTGTCTATATTTTCATGGATATAACTAAACAGATTGTGAAAGATGGCATGGCACCTTACCTAGATGTTTATTGCAAAACTCATTATCTGTTGGACTTCTGGGAAATGATGCGGTACTGGGAGCATATGGACTGATTTCTGGGGCTTCTGCTCCGAAGTTTCAAGACAACAGTCCTCCCCTACTCCATAGGAGCAAAGAACCATTTAGGCCTCGATTCCTCTCTAAGGTCTGGTTGATACTTTCTAATTCCACTTCACAGTACACAAATGATGTCTGTAATTAAGTAATGCTCATTAGCCTTTTTGGTTCTACAATTATGGGCGTGGATTTAGAAGCTGTAGCCAAGGAAATACGCTTAAAAGTTCCAATTTATATTCTTTCAGGCAGAGTGTCATTCAGGGAAGAGCCCCTGGGATTTGTGTAAAGATGAGACACTTGGTTCTTCTGAGTGTCTGAGTGAGAAGGAAGAAGAGGAGAAAGCGAGAAGAGGTATATATGATCCCCTTCCTTGTGCTATTGCATTTAGAAATACAGAACTTTATGTAGTGCTTTCTTTCCTATTTGGTTTACTACTTAAGATTGATGACTGAAGAAGTCTGCTCCTAATGCAAATGTGAATTACTGTCTCCATCAGATTTGTTTGAGGTGATTACGGAAGGACATGAAACAGCTATCCAAGAGAAGCAAAAGAAAAATCCAAATGAGCATGAGGAAAATTCCAAATTTGTCACGCTTCTGGAGGATTCTGCATATAGTCAGAGAAACAAATGTGAAGAACATGTAATATCCCCTGCTTCAGTTGAGAATATTGAAACAAAATCCTTAACCAATTCCCTCATACCAGAGGTAATGGGTCATCTTTAACCAAATTATTGGTCTAAATGTGCTCATCAATTTTCTTTTCTTTTGCCCTTTTTTAAAGGGATTGAAAGGCCTACTACCTAATGTCCAATTCTGTCTCACACCCTTTTTCTTGTCATGCCCACAGTGGTCTGATCCTACTGCAAACCATACCAAGAGCCGTGAAATTTGCTGTTCTAAATTTGCTCATCACTTTCCTGTTACAGGTAGGGTAGCAAATACTGGTTGTTCTGTAGTAGCTTAATATTTCGTGCTTTCAATTGGAAACTTATGATCTCTGATTGAATTGTAACTTGCTAAATCTAGCGGTTAAAATATGAAGAGAAGAAGCTAACATTTTTCGCCTTTCTCCAGAGACAAAGCCTACCTGTGGCATCTCTTCTTGCAGTGAAGGATCTGAATCTATGGCTCATGGAGTGTCAAAGGACCTTACCCGAGAACCATTGTATTGTACAGGTTCCAGAAAGAGATTGCAATCAACTTATGCATCTTCTCTCATTGAACAACTTATTGCAGATAACTATGTCTTTCCTTCAACAACTAATGAATATGGACTCATTGGGTTCGATTGTGAAGCCAGCATGTCCTCTAGCTCTGTTGATCAAAGTAAGAGCAAGGAAAATCAGTTTGTCTCTGATGATTTCATAGCAGCATTCAGATCGGGTGTTGAAATTGACCCGGGGTTGAAACTCAGTCCTGACAGCTGCTTTGATGGAAAAGACAGTCTTCCCATTGAACTTCTGTTGCCTGATGAGGACAGCTTAATTACAGTGGATGACTTCAGATTTACGCCTGACAAGGAAGATAACACCATGCTTATGGTTGAAGGAATTCCAGTCAAAGCTGATAGGGTAAGCTCAATTTCACCAGTTGATACTTGTAGGAGGCTAACGGGCTTGAATATTTTCAAAAATGAAAGATCTACTCAACTGAGTTCAGAAGGTTCTGAACAAAATGCATGCAAAAGTCCTGCACAGTTTCATCAAGCACAACCAAAACAGGGGAGGACATCTTTTCATCCACTAGATTCTCAACCAATTCAAGCTCATATGCGTTCTCAAATGAAACCCATAACCTCAAACTACAATTGTCACAAGCCATCCCACCATCCTTCGGCTACAAACCTAGTCCCCGCGAGTACTTTCCATCACTTTCATGCCAAACCATATCAGCAACTGCAGCAGCCGATGCTCATTCCAGGAATTCTTCCACACCAAATATTTGGGTCTCCAAGACGTGCAATGGCTCCTCTTCCCAGTGATCAATCTCGTTACATGCAGGAGTTGGGTCCTATTCAAGATTTTCCATTGAACTTCCAGTTGTCAAATCATGGATGTTTTGGAATGCCAAATCCAGGTAAAATGTGGGAAACTCCGTTAATTTGGTAATAAGTGACAAATTTGATTTTAGCTTCAGTCTGTGATAATACTTTAGGAATGTGATCATCGAGTAATAGTAAATGTTTCCATTGTTTGTGGTGTCTATTGCAATGCAGGGACAGGCTTTTACCCTTGTAGGTGAAACTGAGCGCAATACAATGCAGGGGCAGGCTTTTACCTCTGGAAACAGTATGGCTAATGGAGCGTCTCTGGATGTCATCGTATGCGTGGACACAAATTAACAACTAGACATGGAATTTACCAATCTATAGATGTAGATGATTCAATTGTAGATATTTGTTCTTCGCTTTTAGGAGGAATGTTCTAGGTCTTAAGTAGTTTGACCAATAGTTTCTACTGGTATATGAGACTCTATACAAGGAAAGCAACGACAACAGAAAAAGGCAACAAAAGAAAAGCAGAAGCTTGAGAAGCTTATGGAACTCCATATTGTGTTCTTTTTCTTTGCGTTCTCCTTTGGCTGGTTTTGTTTGTTGATTCTTATGACGTCGTACTGGCTTATGGAAAAACATGTGGCATCGCAACAGCATAGGAAAACCCAGATTATCGCATGCAGAAAATAGGCACGCGAATACCGTACCAAAATCACATAACCCACTTGACCCAAAAAAAATTCACATAACCCACAACTAGTGACTAAAAAGCATGAATACACAGGAACCCAGCGCTGTACAGAATAGCATTAACATAACTTTGAACACCTGTACACTCCCGCAAAATGCATTACTTTTGTCTTGATATATACACCACACGGAGATGCCAAATGTATGGAAATGCTGCGTGGCTTACAACCTAGTGAATTAATAACCCAGATGCAACCGGACGCTTTATGCTAATGGGCCCTTTTTTCCCTGGAAATTCGTCTGCTGGATGTCAACACCAGTTGTGCACCGATTAGATTCGAAATGTAAGCACTGCCAACGGGAGGGTTGAGAAAAAAGCTTCTGACTTCATGAACTACTACTTAAGCAACTTTCTTGTGTTGATCGTCACAAAGGCTTTTAGCTGCATCACCATGACTTGCAGTATCTGCGTCAATTTTGTAGGATGAAAGCAGCTTTCTCTGCATCCAATTAAAAAATTCAGCAACATACTCGGTATTAAGAGAACTAAACAAAGTAGCTTTTTATATATCTTTCTTCCTCCCGTGGTACAAGCAAAGCTAGAATAAAATCAAAGCTCAGTGAAATGGAAACTTACATGATCCTCGAAATCAGGACTGCTCAAATTGATGGACAGATTTCTCATCAACAGTAACACCTGGAGAAGAGCCAAAAAATAGAATAACATCACAACTACGCCATTTTCAAGTCTAAGTAGATTCACACAACTATTCCAACTAGAAAATTTGTTGAGTTGTAAACATTTATTGAGGCAGTTATAATGCACAAAATTAAGCAGTGACTTCCTCACCGACCATTGGAGGGTTAGATAACAAACAAATCATATACACTACAGTCAAAACCTAAACATATAATACATGAGATTAGAAAGGAGAACAGAAATACCGTGTCAACATCTATAGGATCCATCTTCTTCAATTTCTGCAGATGACCTGTAACATCAGGGTCAAAGACACTGCCGATGAAGCTGTATACTTGAGAAAAGTCAGGGAGAACTGCATAAAACAAAGGAAACATAAAGGTGTTACATTCACAGGAAACACCATTTCTAGCTATAAATTTGTAATATCTAAGGCCACAAACAATGAAGGAGTAATGGAAAGAGTCCAGATTTTTTTAATGGGTCCAGCTCTGATATACCATGTGATGCAAAGACTTATCTAAAGAAAAAATAATTAAATAATTTGTAAAAGTACTCATGTGTGACACATAGCCCTATCACTGGTTCATATGGAAACCAAGATCAAGATGGCAGCGAAATAGGTGAACGTTTTCGCTGTTCATGATAGAAGAAATGCAAGACACATACATATAGCTGTGATTATATCATAAAAGTTTGATACATTGAGCACCCAAATACATGTTGAAACATAAAACTCATGTCCATATACAAGAATGAAATTCCATGTTTTTGTAACAAATTTTATCCACTTCAAGGTGTAAAAAAGTTCAAATCCAATATTAAACTATTATAGCCATTTAGGTGAAAGTACTTGTCCGGGAGGGAGAAACTGCAAATAGGAAGATTGTCACCTCACCTCTCAACGCATGGCTACGAATTACTAGATCAGTTGTTTCACCAACTGGTTGAGCTTTTGGAGTGCTTTCTGTGCTACTGCAACTGTTATTCGGTCCAGTTGGCCCTGAAATAACATACCCGCACAGAAAGCAAATGCAACTAAATCAAGTTTGCAAACAATAACATTAATGTACAATGAGATCAGGTCATTGTTATGGAGATTTAATTTATTTAGTAGTCACACCTTTGGACTCATGTGATAGGTTGGCTGTTTGCATGGAACCATCAGTCCAGGAAGGGACTACAGTGCCAGGAACGGGACTCATAAGCATTGACGCTGAATCTGGCCTTTGAATAAACCCAGATTCATGTAAAGCAGATGAAGATTGACATGACCCAGACACTTGTGGAAGCGCCAGAGCTGGCAAACAAGGCAGATATGAGTGTGGCTGTAAAACATTGTACTGTGAAAAATAGGATACATGAAATTGAACCATCCTCACCATTTTTAGAAGCTTTTTGAGGATATGGGTGAGCAGCTTTCCTTTTTGGCCTAGGGGGAGGTAGATGTTCGCTTGTCCCATTCTTTTGAACCTTCAGAAAATACTTCTGTGCATGACTACGTATCTGCAAAAACAATCCTTCTCATGGGTAATGGTGTTCATTATTGTCTGATATATAAACTTGCAGATAAAAGATTAATTGGTGATAGTCACTAAAGCATATCTTTCTCTTGGCATTGGAAACCATATAATGAACTAACTAATTGCAGATATTAAGTGGATGTCCTTTGAAAGCTAACCTGTATAACTGTCTTTGACCCAATGAATGCTTCAATCTTTTTCCAATCACGGTCAAAGCTGAATGCAACAGAGGGAACATAAACAAAATTAGGGAATAACACAAAAATGTATGAAAAACAGCCTAAACTAAAATAACAACAGCATCATAACAAACAATAACACAAATTGGGGATGAGAACATGAATTACCACTAAAATCCTACTCTTTTTCCAAATTTCTGAAACTTCTCTTTTTCTTTCTTTCCTAAAGTTTCTCACCAACCAAACAAACCCTTAAATATTTCAAAACACAAACAGAAACTATATCGCCTCTTTTCCCACATTTCAAACCCCAATTCGAAACTAAAACAGTAGCGCCCTATATTTATACACACTAACATACAGAAGTGAAGAATTAAGAGAGATGAAATTTACAGCTGGAGGGCTTCGAGGAACTTGTCGTGCTCGGGTTCGCTCCAGCTCTCTCTGGACTTGGTGATAGTGTAGGGCTTCCGAATCTTCTTACTCAGATCCTCCGAAGAAGACGTCGTTGACGTCGTCGTCGCCGCTGAGGTAGTGACTGAGGCGAATGGCCCGAGCCCGGGTAACGCCATTCCGCTCGGATCCAAGTACAAGCCCTCTGGCGGATTCGGGTTTTTGGATACCATAAATTCCGAAATACTCGGGTTCGGGCTTTTGCAATAGCGATAAGCTGCGACTCTTGGGCAGGCGGCGGAACTTTTATAGAGGACCTGGGGATTGTTGGATGCGGCGGAGATTTTGGTGGGTGGGAAGAAGGCCAATAGCAACTCGTCACGTGTACGCTACAAAGGGAATAAGAGTACGTTGTTAAGCGTTGGATGGACGGAGAGTCGTTGGATTTGTTTTTTTCCTTTTTTGGTAATAATTTTGAATTTTCGGCTCTTGATCCTGCTTAATTCGGAGTTGGGCTTGATTAGATTGTAAAGTCACTGTCATCCCCAGCTAAGCTTCTTTTTTATTTTTTTAATCTAAGGGGAAAGCATGTTAATACAAAGGGTCAGCCTAGAACAACAAAGAAGTTTAAAATTGGTTGTCACATTTTATGTTGCTAGACAATAATGCAAATGGATTAGAGTCAAGTCAAGCATTAAGAAAATGGTTATGACTGTTCCAAGTAGGACAATATGATTAGAGTGAGCACACTAAACTAATACATGACCCCAATGTCTGAAGTTGAGTGATCCAATTAAGGAATATAACTAAGCGACCATAAAAAAAGAAGAGAAGAGGACTATGTTCAGCATGAATTATCATAATTTGGTTGGGTTTGAATTCATTGAAATGGAAAGACAAATTAGCAAAATTTAATGTAAGATGGATAGAAGAAATTAAAAGCAACAAAATAAATGCCAATTTTCAAGTGACGAATTGAAGAGGCTGGAATTTTGTTCTCATCCATCCACCATCCACCATCCACCATCCACCGTCCAATAGAGTTGTCTGATCTTGGTAATGGTGGAGTTTTGTGGACCAGTAACTAGTAGTCGTATACATCATCTCTCAATCTGGATTTTGACCGACCAACCAACGGTGGAGGCGGATGGGGAGAGTCGGTTGTGACTCGTGAGAGAGAGAGAGGGGTGAAGTGAAGAGGACAAGAGAAGAGGTCTAAAGTGTGGGCCGTAGTCGTGGAGAGAGATTTGATTTGATTTGATTTGATTTTAGTTTTTTATCTAAGGGCCCAAGTGCATGTTATTGGGAAGAAAAAATCTGTGGTCCAATTCTCTTTCAAGTGTAACTATGGTGAGTGACCACACTGATGATAGTTAAAGAACAAGGGAAGGAGCACCCTGAGCCTCAGAAGATTCGTTAGATTGGACCCTACCAGATGCTACATTTTACATGATATCTCTACCTTTTTCGTCTTTATTAAATCAAGTGTTGCTTAATCATCTATTAATTCAACACAAATTTGTCTCGTAACAGATTCATGTGGGCCAAACTTTAAGAATTTTTTTTTTAAAAGAGCGAAGCCCACATCCTAAAAATAAAAATCCGCCCAACCCTATTTATCTGTATTGATTTTCAATTACAATTTACAAATAACAATACTTTATTATCTAATATTGGACAAAAAAAATGTTAGAAGAGGTTTTAAGTTTGAATCTCGATACATATTTGAGCATGTCGAGAGTTTCGCTTCCAAGTGTTAATTAGTTCTGTCAAAATTTAACTAGAAGGAAAATAACATTATAATCAGATGGCAGTTTCATGCATGTTACTGGCTTTGGTAAATGCACTCACTGTGTGGAGAGAATCTATATTCTAAAAAGAAAAAAAAATAGAGGAAATACTAGTTTGCTTGCATGAGTGGAATCACAGCAAAGGATATGGGCTTTAGCAGACACTATACTTTGAACCCATGTGACATTACCATTAAATTAATCAATATTTTATATTATGATTTAAAACTATAATATATACATATGTGACAAGTGTAGGGTGTGCAGCCAAATTAGAAGGAAAAATTATAATAAAATAATACACCGTTCACACATCCGTACCATAGTAGGAGGAGAACAGTGTGAGTGTAGTCTTCACAAGTTATTTTCTACAATTTCTCATTTGACACGGGATCTAATTATATAAACGCGTGGAAATCGTAGGGCTCTCCTAATAAAGAGAGGTGGGGCCTCTGCAGGGCTCGCTGGCTGGCTGGGGGGTCACTTGAGGAGGAGGACGACGACCCAACACCACCAGAGTCGTGTACCTACCAAAATGTTCGTATAACGGCAAAGACTTAGAACATTGGTTGCTTTCCTGGAAGACGCAGAAAACAAACTTTATGATTGATTGGGAAAAAGGCTTCTGGAAAATTCATTGAAATTTCAAAAAAGTAGGTAGATAGAGAGAAGCTACTTATACGGTGTCGTTTGGCAGTAGGAAATCATTGAAAACAACGTTTGCGTACTCTCCCATTATTGCTAGAGAGGGAAAAAAAAATTAGTTTTCCTCTTGCGGCCAAAATTGCACATGATTTTATTGACCGTAGACTTATTGACTAGACTCGGGTTGACTCAGCTCCTTCCTTCCTTGTGCTGGTGACATATCTTTTCCCTTCCCCTCCCTTTCATCCCAAATATAAATTAGAGTCCCAAGGTTCCCTTCACTTCACCAAGACACTCCACTCAAAACGTCTCTCTTCCTCTTAATTACTACAAATCTCTCTCTCTCTCTCTCTCTCTGTTTTCTGGGCGTCTGCTCAAATTTGAATCTCTCTCTTAACTAAACTCCTTGTTCAGATCTCTCAAACTTCATGGAAATGAAGGTTAGCATTTTTACGTTGCTCCAAGCTCTTTTCCTTTTTCAGACAACTTTACAAGGATCGGATCCTTTCTGTCATCAGTTGATTCACTACCTTTCTTATACATAAATAAAGATAATATCTTTTGGTAAACCAAAATTTGTTTTCTTTCTTTGACACTAAATTGTCACTGGGTTTTGAATTCTGATTACTTTTCTTTCAAGTTCTGAGTTCAAAGATTGATGGGTTTGATGTTAATTTGCTTATATCTCACTAATTTTTTCTGATTATAATTTTTGGAATCTAATAGTATCTATCTTGTTTCATGACAGAAAGTAGTGTTGAAATTGGAATTGTACGACGATAAGGCTAAGAAGAAAGCCATGAGGGCAGTCTCAGGGCTTGAAGGTAGGCAGGCATCTTCAATTGGTTTAATTTCTTCTTCAGCATATTACTCTGTTTTTCTATTATAGTGGTGAATTAATCTTGTTTGTGGATGGCATATTGTTTCAGGGCTTGATTCAATTTCCATGGATATGAAGGACAAGAAACTGACGGTGATAGGGGACGTAGATCCAGTAAATTTGGTGAGCAAACTGAGGAAGCTTTGCCACACAGATATAGTCTCAGTGGGACCAGCAAAAGAGGAGAAGAAGAAGGAGGAGTCCAAGAAAGAGGAGCCGAAGAAGAAGGAGAAAGATCCAAAAGAAGAAATGGCTGATATTATAAGGGCCTACCACGCCCATTATCCTCCTATGCCTGTACACTATTACATAACAAACCCAGAAGAGGATCCCAATTCTTGTGTCATTTGCTGATTTAGACAATTTTTTTAAGAATTGGGAAGATGGTGTCCATGAAGAAGAGAAGTCGTATATGTACAGTGGTGTGTTATTTATTTATTTTGTTGCCGTGGAGTTGGTTTGCAATCATCTAGACGATACGAAAGTAAACTTTTCTTTGAGGTCTAACCGAAAAAACAATAAAATATCTTGGAGACCTCTTTGATGTACGACTCTGTTTTTGTTATTACATTTTGATGGTGGGATAATTAATGGATGAATTAGCTATGTGCTAGTAGCTTCAGAATTAAATTTTATCATTGATTTTGAACTCTTGGAAATCTAGAGCTTAATATTTTTGTGATTTAGTGAAGAATTTGTTCAGAGTTTCCTTTCACTTCGTATGGCATGCAAGAGAGAGAATGCAAAAAGTATCAGCCTTTTGATACACATAAATAAATTTTAGGTTGAAGAGAGGTTTTGCAGTATGTTAAATAACACTCGCAAGAATCACGTAATTGTGTTATCGTGATAGTAGAATAGAGCGTATGTAATATAAATATATTTTAGGCTGAGGAGAGGTTTTGCAGTATGTCAAATAATAATCGCAAGAATCACGTAATGGTGTGATCGTGAGAGTAGAATAAAACGTATGTATTATATTTCAATTGTCTAATACGTATCCACCAAAATAATTTGAAATTTTCCTCTTTGCTAATTCATTAATACTCTAATATATATTTAAAAAAACGAATGATGTGATAACGAGTGAGTGTGATAATAAATGGCAGAAAGGAGGATTAGTAAGGGAAGAAATGCAAACCGACCGATGTCTATTTCAACTGTATATTTTAAAAATAAATATTTAAGAATCTTGGGTTATTATATAGTTTCCATGACTCACATACAAATATACAATAAAATTGCTGTGAATTCGTTCAAAGAAAACGACAAAAAGGTGTAGCTTTTGATTTTGAGCTTTAAGTAATAAGGCCGATCCGCTAATCAATTGATTAATTAATACCAAATGTCTCATTTGGCAAATAGACGTACCTCGTTAGGCTTCTTGCTAATAAACTGAAAATGCCACTTAATTATTATATTAAAGGATTTCTACCACATCAACATAAGAACGAAAATGCGGTCGTCTCGATCTGTAAATACTTCCATCATGTAATTAAACTTTAGTTTTGTTTAATTATGACGACACTAATTTACCATTTTATTTTGTGTGATACAATAATCTTACTTTACTTTCTAGATTAGCTTGACGTATAATCAATTTGCTTAGAGCTTTAGCACCACATAAAAAGATAATTAAGAAACAAATGCATATAATTCGAGTTAGAGCAGATCAACTGTCGTTATGTTAATTTTAAAATAATAACTATACAAACATTTATGATTTTGTAACCCGCCGCTAACGATATGATCGAGATGTAGATTACATCAATCCATACGACATGTAAGACCTCAGATTTAAAACACCTTATTTATTTAGTATTACAACTTGGAGTGACATCAAGCTATTATAGTAATTAAATCTAGCTGAGAACTTTATGGGATTTGTACTTTTAACCCAATGCTTTAATATTTTTCATGAAATACCGTGCAGGTCAACCACAACCTCAATATATATGAAGCAATTCATGGTATTCAATTAGTCATGACCCGAGCCACAACCTACATGCAGGTTAGGCTAGTCAAAGTAGTCTGTTTATCTTCTTGTATCCGAGTTCGATTCTTTTCATTGTACATTAGAATAATTAGAATACCACAATGAATGAAACAGTACAAAGGGTAAAAATTATGTGTAATTCATCACAATGCCACATATATAAAGAGGGAAAGAACGCTAACTAACGGTGCTTGAAGCTGTGGTAAAATTGTAACTTTACATAGTCCAAAAATCACCCATCATTTTTTTTGCTATTGCTCTCATCTTCCTCACTCCACATCTCAACCCAATTGCTTTGAACTTCTTCAAAACCAAGAATCGAACCCTTCTTCTCTGCATCCCAACTTGTAGACAAAGCTCCATATGCGATCCCAAGAGTTGAAGACCCAAAAGTCAACAACGTTGTCAAGAATGGGAGCCAAAGTGGCACGTCCCACAAGTGCTTCTCCTTAATCACTTCAAACAAGTTCAAAAATGCAAAGCCCATGGCCATCGGCAGCCCCACGGAGGCCACAATTCTCACCAGCATCCTCTCGAAAACAGCCTGTGGAATTTCCTCATCGCCATCCTGATCATTTTTGTTGGAGTTTTGGCTTGTAGGCTTTTCTTTAGTAGGGGCTGGTGCACTGCCAAAGCCCTTTGCATTGGCATGCATTTTATATGTTCTTTTGTTGTGTTTTTGTTTTTGCAAGGTTGTGGGGTTGAAGGTCAGGCTTTTGGGGTTCCATGGAGAACACTTTGAAGCAAGATAGAGAGATGGTTGTGGGGAAAAAACCAGAGTTTTCATAGCTTTTTAGGCCAGTTTTTGTTTGTTTTTTGTTTTCATTATACCATCATCTATTTGTATGGTCTTACGCCTATAGACCTTATCCAAGAAAAACGAATGGTGGTGGCATAACGTCCGAGTCTCGTAAGATATTTGTACCGTTTCTCGTTGTGGTTTTTTTGTGAGGGCCTATCTTATAATTCAACGACAAACAATTGGGCTTGAATGGAGACTTTAGAGGGGGTGAGAGGCTGGGCCTGGGGTATACTTAAGTTATCTAGAATTCTTTTTTGTGGGCTTGGCTCTGCCCGTTACTCTTCTCTTTTCTGTGGGCTAGGCAGACTTGTAATCAAGATATCACGTGTGTCAAAATAATATTACATGTATCAAAAATTCTGAAAGGTCAATGAAGGTTCGAAATCCTCAAGTACCTAATGAATATTTGTGTAAATCACCCTACCCCAATTGCTTGCACTAAAAAAAAATTATTCTGAAAGCAAAAACATATAATATAGGTTTTTATGTCTCGGGGTTTTTAGATATGTCTTTTAGCGTACGAACTTCTGGTTTCATTTGATGTATCTTGGTTTCCACTGATGGCTCGCCGCCTTCAACTTAATGGGAAGTTTATCACTATTGACCAAAAAAACATATAATACAGGTAAGACAAGTAAGATTGAAAGTTCTGAGCATGTGCAATAACAGAGCGGGAAAGGAACCAAACAAACTTGACCTACTTATAATTAGGTCAATCCAATATAGAGAATGGATGAGATGAATTGCTCTACTCTAAATGGTGAATAAATTTTTTTTTTTAAATATTGGGCTTGACCTACTTAATTATTAGGTTAGCGATCCATGCATACACGGAGCACTCATGATCATGTCAATGGCGGCGTGTAACTACTAAATGAAATGACAAAAGCAGAATAAAACAATTTGATGAGACCTATACCTACTTGATAAAGGCGTATTCTCTCATTGTATGGCTTCAATAGTGTCTCGTGGGAAGATATATGTACGAAACACTAACTAGTAATTTGTCGTGATAAAGTATTGGAAATTAATCCAAAACCCAAAGTTAATTAGCAAATGATCTCTGTTATATATGCATGCAGATGCATGGTCCATGAAAACTCTGAAATAAATCTCTGAAAATGCGTCGTGTGTGGTTGTATATGTCAGATTATATATAGAAGTTTCAAGAAAAGGAGATCAATTTGTGATGGTCATGTGGGTCCCTCCCACCAATAATACAGGGATAAAGTATTGACTTTCTGATTGCTATATATACTACTAGTATGGCTCTTCCTAGCTTCCAGTCTTTAGCTACAAGACTATCGACTTTCTGTTCGTAGCAGGAGAGAGATCAAATGTCTAGTTCGAGGGTTTTTCTGACTGCATTGCTAATTTTGTTTTTCTTTTCAACTTTAAGGTTTGACTACTCTCAGTGTTTCAATTCAGGGATGAAGGAGAGGAGGGCCTTATTAACCCGCTCGATTCCCACATTGGTGGAAAAGAGTAAGAAAGTATATGATGTTCGATCAGGAAATGAAATGGCAAACAAATTCCGGAACATGATCAAGTCGAAGCACACAAGTGAAAAGATTAGCAAAAGTCAGAATGGGTCAAACCGATTGATTCCTGGAGGTCCTGATCCCCGTCATCACTAGCTCACCAGTATCATACGGGAGTAAAACTTTCATGTAACATGTTTCATACTTCGTTCTCTCTATCTCTCTCATCACATGATGTGACGAGAGTGTGATAAGAGATAAAGAGAAATGTGTATTGTATTAAAGATGGGATATGGGTAAGTTTCTCTCTATCAAAGGGTGTGTAATAAAGAATTTCTACAATGGTAGAAATAATAATGCGTAATAAAAATGATGACAGGAATGATATCCAATGATAAATTTCTCATAACTTTATGTTATTAGAATTAGTTGATCACATATATCCAAATCTGAAGTTTTTTCAACTTTCATCCCTCCCTATTTTGAACATTGGAAAGGAATACAACTTACAAGACATGCTATACATATATATATATATATATACAAAGAGTTGGTGCCTCTAGTCTTATTGTAAATTGAGTGACATGCTCCAATTCAAGATGTTATTGTAACGGTGTCCTTCCACTCCATAGAATACTACTCCATCTAATCAAAACAGTGGCGTGCAGTAACATCCGTTAACTTAACTCAGCGAGTCGAAGCTATATGGTCACCGGAAAGCTTCTCATTCGACTTTATTGAGGTCTGTCAAGATCCAAACTTCGACATAAGCAAGATGCATTTCGGTAACAAAGGCAAAAGTTAATTAACATAATGTTTAGCCATATATGCATATACATACTCGATGTGAGGACGGTGAGCTGCAAAGAGGGCCTGCAGATCCAGTTGGAGAAGTAACTAGTATTGATTTTGCAGGGGAAGCATATAGAGGAGGTCTTGTGAAGATGGGAGGTTGAATGTATGGGGAAGTGGGTGATCGGAGTATGGGAGTGCTGTATGAAGATAGTGGAGATGGCTCTGGAGTTCTCCAATAAATATGAGATGCAGATTTTCTTGGAGATTTTGAGGGTGATGATCTTCTTGAATATGGTAGCAGGTTGATTTTGATTCTGGAACAAACAGAAACAAAGTAATTATTTGTTAAGATCAAATATATTGTTTATATACACTGAAAGTGTTGACTTTGGAGTTTACAGAGAAGAGAAGCATAAAAAAATAAAATTCGGTCACTGCTCACTTGTTGTGGACATCGACATAATTATCTGTTTCATCCAGTATATCTTCCTGCAAGACAGAATAAAAGGAGTAATTAGCTTAATTTTCATGAATGATATAGGGTTTAGGGGAAAAAAATTATCTTAAACTGATGGATCAAATTGAATTTTTCATAATTAACTTGGTCACTATAACTTGATACCTGTAGCAGTTCCTCCATAACATCCTCCATTGTTATGATACCGATTACCTCCTCATCCATGCTACTTTGAAGAGATTCTAAATTTTCAGATGATGTATTTCTACCTCGTCCTTGCTTATGTCTATTACTTTGTGTCTCTGATTCTTCGTCTTGCACCATGACATGCTTCGGCGTCGGAGTACAGTATTCAGTTTCACTAGAATATATAGGGGATGTGTCCATGGAGAAACTTAGACGATAATTCTGATCATTTCGAGAATTTAAACCTGTAATATCCAGTACAAACAACCCTGAATGCTATGAGCCTACCACATATTGTTTGCCTTAAAACTTGATTTTTGGTAATGTAACATTACCTTTACTCTCTGCTAGTGTTGAATGTAATCTTGAATTAGTCTCTGTCTCTAGAAAGCTAGGCTTGCAATCCTTGTTCTCCTTTTCTCCATTAGCATCCTTCTTACTCTTCACCACAGCAACCATATGACTATGACCTTTCTGGAACTGATGCAGTATATCATATAAAGGCCAACTGTCATAAACCCTGTTACAGATATGGACAGAGTTATGCCCCTACAGAGAAAAACAACAATGCTATAAAACATGTGAAGACAATGGCAGAGATGCCATAAGGGAGCACTCATACCTACCTTGGAATTCTCCTGATAGTCAAATATTTTATTGGGGTTTCATCTTCCGGCCGGCTGAAGATCAAATTCTTTGCCTAATATATATATATATATATATATATATATATATATATATAACAAGTAGTCGATACATGAGACCAAAAAGGTTGCTTAATTTATATAAGAAAATAGTAAACAATGAAACCTGGAACTTTTTATGGAAACAAGGAAAATAAAGAAGAGAGGGACTTGTTCAAAGACTTATTATATACAAGCCCCAATTCTTCCACCAAGAACTTGGGAGCAAATCAATCAATATGAAGATCAACTGTGCGCATGCATGAACTGACTAATAAACAAATTAAAGTTGCTGAGTTGCTTACCAGAATGAGGCCAATAATGTTTGTCCGACTTCCAGAATATATAGGTATGCGGCTGTGGCCTTTGCTCATTATCAAGCCAAGTGTATGCCTAAGGTAAGGATGTACATATAAAAGTCACATAGAAACCAGAAGTAAATAGTATGTACAGATTCAGTTGATGAACGGACGTACATGTCAAGTTTGGAGTTTATGTCAAGGGAAAAAGTTTCAGATATGGGAGTCATTGCATCTTCAGCAGTCTTCAAAGTCAGATCCAGAGCACCACCAATAATCGTAGTCTCATGATGTGACAACTCTCCACCTTTCCCTGCCTAATGATGAACATGATCACACAATTTGGACTTTGACACTGTCAAGAACCAACAGAGTAAGAAGACAGAGGAAACCTCACCTCATTGGCATGCAGATCCACCAATGTTTTCAGCTCTGCTCGTCTTAAGAGTGCCGAATGCCCTTTGCCAAGGAGGCAATCCAACAGCTGGCATGGTCAAAATTCCAAAATACAAATAAGTCTTAATCTCCAAGGTACATATATTGAACATGGTATCTCTAAGGTCCATAGATTGAACATGTATTACCTTACTGAAAGGGTATGATAGAGGGAGGAAGACCACCAGAAGCAACCGTACCAAGTGAGACATTTTTGCACCAAGACTTAGTCCATATCGAGAACATACAGCTTGAGGAATGATCTGACCGAAAAAACGAAGTATAAAGAATAATAAGATCTCAAATTGCAAGTTTAGGCAAAACAAAAATCAAAGTGCATTGCTGGTAAAACAAATTTACCTCCGCAAATGCAAGTACAAGGGTGACTGACACAAGAATTGCAGCCCAAACTGGGAGAATTGAGTCCAGGAAAATGGGAAGTGCCTTGTAGAAGAACACACTAGATCAATTAATTTGCTTCAGAACATACAAACTTGCATAAATTTAGTTTACAATTTATTTACATCGTAGCGGGCGGCATACCTCCATTGCCAGTGATTTGCCTATTAGGAGAGTACATAAAAGTAGATGTTCATTCTTAACAAGCGGCAGAATCTTTGCTGCAAATTTATAAGAAAATGGACAGAAAAAGACATAGCTATTAGGCTTTATAAAATGATAGTAATTAAGAACATGTAGCGAAATTCGAGTAGCTATAGCAGCAACCTGCATTTTTCTGGTCTTGGGGCTGACCAGACTTGATGAGGACCTCAAGATCAACTTGGCTGAAGGACAAGAGCCCTAAAGCAAGGCCTGATGCAATACCAGCAAATGACACAAGCACCAAACATATGACTATAAACACCCAGAAATCAGTCTGACAACAAAAGATGTCGTCCTCTCTCATTGTTATACTAGTGATGTTATGCAACAATAGACTACTTTTGTTATGTATTGATCGAAGAGAGGGGTTGCCTGCCTTTATATTTATACACAACTAGCTCGCTAGTATTGCTCATCATACAAGCAACAAAACAAATAAAATTTTATGAATTGTGGACAAAGACAATCAGAACATGTTGAAGGAGATATGAAGATATAGGTTACAGTCTTCTGTCCAAATCCAAGTCCCTACTGCCGAACACCTCTGCCTTTATGGATTCTACGGAAAGAAGATAATTAAAATGCAACTAAAGTTTATAGCTGGAATAAGCACACAGAATATCCACTTTTAATTGGAAAAATGACAAATGGACAGAAAGGAAAAAAAGGAAGCCAAAGTCATCAGAGGCTTCATTTGATTGTGACAATGTGAGAGGCTTTTGGTTGTGGCAACAACAACCAAATACTAAAATTTCACCAAATTTATTTCTGCGAGCCTGCATCAGATAGCTCTTAACTGTCATGCATGGAAGAACATAACTAACTGGGGAAGTTAGTATCTGGTCTTCAACTTCACTGTATCCAACCACCGAAAGGACCCTTCATTTTTTATTTTTAAATTTCAATTGTGGAACCCAAAAAAGCAAAGATTCCACCAAAGCCTGACTAATAATAAGACAGTTCTGCGATTGATATCATATAACAACTAGAAATTAGGTGAGAGACTATCTAATATCTATATGCTAGATAGAAAAATGATTTTTGACTAGTATGGTAGCTCAAGGAAATAACAGCTCCATTAGGCAAGAATGGTCCCCTCTGGCATTCAATTAAAACACGTTAAGAACGATTACTCGTGCACCCAATATCACTTTGTATAAATAAATGAAAACACATTAAGCATGATCAAATAGTTATTGGAAAGTGATGTAGTAGGTTTAATATTAAATTAAACAGGAGGAGGGTCTGGTCTTAAAACTAGTCATGCACAACCAGTTCACATCAAGTAATTGAAACCAATTTCTACCAGTTTTCATAGAATAGAATTAATGCAACTTGGTGAATCACACAAACCAACATCTGCAGAAACATTACAAAAACATATCAGTGTCACCCCTTATCATTTGATAGCTATCTGCTCAGATCATATGCCATGCACCTATCATGCTAAGTCAATGCATCAAAAATTACCTAATCACTCATGCAATGGTTGAGAAGGCCAAGGACTTGCATAGTAATTACAGGTCAAACATGCAAGGGCATGTTTCACATACTAATTCTTTTTATTTTCTTTTAAGTTACATCGTTAGGGGATTTTGTAATTAAAAAACCACCAAAAAAAATATTAAGTGGGGGATTTGAACCCGACGTGAATCGAACACGCAACCTTCTGATCTGGAGTCAGACGCGCTACCATTGCGCCACGGATCCACTTGTGACCTTACCTCATCTAAAAAGTTTAAATTAACATTCAAAGGTAGAGGTATCTGAGTTGGCGGGTATTACCATTGGGCCTTGACATCTGAAAAAATTGAGAATGATGTCCACATACCAAAAAAAAAGAAAAAAAGAGTGTTGTGAATAGTGAAATCCTTGGTTGGTGGCAGGTGAAGTCCTTGTAGGACATTCTTATGAGCGCCCACCAAATTAATAGTTGATGTTCACAGTATGATTTAATTTAAATACCCTTTTTAGAACACTTCAATAATATATGTGTCCATTCACAGAACTCATCAACACAATTACGCAAAAAATAAAAATAAAAATCTAAATATCAAATGTCTTAGAAAGCTTGAAGTTCAATAAGTAAATGTGCGAGTTTTGAAGTCACACATACCAAAGTCAGGAGGTCCACGGTTGCCAAAGGTAATATATGTCATACGCTCGAAATCATGGTTGAAGTATATGTAATCTTGTTGACATCTTAAAATATTTGAAGCTGACACAACTATTGAAGTGTTATCACCCAAAAAGAGAGCAAAATCACCCAAGCTTCTCTTCTCAATCCACGTACACTCATCATAGTCCAATTTCAAAAACTTTAAAAGTTTTCTGTCACACGTTTAAAAGATTCAAAATGATCATGATTGATAACCTTTTAACCATAAGAAATTTTTTCTCAACCAAATTCACAAGGTATATCTTCATGTAGAAGTCTTGTGGTCTAAAACGTGCAATCATCGGTTTTATGTCTGAATTGGACCGAGCCGTCGTATTAAACGAGGAAAGTTGCCCATAATTCAAAACTTGGGTAACAAAGACCACAATTCAAAACTTGGGGGAAGACACCAGTGGCTCTTGCATAAATAATAACAATTCGTTCATTTATACGGTGTGTAAAAAACAAAGAGAGGCTAATCTAGACTTCTCCACATGACCATAATTACACATGCAGCTTGAACAGCACAGGCATATATGTAAACTGACGTTGCTTTCCTCTACTATGACAGGATGCTGCAGAACCAGGCCTTTTGTTTGTATGATGAATCATTTACTCGACATTGTAAGTATCGGTCGACAGGCCAGGCCAAAGCTGGAAGGATTACCAGCCAATATATATTAGACCTTGAATCAGTTGAAGTGCGCTAGTTCAGCTTGGGATGCAGTTTTTTCCACAGCCATCCACCAGTTGTCATCTTCCGAATCGATGTTTTCCTATTTGCGGAAGAAACTAGGACAAATCAGAGTTCAGGAAAATGAGTAAAGATTGGATGCATTTCATTGTAGGCGATGGTGCAAACATGGTGTTGATCAAATATGATATGGCAAAATGAAAAATGAAAGGTTTCTCATGTCCTAGTTTTGAATCCGACAGAGGTGGAGAGAGAAAGCTGGTTCCTGTTGTGTGGCTCAGCCACAGAGCCAAATTTATTAAACAGCAAAGAGATAGAAAGAGAAAAACTTGGATGCACGTACAAAAAAGGTAGTCTTACCATATTTCTGATGTCTATGTTCTTATTTTCAACATCATCTGCAACTCTTATGGCTTCAAGCCACCATGAATCTGTAATGCAGCTGCTAGTCATGTTCTCATCCCCATAAGGAACACATTCATGATCATTTCGATATTCATGCACCATTTCAGGAATGATATCCAATGGAATTGGACGCGAGGGAGAACGATAACCTGATGCCATCCATATGTGAGTTGAATTGGTCACTTATTGATTAAAAGAGATTGAAAAATAGGTAAAATATTTCCGCACCTCTACAGTCAGGATCATGACATTTCTGATAATAAGCAGCCCTTCTGAGGTCAGCAACGTATATCACTAATAGAATGATTACGCCTATTAGCAAGTTTGTCTTACATATAAGAAAGAGTGGGGTAGGGGAAGTGCCAGACAGAATGCAGCTGAGAGTGTAATCTGAAAAACACTTCAAGATGTACACGCAGGCATACGCAGACTAAGAAATGCAGCAACATATAAGATTTTTACCATGATTGCTTTTATGCTGTCTGCCGATTCGCTCACAGTATCTGTTTCTTGACATGCTGTAGACCATGTGTCCAAACTCTGAGAACCAGTACCAGCTGCGAATTTTACCTAGAATAGCAACAAGTTATTTACAAAATGGCAAAAAAATAATAATAATAACAAACGTTTCTGATGCAGGTTACAAGATACCACCTGATACATTTCCAACAGTAGCAACCGACTCTATAAATGCATCCAAAGCTGGGAATGGAGATTTCCCAAGGAAGTATGTTGCTGAAGCATCAGTTGTGCCACCATTCAACGCATATTCTTGAGGCCAACTGTAACATTTTCCAAAGTTACGGTTTATCTGTAAAAACAAAGAATTGGTATAGTTAAATGACCTATTGCCAATACAGAAGGTAGACGAATGCTCTAAGAATACCAATAGTTTGTCCTCAAACTAACCACATAATATCAATAATATTTAGTATCTTATATCTGTAAGCATCAAATCAAAAAGTATGGACCAGTTATGAAATCCAAATTACCTCTGTATCAAAATGCAGAGTCTTTATACAATCAAGATCTGTTTTGCATACTAGAAGCTTCTCACAATCAACATCCAAATTGCAGATCAAGGATGCCATGAACATTTCCTCCTCAGATTGCTGTCGAACAACATAACTTTGACCATAAGATTAAGGCATACGATAGTCAAAGCATAAAAAATCCAAACACCACTAACAAAAGTCCAGGTTGCAAATATTATGTTAATCAGAAGGGTGGCATACCATGTCCTTGGCTTTGAAACGCCCAGTAGGTAGAAGCATTGAATTCTTCCCTGCCTTTGATGATAGAGCTAAGCGAAAGCAACGATTTCGGGTATATACAGCAGTGTCCACAAATAGTTGACTAGCGGAGTTCAAAGACTTTGAATCTTTTCTAACAAAAAAATTTCCAAATCTTCCATCCCTCTCCTTTGCACTTGAAATCCGTGAGCATATCTGATAATATGTCATCACATACTGACAATAGTTGATATTTCTACACGGAAAAGAAAAAAAAGGAAAAATCGTAGTAAATGAAGCAGATTCTGTTCATCACAGTAAAAAGAGGCTATAAATTATGGAAAATTTGCTTCTTAAATATAATTTCTGTTTTGAATTTATGTGTGGAAATTTAATTCAGAAAACATCCCCCCCTCCCCCAAGAGGAAACAACCTACAGTAATCTCAAACCCCATTAGATTTGGAAGTAAGAAAAAGTTTCTGTAATCTTCACCAAGTCATACCTCAGTGACAAATGCACCTGCATGTGAGTTGTCCTTAAAGGCAGTCTTTTCTATGCGAATGATTAGATGACGAGAGAACTTTGCTGCATACAAGTATAGTCAGAAGTGACAATCAATTTCAAAATGCAAGCTCCTAATGAAATTTTCAATAGAGGAATCAAAACCCAATATAATACAAATATTCAAATGCATCAAGACAGCATCCTCATATATAAGGGGGGTAATAATTGTGATCCACACCTTCAGTAGAGGAATCAAGCTCCAATATCCATTCCTTGTTTCCTTGAATAGAATACTTTTCAAGTAAGGCTTCAAAAATGACTGAAATCAAGACATCAACCATTTCGTCTCCATTTCTGCCTGCATTGTCTCTCTTATTGAACTCCAAGTCAAAGTAAAGGTGGCATGGTAAACCCTGAAAGCAACACATTCAAAATTTAGGAACCACACCCAATTTTGTTGCATATGGTACCCACATTTTTGTTTAGTGCTTCTAGTGAAGAGAAGGAAAGAAAATTCGTGACCTCCTGAATCACTTCGTAATGGTGACGGAACTTGGGATTCATATTGTTGTACCTGAAACAAAAAAGCAAAACAAAAGCATTACAAGAACATCAAGAATAGAACTTCAGACAGTGAACAAGTATAATAATCCAAAAGGACACAAAAAAGCGCAACCTTCTCCAGAAATCGTCGTAAGTTGAAACAAGGAACCTTCTTTGTCCACTATAGTGATCTTGATAACTAAAAACATGAACGTTCCCATTCCCTTTGGCAAACTGCATTGCTTCATCCTGCCTTGGAAATGTCGCCCATACTTCCTTCCTAAACAAACAAAAAGCCAGGATCAAGAAACATTGTTAAAAAAATATAAGAAGAGAACAAAAAGTTCTTGAAGCAGATAAATCAGGAGGAAGAATTACACAAATACCTTGAACTCAATCTTTTTTGCGTAGCAAGATCAACACGTATTTCACGTAACAATCGCAGCAAAGATCTTGATGGTTTTTTAGGAGGCACCCCATTTGGAGACCCATAGAATACAACTGGAGAAAACTGCTTTGCACGGTTAAAGTTGTTTGCTTTAACGGTTCCTGAACCAGACTGAAGAAACGGTGATATATATTTTAGGTAAGCAAAGCAGTAGGACAAAAATTATAGGTTGGATATCAATTGGCAAGTGCACTAAAAGAACATTTCAGCTATCAACAACATAAAAGGTCAAATTTCATTCAACTAAGAAGGAATTCAAGCACAATTATACACAGAGACACAAGAAATCAGACTAAGAAACAATAAAGACTATAACATGAATACAAGTTAAGTGGGCAAGAAATGACCATTTCGGAGTAAATACCTTCTCCGCAGAAAGTTGTATTTCTGATGCATTTTTCTGTGTTTGCCCTGCTGCTGATCCTGGAGAAGAGACCTCCTGGGTTTTGCTTCTTCGCTTCAAGTTGCTTTTGCTTCTCTTTCTTTCCCTCAAAGCAGATTCTTGTAAAATCAAAATTTCAAAACCAGAGTAATAACTCAAATATGCATTGGAAGTAACAGTATCAAATCAGACACTAAAAATAAAAATACAAATCGAATATCAGACACTAACAGTATCAAATCTTCCTCAATAATATGTTTTGCAATGCATGTATTCCAATTCGAGACCCTAATTTGACGTTTTTCAACGACATAGCCTCCAACCGAAACGCGTTGTCAATTTGGTAAATGCGCCTGACATACGCTTTCTTTGTTTTCTCTTTTGTATTCTCAGTAACCAAACAGAGTGGAGAAGGAGATAGAGAGAGAGCTTACGAGGAGGGGAGATGCCGCATTTGAAGCACTCGAACAACCGATCAACGTCGTCCATGGTCACTGCTCCACTCTATTGCTTGCTTCTTGGTCACAAATTTTCTTCGTTCTTTTTATTTTATTTTTATTTTTATTTTGGGTTATATCAAATATCAATATACTGAACTTTCTTTAGATGAGCGGCAAATTGAATTTTGGAAAGATAATTTGACTGGAACCCTTTTTTTCCCGCTCCAGTTTGTTTCTGTTGCTTAGGCCACGTCACTTGGTATTTATTTTTGTTTTGGTACTAAAACTAACCCATGTACTTGTTTATTTGCTTGAGAAATTTGCATCATTTCTTGATTTTATGTGCGTTATTCTTGATGCAATAGGGTGGTGATGTTTGTTTTCTGTGTATTGTTGTTCCAATTTCTTGATTTCATCTTATCTTCTTAAAAATAACCCACTACATATATATTATATATGCATAATTGTGTGTGTATGTGTATATGCGTTGTTAAACATGTCTTACACAAGTCAATTTCAGCTAAAAAATAGAGGAAAAAAAGTCCCCGAAACAAACCCTTAAGCTTTTGAACATGTCCAGCACCATCAAGTATAGTTAGATAAAGTTTCTATGTGTACACACTTGGTACTTTGAGCTCTATTGCCTCCCTCAGCAATTCGCTTGTTGCATTGCAATTTGCAAGCCTGCATGTTCTTGTTATATTCAGTCTTCCTCTTCCCTGCTTTCCCTCAAGTCTTTCCAACCATTTCAGTCCTAGATCACATCCCCCTTTGGCAATAATCTGGAACCATTCTCTTGCCATCTCTATGGGATCTGTTACAAGGCTTTCTCCATTATTTCTTGCCCTTCTGGCCAAAGAACCCTTCTTTGAAGTGAACACTTGGTCACACTCACACATTCTGGGATTTCAGCACCTAAGACATGCAGTTATGCCATTGAGGGTATAAAATTCGTTACAAAATTGGGAAAGGAAATATAAATCATGGGTGCTGCAAGCAACCATTACTTCCATTTGAAGAATCTCCATATTAAAAAGTGAAAATGGATAGGAAATGACTTGGGCTGCCACGCTGCCAGCCATCTCCTATGGTGGAATGCAGACAAATAGACAATATAGCCATATCTTGGAGAAGTCGATCGGGTCGCGATGTTTTCGTCCTTGATTTGATGTTTCTGGCTTGAATTAAACACACCACATGTTCACAGCCAATTCTTAATCTTATTGGCAACTTGATTTGGTTACAATAAGTGGTCATTTTTTATTTTATTTTTTGTTAACTTCTTGGTACGTATGTAACGTACTTGATTTATTTTCTTATAGAGTTTTAGTAGCAGCTCATATGTTAAGTCTGATTTTATTCTTGGTTTGAGGAAAAAAACCGACCTTAATTATGGTGGGTTCAATCAAAATCGTCTCGCCCACGAAGCTCTGGATCGATTTGCCATCCTTGTTGGACTTGTTTTGCTTTCTACGTTTCAAACTTAATTGAAACAGGCAGCCGATGGAATGAGGAGGTTGGGTGGTTGCTTGCGAGGGTCATTTTTAGGCCCATGGACGTCATATTATTAGCACCATTCACTTTTTTTCCAACGTTTGTTTACTTTTAAGTTTTATTCACTCACCCCATAACAATATTGAATATTCTATATCGAGCTAAATAACCAAACAAATATGCAAAGTCTTGGTCCACTGCTGCCTCCCCCCTAAGTCCTACATTTCTATCGTGCTTATAGTTGCCTCTCTCTCTCTCTCTTCTCTCCATCAAAAAACAAAAAAAAAAAAAAAAAAAAAAAAAAAAAAAAAAAAAAAAAACCCCCACCCAACTCTCAAGTCTCTTATCAATGGCTTCTGCCACCATAACATTCCCAATCGTCATCACCACTGAGTCTCTAGACTCCCTCCTCTCTCACCAAACTCTGATAAATCATTTCCAATCTTCACTTCCCCCAGTCTCAGCTTCTCTATGTTCCCCAATCCGCCAAAGCTACGACGTTTCACCCTCTTCCTCTCTCCTCCTCATGCCCTCTTGGTCCTCCTCCCCTTCTCTTCCCTACTTAGGCGTCAAGCTCGTGACCTACTTCCCACAAAATTCCGCTCTAAACTTACCCGGGGTGTACGCAAGTTACGTGCTTTTCAGCTCCACAACTGGGCAAACCTTGGCCACCATGGACGGCACCGCACTGACCCTTTACAGGACTTCTTGTGTTTCTGCCTTGGCTTCGAGGATTTTGTCCAGAAACGACAGCCAAGTCCTGGTGATGATCGGTGCAGGTGCTTTGGCACCTCATTTGATCAGAGCCCATCTCGTGGCAAGGCCCAGTTTGAAGAAAGTGATCATATGGAACCGAACAGTGGAAAAGGCCAGAAATTTGGCTGAGAAAATGCAAGAAAGTGTGGCATTTGAAGGGGTCTGTTTCGAGAGCAGTGGATGCTTGGATGAGGTGGTTGGGATGGGGGACATCGTCAGCTGCGCGACAAATTCGGAGGTGCCTCTTGTGAAGGGGAAGACGCTGAAGGCAGGGGCGCACTTGGACTTGGTTGGATCTTTCAAGCACTCAATGAAGGAGTGTGATGACGAGGCGATAAGGAGAGGGAGAGTGTTTGTTGATAATGAGGCTGCGTTGGTGGAGGCAGGGGAGCTGGTGGGTGCGTTTGAGAGAGGGGTGATTGGGAAGGCAGATGTTTGTGGGATGCTGGTGGAGTTGATCAAGGGAGACAAGGCTGGGAGAATAAGCTGTGAGGAGATTACTGTGTTCAAGTCAGTCGGTTCTGCAGTTGTGGATATCCTTGCAGCACAATTGGTCTATGAAACCCACATGCAGCAAAATCAGTAATGCTTGCTTACACACAAATCGAATTTTCCTTTTGAAGTTTTGAATTCTGGTCTTTGTTCCTCAATTTGTACTTTGAGAACATAATCAGTGAATAAAATGCAACACCAAAACTATGTTTTATTATTATTATTATTATTATTAGTATACAACAGCAAAAGGAAAATGCATTATGTTGTATGCCAATCCTAAATTTAGGACAGATGCACGAAGTATATTGAGTTCGGATTATAAAAAGTAGAGCAGCCAGTTGATCCCCAAAGAAAGAAAAATTACATTGCTAAAATCACAATCTGTTCTGCAGATAGTTCTTACATTACTAAGATCAAGTAACACACTCTCATCCGCCGAAAAAATGAATTTAACTTCAATATAATCAAATCGGTTGAAACAAGGCCAATGAGGTAGGGATAAAAACTGACTCAGACAAAAAATTACAATAAATGGCTGAAGAAACTTATTACTTATTTGGTAAAACTCATGAACGTTCTAGTTGATCAGAAAAACGCCTCCCAATACTAAGTTCTCTATGTCTTTGTTAAATCACAGCATTTCTACTTTGAAGTTACTTCTACATCCACTTTCTATGGCATTAGACCGAGCAGCAAGATGAGCAAGTTTAAAAAATAATGTACAAGGTCGAGTCGAGAGTCACAAAGCTTAGAAAACAATGAATTTCCATAATCATTAATTGCAAGTAACAATACATGACCTGGTGGACTGTGCATGAAATTTTCAATCCCCCTCCTCACCTGTTATATCCAAATCTCTGCAAAGAGGCACAAGGAAGAAACCAGCTAGAATCAACTCGAAGATGGCACTTGACAGTGTTGATAAAGTTGGCATTCGTTTTTGCTAACTTTGTTTCACTGTTTGTGGTTTGTGCTGGATCCTTGGGAAAAGTAGATCATTAAGTTGTCTCTCAGCACTGTACTCAGAAGTGGCCTGAAAAGACATGGGTAGACAGGGTAAACATAGGCATATTGTATTTCATGGTTCCAGAAAAGCAACATAGGAATATGCACCTACATTTGACTGTGCTTCAGAGATGGTACATGAAATATTAAACCTCAAAGTTTAAAAATAATTGGCATACCCGTGTATTAAGTGCAAATCGCAATGTCTGGACTTGTGTCCCTGAGCAAACCCTTAAGTCAAATCCAAGGGAATCTACACCAATAAGTACTGCCTCCTGCAATAAGATACAGCAATGATTAATCATTTACAGATTACAATAGTACAATGTTCATGAAAAAATTTCACAAGATTGCAACAGATGAAAAATAACACCCAGAAAGCAGAAAACAGATTTTTCTCATTCATACGAAATCACATTAAAGCCATAGTGGATGAAAATGATGATTTCATATATCACAGAAGTTGGGCATTCCAATGGGAAAACAACCTTTCTGAAGCAAGTATGTTTTGAAATGCTTCAAAATTGTACAAAATTGTGCAAAATCTACAACCTTTCCAAAAAGATTTGGAAAATTGATTACAAAGTTTGAATATGTTACCTCCACTTGAAGACCCTTTAGTCTCCAACAGAGGGACTTGAGAGCTTGTGTGGTCTTTTCTCCACCAGCATTCAAACGAGAAATAATTTTAGCTGCCGAGTGTGCAATGGCATCAGGTTGAGCTTTTACAAAATCTTCTACTTCAACAACAGTCTGTGGAGAATTACAACCAAAGATTAATTATTAAAAAGAAATTGAGCAGCATTTACTTGCATAACAAAAATACAACTAAAATCCGTACACAAACCTGATTTCCATGTGATGAAAACAGCTGAATCTTAACCATCTCCAGTTTGTAAAATGTAGTCCCATTTCTTGATATTTCATCCTTCTTGGTCTCCAATTCCTCTGCTTGGACTGGACTATCCTTGGAAGATCCTGATTCATGGCCATTAATCCTAACAGGATCTTCTAAATCATCTTCTACGATACTCCCTACTGAATCTACGCCATCATTACTAGATTGATGATCAGACATATGCTTTTGGATGACAGAATGTTCTTCAATTAATGCGGGCCTTATAAGGCCTTGAATAGCCAAACTAGCAGGAGCCTGCTCCGCCCAATCTATAGGGTCATCAGAAGCAACCTAAAAAGTAAAAACTATGAGAAACTTTAAGAAATGATAACTTCACCAAAGACCATAAGTGGGATACAATTGCAACTAGAGTTTTCAAATAAGGAAAAGGCACACCAAGTGAGCAAATGAAAAGCACAATAATTTACCCTTATTACCAAAATAAAAGCACAAGAATAAAATATTTCCAATATGGTATAATAAGAAGTACTATGTCATGTCATCTTAAAGTTCAATCGCCTATGAGTACTTCTACATCACCACACAGTGGGGTGAGAAATTACAATTGACAATTACCTCAGTTAGCTTCTTGGCAAAATACATTGGGTGAGAATAACGCATAGTCTCCAGTTTTGCCCAGTCTCCAAGAGACTTGTCAGAATCATCCATATCGTCTTCGTCTTCGTCTTCATCTTCAAGAACAGCAACCCAATCCTATACAGAATCTATTATATAATTAGAAATGTCTGACAACTACATCCATGCATTCAGATCTAGAGAGACAAAAACACAAGACAGACCGAATCGTAGTCACCATCTTCTTCATCATCATCCTCATCATTATCATTATCATCTTCAACATCACTATCTTCATCTTCAATCCCATCCATTCCAAAATCAATTTCGGGTAACTCCATCTCACTGATCATTTCCATAGTATCTAAGCCAATAATAACTTGCTGCATCATTATAATAACCCACAAGACTCCATAAGAAAAACTCTAGAGAAAAAAACTGCTGCTAGAATGCAATCATTTCTTCAGATTATTATTAGTAATCATGTTCTTGTAATGTGCTTATGAAAATTGCATACCACATAATTATTTTCTGAAGTTAGGGATTGCATAGTGTCTTCACTATCCTTCACTTGAAAGTAGATATCTGTGACATGATAAAACAGATTAGAACTTCATTTTATGCAAGGTCCAATGTATGATGAGAAACTCATACACTTGACTTACTTCCATGTTCATCGGTTACATAAGGCAAATCCGGACAGATAATATTTTCATGAACTTCGTCGTTTATCAAACTTGAAAACATGAGCGTTGCTTTGCTGTTAACCTGAAAATGTCACACTATGGGCAACATTAGCTATGCAAAACCTTGATACAAGAATGAGCAGCATAGTGCAGAACTATCAAAACACCAATAAGTGAGCATATAAATAACACAAGTGTATATATTAGAATTCAAATATTTAAACTTGGGTCTGCTTATTAGAAAGTGAATAATACAATCACAATGTACTACCTCAATAATGGTCCTAGCAGATTCTGCAGCTGTAAGTCTAGCAGTTCCATTAGTCTCTAATTTGGACTCAGCAATATCCTCAAATGGATGGTATTGTGGCCTCCCATTCGGCTTTATAGGCTCTGAACCCGGCCCTAACTGCCCCAGGGATGCTCGAATAGGCCTGTTCTTTACAAAATTGCTCCTTTTTGCAACTGAACCATTCTTTGACCGTCGAATTCGACTCCTGCATTATAAGTCTCAGCACATTTATGCATTTTCAAAGCCGTGAAATTCAAGCTGGTTAACTAGCAAGAAAACAAAAGGCTCAGCTGCTTAACAATAAAAATCAAATTAGTTAGCGTACCGCGGCACGCCAAAACCACCAGAGCACGAAAGGCGGCAAGAAGTGACGTGTACGGCTCCGGCCGCGTCCTCCGAGCTCCGCGTTGGACGATATGCTACAACAACAAAAGAAACGATATAGAACGTACTGTTTGGCAACAGAGAAAACGCAGGAAAATGTGAACAGAAAATTAAAAGCTTAAAACTTTTGGCTTAATTGAGCTTTTGAAGTAAGGCGGGAGAGAGAGGGAGTTACAAGTCATGGAGGTGGAGGGGCAGAGCTTTGCGCCGGCGTGGAATCGTACGGCCATGGCTGACTCGATCATCATCATCGTTCCTTGTCGTCTCTTTTAGTTAATGCAAGTGTGAGATCCACAAAATCTCCCTCTCAAGAGTCTGAAAGGATGAGGTGCTCTTTCTTTGGAGTTTGGCTTCTAAATGGCTTGGATTCTCTGCGGTCGCGAATGAATAAAAGCGTCTGTTATGAAGCTAAAGCGCACCGTTTTGTGCAGCCAAGGCAATATTATTTACTTCCCCCTTCCCGTGTTTGGCTAGATAGAAAATCAAAATCAAAATCAAAATAAGATTTGGGAGAGAAAAATAAAATATTAAAATATCTTCCGAAAACACACGCTCTGCCGCTCTGGTCTCAGCCACTCTCTCTCTCTCTCTCTCTCTCTCTCTCTCTCTGTTTGCTTCCATAAACTTGAGCTGAGCTAAATTTCAGATATTAAATGCCTTACTGAGTATGCTTACCTTGACATACTCACTTCCGGTCTTTACTCGGCGACCGGAATTTATCAAAATCTCCCACAGTAGAAGCAGTGTAGTGGTAAGCTTCTGTCTATTTTTGTTATTTGCATATTTTGAAATTGTAAATGCAGAAAGATAATAACTTTCTTCTTAAATTATACATTTTGTTTTCTGGATTTCATTTTCTTGCTATTTTGTCAATAATTTATTCAGGTATGTGCTGCAAAAGGTCCAAGACCCAGGTACCCAAGAGTCTGGAAAGCCAATAAGAGGATTGGGACCATTTCCAAATCGATTAAGCTTGTTGAGTCTGTAAGTTTTTTATGCTCTTTCTTTCTTTTCTTTTCTTTTAATCTCTGTTTCCCATCTTTGTGCTTGGTTTTGAAAAGATAATTTCTTTTGTAGATTAAGGGATTGTCAAATGTCAAGGAGGAAGTTTATGGGGCCCTTGATTCTTTCATTGCTTGGGAATTAGAATTCCCTCTGATTACAGTGAAGAAGGCATTGAAGACCCTTGAGAATCAAAAAGAATGGAAGAGGATAATTCAGGTTTGTTTTTTGTTCTTCATTCTGTGCTCAGCATCATGAATAGGTTCTAATTGTTAAATGTGTCACAAATCACATGTGGGATTGTAGGTATCAAAGTGGATGTTAAGCAAAGGTCAAGGAAGAACAATGGGAACCTATTTCACACTATTAAATGCTTTGGCAGAGGATGGGAGAGTCGAAGAAGCTGAAGAGCTATGGACAAAGTTATTCTCACAGTATTTGGAAAGCATGCCTCGCATGTTCTTTGACAAAATGATTTCTATTTACTATCGGCACGGCATACATGACAAGATGTTTGAGGTATTTAAATCCTACCACATTTATCTTTTCCATGGTTACACTGCTCACTTCCATTAGTATGTACGATTATCTTTTGCAGAGTACAAATACTTCTCTCGGAACCAAAGCCTAAGGACATCATATCATTCATTTACAGATTAGGAACACTTCAATATTTGAACCAATCTATAAGTATATTGCGTATAGTTGTTCCAGATTTGAAGTTCCTGCAAATTATATGGATTTTGGTTGAGAAATGAATTCAATCTCCTATGCCTTAAGGCCAAATGTCATGCTAGTTTGTATAGGGAGTCATCTGTGTTTCATGCACAAATGAGTTTTTAACTTATGGCAAAATTTCACTTGTAGATTTTTGCTGACATGGAGGAGCTTGGGGTCCAACCGAATGTTTCAATTGTTACAAAAGTTGGAAATGTCTTTCAGGAGTTGGGTATGTTGGACAAATACCATAAGTTGAAGCAGAAATATCCACCACCAAAATGGGAGTATCGATACATCAAAGGAAAACGTGTTAAAATTCGAGCAAATTATGAAAATGATGGTGCTGAAAAAATGCGGAGTCAGGAGAACGAAACAGTCCACAGCTCAGAAGAATTGTTAGAAGCTGAATCAAATCCAAATGAAGACGTTGTTGTAGCTGAGGAAGGGGACCAGAACTCAAGTGATTTACTCGAGGAAGCTGAAACAAGTTTAGATGAACCCACGATTGAATCTTGAACCCCTCCTTGACCAGTCAGATACATCAGAGGGTTATCATGTTTTACTTCTCCCTAACTTCACTTCTAATCATTATGGGATGGTTGTCTGGTGAGAAAGGAGGCAAAACGAACTCGGCTTTGCTTTCTTCTTTTTGACATGGAGCCGGAGATATTCAAAATGTGATGTTGTCAGGGAGAAACTGTCGGGTCCAATTTGTTTCTCTGATCTTCGTCGTTGATGTGAGTCACACAGATCAAAAAGAAGCCGTGAAGGAAGTGTTATAATTATGAATACCAAACATTCTAGGCTATGCCTCTCCTCTTGATGACAAATTTATAAATCGTCGTTGAGTAATATCACAGTTGAGCTAGCGAATCAATAAAACAAACATATCACATAACTTTGCCTTACGATAGGTCGGTGTTTGTTTCACACATGGAATTGAGAGTTCATGGCATAATTTTTGAAGAGATTTTTTATTTAAACCCCACACTTCTCTTTGTTTATCTCAATACTTAAATCATTAAACTGTAAGTTTTATTATTGTGTAAAAAGACAAAAAAGGTCATCCAACTTAATACTTAACATTTTCATCCGACCTATTGAGTTTTGTAAACTTTTATAAAGTTTTATCAGGTTACACCTTCTTACATGTTTATCTCCTATGGTATATATATATATATATCCGTTTTTCAGGTACAATTGAGGTAGAGGAAGTGAAACAATGAATCAACCCAAAGTGCCTAAAGCTTTAGTACATAGTGTTTCAATGTTTGAAAATTCTAGATGGCATTCGGAGGTAGAAATCAAATAAGAATCACATATTATGCACACAAAAATTTCCAATCTATAAATTAACATTGTCAACAAATCTGTCAAATTCGTTTAACAATTTGACCGATTTGGTCAGGAGACTTGATCAAACTTAGCGGCTACTTACACCATTGCGTGTTTTATACTTCATGAAATATGAAACTTCCCTTTGCAACATCTTAATCCCATGTGTGTTTACAAAAAAACTAATTTAATTACTTACTATTTCTCATGAGCATAACGTACTTCCTCCTCTAAGGGTAGCTTGTGGGGTTTAAATAGAAAATTTCTTTTATTTCTTATTTTTTCAGTTAGTGGAGTTTTCTTAGAAATTGTGAAAATTTTAATTAAAAGTTGGGGTGAACTAAGAGAAGTGTAAGGTTTAAATAAAAAATCTCTTTTTAAAACCGTTGAAAACCAATGATCAAACTATAATCTGACATCTGCTTAAATCTGGGCAGGGAAGCAAGTGGTGGGATGGTTTATGTCTAAATCTGGAGGAACAAAATCATGTTTTTGAGTCTCGCTCTTTGCGTCATTCAAACTGCCACCCATTTTGCATTGCTTACGAGTAAATTTTGTTCCAAGAAAGACGTGAATTAGACGAAGATGAAAAAAGAGTCTAAAATTTTAATAACTGAAAATGGGTTTAGAACTCACGTTTTAAGTATCAAAACTAGGATCTTCCAAATTAAAGATGGGCACATGGTAACTATCACTGTGGTGGCTGTTTGAATTCTTTCACCGAATAACGGATAAATGAACAACAAAGTAAACTAGATAAAATTGTATTTGTTTTAGTCCTCCTCTGAACCTTCACCTTCAGAGCCTAAGACTTGTTTATCCACAGTGCCATTTGCTGCAGGGCCTTTCTTTTTTGTATCGTGTTGTTCATCTGCCTCATCTTCGCTGTACTCACTCTCATAATCATCGTCATATTCCTCATCTTCATTCTCTTCCTCCTCTTCAATCCCATCCTCTGCAATTGGTCCCTCTTCTGCCACAAAACCTCCCCGTGTACCAGCCCGGGTACGCTTCAAAATCTTTATCTTCAAGTTTGTCTTTCTATCACAACCAATCCAAGAGTCACACAAGCAGTAACATGTCAAATTGTAATTCCCCTCCACTGGGGCCGGTAACTTCCCTGTTACCAGTCTAGACCCACTCTTCACCTTCTCAACTGCTTCTTTGACAGCAGCACTAGTCTCCTTCATATTTGCTCCTGAACCCTCCATTGTTTCCTCAATTGCCTTGGAGGCAGCAGTAATAGCTGCAGTTTCATCCATGAAATTTACCTTCTGCCAAAACCAAACATTATTGGAGACACCGTCTGCAAGCAAAAACCAGAAATTTTCTTCCTTGTGAAATGGGAAGTACGGGGCATGGGGAAGGGCACCAATCAGGCCGTTGGCACGTTTTAGTGTCACCCAAGCATGAACAGTGACAATGTCACCCTCTTGTATACCCTCTTCACCTTCGGTCTCACATTTGACTTCAATTGATATCGAAGGCATTGTTTCCAATACCATTTCAACATCCTGTACTTCATTGGACGAGAATCCAGCTGTTTGAGAAAGTAGCTCAGCACGATCTTGCAAGGACATGTCCTGAAGCTCCTGCAATACTCTCAGCTTCTGCAAATTCAAGAAGAAGAATTATTAAAGCTAAGATCAAAAGACAAAAAGACTAGCTGGGAGAGAAAAGAGAAGATCAACACATAAAAGTGAAACAAACCAACATGAAAAATTATTACAGAATGAAGATGTGCTGCTCATTCAGTCTCAGAACTAGAGATTCACAGAATGCTTTATTTTTAAACATTAAACAGTTGTATTCCAGCATGACATTGTCCAAAACACGACTATTTACCTTGCGGGCTATCTTTTTTATAACAGCCTCACTAAAATGTGGCAGCTGCAGAAAGGGGGCAATGCCTTCACTGGATCCTCCAGTAGCCTTCCTTGCACTAAGAGGAACAGCCTGCATTATGGCCAATAAAATAACAAAAATCCAAAAATTAGTACAGATTCGTTGTAGAAGGTACAAATGATATGAGAGAGAGAGAGAGAGAGAGAGATGCCTCATAATCAGAAATCTCAAGTATTTGGTATTTTTTGTTAAAGGAGAATTCGCATGATTAGTATATTTGAAAGATCTACATGCTTAACAAAAGTGGATAATGGACTGTCACCTGAATGATACACTGAGAGAGTTCAACCACCCCAATAGCAGGCCTCAGCCATCCCTGCCCCTGAGCATTTCGTGGCATAACTGCCATCTGCATAGAATATAGCTTAAGTAAAACTAGCACAATGTGGCTTCCAAATTTGGTACATTCATCAGAAATACTAGCACATCAATTTGATTGATTGATTTCCAGAAATACTAGCAGCATCCTACCAACTTCTGTACCCTTTGAAACAAGAAGTCTATTCACAAAGATGAGTGATATAATCCAGAATTATGGAAAGTCTGCAACTTCTAAGCAGCATAAGCGCTTAATTTAGAGGCTGCTAATAGAATGTAAGACAGGAAATGTAGTGATCACCTTCATCAACTCTTCAAGGAGGCGAGGGGTAAGTTCCAGAACACGTCTAAAATCACCTTGCAAAGATGGAGATAAGGATGCTGACTCACGAGTTAACTGTGCTTGAATCAACAATTCTGTCTGCACAGAGAGTGGCATAAAGGTAAGCATAGATAATGACTGGAACAAACTTTTCTGGTAATATAGCCCTGTCTTGGAGCACAAACTACCTTTACAAGGGCTGGATGCTGCTTCCAAAACTTTGCCTGCTCTTGCTTGATGTTCTTAAGGTCCAGATTCAACTCACTCCTGACTAGCATAAAAAGCTTCTGAAGGGGTTCATTGTCAGTTCTACGAACTGGAATTTCCGTATATTCAGCAGCCTTTATGAAGACATCCATTACTTTGCTGTATAATCAAGTTATCTCATAAGATCAATAAAAAATTAACAGAGAACACAGGTTAATATACACCAGATCCATCAAAATATCAAGAACATAAGGATAGGCAAGACGTACTTCGTCAACTCTGGTGCTCAACATATGCCAATTGATTACTATGGGAAGATTTAATATATTACGTTATCAAAATTAAACATGAACATAGCTTCTGAATAAACTGAGTACCTGGGAGCCAAAGAAGGCTTCATAAAGTAATAGTAAGTGGACAATGTTTGATGCATAACATAGTTGCCAGTATATTTTGCCGACCTTGAAAGATACACAACAGCTATCACCAAAGGCAATAAAATACAAACACCAACAATCCAGAGTAAGAGTATTCCACCAGATGCCCCATCGATGTGTAGCAGGAATTGAGGAAGAGCTATGCCCATTTGAAACCCCTATTGGAGTAAAGCATCGATTCAGTTTCAAAACATGATTAATTATATCTGATATAGTATTGACAAGGAAACACTGAAACGAAGTTACAATTCCTCGAATAAATTGCACATTACCTGCCTGCCATCTGGATGGCCATATTTTTCAAAATTCTCACGAGATACTGGATCTGTCAGAGCCTGATAAGCCTTTGATATGAACTCCACAAAATAATTGTGGGCCTCTGAAAAAAGGAAAATTTTAAACTGTTAGTGTATACGTACTACTCATAAAAGGCCCCATTTTTCCTTCTATTTTCACTAATCAGGTGACAAGCATGCATAAACTCAAAAACCAAAATACCATCAACCTGGGTCTGGATTTTTATCCGGATGGTATTGTATAGAGAGTCTCCTATATGCCTTCTTGATTTCTGAATCTGAAGCACCGGGTTCCAGTCCAAGAATACTGAATGGCTCGAAAACTTGGTTCTGAGTGAATTTAAAATGTGAAAAATGAAAAGATATCCCAAATGAAATTCACCATTCCATCATTCTAAGGATGAAGACACGACATTGGAAATCTCATATGAAATCCAAATTAACTGAACTTTAGTAGCATGGAAATGTAAAACATGGGGAGGAAAACCATACATAATCACACGCCTTCTATTAATGCCTCAAATTGGATTGAAATGCTTACCTCACGACTCATATTTTTGATGTAATAAACCAGGACTATCATGATGACCCAAAGCAGTACTAATGTCAAGTTGCTCCATGTTGAGAAGTTTGAAATCTGCAAAAGTGACCACAGCCACATACATTTAGACCATAGTTAGATGGTTTAAAACAATA